ATCGCAGCGGTTGTGTTTGTCGAGATTGTCCGCGGGAACTGGCGAGCGGTAAGGGACTGCGGTCGACATGGTTCGCCGTAAAAGCTGATCTGAAAGGGAACCTTTGACCATGATGGACCCAATACAACGATACCGTAAACGTATAAATGGAAAACCGTGCATTATTATTGCGTTGTAACATAAATTATACAATTATTGACGGGACGACAGAGAAGATATAACACGATGGTTTCACGAGGTTCGATCAAATATTTTCAGTTAAGAAAAAAATATATGTGGGGGGGAGGGGTGTGTGCGTGTGCTACGGCATGCTGTACCCTATCACCTATTTGCGCCACTAGCCACTCGTCGTTGCACGCGATTCCGGTCAAGTAATCCGGATTAGTAATAGTTTCGTCCGATTACCGATTTTTTTTAGAAATAAATTTACACGGCGGATTATATCGATGATTACCTACTAAAAAATATATTTTAATTGATTTTTTTTTTTTTTCGTACCTTGATGCGGATGTAAATCTTCGGTTAGGTCGGTATGTCAATATTTACTTTGGTAATTTTCTGTTAGTACTTGCGTACGACGAAGAATTACGTGCAATATCCCGAAAAACACGCCAGCGGTTTAAACTATAACAACAATGCGTGATGCCACAATAGTGAGGTCGGTCGAGCAAAACTGTTAAAGTAATGATTTTGAGCTTCGACAATGCGATTTACGATAATATAAACGCGTTACTGAAGTAGTTGGCATTATTATAGTGACAGAGATCATAAACGTTATGTACCACAAGATAAGGAAAACAAATGCCAAACTTGATGTCTTTCAAGAACAATCAAACGGTAATTATATTGCCATTAACGGCATTGACTATTATAGGAACCTATAATATATTTGTTTTGGTATGATTTGTTCTTATCGTCGTCATATTATTGTTTGAGTTGTCGAATAGTTTTTAAAGGTTGATTATTAAAAAAACATCAACAATTTTATTGTCTACGAGTTAAATAAACGTAAATATATTTTTTATTTATTTATTTTTTTGTTTTTTGAGAAATGATTATTTAAAATAATAATAACTGCCAGATAAAACATCTATTTTTGATTATTTAAATTTTAAATAATCAAATTAAATTAAATTTTGATAACGAAATTGCTGATGTCCGTCAACCCGTTAAGAGGACGTGATAACTCGCATCTACTGGCTCAGTCCAACTACCGGGTAGCATACAAAAACAACGATAACGCAGAATAAGTAAAACTAGCTTGATTTGATTTTAGAGTAATAGTACCTATTAAGAAATGTATAGTAAAATATTTTGGAGGGATGAGTGCGTTTTGAATTATGAACTATTAATACTGGAGAGACATAGGACTCAGTAATACAAGAAACAGAACTGTCTTTATAAAAAAGTAATTGAATGGTTCTCATTAAATAGTTTAACATTGAACAAAAGCAAAACAGTCTTCTAAACATTCCCAAACTCAATTAGTACAATTGCAGATACTGTGAATTTAACAGCCCATAATACAAACTGCCAATCTGCAACTCATTGTTTTTTTTATAAAAAGAGAAACGTCAGCTAAATATTTAGGGGTAATATTTGACCAACATTTTTGATGGAATTTCCACATTTCTCAATTAATTCTCAAGCTACGTAAACTATACACCTTTTATAATATAGCTAAGTGATTTCTAAATGTACGCTGACTAAAGAATACTTATTTTGCACTAACTCTGTCTTTAATAGAATACGGAATTTTAGCATGGAGAGGAGCAGCTAAAACCTTAATAACAAGTATTCAGAGAGCACAGAACACGATTTTAAAAATTTTGTATAATAAACATAGGTTAACTCCAAATAGACTATTATATAACGAAAAGTTAAATTTAAATGAAAAATCACTCTATTTAAAAAAAAAAAAAAACACGGTATTATATAACCAAACAAAATGTATTATAACAATTTAAACACAGACACAATATTCGATCTGAACACTTAATAATTCCTAAAATTAATACTACAAAATATCAAGACCTTACCTTTTTTTATTGGGTACTAAAAGATTATTTTATTTGTACCTATTACAAATTTGTTTGGCCCTCAGCAATTATTACATAATACAAATTATTATAAATATATTATTTACACTACGTTTAATCAGGTTATTACCACTTATAAAATTGATTTCGTGTAATGTTTGAATTATATGTTTAATGCTTATATTATAATGTGTTGACTCTCGTCAATCGTCACAAGGTTTACCTTAGTGATAGGCGAAGCAGTATTAAAAAAAAAAAAAAAAAAAAAAAAATGTTAAATCTACCAACTGTAAACTCTGTTACTACTAAATAAATAAATAACCGTTATGATTATTGTTATTAAAAGAGTTATTTAAAAAAGCAAAAAAAATAAAAATTTTTGTATATTTTGATTAATATTAAAACCCTATTTTCCAAACACGTTTCAAATTATAATTTTAGACTATGAAATGGTACGGTTTGTGTTATTGAATATTTGGACGCAACAATTTTCAATTTTCTTTCAGAAAACATAAGATTGTAAGGTTAGGTATTTTTATATATATAGACGATAGTTGACTTGAACAATGCTCGTGGTTATAATTATTTCGAACTAAATAATTTTATCGGGTGTCCGTGAATCGAGTAGTCGGCGAATCGGTACGACGCGAGAGAAAGATATATACACATAGATTTTTTTTTTTTTTTAATTAACGTAGTTGAAAAGATTTTCGTTCTAGAAGATTCGGTATGTAATAGACAGGTTTAAGTGGTCGGACGATGCCTTTAAAAGAATGCCGATGGATTTGAAAAAGATGTCATACACACGATCTCCAATGTGGTAGGATAGAGTGGTAATGGTGTGCTGAAAAGACTACGCTTTTCACGCACACGCATTTAAATTTACCGGGCGCTATGGTACGTGCGTTTACAAAAATATGGTTCGGAATAAGCACATCTCCAGAGATTTCGCACAGTGTAACGTAACAAAGCGGCTTTTCGTTTTCGTTTTTTTTTTTTTTTTCACGGAGAAAAAATATACTACGCAATATTACCGACGGCAGGAAAATAAAAATGCCTTAATCCGTCAAATAGTCGGGGTTTTTTCGTTATTTTTTTTTCGTATAGATATGTCACTGTTATTTACTTCTGATCTACCGGCGTCTTATCCGCGTCACTATATAGAACGTTGGAAACAACGTCGTGTTTTCATTGCGTCCGTATCAGACGGACACTAATAGTCATAAACACGGGTCAACTTCTTGCGCCGACTTTTCACGGTATAAACATTGTTTTCGCGAAACGCAACACCAAAATTAACATAGTACTGCGTGCAGAAAAAAAATTCTTCACGCCGCCAAATAGCTGATTGGTGTTGTATTTTTTTTTTTTTTTTCTAGTTATGTTACTATTTTAATATACTTAAATCTACGCGCGTTTAATACGCATTGAAAGACAATAGACATTAGCTGTATACGCATTCTAAATAATGTAGCAAACAAAACGGCATTGTGTTTACGTTGCGTTCACAACACACATTGACTAGTTATAAACACAGGTCGACTATGGTCTATGCCGACTTTCCTTGGTATAAACGTTATTTCCACAAAACGCAATACCAAGATTAACAATGTCCGGTGATATTTTTCGCGTCTACCGAATTATTAACATGTTAGAGCGACTTGGCAAAACTGTGCAAAGCTAGATAGGTAAGTATAGGTACGTGTTACACCGTTGCATAGCGTCAACCAGTTGGCGTTTTCACATTATTCAAAAATAAGTCTATATTGAATTATTCTATGCATAATCATAAAAAAAAAAAAAAAAAAATACTTCGATTGGGTTCGGTTAGTATTGTTTTTTTTTTAACAATTTTTTTATAATAGTTATTAAATTGTAATCAACTTTTTCTAACTGCCTAACTATAGGCATTTATTCACGACTTTTAAAAACAATATAATACAGCTGGCCGCCCTGTAACGTGTATCTAACATACCTATATATATTTTAAACGTACATTATATATTTTTTTTTTATATATATATATACATACAAACGTATCACTCGCGTACACTACAATAATTATTGTAAACAGTGTTGTATTCTATATAGATACAACATCCACAGCTAAACAAGTGTGCGTGTATCTATTATCTTACCCGGGTAAACGGGAAACAACTTATGTTATTAGATAAATAAATCGGTGTAACACATAAGGTTTATAAATTTATCATCAAGTTAAATAATCGCAATAGCGCACGGCTTTGGCAATCTAGATGTGTACACTTTCAGAACGTAGTTTTACGATGAAAAATTATCTCTTTATTATTTACAATAATGTAATATTGTCGTTACGAACAGATAATAGATACAGATTATATTTGATTTTTATTTAGATAAATTAATTTCCATATCGCCGTCCGGACGAATTCGAACGGTTTTACTAGATTTGATATGGTCATTATTATCTTGATATGGCTCCGCCGCATAATTCACGTAGGTATATTTTTACTATTCTAAATGAAAAATTGCTCCGCTATAGAACCGCAAAGCTTGAAAAACAATATATTTCACCCGACGCCAATCGATTATATTATTATCTCAGTGCGTGCTGGTTGTAAATTCAAACAATATCCAGATCAGTCAACAACACGGTTTACCCGTTGACTTTAATATACAACACTGCTTATAAATTATGTACAACGAGTTGTTTTTTTTTTTTTATGATTTTATATCACAGGTACAGCAACGCAACTATAAACTCTTATCAGCTGCACGCACTGCAGTCGAGTTGTTGCGGAAGCCGTTCATGTTATATATAATTATATTCACACCAAATTTAATTTTAAGCTTAAATTTAGGTTATAACAAAACGATATTGTAATGTTTTTTTTTTTTTTTTTTTTTTTTTTGAAATTTAATTTTCACCGAAAGCCGGTTGATAATATTATTATATTCAAGAATATTCATAATGTATAAAATCCGTCGTGTATAATTATATTTTTAGACAACAATCATCGTATTATACATTACAGAATTTCATTTTAATTTTTTTTTTTTTTTTTTTTGAAATTTAATTTTCACCGAAAGCCGGTTGATAATATTATTATATTATCATCTGCACATTAATTAACAAAAATACCTCGCCAAAATGGCGTCTAAAACGAATATTATTTCACAGGTTTTCTTCTTAAACAAAACATATAATATAATATAATATAATATAATATAATAATATTATTTTTAACATCCATTAAAACAGCAGATAATGCACGCATTATGCTTACAATAAATTTTAATCCGAACAAAAAAAAAATTCATTACAATACTAACAATTGTGTACGCAATGAATTTGTTTTGTTTGTTTTTTTTCAATAATTTACTTTTCTGGTTATATATTATAAGCTATAATAATATGTTAGATTTATAAGGTACAATTTCCGAGACTAAAACTGATTATATAAAATATACCAGTGGCATGACCAAGGGGGTTAAGGGTTATAATCTCTCTTACCGAAATTTTTTAACTTTTTTTTTTTACGAATTCCGCGCGTTTATATGCATAGTTTATACTGCAATAACGGAATATTACTCGCGATTTGAAATTATGCACGTCATCTGTTTGATAATTTGCTATCCAAAATAAGTCCCATGTACACTGATTGCGCCCCTGCAATATACACAGTCCATCAAAACTAATTTTTGTGTGTCTGTGTGTGTGTGTGTATTTTATATAGATCGTAATCGTTTATGTTAGGAGTTTTTCTAAGGATATTATAAACGTTGAGTTTCTACACGGCGTTTATTAGTTTATTAGTTTTGTTAGTAGTGACTTTAGAAAATTACTTTTTTTTTTCTTTTAATCTTGTACGGGAAAATATTGAACACATGCCCAGCAGGTGTACCTGTATAGCTATAGTAAAACATTGTATTCGGATAAAGTTCTATAGTTCAATGTTGTTTAATTTTTTAACTTACGGACCTCCTTTCTCCCCCCCCCCTCGTACACGCGCCTGATTAGGTGTATTGCACCATTTATATAACCACGCGAAACGACAGCTGTCGTATAGCGTACGAAATACGGCTCGGAAATCGGTCGAATTTTTTGTTATATTATGTGTATATTTTTATGTATTCGTTTGGTTTTCTGAAAAATCGAGTAATTTTTCGTAGGCTTACGCGAAACATACGAACATTGGCAATAGGCGTATAGTATTTTAAATTTCCGTCTGCATAACCGCACTGGCGGTGGTGTTTGTTTGTAACGGACGAACGCGAACAAGCCGAGTCCCGTTGTTAACATTTGTCGAAACGAACTGCATTTGTATCGTTTATTCGGAATACGTATGGCGGACGCCGGTAGGTCAGGGGGACAACTGTGGAATCCGATATTTCAAACATATACAGAATTCATAAGGAATATAACAGTAAAATATAATATTATTATTGAAAACTATCGGGGGGGGTGTTAATTATTGTTTTCGCAACGCCCGCCATTCCTGAAATTGTTTCCAGCATCCGCACGTGCGCAATGCTATTCGGTTTTTTTTTTTTTTTTTTTTTTTTAATTTTGAAAAATCACACACACAATGATACGCACACGACTAATACAAAATAAACTTACTATAATTTTATAACAAATATTATAATATAATAATATAATATAGATATATATATATATATAATTTATTTTTATTTGGTATTTTAATATGTATATATATTTATATGTATTTATAAAATTTGAAAAATCACGAATATCGTAACACATAGTAATATATTATTCTAATGTTTCGAATGGTATGCATGAGACGATTATACACGGGGCTTCTCGATCGGGTGCGAGACAGGACAACTTCGCCCACTCTGGGATTCGAATTACTTTTGTACGAAAACGTACGGGTCGCTAAAAATAATCGTCATTTATTTTTTAAATTGCCTTTGCCAGTGTGCACGGAAAAATTCTACGCCCGTGTAATAATAATATTCTAGTTTATTATGTTTTTTTTTTTTTTTTTTTCATCTCATTCCACTCGTCCGAGATGTATTTTCAATATATTTTAAACGGGCTCTTTTATACAATATAACACCTAAGGCAATAATTATTATTGTTATCCTAACATACATTAACGTACAATATCAATAATGCATTATTATCATAATTTAATAATTAATCTAAATTTTTCGAACACAAAAATAATTATAATTTGAATAATCAACGTACTAACTAACCGTAGTAATATTATTTTTAATAATACTGTACGCGTAGAGTTATGTTAACAATTATTGTTGTAGTATTATTTTTAAGATATGCAGAATTTTTGAAATATACAGAGCAAATGTTTTTTTTTTTTTTTTTTTTTTTTTTTTTCATCTCATTCCACTCGAGTTTTCTAAGAAACGTTTGTGAAAATTGCGCTTCCGGTATATTGTTTTTCGCGTAATAAATATAATGTTTTATTCTTTATTAACTGTCAGTCCCCGTCCCGGAAAATAACTCTCGGTCAACTCGGTATGCCGACAAAATATCGCCGACAAAAAATAATATCAAACATGTGAGTAAAATAGTGCCAACGAAATATCGCGAAACCAATGTATCGCAAGGAATTATTATCGTCCGTGACCATAATATCGCAGCGATAAAATAATACCGTCGACTTAACAGCGGATATGCTCATTGACCTTCTGCCCCGACGTCTTTCTGTCTAAAAAACGTATAAACGGTATGTGACGCCAACGAAATTTAACTGAAATTGCAACAGTTACAGTACAGTAGCAGGGAATTCAAATACGCAAAGGAATTTAAACAACAAAACGGTCGGTCGGGCTGAAAGCAGTGCCACGGTAGGCTAACATTAGCTGCATTTGCAGCTAACTGCACTACGATATTACATAAATATTATTGTTAGAATTAAAGGGGTTTCGGACGATCCAGATAGACTAAACATGCCCCCTAGTCCCCCTAAACGTGCCACTGATTATATATTAGCTACGATATTTTGTCCATGTGATTATTTACTGATGACGTTGTACGCATACGACGTATTGGCTTTGCGATATTTCACCGGTGATAAGTTGTCGGAGATCTGTTCAACTCGATGTACCTCACGGGATGGTCTGTCGCACCGTCATCTAAGTCGAGAACAACTCGAAATCGATCAATCGCGATTTATTATTATGATTTTTTTTTATTTTGTTTTGCTTCGTTTGTTTTTATAAATTAGTAAGTGGTAGGCAGTCTAAAACGATCGGTCCGTCTGCTCATACCCGCGAAACACTACGCGAAATCTTGATTAACAACTCGGAGTTCGGGGGGGAAAACATTTTCAAAAAAAATCACACAGAGCAGCGCTGTTTGTAACCACGACCTACACTCATCGAGTTTTTTGTTTACTTAATTTTTAAATTTCACAATTCTGGTGTACTAATATTATGATATACAAAAAAAATTGCATTTTCCCTATCGAAATATTTCAATATTTTGTTTCCACTGTTTATTTTTAATTTTCTGAGCGATGCGAGGAATTTATAGGGTTTAAAAAAAAAAAAAAATGATCATAATTATTAAATTAACTATCGCCCAGTTTTCCGGAATCCGGCGAACAAAATATTATTATTGTTTTCTTTTTAACGTTCTAAATAAGTACAATTTTGAATTCGAGTCGGCACTTGTTACATTATTACGCACGGAAAATTATAGTTATTAGAATATGCTAATATATATATATATATATGTATACATTTTTTTTTATTATTTCAACCCTTCTGCAGTCGCCACTTGTCGGAAAAGATTTTATTTTACACGTGATGGATTCGGTTTATTCAATTACGAATTTCGACGTTAGCATAATAAAATATGTTACGGTAAAATTAGGGATACGGGTGATTAATTGTGCGATTATATACAAAATCCAGGAAATAAAAGTTACCTTCGCTAAACCCTGAATGATTTTTTGAAGTCTGGACGTTTACAAACGGGATTCGGTACATCGTAGGATGAAATATAATATTATTGTAATCAAAAGGCCGAAATTTCGTTATTTTTTTTCTTCTACTTATCGGGCGTGGTTTTTCTTTTTTCACCTGTTCCATACACACGCGGTATCGCAGCTCTCCTTCTCGGGTGAAAAAAAAAATGCAAGACAAACCGACGGAAATGTCCGTCGATTAATTAATTATGTAACCAAAGATGTCACAGTAGCCAAGCCTGCGAAAATAATCTTTTTTTTTTTTTTTTTTTTTTATTAACGGTTGTTAATTATTATAATGGCGTACGAATAATACGTAATAATATCCTAGGGTAAAGCAAGAGGAAAAAACCGCACGATAAGTAGGAAGAGAGAACAAAAAAAAAAATGGAAATTTCGGACTTTTACCGACACTATATAACGAAACAGCCATTTTTATCCTACGATTTACCAAATCTCGTCCGTAAAAGTCCGTTATACGAAAATAACCGTTCGGGGTTCGACCAAAATAATTCGTACGTCCTAAGTTTTACCGAAATCGAGCGGTTAACGTCCGAAATTAAGACATTCGAAATCTGGAATTCGGACGTTTACCGACAGTATAGTCGGTAAAACCTGAGACTTATCGGTGTGGCTTTCACCGGTATTCTTACTTTTATACCGTAACGCATGTGTTATATTATGTTTGATACGTCCCACGAAGACACGGTCATTGCGATACCTTGGAGGAGAGTGTTGACATTTTTTAGACGCTTTTTTTTTTTTTTACCGACAATTTAAAAAGCAAGTATCTCTAAAACGTTTATGTTTCGTCACGCGTTATTTTCTGGACTGAACCGACAGCGGCTCACTACGCTTTTGATTTTCAAACGACAGCCTACATTGAAAATCCCGCAAATATAGACGGATTTATTTTGGTCCACATATATCGGATATCGATGTCGAAATGTTTGATTTCCGTCTGCCCGTTGACGAGTTACTCTAAATTTTAAATTTGGGCAACGGGAGGTTTAGTTGCGGAACGCCGTTCGAACCCGACGCGCTGTGTCGCCACGCAAATGGCGGTCCGCTACTACCCTCCGCCCCCTCCTCCCCATCAACCAACCTTAAAAACCGGAATGTCTAATATAAAACGAACGACATTCCGTCTATTTATGGAAATTTCCGTTCGAGATGCCGTTTGAAGTGTGAACCGGGTGGTCGGTTCACCCCCGAAAACAGGGGCGGCAAAAGAATTAACGACGGGGCGAGCATTTCAGAGCTACTCATTTCTTATTAAAGTTGTTAAACGAAACAAAAGAAAAAAAAGGCAAAAAATTACTGACACACTTAATGCTATTCGAGATATCGCGATGGCCGTAATACCTCCGGGCCGGACGCTGCGGTATATTATTTTTTTTTTTGACAATCGTAAACGATTTCCCGTTTTCGGTTGTAATAATACTATCGGGAGCGTATAGAAATGCGGGACTCGAATCCGATTCGCGATTGGGGTTTTTGTTTTTTTTTTTTTTTCGGGGTTTTTGTATACATATATATATATATTTTTTCTAATTAAATCTAATAAAGTTAATGATCAATGCGATTATATTCGATTTTTGTTTTTGTTTTTGGAAAGGTAAAAACCGTGCAGTGCGCGTACCGACGACGACGGAGAGCTGCGCGGACTTATGAAATTCGACAGTTTCGGAAATTCGAGAATATGAAAAAAAAAAAAAAAAAAAAACTCCGGTGAAAATATTGCCTGCGCTATTTTACACTTGAAATATTTCGAATGAAAAAATGAAAAACCGATAAAAAAAAAAAAATACACGATAAATGGTGAAAAAAAACAGAAAAAAATAAACTAATTCGGCGCAGACGTCGTGGTTGTTCCGGTTGTGCGGTGCGGACGACGCGACGACGGAGAGACGGTCCGCGGCGGCGGCGGCGGCGGCGGCGGCGGCTGTTCTATTTTTTGCCGCCGTCACCGATGACGACGACGGTGTGACGTCATGACCGGTTGGCCGGGGCCGCGAGGCGACGTCTGCGCGTCAACCGGAGCCGCCACTCCAGCCAGCCGTACAGCGCGACCGCCACGGCCAGGGCGCCCGACATGCAGTACAGCTTGGTGGCGTTGCACACGGCGCCGTGCAGCCCGAACGCCAGCGCCATGCCGCCGTACTGGAAGAAGTACGCGTGGGCCATGGGCCCGTGCCAGTTGTCCGGGTACAGGGAGACGACAAAGTCTGCAAAAACGGACGTTAATCGATCAGTGATCGGCTGTTGTTGATTATCGCAATGGCGTATGTGCACGGGCGCGGTCAACGGCCGCGGACGTGCAGCGCGCGCTCGATCGGTAGACGAACGTATTCGTACGCACGCGGAGCGGGCGAAGATAAATTGCAACCGTCCGCGTTTCACGTCTCGAATTTCCGCGCGTTTTCGTTTTTTGTGAGAGAAACGTTGCGACATTTTTTTCTTTTTTTTTTTTTTCCTCGCCACCAAGCGCCGCTCTCGGCGGACGTATTGTGTTGTTCGCGCGTTATTCAACGAACGGTTTAACGGGATTACAATTCGAACAGTGAAATCCGAAAATACCAACGGGAACCGCTGTGTTGCGCAGGTATACTCTTTCGTTTTCCCGATAAATAGAGACCGCTAAAAAAAAAAAGAAACTCGAAAAACGAACGCCTCGAATGCGCGTGCCGGGACTGGACGAAATTCGCGTCCGTCACGTAGACGGAGCTCCCGCTCCCGCGAAATCGGCGCGAGTGGCTAGAAATGTTGTTGGCGGACGGACAAAATAAAAAAATAAATAAATAAAAAAAAAAACGCGCGCACGCCAACGTAGCGAAACCAACACGTCGATTATCGTCGCCGCGTTCGGAAACTGTCCGACCTGTAATGTCCCGTAAAGGTACACGGGGGTGGTGGGGGGGGGGAGGGTGAGGGGAAATCCCGTGAATAACAATAATAACATATCTGTACGGACGCGGGGGACCGGCGCGGGAAACACGTCGTTTTACCTACGGCGTAGTTGTTAACCGACGGGCTAAATCAATATGCTCGCGCTATGGACGCCGCATTACCATAGCGATGGGAACCGCAATATTCGCGATCGCACGCGACGCGAACACGCCGGCAGGATTGCGGCGGGCTGCCGCAATTAATTCGCGTCATTACGATACGCAGCCACCGGCAATAGTTACGGATATTCACTCGTCGTCCGCGGGAAAAACGCCACGTTTACGCGATTCGGCGGCGTCTAGTGAAACGGTCGCGGTGTGCGCGCGCCCGTTGTGCAAGGCGAGATAACGCGGATATTTTTAATCGGAGGGGCTTTTCGTACGTTTTGAATTTCAACGCGCGCGCGCGCGCTAATCGCCGAACACTGTAAACGCGAGGGCGATAGCACGCGAAATGTCGGAAAAAAAAAATGTAATGTTCGACACCAGTTTTCGTCTCGTTCTCGTCGTCGTCGTCGGCATGTTATCGTGATTTACGGGCCTCATAACTCCGCGAGAGCTCCGGCCGACGGTCCGGACGTAGAGCGTGACGAGCAGACTGGAATCCGCGCACCTAAGCGTGACGGTTGAATGGAGACAAACTTACAAGTGGCCATTACACGTAGACGTGCGAACGGGGGTGCGCCGGGTGTGCCCGGGCACATTTTTTATAATCGGGGGCTCTGAAATTGAAGTACCGAAGCATGGACCCCGTATTTTAACTGATTTTACTAGAGTAAAATGTGATATATTCGAATATACGCGGTAAAATTAAATCGTGTTTTGTGATAAAAAAAAAAATAATAATAATAATAATAAAACGTAAAATATTTTAAATTTGCTCGGAAAAACCTGTTATGATCAGTTTATGTGTACATTATGATTTTTTAAATGTATACCCGGTCTAGTTAAAACGAAATTGAGAAAAACGCCCATTAATTCCATATGCACTCCCCGAAATTCAGATCTGCGCACGCCCTATGCCCTTACGGTAAATCAAAAGGCGATACACGAACAAGGTGAATTGGTGCGAAATGTATGGATCGCACAACCACATGAAGGCAGGTGGGCATTGTCGGTGACGGCAAAACCCTCAGAGTTATGATGCCAAGGGGAAGAAAACGAACTGCAATAACTGATGTACAAATTGACGTTGCGTAATATTTTAAATAGATTTTTAAATTTTCAAGAATTTCTGAAATTAAAATTAAATATCGTTACTAGAAATTCACGACTAAACGCTGTACGATTCATCGGACGGGGCTATTTTACGATCTACACTGTAAAGTTTCAACGGTATTATCGAGCAAAACGGAAATCCGTATGAAAACGGAAACGTCGTCGGAACGAAATGGCATAAATTCACACGATAGTAGATAATAGGACTCGCGTACATTATTTTAAATTGAAATCGGTTTAGATCCGGGACAGAACGTCTGTCTTGGGACAAAGTTTTTGTTCTGCCGGAAACTTGTGTTTGTTGCAGTGTTATATTATATAGTGTACACCCGCAGATTTTGTCGACGATTCGCGTGCGGGACGCAAAAAGTTTTTGCCGAATTTCTCGTTCCAGCGGTTCTGAAAATCTAGAAATACCGATGGAAAAATAACCCGTAAAAAGTTAAGCATTTTTGATTCGGTTGCGGTCTAATGCTGTGACGGAGCAGTCGGTTGATTATCGCCATGTGCTAGTCGATTATTCACATCAGAATTAGGTGAACGTATATCAAATAATTATAGAATTATATTAAATAATCAGTTGGGTGATAATAAGAGTCGGAAAGAGTATACGTTCGAATTCAATAGAGCCGATTGTACAATCGTACAATTATATTAGTGTGATCATAATATTATGGGGAAAAAAAAAAAGAGCTGATACTGGGGATGGGAGCGGCCACTGTTATAGGTGAAAAGTTGAGAAGGTAGGGCGCATAAGGTTATTTCATTTATATCTGTAAGCGACGATAAATCATTGCTGAACGAAAGACGATTCCGAGCGCAGTTCAGTAATACATAATTTAAAGCGCCGTAATTTGTTTTGCGAATTTCGTTTAAATCTAATTTAAAAACGCTTATTATAAAAAAAAAAAAAATTGATCCAAAGATTTTGGAAATTTGACCACGTCTAAATAAGTCCAATAGGAGCATTGTTACCAATTTTAAAGTCTCCGCGCGTGTTTATAGCCGAATTACAGCAAAAAACTCCCAGAAATTAAAATTCTTTAAAATCTCAAAAGTTTTGGCGATGATACCCATATGAAAGTAAATCTAAAATGCGTCAAAAAAAGTATCTTGTGATTTTTCAATTAAACCATTTTTTTCTGGTAGAAAACGTCGTCCGTGTTTTTTTAAAACAATGAAATCACGAAATTGTGCGTTTTCCTACGGTGTTTCCCACTTCAGAGCTTTCTGTTTAAAAAATGGCGTTGAAAATCAACAAATGAATCTAGACAACTCGAGCTTTTGGGAAAAGCTGTTACACGTTAGAATCAGAGCAAGTTTACTAGGAAAAAAACGTGTGTACAGACTAGAAGAATGCGAGAAAAAAAAATAAACGTCTTATTAAAACCAATAGCTCCCCTCGCTATGCCCGGAATCTGAAAAAAAAAATAAGAAAATTATACTTTTTTTCAAACTAATTATAGGCTATGGCGTAGCAATTAGTTTGCTACCCCGTAATAGCGTCTAAGAGTTTGCGAGTTGATTTCGAGTACGGCTTTTCGAAATCGCTCTTCGAGTCTTATACTCGCATATTTTATAGACCTGAACGCATATCCCGGTTTCTTATCGTGTGCAAAATTTGGCAAACTTACCTACTACGGTTTCCGAGCTCTACACTCTATTGATCGCCGTTACATATTTCGCGAGTTTCGTAAATTATATTTCAAATAAGTGTCGTTACGAATAATTTATTATATTACATTACAGTGGGTCGTATACACTGTACGGCCGGATTATTAATATTCATCATTGTCGTTATACTTACTGAAACTCAGTGTGTCCCAGATGGCATTGCACACGCCCCAAGCTGCGGCTATGACGTACAGTAGCGCGGCGTCGTCTCCGGACGGTTTCCACTTTATCAGTACCATTAGTAAACAAGCATGGAACACGCATCCGATCACTGTGGGGTTTATTAAACGGTTGTACAAACACGGTTAGACAAACGTATGCGTATACGTTTTAAAATATCCGGCCAATCATCACAAAAGATGTTAAATGTTCGGCTTTTTATTGGTATTCTGTCGAGCAACGGCCACGCGCGATTCTGTAGCGGCCCGCCCGGGTCCCAATCCGCCAGTGCAGTGGTCGCCTGATCTCAATTAGACCGATTCCGATCACCCGGCACGAAATTCTCGACGTTTTATTATTATCACGAAAAGTGCTCAGGCTGGGTTGCATAAACGTTCATTAGCGGTTTACAGAGCCTTTAATTCACTACTGGACCGTTAAAAAAAAAAAAATTAAATGTCGCTAGTACGCTCGTAAACGTTAACGGGTCTGTAATTTCTTGACTACTGAACCTGTACTATTTCGGGTCCAATTTTTTGTCTGTAACTTTTACAGATTTGTGATTTAAGAATCGTAATTTCTTTTTGAAACTATTCTATTTCTAGTTTCTGTATCATTAATATTGTACAGCTTGGTTATTTCCTTCCAAGACTGATTTTTTTTTTTTCCATTAACAAATCCAGTCTAAAATTTATATTAATATGTACTTTTCTTAGCACATTGTTATTTATAATTAAGTTAATCTGCCAAACAAATACCTAAATATTTTCAATTACGCCCCTTATGTGGAATTATCAATTCCATTAATATCGATTTTTCTCGTCCAATAAAGTTGTTTTGCCTTGCCCTTTTCGGAGCCATCATTAAAGACCAAACAAATAATATAATATAAATCGCGGTTCGAATATATTTTTGAAATATTTATTTATTATTAATTGACACTCGATAATGTAATCAGTAATCATTGTAATCAAATAAAATGTAAAATAATTTATTCGGTAACGTCGGATATCAATAAAATGGAAATGTTTTATGCAACTCAATTTTTTGTCTATACGCCATTAAAACGTTACATGTTTGGTGAGTTACAGGCACGTTAGTAAAGTTACAGACTGATCTTTATGCGGCCCGCTCTAAGTGTTTCAAAAAACGACACCTATAATGTGTACCAAACAAATATCGGTTTTTTATTAAAGAACATAAAAGAACATAAAATATACACAGATATTAATATAATATATTCAATATACTTGTATATAGCATGTTTAATTTGTGGTATTGTATAAAGTCAAATCTCCTTTTTTTAATTTTTTTTAATTTTGAGGGTGGGTATTACTCGTAGATAATCCGAGTTGCCCGAAAATCAAATATCATTCACCAACCACGTCACTGCCCGTATATACCAGAGTGACCAGATATTTATAAAACTATTTTTATGCGAAACGTACTTATTATGTGATATCTCTTGAAGTGCTGCAAAATCAGACTGACTGTGAACCCGGCCACCAGCTGGAGCACTCCTAAACTCAGCAGTACCGTTGGAACGTTCGACACGCCCACCGAACACACGACGTAAAACTGCAAAAGAGATGAAATATTAATATCGAAATAGTAGTTTAAGTTGTAAGTGATCCGCCACCGTGAATTGTTTTAAGGCAGAAACTGTATTTTTTAATAACGCTAATAAGTACATACATTTTAAATAATCCCAGTTAAAAAATATCTGAACGTTTTTAGAGGAATTTTCCGTTAAAATTTTTGATATATAATATTCTACAGAAAACTGCAGTTCCCTTCTAAACCGAACGCCGTTTTTCACCCTAAATCGTATGTTACTATATGTATATCGTATCGTTTTTCCAAGAAACATTTCTCCTCTCAAAACAATGTCCCTACAATAATACTTACAACTTACAAGTTATCCGGCCTACATATTTTCGGGCATATAACGAAGTTTATACGGCCAAAGCGGAATTGATTATATTTTAAAATATAATCTCACGGTTTTCCCGTATGTTTTTTCATTAAAAAAAAAAAAAAGGCTAAAAGTCGAGATAATCCGATTTCCCTCCGATCCCCCCGTACACACTACGGATCGCTATCCACCTTGGTAAAGTCGGTGTAGATGAAACCCTGTTCGAGCCCTATGAACACGGACAGCGGGGCGATCATTTGGAGTTTGGGGTTGCGGAACGCGTCACGGATGGCTATGAACGACCGGGTGATGTCCGACTTGCGTTTGTCCGACGTGGCCGAGTGCCCAAACAGCCGGATGCGCGTCATGAACGTAGCGGTAACAGCCACGCCGACGAAACAGCATCCCGCGAACACGCTGGCCAACAGTTGCGTCGTCTTGCCTGCGAACATGTATACAATAACAATGAAAAGAGTCGATTTTTAAGGTTATTGGAAAAAATAAAACATTTCAGACATCTCTGTGCGTTTAAGAAAAATAGGTATCCTACAGAATGATGACCCGAACACAAAAACGGCCGTGGAAAAAATTCGGCCTTTTTTTTCCTCCGTCAGAAAAACGTTATATTATTTAATATTATCTTTATTACATTGCCTACCACGTTTGTACTTTTGGCATAGTTATGTTTACGACGGTTAGTTACTATAATGGTAACAATAGTTTTTAATAATCGAAGGTATAACAATGGTCAAATCAAAAATGACCACAGAAAAAACGTCCGATTTTTCCGTCGGGTCATTTTTGTATTTGGCCGTTTTTATTACTAGGGCCCGGCTTTATACACGCATCTGCGTGTTCTATTTTTTTTTTTTTTTTTAGACAATCCAAAAAGTAGCGAGATAAGCTAAAAGTTTGAATTACAGTCAATAGAAATTAAATACAAAGTTTTATTTTGCATATTTTACTATTTTTGGACTACTGCATATTTCTTATTTTACGATCTTTCATTGCATATTAATGGTTTTTAAATGCATAATATTATGTAATATTTTGGTAACATTGATATTAGTTTGAAAATAACGAAATAAATAGTAAAAATAAAACAGTTTTTTTTTTTTTTTAAATCGAATTTATATTTTAGGTAATTTTTCAATCGTGTAAGTTATAGAGCCTATCGGTACCGGTAATGGTCTATCGGATAAAACATTACCACGAGCTATTACTCGTCATCATTACAAAAATCTTCTGTGATATGATATTTAAAATTTAAACGAGTCAAACTTTTATACACATAAAACGAGTATCGACCCATATCCGAAGACATTTTTTTTAGATTCTCAGTGAACTCGGGAATTTATTGATTTTACAATGTACGTTCTTTTGTTTCTGAAAACATCTTTTCCATCAGTTCCTCACGACAATCAAGGACATCAGCAGTGTTTTCTGGTAACAAATTGGGACCAACAACCAATGCATTATTTTGATTGTTCCACCTTTTCAACTGTCTACCGACAACTGTGGCTTACCTTATCAAAGAGAAATTACAGCGATATTTCATATGCCGCATTACCACCTTTACTCGCAAAATTACATGAAAAAAAAAAAAGAAAAAAAAACTGCCCGTGAAAAGAGTATAAAAAAGGCGGAACTAATTTATTTAATGAGACAAACTTGTTGAACACGGAGGAAAAAAGAGAAATGGGCCGTAAAAAAAAAAAAAAAACTAATCTTATCTAGAGGGTATATTTTATGATATATTCTATATTAAAATGTTTATTCAACGCTAAAAAAACGCTTTCTCCTTCGCCTTCATCTTCTTCCCGACTATTTATAGTCAGCCACCCTCGCACTCGATCCCTTATACATCATCCACGCTTACACTTACACTTTTTCGGTTTTCCTCCTTCTCTCTTCCTTCTAATTTCTCTCGCCTCGTGATATGTCCAAACCATCTCAGTCTATTTTCCATCGTAACGTCTGCTGTATGGGATGAGGTACGCCTATGCCGCCTCTCATATGTACCCGTTCCTTGTTCTCTCGTCACTCCGTTCATCCGCCTATTTTTCAACCGGAAAATGATCTTTTTTTTGAAATACGTACAAAGAATAATAATAAATATATATATATATATATATATATATACGTATTAAAAAAAAATATATCATTTAACTGATATGGTATGTATTACGTTATTATCATCGTTTGTGGACGGCAAGGTGAATCTATTTATAAACATCGCGCGTAACAATCGGGCGAACATAAAGTATATATCCGTCCGATTGTCGGCACGGAACGCATAACGTTAATTAAAAAAAAAAAAAAAAAAAGTTTCAATGTTTCGTGTGAAACGGCGTTTCTCGGGTGTGCGCCCGGTTATTATAGTATTTATACAGTATAGCGGCCGATGGTTTAAACGGATAATCGAAAAAATCCCCCTGCGGAAAAGACGTACGCTCGCGTGTCGTGGGCATCCGAAGGACAATGGTCGACGACGGCGATGTAGCAGCGCACACCGGATAGTCGCCCGGCGGTGAAAACGCGGTCGTGAACACGATAACAATAACAACAATAGCACACCTATGGGGTGGCTCTTTTATTGGTTTTTTTTTTTTTTTTTCGGTCCGGCGATTTTCTCGGACGGTTTTAAGTAAACCGGAACGGTATCGATTCCGAATTTTACCCCGAATATAATATTGTATACGTATACTCGCATTGAAACGAATATATTGACTTTCGATTTCCATACCCGCTGCATTGCGAAACGGATATTCGAAACACAAAAATAATAAAATAAAATTACTATCCCTTTGAATCTCGATTGAAAGTAACGGGATCGACGAACGTTTACGCGGAATAAGGGCTAAACTATTGCGAAAACCTATCGCGATGAACCCGCGATCGGATTAAACGGTTCTATGATGCATCGAATTTTACTATATTATCGTATTGTTCACTGAACAAACCCGCGATCGAATTCACTGGAAATCTCCGTAAATAATCGCCGGACAAACAGAAAAAAAAACATACTTCGCGCGTGGATGCAGCCACTGTTATAGATAATTTAATGTATATCTGTAAGCAACGACAAACCGTTGCTAACGAAAAAACGATTCTGAGCGGAGTTTAGTTAATAGCGTTGCTTTTTCCACAAAATATATGCCATATTGTGATAAAATAATAACATAAAATGCATTATACTTTTTCTTTAATAATACTTGTTTAATATTTCTTCCGAACTCCAGTTTTTCCTCCATTTTTCCGTTTTTTTTCCCCAATATATTGAGAAAACTCTCTGTCAAATCAAAAAAATTATCTCCCCACAGTACCTTTCCAGTCAGATTTCCATTCAGAAAAAGTGCTACACTTATAAATCGGAGCGATATTTCTGGTAGAAAAGTTGTTCATAGATGTAAATAAAAAAAACAAAATCATTGTAAAACTATAAGCTTCTTCGCTCCACTCAGAGTCTAAAACCACCGCACACACGCGGCACAACGGCAGCCGAAACGCGAAGTACTTCGGTCAGTTCAGTACGTCGCGCTAAACTTACTATCGGTCCTGTTTCACGCGCGAGATGGCATAATCCGTTTCAGGAAGTATAACACCTGCAGTAGGGTTTACGTCACGACAACTCGAATACCGTAGTGTGTAATGATTATAATATTATGCGCGCGAAAGCGGCAATAATAATTGTATAATATTATTATTCGTACCACACTCGTACTTGAAATAATCCAAGGGTAAGAATCCGCTTATTACGATGCCGTAAACTATAACAGTGTTCCGGATAAAACGATTCCCAGCCATGTGTTCGGTTGGTTTTATGTCTCACGTGCAGTGATTTTAGTCGGATATAAGATAATATAACGATGGTATTTTGAAATTAAAAATGGGATTTTTCGTTCTATAACAATAAATTGATCCAGTGTGATAATTCGATAATAAATACTTTTTTAAATTCTGAGTATAACGAGGAATTTATTGGTTTAACAATGATGTTTAATTTTTTTTTTTTTTTTATGTGAACACTTTTCTTCCAGAAAGCATACTCCGATCATTAAGTATAGCATCTTTTCTGAAAGGAAATTTTCTCTGAATGGTACTTTAAAGAGGTCATTTTTTAAAATTCTCATTAATATTCGATATAACGAGGAAAACCTCGGTCTTTAAGTTAAAAAAAATTGAAAAACTAAAAATAAGGTTGTCATTGAAAACCGTTTTTATTTATTTTTTGTTATTATTCAGTTTTTATTATTTTAATGTTTTTTAAACAATCATTGTTGTCATGAAAACGCACATTGTTTTAATTATTTTACCATATTATGACATAATACTATGTATTGTATTATTGACAAAGCAACATTATCAACTGAACTCGGCTCAGAATCGTTTTTTCGTTAACAATCGTTTGTCGTTGCTTACAGATATACATTAAATTTACGTCTGTAGCCTACCTTCCCTATTTTCCACCTACAACAGTGGCTGCACCCACGTACGGAGTATGTTCGTACTTTCTTTTTATTCATAAATATATAATACGATTTGTATAATAATGCATTTGTAATATAAAAAGTCGTCCTAGGATAATAGGGACTGGCCAGCCATTGTTATAGATAATTTAAAGTATACCTTATATAAGCAACGATAAACCATTGCTTACGAAAAAACGATTCTGAGCGGTTGATAGTGATGCTTTGTCAACAATATATATGTCATTTTGTAGTAAAATAATTAAATGCGATTCATATATTTTCTTGAATAATATTTATTTAATGTTGTACCGATTTCCCCAGATTTCCTACGTTATTCCCGGTTTTCCTATGTTTTGTCCCGGTTTTTCACATTTGCTGGGAAAAATCTCGAAAGAATCAAAAATGACCTTCTTTAAAGTATCTCCCTGATGAAATTTACTTCTAGAAACATTGCTGTTATTATAAGTTGGAGCAAAACTGTAGGTATAAAAATTGTTCACAGACAAAAAAGGCCGTAAAATATTTTAACTACCTGTTATGCTACACTCAGAAATCTGAGCAAGTGTTCGGGAAGAAAAATTGCGCATAAATAAAAAAAAAAAAAAAATAATAATAATTTTTGTAAAACCATAAATTTCTTCGCTCCACTCGGAATCTAAAATGTGTTAAGTAAATCAATTTTTCAATAAAATTAAGGTTTTCTTGTTATTCAGATATAACGAACGGATTCTCTAGGTCTCTTGAAGATCTTTACAACTAAAGACCGGATTTTCCATATAATGCATGTTCATATTTTTATAAGCAATTACACGCGGTAAATGGATTTTCATCGGTTATGACTTAAATAAATATAATTGCAAATTTTTATTTTGCATATTTTTGCATATTACGTGTACAACGTGTTAATTTATTTCTTTAGTTGTATATACAGTTATTATACATGAATTTTTTCTACAACACAAAAATTGAAAATATTTTTAAAAATAATATATTGGTACACATCGGTTTTCCTATCGTATATTTTTATTTTATCCACTTTGTCTAACATTATTGTCAATGCTACAGAACACGAACTGACAGTTTGACGACTGTAGTTCGAAGTGTACATTTGGCAATAGTCAAAGTATTATAAAAACGTGTCAATTTTATACAACAGTGTTTGTGTTTGTCACTATACAATGGCAAAGTGCCCATGTATTTTTTCATCGTTAACATTTTGATTTTATAACATTACAATAAATAAATGTGAGCTGTAATAATCAAAAATTATTTTGTATATTTTGTGCATTTTAAGTGCACATTTTAAACTTTTAAATACACATAAATCCGGTCCGCAGTTATAACTTTATAAGCGGATTTTACTGCACGTTATACCGCGACGACGGTATCCGCGAAACAAGACAAACGAATCAGTTTGTACGTATTTAAGTTTGGGCCTAAAGCTTACATGATGAAATAATAACAATCGACGACGACGTAAAACAATACAATGGCTATTTTAACAGCAAAACATAACACTACTGTACACGTTAAAAAATATTGCAAGCACATTAAATATTATGAAGAATAATTTAACGAAGACCGTGTGTGACAGTGGCAACGTATATGTTCGAGAGTAAAAGAGATTAAAAATTTCAAATTCTATAATATTACCTAGGTTTTTTGGTAATCTAAATTCTCTGAGAATATTTATTAAGCTTGATCTTTGAATAAGGTTATAATAGGCTTTTTTAAAGTCCACTGACAAAATGTGTACGTATCTACATTGCGTTCGCGCGCATTCCGACCGGAGTGTATTATGAAAATAACATTCGCGGCGCATGGCGGTCGTTTAAAACTTCTCGTAAAAGCCGAAAAAAAATCAATAGCGCACGTCCCCCGGACCGATGAATTCGCTTAAAACTCATCGATAACGCGGCGGCGCGCGCGACAAGGAGACCCGCGTGCGTTTGAAACGTAAAGCCCGGTCCACACAAAGGCAACGTACAACAACTTTTTGAGTCGGAGTATGTTGACACAACAAAATTGCCTATATATTTCCAGAAGTTACTAAATGTTCCATCAAAAATTTGTTGAAAGCGAAACATATTACCACAAAACAATATAATAAATTGGTAAACAGGCAACATGTAGCCACAAGTTTATCAGCGTGGACTCAGTTTAATCCAGTTGTTTATCAATGTTGCTGTGGTTTTGTTGCCTAAATTTAAAAAAAAAAAAAAAAACTTCTTTTATACCATTTTGCATATTTCTTTACTCTTCCCCACCAGTTGCGGCTCGAAGTATTTTCATCTTGAATAACCGATTTAATTTTCCACCCATCCCAACCCGAAAGATCCCAATAATTCCAATAAAATGTGTCAAATTTAAAAAATGTCCACGGTCTAAAATTCTTTTAAACAATTTTATTTTGTAAAAACTTAATATTTTTTGTCATATTTCTGAACACCCAGGCACCTATGACCCACCCACCCGTTTTTTTTTTTTGTGAATAATAAATTATAATAATAATAAAAAAAAAAATATTACAAAAAAATCGTATCCATATATTTCCGTAGCCCCTAAATTGTCCCAAAAATGTTCGTAATCCCTAGGTCCACAGCGCCAATATTGCCTATGCGCTAAACCGGCCCTGCAGTCGAGCATCCGGTACCTTTTTTAAAATATTCCGGCCGGAGATCGATATTGTATTTATATTACTGTAATAACGCCATAAACTCGTTCTTTACGCGTGACATTCCGTGGAGAGGAAAAGGGAGGGGCGAAAGAAACCGTAAAAATCAGAGGACCACATCCGTTACTATTTTTGACTCCTCGTAAAAGATAGCTTTTTTTATTATCATTATTTTTATTATTATTATTATTATTTTTTTTATTTTTTTTTTTGTCCATTTGGTACGCACAAAATATAAATTCTCACAACGTAACACACGCGATAATAACGGAGAAAAAACGGAAAAATGTACGAAATATATTTCGGAAAAATTTTGCTCAGATTTCCAATGATAGCACTGTTTCTGAAAGGAAATCTGACTGGGAAGGTACTTTAGGGAGGGCTCTTTATTTTTCGATTTTCCCAACAAATGTGGAAAACTGGGAAAAAAAATCGGACCGAGAAAAACGTAATAAAACGAGAATATCGGTACAATATCAATCAAGTATTCTTAATGAAAATATTAAATATCTATTTAATTATTTTACCAAAATATGACACATATATTGTTGACAAAGCATCACTATCAACTGAATTTCGTTTTTTTCGAAAAATCGTTTTTTCGTGAGCAATGGCCTATCGTTGCTCACGGATACACATCGAACCCCCTTCTGTATCCCACGTTCCCAATTTCCTGCCTACAATGGCGGCTGCACCCGTCCCCATTATCCTAGGGCAGTTTTTTTTTTTTTTACTTTAATATTATGGTAGTTGTAAACGACGATTAACGGGAGACGCATCGTTTCACCGGTCGGCGTTACACCGGCGGCGCCTACACGTACACGGACAGCTCGGGTGGATCGGCGTGACGCGGTTCCGGGCCTCCTCCGGCGAGAGATTTATGTGCGACAGGCAGGGAAAATTTATGATCATTTTTTCTTCTCTCTCTCTCTCTCTCTCGGAAAATATAATATATTATTTAACAGTTTTGTCGCGTGATATTTTCCGTCCCGCGCCCGAAACGGCTATTCCGTGTAATTTATAACGTAATACGTCTCGACGGGGCGCGCACGATAAACCGCCGCGGCGGTTCTCGTCCGTTCGCGACAATGCACAGCGGACCAGAATAAGTTCATAACGTGACAAAAATAAATCATTTGACGTTTGAAAAGACGTACTGGGATAAAGGGGACGGGTACAGCTAACGGGTAAGCGACGATGTATTGTTTGCTAAGGGAGTATTATTACGGTTCTGAACGAAGAGCAATTATACATCTTCTGAAACGCCATAATATATGCGATTTTCAATCAAATTTGATCTTAAAACGATTATAAAAAAAACCTCCTAGGATAATGGGGACGAGTGCAGCCACTGTTATGGGTAATTTAATGTATATCTGTCAGCAACAATTAACCATTGCTAACGAAAAAACGATTCTGAGCGGAGTTCAGTTGATAGTGATGCTTTGTCAACAATATATATGTCACTTTATATTAAAATAATTTAACAGGCTTTATAAGTTTAAAAAAACCTAGTATTAAAAAATACTATTTGTTTAATGTTGTACCGATTTTCCCGGTTTTCCCATGGTTTGTTCCGGTTTTTCACATTTGCTGGGAAAACTCTTGGGAAAATCGAAAAATGGCCTCTCTAGAGTACCGCCTCAGTGAAATAATCTTTTAAAAACATTGTTATCATTATAAGTTGGAGCAGAATTGCAAGGAGAAAAGTCGAACACGGACACAAAGGAGGCCGTAAAATATTTTAACTACCTAATACTTACCTCTATTTCTTATGTTTTCCCGAATTTTTTTCGGTTTTTCAAATTTGATGATAGAACTTCTAAAAAAATCGAAAAATAACCTCTCTAAAGCGCCTCCCCACTCCGATTTCCTTTCAGAAAATGAGTAATCTGAGCAAGTTTTCAGGTAGAAAAGTTGCGCACAGATGAAAAATAAAATAATTAACATCTTTGTGAAACCGAGGGCTTCTTCGCTCCACTCAGAATGTTAAATCGGTCTAAATCTCTACGGTGCGTACGGACGTGATACCCCCGTCACAGTCCAACCGACGAGCAACATAGCGAAGTTGCGTAACTTGGAATTTAACATTATGGTGTTCATATTAGAATTCAGAATTTAAGGTAGACTTGATTTTTTTTTTATTCTATTTCCAATCCAGCTAAAATAATAAAAAACCAAAATCAAAAACTGACATATGCCATAGCTCTTTTGTTCAGCGATATTAGAATTCTAACCTAACCTAACCTGACCCGGCAATTCTAAAAGGTTTCGAATTTTTGAAATTGTTTTTTTTTTTTCTTTCTTTCTTTTGTCTACAAAAACCGTAATAACATTGTACTTACATGGCAGGACCATGTAGTTGCGGACGTCGAACAACGTCTGGTTGTACGAAGAGTTGCCTGCCTGTCCGATATTGATTTTGTTCTGGTTGACCAGCGGGCACGCCACACTGCCGCACGTCCTGTCCGTGCCACGGCCGTCACCGCCCCGGGCGAACATCGTCCCCACGATGTCGTCCGAACGCATGTTGCTGGCGATCATGTACGCGACAAACGCATTACCGACGATTAGTCCCACGTCGTGTGCCATCTGCGAACGGTATAATGTCGGTGAGCATTACGGTCACCGTGCGATTGTTATGTCTTTTTAAACATTTTAGATTCTGTGTGGAGTGAAAAACGTATTGGTTTTACAATGATGATTAATATTTATTTATGTATTTTTTTTTTTTTTTCTGTGCACAATTCGAGCGATTTCGCTCCGATTTACAATAACAGCGCTTTTTTCTGAAAGGAAATCTCACTGGGGTATAGCACTTTGGGGAGGTCATTTTTTGATTTTACCAGGAGTGTTGCCGATGAATGGGAAAAAACATGGGAAAACATGGGAAAACCGTAGATAAACGGGAAAATGGTTACAGTTTTAATCAAACATTACCGAAGAAAATATACAATGCCTGTGTAATTGTTTTACCATAATATGGCATACACGTTGTTGACAAAGCAACACAACAAACCGAAATCCGCTCAGAATCGTTTTTCGTTAACAATGGTTAAGCGTTGCGAGCGGGTATAAATTAAATTTCTTCTGTACCTTCCCAACTTCTCACCTATAACAGTGGCCCACCCGCGTGTGAAATATGTTCGTATTTTTTTTTGTTTTTGGTCCGTGTCCGATCTAGGACAAATTGACGTGGCTTGTTGAACGTGGACAAAATTAATAAAAATAAAATAAATACATACAAAAGTTAGTAAAAGCGCTGTCGATTAAAATAGGCCGACAAATGGTTTGAAAAAAAAAAAAATAAAAACTGAAGTGTAAACCAATATGTACTTAGGTACTGCTTATGCACGTAATGCATAGTATAACAACAAAATTTAACACGATAAGGTACCCACGATAATAATAGTTATATTACGTTTATGTAGTTACATATCACCATTGGTTTTTTAATTTAAAAATAAATTAAAACTCAATGAAATTTTTACGTGGAAATCGATACCAAATATTTTAATTTCAAGATATTTCACTTTATTATTATTATGCATAAAAACTTTTTTTAATTTCAATATTTTCAACTTTTTTTGATGTCCAATTGTCCCAATGTCCACACGGCCATGTCTTAACGGTCACGTCCATTCGTCCCCATTCATGTTCCGGTCAGTCGATTGTTCCGTATTGGTTTTACTACGATGTGTACTTATTTTAGAATTTTTTTTTTTTTTTTTTTTTTTTTTGTATGTATGAATGTGTGTGTGTGTCTATGAGAAACTTTTCTCCAAGAAATCTTGCTCTGATCCGAGAACAATATAATTTTAGACCTGTTGGTTCTATTTTCGATCTAGTCGGTAGTGTAGTGTTCTCAATTATTGAGCAAACTCGGTAAAAAAAAAAAAAAAAAAAAACGTAGTAAGAACAGCAACGTTTACGGAAATAATGGTCTCGTTAGTTTCAATTCATTTTTTTTCTTTTCACAAATTTTAATGAAAATCGTAAATATCACGGCATTTAAAAACGTCTATTACTGAACATTGTTCAGAATCGTATTTTGTTACCAATTGTTTATCGTTACGTACAGTTTTACCTTTATGTAACCCGCCTTTTTTTTCTTCTATCTGTTAACAATTTTCCTGCGGGAAATTATGCCCCGATCGACAAATGATATTTTTTGTTACATTTAGAATCGCGTTGATGCATTGAAGAGGTTGTTTTTTTTTTAAATTTCCGAAGTAGTTATCGTGGTAATCGGGGAAAAAAAACAGGGTTTGTATTTGACGGTACAGTGTTTACACTTTATATTGATGCACTAATAGTAGTATACGATATTATGCTCTCTGTACAGAGGCCATAAGCAAGAGATCTATTTAAGAGAAGCACACGGAAAGGAAAATAATTCTTAATCGTAGTTAATTTAATTTCCAAAAAAAAAAATGTGTATACGTTTTTATTTTCGACAGCGGTCCAGCGAGAAACATTTTTCGAAGGGAGGCGTACCGGGCTCAAAACGCGTGGAAATCTGAACTTTATTATTATTATGAAAAATGTTGATTTAAAACGACGTAGGTGTTTATTTGCGTCGAGTTTATTTTTTTTTTTTTTTATAGTGTTAATTTGTTTGTTCTTTGACAGCTATCTCCCATATATTCTCCCAGAACCGCCACGCCCTCCATAATCCGCAATCCAGCATTCGCATTTCATACTGTCGCGAAACTCGCGCAAAACATCGCCGATCTGACGTCCGCCTGTCACGCTATACGTGTGCCAGTAGTTGTTTACTTGTATAATCGTGTAGGAGATCAAAACTTTGTACTTTCTCCGGCGTTTCTCCGACGGCGTTTGAATCGCGTGGTGCACGATTCGATAAAACGGCCGCGGCCCAACGGCATACTGCACGGGCGACAGTGAATACGAGCCCGCGCACAATAAAAAAACAGAAACGGCTGCGCTGCATATCGGACCCGTTTTGTAACAATCATTGCCGGCGCTTCTACCGGTAATGTTTATTTACGTTTGTCGTATTGTTCGGCCGTCTGTTACCCGGACGAAAACCGTACGCGGACAAACGCGCGCACGTTGAACTGCGCGTCGCAAACGAAAACGTTGCTGCGCCGTAGAAAATTACAGGCGCCGCGGCCCCGTTCCCGTCGCGAAAATGATCGTCTCGGCGGTTTCGTCGTCGCGCGCGAGTCATTCCGATTCGGATAAAACGGCACTGTCGCGCGGACGGACCCGCCCACCCGTTCGCGAATCTCATTGCCGTGTAAACTCACGGCGCGCGGCAATGTTATAGCGGTGCGGCGCGGTGGCGGCGCCCGACGGAGATCGTTGGTGCGCAGAAAAAAAGGACGCTTAAAAAAAAAAAAAACGATCGAAACTAACGCTACGGAGAGGCCCCCGTTTAAACGTTTGCCGCGGACGTTTTTCGACTGTTCCGACCCGGTCCGGTTCTCCGCGCAGTGTGCGGGGGCACGCCTTACGCCGTCGACTGTCGCGGGCCCGTACACGGTGTGTGTCAGAGGCGGTCAGAGGTGTTCGAGTGAATGTGCAGAGTTTTTTCGTTTTAAACCGTTGCGGAATTCGCTAAACATTATTCAAAACCGTTTTTTACCGTTCGCATTAAACGAGTGTGTGCGTTTGTTTTTCGAATAAAATCCCTTCGCTCTCCTTTTCGAGAACGCCGATTCGCATAGCGAGTATTTCCCGTGGCATTTCGATACGCATCGGATTTGCCGTTTACGAGTCATGACCGTTTGAAGTTTGAAGAGAGCGGAGGAGTGGGAAAGGGGCGATAAATTGCGTATTGGTTTTCAATCGATAAACCGACGACTCGCTTCTGCCGTCGCTCCGGAGTAACAGGAAAACAATTTTAAAATATGGTTTTCGAAATAAAAGCTTGGCCGATTCGACAATATAGGGGGGGGGGGAAACAAAAACAAAAATATAGAAATCGCGTTCCACTTAAAACCGTCCGAACGGGAATTGCCGGTTCGCGAAACGAAAACATCGCTCCGCGTGTCGTACGGGTAGCCCCGGGGAACGTCGTATACTGAACGCCGTGATACATCGGAACAAAACGGCCGTCCGGTTCGAACCGGCGAAAAACCGGAACGGTAGAAAACGCATTGCACCGCGCTGGGACGGATGCCACGTCCGCCGATGACGGCACCGCCGGGCGAATCCGCGGACCGCGGCGCGTCGTGTCCTCGATCACGGTAACGGCATTGCCGCCGCGACGCGCGTACGTGCGCGCGCCGGGCGATTGATCGGCCGACCGCGTCCAAACCCGGGGGGTGGCCCCGGAAAACGTTTTCGACGGACCGGGAACGCCGACATTAACGGCGTACGCGCGCGGTGCGACGTTTTTTTTTTTTTTTTTTTTTTTTTTTCTAGATTTCCCCCCCCCTCGCGCGCGCGCGGCCTTTGTCCGGCGACGGTAATAAACGCGTTCGGCTTTTGTCACGCGTCACGGATACACGTTCAAATATACGTCTATAGACACACGCACACGGACAAATAATCGGGCCCGAGGCGTGCGCCTTCAGATTTCGAAAATGCCGCGTCATTTATGTAGCTCGGTCGGCGGCGGCGGCGCGAAGTATATTTTTTCTCCCTCGAAACGCCGATTCAATTCCCCCCTCCCCCCCCCCCCCCTCCTCCGAATCGAACTAACCCCACTACTCGCTCTACCGCAAATCCATCGCAATTTCAACAACACCCGTCGTAATCGATAGCGATTCGATAAATTACGCCTCTACCACCGAACTGGACAATTCAGTTTCAGACTGTTTGACTACCGATGACGGTTTAAACAGATTTATCCAGACGATTTAATTATTTATCTCGGATAATTTATTTCGCGTTTATCCGAATCGGAAAAACTGATTAAATAAAAATTTAATAAAAAAATACTCAACCAAAACACAACGCTCATGGTTGGCGTATACACGCAAAACGAGAACAAAACGTTTACTAAACGATTCTTTTGTTTTTCATACTCGCGAAACTCGTCTAAACGTTTGAATTTAAATATTCAAGTCGATTTAATTTTTGGTTTCATAATACCTAACCTTACGGTTTGAATAACAAACAGCTGGGATAATCTTAATTTTTTCCTGTGTGGCCGGGAAGTAAAATTAAAATCGAGTAAACAAAAAATAAAGATAAAAAACAAACTGACATACCTCGTTTCTAGCTGCTGTAGGTGAGAAATCGGGAAGGTATAGGGGAAATTTAATATATATCTGTGTACGCTACGATATATCGTTGATAACGAAATACGAATCTGAACTGAGTTCGGTTGCACACGTTTTGAAAGGCCGTAATGTTTACGGTTTGGTAACAATGCATTTCTTAAATTGTCCCGTCTCCCCTACATTTGTTCCCGCTTATCATCATTTGTCACACTTAAGAATAGCGAAATCCCCGGTGGAAAAGTCGTCCGCGGGAAAAAAACAAAATCAATAAATAAATAAACATCTTTGGAAAACCGCAAGCTTCTTCGCTCTGCGCACGACTATAAATCGGCACTCGTAGTAGACGCGACAATAACGGCGGATCCGGAGAGACGGTGAAGGGGCACGTGCCCTCCTCCCCCGTCAATAGATCGCAGTTTTTATTCGTGTATTTCAATTGTCAATTGAATCCGCGGTTTATAATCAATATACCGGAAGTATACGCGATTCGAGTTGGAAATAAAATGTCAACGGACGCGGAGAACCGCGCAGGACCGGAGCAGAAATACAATATCGCAACGCGCGATAGTGTTAATTGAAAACGACGATTTCCGCGTGCTCGTCTGAGGAGAGCGCGGATCTTCGTGCCGAGTCCGTTTACCCCGCGCCTATACAGCGAGACGCTAAAAGTGAACTCATCGACCGCGCCGCGCGGGGGCGCCGGTGTTTGTTATTACGGCTGTGCGCCCGGACGAGGAGGCCGGGAAACGAAATTTAATTGAAAAACTAACGCGGGCGGGCACCCCGCCCGTCCGCCGCCGCGCGCTCCGTATTTCCGTTATGTATTTTTCCGCGGCCCCGCAAAGCCGGTGCGTAATCGGTTCATTTTAATCGACTTTCGGATTGTTATAAATGTAACTATCGTTATTATCGTTATTGTTATTGTTGTTGTTGTTGTTGTTGTTGTTGTTGTTGTTGTTGTTGCCGTTACGCTCGCGGAATCGAAAAACCGAATCCGGGTACGGCGTCGCGCGCGGAAAACGCGTTTCTCGTTCGGGGGTAGCGTTACGACATCGAACACCGTCGCTCGCCCCGGGCCCGGGCACGGGGCGAGCGACCCGAACGGCGATCGGCCGCCTCGCTCGGCGCGCGATCGCGGCCACGCCGTAACTCGGCCATTGATCGTTCGCCGGCCGCGGTGCAGAGTGGCGGCGGCGGCGGCGGCGGCGGACGCGGACGCGAGACCGAAAAACTCGCGTACCGGCGATCGGACCCGCGGCGTGGCGCGAACGCGATTCCCGCGTCATTGCCGACGGGCGCGCGCGCCACTTGTAAACCGGCAACGGGCGGTATGTGCGGCCGCGCGGGCGTCGGTGCTCGGTTACGCGGACGTGATGACATTGTTGCGGGCGCGGCTAGGATGACTGGATCACCTCTCCGGCGCCCGGCCGCAAGCTCGGCCCGACTGTCCGGCATTGCGTTCGTTTCCGCGCGTGTGTACGCGGCGCGTACCGTTGTGTGTTTTCGACGTTCGACACGTTTTTTTTTCGAGTTCGGAAATACGAACAAAATTATTCGAAAACCCGCGGAAAATCGAAAAACGACCGCTGGTCACGGCGTTCGCGGAGGCGCCACGCTCTTTGCGTGCGGCGGGGTTTCTTTTCGAAGAGCTGTTCGACACGCCCCCCAAGAAAAAAAACACGCATCGTAGTAAGACCAATAGTCCCCCTCGTTACGCCCCGGATCTTAAGTAGTTTGAAATGATTGTCAATTGTCAATATCGATGACGGGCTGTTGATCGTGTCAAATTATCCCGGTCCGAGTGCTTCGGAAACACATCACTTCCCGAATTCTGTTTTGACTCGTTCTTCCGCTACGTCGTGTCGGTATTATTTAGTAAAAAAAAAACCCCGAGCTCGTAAAACCGCGGGCGTATTGTTTTTTATTGAGAATAAATTTGTATACAAGCGTCGCAACGTTGATTATGCAATTCTCTGCGTAATGGACCGGTGGTGCGCGACTCGGGGGGTCGCGAAATTCGTACGGTTGGTCGCCAATACTTTTACGCCGAATGAATGTTATAAATTCATATTATTTTACGCGTACCGACGGGTGGCCGCATCAATCGTAATATGTGTCACACGATTACCCTAATGTCGCGGTAATAAGTTCTGCAATCGAGTGACGCGCGAAACGGGTTATTTTTAAATTTAATTAGAAATTATTACTCCCGTTCGCTTCGACTCGTTTATGGTAAACAGCGTTTTCAACACTAGCGACGATAAAAAACAAACATCGCTCCGGATTGAATGTAGAAACCGATTTGAGAGCGGCAGTCTCAATCATCAAATCCGATTTAAATTCAATCTTGTCTCCAATCCAAGCATGAGGGTCTCATTAAATCGTGTAATTTTATAATTTTTTTTTTTTTTTCTAGTTTTGAATCAAAAATTCGAATAAATCAAATTGAACAAGTATTGAAATTGCCTAAAATTAACGATTTAATTTAGACGACTATAATTATTGTATACATTAAGTAAATACACGCATTGTGCACTTATTTAATGTTAATAGGAAGAGGGATCGCCCCATAGAAATAAATCAATTTAGGGACCATGGACCGAAAAAGGGTCGCGCCCCCCACTGGTACAGACGCCGGAGAAATTGAGAAAAAAGTTGAGTAAGTATTTCATTTTTTTTTTTTTCGTTTTCACGGCGAATTAATAACGATCTATGTTTTGTACAATCGAACGTAACCCAATCTTTTTTAACGGTATCGATCTCAAAAAACACTCGCGGTAATTTTTTAAGGTCCCAATTTCGTTTTTGAAACACAAATTACATAATACAATTCACAATGCTTCCTAAAATCCTAACCGAACCTGACTTAATCTGACCGCAACAAAATCATTTCCGGTGAGATAATTTTTGTATCCGGTACCGATTCACCTCGATGTAAGCTCACCTGTAATCCTCTGCCCAGGTTCATAGCCACCGCCTCCCGGCGCCCGTTTCCCTCGAGTTCGCACTCTTCTTTGTCGGACAGCACGTACGCTATTTTGGATGAGAGCGTCATGAGCACCGCCGTTCGGGACGCCGTCCAACAACCCATCCAGGTGCCCATCAGCAAGTAGCCGGGCAACAGTATCGACACCTTGGGGTACAAGTGGACGGCGATGAACACGACGGCTACCAGGTAACCGGCTATCAGACACGTCCTGGTGCCCAACCGGCTGACGGCCGTGGGACCGAACAGCGCGCTCACGGCCGCCATGCCGAACATGCCGGACAGCAGCGCCGAGCCGATGTCCGTGGTGACGGTCGTCAAACTGCCGTTCACGTGCTTCAGTTGGTCCGGCCACCACCAAGCGGATATGGAACCCTGGAAAACAACCGGAAACGGATTTTATGGATTTATGTACTATACACGATAACCGCGGATTTCCGAAAACGGAAAACGTTTCGTTTATTGGGAAACATATAGTGATGGTAAAATTTCAAATTGGTCGAAATCCGAAATTAATAGTGAATTCGGATCCCTAAATTTCTGATTTTTCCTTTTTTTTTTTGTGAGAGAAATATGATTTTACGACGATATGAATAACTCAATATCCATTTAATAATTACGGGTATGTGCCATTTCTTCATTAACTCCGATTTTTTTATCCGATTTCAAACAATGAGATAAAAAAGTCGGTAAGAAAAGCTTAAATAATTTGTATAAAAGTTAGATAATACTATAAAGATTTAAAATAAAAGTACAGAAAAATGAATTTAATGCGGACTGTAGTAGGTGTCACAACAAAAAAATATCATCAGAATCTGATCATTCTATAGCTACGATGAGGCATGAGAATGGAATCTTAATATAAACAAGTGAATCACGAACAAAAATATTTTCAAAATTTAAATTTAAAAAAAAACCTCAAAAACAAACCAAATTTTTTGTTATTTTGTGTTACATTGAATGAAATCTAAAAATACGAATTCCGGATTTTAGGAAGACCCGGATATATGCGTCACATCACTATTATGATAAATTCGGCAACACACATTTATTACTCGAGGATTTTGGGATTTGAAAATGTTTTCATCTCGTCGACGGCGTTATCAGGATTGAGAAGATAGGATACAGACGGGAATTCAATGCATATCTGTGAGCAACGATTAACCATTGCTAACGAAAATTCGATTCTGAGCGGAGTTTAGTTGATAGTGATGCTTTATCAACAATATATATATCATATACGGTAAAATAATTACATACGCATTAAACATTTTCTTTAATAATATTTGTTTAACAAAATAAAAAAACCGAACCGTTTTAAGTACCGCCACAATGAGATTTCCTTTCAAAAAAGTGCTACACTTGTAAATCGGAGCAATATTTCTGGTAGAAAAGTTGTTCACAAATAAAATAACAATAGGAGAAAAATAAACATCATTTTAAAACCATATTAAGCTTCTTCCTTCCACTCCAAGTTTTCCTATAGGAAATAACAGAAATCTTTGTACATTTTTTTTTGCTTCTTTGTTATATTGAAAATCGTATAAAAAAAAAACGTTGATCGATTTCCAAAAAATCGAATAAAAACTATGTAAGACTCGAATCGAGTTTTATCGATATTAAATTAATTATTTTATATTGTTCTACTACAATATTAGTTGGACAAAAATTGTGTCTTTTCTATAACTTTTTCTCTTTTAGGTGTTATGACTTTTATGATCGGGGGTCCAATTCTTGAATCGCTGTGATAATCTATCAAATACGATAATTATCAGTTTATATATCACGCACGATAATTTGCCATCAACTGTATTAATTCTTGAACGAGAGACGGAAATAAATTAATGTATTTGATAATATACCAATGTTGTGATAATTTATCAACTGTTTATTTAATGTTATCACTTTATTAGTAATATCCTTTATAAAATTTATATTATTATTGTATAAATCATGAATTATACAAAATAATAAATACGTATTTCTCATATACCTGCTTTACTTGTCTATGTACCTATTTGTATTGCCTACCAATTTAAAATGTAAAACGATAAAATGACTATTTCCAGTGGGATGTTGATAAGAACCAGTAGCAAAGAAATTCAAAGCTATAAATACCTAAATTATAATAAACAAATTAGCACACAGATAAATGTTCACCTACAATTATTGTTAGAGATAGAAATGTAAGATGCATTTACTTTAGTTTCTATTAGAAACGGAGTAAGTATATTTATAATATATCTCACTACATTTTTATTGAGTCTATAATTTTTTGTACAAATATCATCTGACAATTAAAAAGCATCGCACCTTTCTTCTCGGTTGGAATTTTCTATAATTTAGAGCATTTTTTTCGCTCTAGATTCTCTAATGCAGCTATAGAAAACTCATCAATCATTACCAAAAAATATTTTAATGTTTTAGATTACTATAATATTTAAAATAATCCAATGAATACAAAGATAACAAGTAAACTGTAATTAAGTAGTTAAATAATTAAGGTACCTACCGAATAAAATACAACATTTTTTAGTCATGTATGTACATACTTATTTACATTATGACATAATAAAATAACCTTGATAATTAAATTTACCAGCATAATGCCTAAGAATAATTGATCACTTTTTTTTATCAAAGTAAATTATGAAAAATGAATTCCAGAATACCAAAATACGATAATTTCGATATTTGTGTGATAATTTATGAATGTCACGCGTGATAAATTATCACAGCGATTCAAGAATTGAGCCCTAGGCATCCAAGCAAATACTTCTCCATCTGTTTATCGCCCTATATTTATTCTCCACCATACTCCAGATTCCATTGCATATACGTCTCTGAGAAGACAATGTTTTCATAGCCATCACTTTCTTATTGGGTCAATTTCCATCACTATTACTGATCCCCACTTTTTCCCGCCCATTTCATTCTTCTCGTTGAAATTTCTTTTGCAATACTCATTGTTTTATGTATAATACAAATTTATAATAATAGCTTAAAATTAAACCTATAATTATATTGATGTGATTGATTAAGAAAACAAAACTTTTGCTTCATACACATCATACAGTACCTTTCCGCTTTCGTAGCAAAAATTCAGTTTCATACATTGGAAATAATAAATATGGACACGAAACATGACAAATTACAATACTTATGTGTATTGTACAGATAATTATAAAGAATCGCTATCCGCGGTATAAATGAAACAATCGTAGTTTTAAGGTTAAAAATATCACGAAATCAGACGTAAGTCAATATACCTATTATTATGGATATTGACGAAACGTGTAATTTGAATATTCGCACGTAATGTCAGCTTCGTCGTTATCATGTAGTCACGTATGAAATTATTGAAATCGTTATCGTGCAGGTGTAAATCACGCCTTGGAAGGTAAATTTTAAATCCTGAGCGGAGCGAGGAATATATCGGTTTTACAATAATATTTATTTTCATGTTTTTCAGTGAACCACTTTTCTACTGGAAATTTTCAAGTGTTGCACCTTTTCTGAAAGAAAATGTTTATGGGTAAAATAATTTACGGTGATAATTTTTTTGATTTTTCCAGGGTACTCATAATAAATGGGAAAAAACGGGAAATTTTACGAAATGTATTATTTTTTACATTTACATTATTTATATGTTTTTCGTAAATACTAAGGACTTTCAAAACATGTGAATTCTGATCAAAATTGTCTTTCATTAGCTATGATTAATCATTGCGTATAGATGTACATTATTTATTTCCCTTCTACCTTCCCAACTTCTCACCAAAAACAGTGGCCAACCCATTGTACGAAGTATGTCCATATTTTGTTTTTTTTGTACGCATCATCTCATCGTTACGTCTCACGTAAGTACGCGAAAAATTGCATCCGATAATACTTAATATTTTATTTGTATAAGAATTTTATGATAAAACCGCGTTTTGTATTTCTGCAGTTTTACGTTTTATAAAATTCGCACAAATTAAATTTTAGTATTGAGACTGTATTGTATAAAAAAAAAAAAACACCCGTGAGCAGCAACACTCCATCACTAGAGTCGAATTTTCCCCTAGTCGACATGTTGCAATTACAATATTTTGCATTTTGATTTTTTTTTTCGAAACTATATAAGACACTCATGTTTGCCAGAGTGTTATTTCATTTAAGACTGTAGAGATAAATAGAATATTTCTAAAAAAAAAAAAGAGTAAAAAAAGTCTGTACGTTTTAGAAAGAAAAATCTTCAATGATGAAAAACCCAACAATGAGGATTGGGGGATAATTTTATATATTAGAGTTATATTTGACTGTTTTTTGATGATAGGCTTTGACATATTTAAATATTTAATGATAATATGATAATATATTTTTCGTCTCCGTTTCGACTACTTATGCTAGCCCCTTGAGTAAATTGCATGCGACTTCGCGTTATTGGCTCGATCGAATACATTTTTATGTTCGTCCACATTGAAGTCAATCGCAATTCGAATTTCGTGAAATGTATAAATCTTACTATTTTAAATTATTTTTAGTTAGATAAGACAGTTAAAAATATATTCATAAACATAGCCCATGTGACTGTAGGTAACTCGATTTATTTAATAATTAGTTTAATTTAAAATATAAATAATCTAATAATGATAATGTTTATTAACGAATTAAGAATTTCATTATTCGCAGTATTCAATCAAAGCTGATTGGAGTATGGTAAAAAAAAAAACACAGGTTTTTTATTTCAATAAAAATTCTCGAATATATCATGTTTTCAAACATAGTACACACTGTATCCTGTCTACGTACGCAAAGGCTATTTTGATTTTACAGATTTAAACATATAAGACAATTAATCAACTTTATATTAGTTCTGAGCTTTGGCATTTATCCAGTCTATAAAATTAACTGTTTACGACGTTACAAAAACGAAAATAAATTAAATTTCTATTAGATTTATGTTAGCATTTTCATTAATCATCGTACTATACCTACGCCTTTATTAGGCATGTAAAATAATAATAAAGTTTAAAATGAACTTATTCTGATAATATTATGATTCTATTGACGAATTATAGGTACAGATAGTGTACAAATTACGTTAATGATCGTTTGCGAGAATATTTGTTAATTTTCAATTTTTTTTTTTTCTTCGAAATCGTAAAGTTAGAGGCCCGAAAAAAGGACAAATGGTTAAACGATCACCGTTGCAAATACAAGCATTAAAAATTATACACATGTTTTGAATATATTGAGTCACAAACTCATATCAGTCATAACTCATAGGCATATACACCATAACCCATTGAGTTCAGAATCCAGAAAAAAAAATTGTTAACGTTCATCAACCAACAATCATTGTAATATTAATGAACGATGTTACTCTCAAGTGTTTGTGTTACACGTTTTTACCAAATAATAACAAATAACTTGTGAAAAATATAATCTATAGTTGCTTTAGATTGAAAACAACAACAAATCCATATTACATATTTCAAACGGAATGGTTGTGTTTATCACTTTCAGTTGACAATAATTAAATGAAAATAACGAATGTCGTGGGAATAGTCTGTGCGTACCCCCAGAATGTTACATTCCTCTCAAATCACTAGGTACAGCACACCTACTCGTATGTGTACTATCGACTATAGTTGACAAGCGGTCCGATCAAGATCTACATAATTATTTTACAACATAAAAGTTGTATGATTGATAATTTCACGCGTGTTACAATAAATACGTCGAGTTAATATAATAATTGTAGGCAAAGTAAAAGTAGTATACGTATTATGAATGACTAACGTAGTAACGTGTGACATTTTATCTATAATTATAGAGATGTGGATTATGCCTCGAAGGAATGAATAATAATATGTATTGAAGTGTAATTTAAAATTACGTTCGTGTGAAAATAAAGTATCAATTATTTGTTGAGCTCATTGAGTTAGTAGACCGTATCAAAAAAAGACACAAATTGGCATAATTTATTCTTACTAACGCCTATATTATGTACTTTAAATTTAACTTTAGTCGTATAACCAAAATTAATTTTTACACGGTAGTTGTTAGACCGACACCGACATACACGCGTGATCAACACAACGTAAGACGCTTATTAAGTCGGAAAGTGTTAACTTTTTTCAGGATTTGTTTCTTATATCTTTTAATAAATATAAGTAGCTCTAAAATGACACAATCCGGTTGGTTTTTGTCGCCCTTCTTTTAAAAGGAGGGCGACTATCTATTATTGTATTTCAAACGGTAACTTATATACTGAAAAATCAATACATTTATGGAGTATTAGTTTAAATAAATTTTGGTGTTGAAATTTCTAATTTTCCGAAAATCCGTTTGCGAGACATAGGTACCACTTTTAAAGTTAGGTAATGGGAGAGTAGCGCTATTCAAACGCCGCGCGCTGTGTCGCCACATAAATGGTGCTCCTCTAATTTTCCCCCACATTAACTTAAAAGTGGAATGTTTCACCAATGGACACGGATATTTATTTAAACTAATATTCCGTCTATTCGTCGATTTTAAATTACTATATGAAAATGAGAAGTAGGTAGATGAAACCGCTATAATGTAAGGGTGACAACAAATAACCGTATTGTAACATTTCAAAGCTAATTATTTCTTAAATGATTTAAAAAACAAATCTCGAAACAGGGGTGGCGTTTAGGAGGGGGGAGGTATAGGGATCATGGCCCCCAAGACATCAAACTACCTATAAATAATAAATTTTTTTCAGAAATCTGTATAGAAGTTCAGAGTTTTAATAATATTTATTCACGACCTCTGTAGATGGTTGTACTATTACATGAGGCGGTCAGGTGTCACATTGACTGACTGGCGTCTGGAAATGTAAGTTAAAAGTATTATTTTTGGACCAAAATTATATTGCTCGCCCCCCCCCCCTAGAAGACGAACTAAATCTGCTGTTATCCCGATAGTTAATACTTTCTAATAATAAACCATTCCTTACGAAAAAACTCTTGAAAAAATCGAAAAATGAATTGTCATTATTGACTGCGATACTGGCCTAGAAATAATAAGAATCCGGAAGATAATAAGTTAACCCATCGAAGATTTTGTAATGGCACAAAGAATCTGATGGTTCGGAAAATGGTACAATGTGATCGGAATCGACCTAATGATGACGATTTCGTGGAGGCTAACTGAGAATAAAACATCTAGAGGACTTATAAAAAGCAACGAGATGGAACAAGATCTGGTAAAATGGTGTGAATGTTATTGAGCGAGGAAGGGAATCGGGGGAAGTCTGTAATCATTTTTTTTTGCCGAAGACAATTTTTATCGTAATTATATATTTCCAAAAGCGAATTTCGCGTTCGGAATGTACTTTTGAAAAAGTTATTTATTTTATACATTAAAAAAAAACGAACATTCAAACTTTATACTGCTGTATACAGTGATTTTGTATTACTATAATATTTTGTTAACATTAATGTAAAACTTTAACTTGTTAAATTATATATTTATTTACTTTATATAATTATTATTATTATTATTATTTTTTTTTTTTTTTTTGAAATTGTTCTTTAAAACTGAAGCCGACGTCATTAGTAATAATTGTTTAACGCATACAGCATATTATTTCGTATAACGATAAAAACTTAAAGTCGTATAAAACTCAAAGTATATTGTATAGTTTCGAAATGAAAACACAGTCGAGATGACGATAGTCGTCATTTTGATAACCAGTTTTTCCATATAATTTTTAGGTACTATAATAAAGAAAACAATATATTGTCAAACTCGGTGTGTGTAAAATAAATATTAGTATAACCGTCGTGTTTTTGAAATTACATGGCAACTATCTATGAACATTTTTCGTGTGAATTCAGCAATATACTTAATTTTCCATAACAAGTTCTTATCATAATTACTTTTGAAATTCAACTAGAAAAAAAAACAAGAGATTTTATACAACTGACGGGTGTGCCACTGTTGTAGGTGGAAAGTTAGGAAGGTAGGGAGAGAGAAATTATAGGCGTGTAGAGAAAAATTGAATTTTTATCTGTAAGCAAATATTCTTAACAAATAACAACTCTGAGCGTAGCTCGGTTAATAGTGTTACTTTTTTAACAATATATATATATATGTGATGTTATAGAAAAATAAATATATATTAAAACAATTTTTACGGAATCTAAAATATAACTGTTGGCCATGTCGTACATCTTTTATTTTCGTCTGTACCCGTGGTTTTCAAACTGGTGTCCCGTGAGCGTTCACTAGGTGTGCGGCTGTCTATTGGCATTTTTTCCTATACATTATGAAGGACCACCGCGGTGACGGTGATCCGCACGTTAAGTATAAAGTCTGAACCCTATTGATAATAGCCCATCAATTTTGTTCTAATTTCAAAATTACACTATAACCGAGAAAAAAAAAAAGTCGCATCGCGCCATGAAAAAAGTGTAGTGCAGATTGAAGTGCACCGTGGTCGAAAAAAAGTTTTAAAACCACTGGTCTACGCGATTACATAATATTATTTTTGGAATTATCTCTAAAACGTTATCTATACGGACGTTTGAAAATGCGTATCTATGTACAACACGACTGACAACGAAAACAGCGCAGTGTGCAGTGGGAACTCGCTCGAAATAGCGAAACCGCCGTTTATTATGACTAGATACCCGCCCGACGACCGCGACGTGGCTGTTAGGGAATAACAATATCGTCTCGATTTGAACACCGTGCCGGCTCTCGAGTAAAAAATTATTATTATTTTGCCTTGGTTCAACAGCAGCTTTACACGCGACTGTGTCGATTGCGTTATCTACGTTCAAACTCCACGGCGGCGGATGCACGTCTTGTCGTTTAGTTCGCGGGTAAATCGTAAAAGACGCCGGCCGATGCCATATCGCGAACATATTTTCCTCTCTGGACAGATAATAATAACGACGGATGATTTCTTTCGTCGATCGCATTTTCATCCGTTACGTGCACACGTACGCGAAAAGTACTATGTGCAATTTCGCGACAATATTTCGGGAGTACAGAGTGTTTCTTTACCCTCGCGATTTTCGTATTAGACGAAACAAACGTAAAATCGAGAATGGTGTCTGATAAAAACGTGAAATAAAAACCCGACGTTTCCCTTTTTCTAGTAAAACATGCAAAACGATTTAATCGCGGTAACTGCGGTAACGCTCGGTGTCGCGTTATTACGGCCCATACCGCGGTTTAATATTATAAAATACAAGTGTGACGATACGTATTAATACGGGAAAACCAAAAACCCAACTGTCGTCGACTACGAGGATTTGGGTTCTTATAACGACATCAGGAGATACATTTACTTTGTTTTATATTCGTTCGTTTTATTGTAAGTTTATTCCTATAATATTATTGTAAGTATTGCGTTGGGCCAGCTAAATACATTTCAATCCTCTTATTATTCAGTTTCACTATGGGCGTATGATACGAAATACCTGTTAATTTGACCATTTTTCAAAATATCCACACAGACAGAACAAAATCAAAATACATTGATATTGTTTTTGAATGCGCCACTGTTGTATCTGGGAAGATGGGAAGAAACATAAAGTTATTTAATGTAAGCAATGATATATTGTTTGTTAACGAAATAATATGATTCTGAATGAAAAGCAGTTATACATTTCAGATATAAAGTTTTCGAATTTGATGAGAAAACTCCTGAACAATCGAAAAATGACCTCTCTAAAGTACCTGTCCAGTCGGATTTCCTTTTAGAAGAATTGCTATCATTATAAATTGGAATAAAATTGTATATTTGAATATTTGTGTGTTTGATTACTACAATAAATTTAATCGTATAACATAAGATTTTATTACAATGTAAAGGTAGATTATTAACGCGACGGCCCTTCGAATTATACAGTAAAATCATACACAATAAATAATAATAATTTATTACAAATTTATGAACGAAAATGATTCACAATCACAATACGTATACATTACACATCAAATATTTCTATATATATGTATGTATGTATATTGTATGCATATATTTTTCCATATTATTATATTGTCATCCAGTTTTAAGTTGTGTTTTCAAGTCTCTATCTCTTCGGGAAGTTTGTTTAAAATCGATTTAAAAATGTGTACCGATCAGACAATATTGTGAGTAAAAAACTATTCGTTTACTCACCAAGTAAATCTGAAATGCAACAAAAAAATGTCTCTTGTCGTTTTTTGATTAGAGCAAGATATCGGGTAAAAAAGTTGCTTACAGACACAAAAAAAAACACACATACACACACACACACATCATGGCAAAACCAATAGATCCCTCGTTATGTTCAGAAACTAAAAAAAAAAACGCACAGACTTGTTTACATTTACATCACTACTGTATTAAACTTAAATGAGAAAACGGAAAAAACCCGAGGTTTTTTTTTTGTCGTGTTTGTTTAAACGTCTGGATACGAATAACGACGAAAATCTTCCGGAAATACAGACCGCGACGATCGCATTCACACGCGACGAGCGAGCCATTATAATATAATATAGAGAATTTTGTAAGCGTGAATCGCCCGCAGATTCAAATTACCCGCAGGAAACTATTTGCATTTCGAAAAACCGTTTCGCGACAAACGAAAAGAAAACGCGTAGATACGTAGATCACGAGCGAATTCCTTTATGCGTCCGTCTCGGGAGAACAAAAAAATAAAAAAAAAATAACAACCCGTCCGGACGGATTACCCCGTATTATTGTAACTGTCGACAGTGGTTTTTTTTTTTTTTTTTTTGTTTTTCGAGACACTGACGTGATGTTATCGGGCTGAATGTACCATATTATAGAAAGAACAGCTAGTAATGTTATTGGTTTGATTGTAATATTGTGATGTGTGTTTGTATTATTATTATTTTTTATTTTTTTTTTTTCTAATGCGACCCGGAACATCATGGAAAAAGGCCTATACAATTATTCTATCAAAATGCCAGATCTTTACAATTAATTCAACAGAATAACAACAATAATAAAAATCGAAAATGACGAAACCGTTATTTCTGTAAATATTCTTCGTGTTCCCTACGTTTCATACCGAGTAGTAAGAAAACTACGAGCAAAATTATTAAACGACCTATGCGCGAACTAAAACTACACAAAAAGCTCTCATTTAATATATTGATTGGAACAAGACTTTTGATTGAAAATGTGTTAACAGACGGAAAAAATAATTCGTACACCCCACGGCAGAACCTAATTCATCCCTCCCCGCTCGAAATTTAAAAAAAATAAAAACCACCGAAGGCCAAACTATAATTCAATCCGAGAAGTTTTATTTTTAAATTGTCAGTAAAAAAATATTTTTAATTTTACTTGCGGTTGAAAAAATAATGAAAAGTTTTGTCACTCTAAACAATTTTATACAAACACCGTCCAATCATCGTTCTCACTAGTTCGTCTTTGGTATTGGTATACGGTCGAGAACGGAATAAACAGAGGACACCGAATTACATCAAAGAAAACTGACACCGCCTTCGTGGCTATAACGGAAACGCGTTTGTAGCACATGAATTTTAAAACTAAATAACGTACGTATGTCGTTTTTTATCTTTTTGATTTATTTATTTTTTTTTTTCAGTTTCTCCGGACAGCACGCGTCACGGTCAAAAAGTTTCGACGTCTGAAAACTTTATAATATATAATACATGTGTACGTGATTAAACACTACATATAACGCGTACCGACACCTATACTTTATGGTAGGGCCACCGTTTTTCAATGTGTTCCGGGTTCATCACGGTTCGCCATCCGGTAAATTAATGCGAAAATCGGAATAAAATAATAATCGCGTAACACAAATCGCCGCGCTCTCGCGAGATTTTCGGTACATACGTGGTTAAAAATGGTTTTTTTGAAATGCATTATTCATATATTTCATACGAATAGCTTTAACGCGAGAACTGCAACAGTATCTTTTCCTTCCGTTTATTCTTGAGCTTTTACCGGCCCGTGTAGGACTTACGCACGAACTCTAATAATGCATTCCTCCGCTATTCTCAATCCGCTCTATTTACTCTCCGTTGTTCTATTTTCCATTGTCCGTATGGGTATTTTCCCACGTATCACGTTTCCCTATCAAAAGTCTTCTCCAAACAAATGCCGTTTGACCACACGGACATGGCGTATCCACTCTTGTCGTTCGGTCATTAGGCAATTTAAATTGATGGATACCGGGTTTTCGGTAGATTCGGTGCACATCTCTATTAGTTACTACGTCGTCTGAGTATAATATATTCTTTCTAAAACAAGACACTGTTTTCCCGTATCCTTTTGTAAAGAGCCGTGTTTCACATGTGCGCACGTCGAATGAAGGTGTTCCTTTCCGATTGTCTGATACTATTATAATACACCCATACCACTTTACGGATATACGAGTTTAGCCGGAGTATCAATGTCGATCAGTTTAATTTTAAATTTTAAACATGTCTAATTATATTTTTTTGGGGGGAGGGGGGTATACACGGTACACACATTATATTTGCAGGTTGATATACTGCAGTTAATCCAATTCACCACTTTAACTGTAATTCCCTTTATATTTCTATAAAAGACCGCTCCCGCGGTTTTCTCTAAATGCCTTAATATAAAAGGGTTGCATTCAGTTGTTCTCATCCTCTCGACCATACCTTTTAAAATTGTGCTACGCAATTCCTCCGGGCGTCTCATTATTGTGTGCCCATTCAATTTTCAATGAGGTATTTTAGTGATTTTCATCAAACTTCTAGTCTCTCCTGCGCTCTCTCGTTATTTTTTCATTCCGCCCAGCTTATCCTCCCCATCCGTCTCCAGCATCACGTTTGTAAATAGCTTCCAATTTTTTCTCCCTCGGTTTTACTTGTAACCATTGTTTCGCATGCATTTATAGGTCACAATATGCTCAAAACCTAAGTTATTATTAGCGTTTTTCTTCAATGTGATAATCAGTTTTATGTTGTTATAAGCTCTTTTTGTTCGACCGAAACACTCACATTGGCACGTTGTACGATTTATTCGGTGCTGTTACCGTTCGACGTTATTTTACCCCCACCAATAAGTAATCCAATAAGTAACGCAAATTCATTCGCTTCTTCTAGTTACCGACACTCTAAATATATAGCCAGTTTTATTTTAGGACCACGCACATACCAACTACAGTATTTTTGTTTTTGCACTGTTTGTTCTCATTTCTCAGTTTCCGACCATTCCGTCCATTCATATCGATTGGCCTCTATTGGAAATTCCCTTCGTTCGTCCCTATTATTATTATCATCCGAATTCTTCAAACCGTACGTCATAGATATCAACTCTTCTCATGTTCATATTTTGGCCCTGGTTAGTTTTACGTCAACGGTTTTTTTTATTTTTTTTTACGTAGCAACTGAATAATACACATTATAGTATTCGTTCAATACAAATTTGGCCAATATGTTATAATAGTACATGGGTAAATCGATAATAGTCATTTCTTAATTGAACGAAAGATAAAACACAGTAACTTAAAACAGTTAGAAAGTTACCGACCCCGTGACTTTTTTTTAAGCTTTCCCCGTAATACGTTTCGGTATTTTACAGTCGGTCTGTAAACTTCTCGGTTCTATTGGATACACTATTATGTCTTGCGGGGTTATAAAATACGCTGCGTTTCAGTCTCGAAAACCTATATTGCGATTTCATCCAAACTGAATATAATAATATTTTCTATATATACATATATATATATATATTTATTCATTTTTTTTATTGCATTGAAGTTATGAAACCGAAAACGAGACCGCGATTAAGGGATGAGTGGATATGACAAACCCACCAATTCCCGTAGACGGGTACTCAGGCAGAGTTCGATTAATACGGTTTATTGATATCGACGACGACGACGAGATTGCGTTTAATAAATTAACTATAGTAAATAAATATAAGAAATAAAATATAAATAAATGAATGCGTCGCCTGGAGTATTATGATATGCGTATTGTACGACCGGGTTCGAATTAAAAATTCATCACCGGGTAAATAATAATAATGTCTTGTCAATGTGCGCCAGACCCGGTACGATTAATCGGTGGAAAAAAAGCGAGAAAATTGATCCGCCGCCGAACTGAATCTGTCGGATTTTCGATCGCGAGGATTTAATCCTTAGAACACCACACACGCTCGGATTTAATCCACCACAGACCAAATCCGTCGAAAATCCTCTCGTGCGTGGGTTATTCGGATCTTTTCGAACAATGTCCATGTACGGTTTTGTAATGGAAAAAAAAAAAATTAATAAAATGTGCGTTTCATTTTTTTCTCCCTCCCACCAACTCTCTCGTCCAACGGCGGTATAACTTCATTATATTATAATAAAATGCGCGCGACGCAGGTTGCAGGTACTCCTCCGCGGTCTCTCGTCTGACGGTTCGCCACTTCAGCGCGGGCTCTCTCTTCTGCCCGACATCCGCGGTGAAAATTATTTTACGCCGCCGCCGCCGCCGCCGTAGTCGTTGACCTATATACATTTTATAGGCACGTCTCTTTTTCTTTTTCTTTTTTTTTTTTCCCCCCTTTGAAATTCCGGCCGATCCATAATATTTTATCGGTACGCACCTGCCGCGGACGACGACGAAGGCGGCGGTGTGCATAGCGGAGACCGCGGGGTACGGTTGTAACATTTTTCGTAAAATTACCTACATTCTGTATAGTATCCCTGCGAGGGTTTTGAACGATTTTCACCACTTTTTGTCGTTGAACTAACCCAGTGCGTAAACTTATAAACGCGTGACCGTTGAATCTTAAATTTCCGGGAGTTTTCGGAAAAAATAATGGGGAATAATAATGGGGACACGTGTGTGGCTGCGGGACGTAACGGCCGGTGTAGCGTCCCGTTTAGAGTTTCGCCCGATAAATCGCCGTCGGAATACGGAACCGGGGCCGGAACCGGACAAGGGGTCGTTTTATTTCCCGTGCGTCGGCGTACACGGATGCGCAACAATGATAACAATGATATTGTACCCACTGTTTCCACAGACGGAAACGTTCGCGTCCGTTTCGCACCGTCGTCGTCGGTATAACAATACACCTACCGTCAGTGCTGTAATACATTCAAACTACGGTATCTTTGTCTCTCGTATCTGTATCTAGAGACTTTCTATAGAAACGTACCCGTGCCTGTAACTTAGGCACAAAATATTGTGCATCTTAATGAAAGTGTCTAACGTGCTTTTTAATATACAGCTCTTACTTTTTCGATTCAAAAAAACACAAAAATAAAACGTAAAATTCTAAAATCTAGTGTTTTTAAAACAAAACTATCAACCATTTATTGTTGAAGGAAATCCGATTTTTTTATTGTTATAAATTATTATGTATGAGCGTATGACTATGGTGCATTGACAAGTGGATAGTACCCATTATTTTTTTTTATGTTTACCGATAATCAACCGATATTTTAATATCGTTATATCTTATGTATTATAACTGACAACGATTGTGTTATTATAACTTTTAACTTTATAAGAACAAAATTATATTCGAAAAATGACAAAAAAAATGTAAATAAAAATTATTGTATTATAAACTATGCACTCATTACTTGTTTTGTTAGAGTTTTGTAATTCTATATTTGTAATGAATTAAATAGGTATTTATAAAAAAAAATATCGGTTTTCTTAAATGTACCCTATGATACTCTTAAGATACTTATATCTGTATCTAGATACTTTCGAATAAAATGTATCTGTATTTATATATGCTGTCTAGATACTTTTTTTAAGTAGAGTATCTGTGTCTGCATCTACATACTAATTTAAAGTACCATTATTACAGCACTGTCTACCGTATGACAATATTATGTGTCGCGATACTGTCGTAACTTTTTATTTTCCTCCCTCCCGAACGAGATACGTGTCGGTTCTACAACACGCTGGCGTTATCTTTTTCTCCCCGTCCGTAAATACTCGCGACTTTTCTACCGAAAATACGGCTCCGATCAAGACGAATGACTTAGAGTAATATTTTTATAGAATTTCGAATCCTGCAGTCAGTTGCGTTAGGTAATTTTTTTTTTTTTTTTTTTTTTTTTTTTTTTGATTTTCTGAACGGTTTTCAAAGTTAATTGGACGAAAAAAAAACATAGGGAAAAACGAACAAATTTTACCTCGAAACGATTTTGTTATTTACGATTTTGTTGTTGTAATAATTTAGCTAACAATGAACGTAAAGACCTGAACATTTCACAGAACGCTCATATTAGTCATTTCTAAACAGAGCAGAATTTTTAAAAGGTGTTTAACTGTTTATGGACATTTGATAATAATTTTAAGTTTTTTTTGGTCAAACATAAATGGATGAAAATTTAACACGAGATTCGTTTTAAGCTGTGGGTACTTGTTGGTCAAAAAACATTAAATATTAATGTTTAATAAATTGTTTTTTTTTCTTATTTGAATTTTAAATAGATTCTAATTTTGGCGAAAATTATAAATTGTAAATTGATTACGGATTTTCAAAATATTACGTGTAACCGAACATCGCTCAGAATCGTATTTCATTAACAGAGATTTATTATTACGTACAGATATAAATTAAATAAAACTATATTAAAATTTACTTTTTCTACTTTCCACCTACAACAGTAACACACCCACAGCATTGTTCGCTCTTTTGTTCCACCCTCGGGAACAAACTTATACTGAGTGGTTTTTATCATGATTCAACGATTTTTTTTTTCGCATAATATTAAGAGGACGCTATACGCATGATTATAATATACCCCCAGTCTCCGGCTTACTGCTAACGCTATAATATAGCATATTTTCGTTCAGCAGAACCGATTTTGCACCATAAGTTTTAATTTTAGATTGTTGTTTTCACTATTTTAATTATTAAGCAGGATATTCGTGTGAAATATACACGGTTTATAAATGCTTATATCTCGATTAAAAATTAAAATTTCCACTTTAAGTTTGATAATGGGCCAGTCAAACTTCAAAACACGATAACAAAATCAACGTAAAAACACAGACAATTTTTTTCCTTTTAAGTTTGATAATATCCGTTAATTTACTTATCTATTAAAACTTACAACGTAAAATTATTTATGTTAAACACAAATCTGTCACGTCGGGCATTTGTAATACGGAGACAATACAATTTACAATACATATATACAGTGGCGCAACTAGGGGGGTTGGGAGTTGTGCCCCTCCCCCTGGAATATGTTGTTGAGGTTTTTAGTAATTCTACATAGTACATAGTTGTATAATTTATATAATAATAATTTAATAACATATAAAATAATATAATAATTTATACCAATTTGAAATATAATCCTCAAATTCATTGAGAGTCACAAATTGATGGTCACCAAACCATTTTGGTACGGTTACAATTCATATTAACCGGTGAGGCGGTGAAGATATTCGTTTAACTAACATCCTTCGTAGATGACTTATCCCCTTGGCTCTCTCTTATGTTGCAAAATAATAATGAAAAAGAATAAGAAGAGACACATTTTGCATGATAACGAAATAACGAAATAACGACAGCAACAATAACTCAAACGGATACGATAACAATGATAACATATTGTCCTTTTCAATCTAAATTCAAAAATGAAACGTTTTTTTTAAACAAATTTAAACATGCCTAATTTCATTATACATGATTGGATTTACAATTTATGAATTAAAAAGCTTTACATGTAATACTAGCTTAATGCTAGCTTATGATTAATAATAGTTTATTACTTAGTAGTTACATTAAATATGTCTTCCAAAGACTTAGCATCATATTTTAAAATAATATTAACATTGTCACCTTTGACAATTTCATATGTAAACGATGCTGGATAATTCATATTATATTAAATAAATCGAAATAATAAAGTGTAAAAAAAATATATATATATTTAATTTAATTTAAGAACATTGGATAGTGATAATTGTTTAATGTTATCACAAACGCAATACAGCAAATGAGAGCTCTCGATTTCCAATGGGCCTTTAGAAATGTATGATATGTTTACGTGCAGACGGTGACGATCAGCGACTTTTCATCATCCCCTCAAGAATTATTATTACTCGTCGTTGAACCGTCGGCGCGGAAAATACGGAAAAAGCGAGTTGCAGTAATTTGAAAATTATAAGTTGATATTCTGTGAATTGACAATGAACAATAATTGTGAACGTACCGCAAACAAGGTTCTGGAATGATATTGATGAAAACACCAAAATCGATTTCATCCCATATCTCCGTTTATTGTAATAATAATGATAATACAAAAAAAAAAAAAAAAAAAAAAAATAATAAAATCAAGTTGCTTACTGGAAATCTCAGTCGTTATGTAGGCGGGAATGTTCGCATTCGATCGGTATGCTCGTGTTTTGATTCGGTCGACAGTATATTATTAGTGTAGGTATGCCAATAACATCGCAAGGCTGAGGTTTTTATTTCCGCCGCGATACGTGAATTATGCATCAATGCACGCGCGATAGAAAAAGGATGTCGTATTGAATTTGCAAAATGTTTCGCCGGTACACTACTGTTGATTGATACAAATCGATATGATATAGATCACACCGATTTTAAATTATACACATATATATATGTTTAACTACCTATATGAACAAATGCATACAAATTTTAGAACACTCGTGCGAAAAAAATATAACACGCATTTACTGTTTAATTACTGTTCATTCGACCTTCTCTTCTCCCACACTAGAGTGTCGGGCTTATATAGAGTAAAATATAGACGGGTCAAAGATAAAAACCGGACAATTCTTATCGCTTGCTCTCCAAACCCAGATACAGCTGGCATACGACACAGCTGGTCTAAGATGAGCGGCACATAAATTCTATTTTTCTAGACAGTAACTTTGACTTAAAATCATGAACTTGCTGAACGGGTGTTCCGTCGACTTCTAAATCTAACTCATCTCCTAAATCCTAAACGTGCCTAACTAATCATATTATTATACATGCATTTGATCTTTTCCTGGTTTATCGACAACCCCACATGCTGGCCAGCTTTCTTTGAGTAAAATTCCGATTTACTGCTTGCAGTACCATCTCCTTCGTATCGCCCTTAATTATTAGAAATATCATAGGCTAAGGGAGCGCATGATTTATATTTACTTCAATTCTATATCTACGTATGTTGTGGCTACATTTTCCTTAACACACTCTCTAATATAAAATTAATAATCGAATTAAATGTCACTCTTAGTCCTTTACCTACGTCTAGTGGATCCGATACCTCTCCCTTTACCAGAACCATTATTTATGATTTTCGCATAGTTTTTTAATTGGATGAACTTTGTATAATTAACAAACACCTGCAACTTTAGCAGTAAAAGTAGGTACCTCATAAATGATTTTCATTTGATGACACAAAATTATACTAGATACATATTTAAAACGTTTGAATAATATGCTTAGTTTCTCTATTATATACAACTAGTAAAAAATAGCCCCTGCCATTGTCTAGTCTCTAAACACGTCGTGTTTACCTCATCTATAAATCAATCCGAGGTTGGGTTTAGGACTCTCCTGAAAAAGATTAGTTTACATTGTAATATATTTTGTTAGGTTCATACTTTTTGACATGTCGTAATGCTTTCGATTATACCGCGTGCTCGATAATGCTAAATACCGGAATTTTTACATCGGCCGCGGTCAAAGTTTGCTACATTAGTAATTCTAACAAATTAATTTACCTATAGAATTTTACATTTGTTTATTATGTAGAATAACGAATTAGGTATACCTCGTATGATAATCACCTGATCATTGATTTCCCAAGAGGATGATTTTAATGTTAGCGATGGAGCGATGGATCATTGAGAATATTATTGTGTCGTGGTGGAAAATATAGGAATAATAATTTCATTCCACTCGCCAACATGGTGGGAAAAAGAGGGTAGCCGTGTAACCTTAGAATAATAGTGTCAGCTAAAATATAATTAATCATATGACATTTTTAACCATAAAAGAAAGAAAATAAAACATTAATTTCAATAAACAATATTACACATTGTGAAGGGCGCAGGGCAAAAATATTATAAGTCCATTTTTAGTTTTCAATTTTGATATAATGGTACTATTCGGATGGTGTTTTTAGACTATTAGCAAATGTTCGCTTACATTCAGTTGAATAGTAATATATTGTAAGTAAAATATTGGATGTACTCAGTACTGGTTAAAAAATAATGTAATCGGTGCAGCTTTGTTGAAAAATTTGATTCTGCTGAACAATTCAACAATTAACTACTACAACCTTTGTTGTCCTGTGCCCCGCATATGAAGACACCTATCAAACTATTCATATAACTCATTGAAATGTTTAGAGAATATTATGTAATATTATCATTTTTTCACAGTGTACACGACTTTTGTCGTCTGGATCATAAGCTGCCGGGTGGTTATAAAAAAAAAAAAACAATAACGTAAGCTTGTGTTCATGTGATGTTTTTTTTTTTTATGGTTTTGTATGGTTTTTATCGGATTAGAAAAGAAAAATGTTGTTTTATATAGATACGCTATTATCCCGATTTCGGTTGACTCGTTTTGGGACGCGGTTTTATATTTTACGGCGCCGGCCTGTATAAAAGGATCAGCACCTCGTTTATATGAACTCTCCTCCCCCCAAGAACCCTGGATGAAAAACATAACGACCGACTTAAGGAGAAATAGCGGAAAATACAAAGAAACGGCCAGAACGAAGTAAGTCAAAAAAAAAAAAAGGTAGGTAGGTAAAGATAATACTTACCGATATTGACAGATCACGTGACACGATAGGCCTGTACAGTTTGCCGGAAACCGTTTTACCGGAACATTGCCGACAAATTACAATAGGTGTTCCCATAAAGGTAATATGTTTGTTTAAAACAAAAATAAATACTTTTACTAAAAATCTACACGGTAAAACAGTATGAGAAGTTCTAAACGAGACATGTGCGTGGGGACAACAGGTGAAAGAGGCACATGATGAATGCAGATGATATAGCTTTAATAGGAGAAAATTCGGGAGAAGTTAGCAGTAGACTTGAGAAATGAAGAGTAAGACTTGAAGAAAAGGGACTAAGGATAAGTAGAAGTAAAACAGCGTAGTATATAAAATATGAGTTTTGAAGTACAGTACAAGACAGCTAACGACAATAAGCGGTGACGTAAAAGACGAGATTGGGAGTTTCAAATACTAAGGATCTTTTGTACAAACGAATAGTGGCTTTGACGAGGGGATGTGAATCGTAGGATTAACAATAATTGTGATTGGCAAATTGGAGAGAGGCATCAGATGCTTTATGTAACAAGAGAATTCCAATGATACTTAAAGACAAGTTCTCCAAAAGCGCGGTGAGACCGGCTACAGCATATTTTGTACGGTTTGAAGTGTTCAAAAGTATACTGAAAAATAGAACAAAAAGATATCTCGGCAGATATGATGAATGCTTGCTGGATGAGTGGAGAGACGAGAGAAAATACGATAAGGAATGCGTACATAAGAGGAAGCATAGCAGGTGTGGTTCCGATCGTAGACGAAATGAGAGGAAATACGCCAAGATGGTTTGGACGCGTCATGAGGACAGAGAGAGGCGTGAAAACCCGTAGGATGAGGCGATGAGGTATATAAACGTAGCGGCAGAGTGAGGCCAAAAATGAATGGCACGCAGACGGCCGATGTTATACTCGGCGGGATTTCGAGTCAAATGGAAGTTTAGGACCCGCCCTGACCGACCGCAAATAGTTGGGATGGCGGAGAACAAGCAGAAGGAGACTGCACTAATCGACACGATCGTCGCATACGATTCGGAACACCCCGTATAATTCGTAACGTAGGTAATGATAATATTATAATGAGGTGTATGGTACGGACCTGTAGAGCCAAGAAGGGTATCAGGGCGGCTGCGGCGGCGCCGTGTCCCAGGCACAGGGTGACGTAGTTGCGGCACAACAAACGGCGGTTGTACGCCGGTCCCGAGTTGGACGGCGTGGAGCGGACGACTTGGATGAGACGGCGCACAGACGAGGCGCCCGCCGAGCTGGACTGCGAGTCGCGCCGCTTGTTGCCGGTCGGCGCCGGAACAGAGGCGGCCGCCGCGGCGGACGTCGCCAGCTGTCGGTTGGTTGTGGACGCCGTCGATCTCATCGACGTCGGCGAGAACGGTTTCTGTCGAAATGCAAAAACAAACGCTTTAACCTAGCCCGTGTGCAAATTACAAGTTTACAAAATAAACCACAGCGATATTGTTTTCTAACGGATTTCGTCGTCAATTCGGACTTGGCACGTCGGCCGCCCGTCGAAACCCCGTAAGGCGAAACGCCGATCTTTATTGTAATTGGTAATTTTTTAAGTCTGCCGCGGTATTCCGATTATCCTGTGAAGTTCGTTAAAACCGTTGGGTTTTGTTGAACAGCAGACGCGGTCGGAACGCTTGTATGAAAATGAATTACGACACTGCAACGCACAACGGTCTTTTTTTTTTCCGTTTAGTACCACACAAGTCGTATGACATATTATGGACCGAGTATCAAATTTTCCGAAACATTTTTTTGAGAACCCAAAACAATTTGTTTTCAGAAAAAAAAGTATAGTGTTTCAATCAGTCGCCAAAATATTTTGAAAATGGTATCACATGTAGAAAACGCTAATATATAACTATTCGGTGAATGTATCGCGTGTCTACGATTATGCATTTGTCATTAAGGAATTGCAAAAAAAAAAAATTCGATTATATTAAAACTTTCGTAAACTTTCCCGTTTTTCCTATACGTTTGTATAGGAAAAACCATTCCCGACGTTTCGCAGCTACTAAGGGAACTATAAGAAAAACTGACCTCCCAATCAGAACCAACTAGGTGCAATTTGTTTTCGGAAAATACGATGCAATTGAAATCCGGAGCCATATTTTGGATAGGAAATTTTTTTTTTAACAGACAGAATCAGTAAAACAAAACAAGCTCACGACGATAAAAAAAAAAAAAACAAACCGAATTCGGAATTCGAAAAAACCCTTGTTGTGTAAATATTCCCGTCTTTCTCCGTTATCAAGAACACGTGCAGTGCTCGCTGCTCAGAATCGCAAGGATCGCAACAGAAACGACGACGAGAGTTGATATTTATTATTGACACCGCATAGGTATTGTTGTAGTACGAACAAATTTCAAGTTTAAACAAAAGTTTAAGTACACGAATCGTTTATAAACCCGAATGACTGTTGAATGTACCGAAGACGGCGCTCTAAACTTTATAAGCAAACCTTTATAACGTTGAAAACCCGTGGAGGCAAGGCATTTATATATATATATGTGTGTATGTATATTATTTTTTTTCATTCATGATCGAGTGAAAACATATTCATCGTCGTTAAAATAATAAGGTTACGAAAAAATTGAGTTACACATAAGTTTTCAATTTTGAATGGTTTATATTATTTTAAATGGCCAACGGATGGGGATAGGTGTAGTCGCATAAAACCACCCAATGCCCCTATGCGCACCGCTGTACGGTTAAAACGAGCTTATTGTTCGTTTTGTGACCGCAATAATATATCAATGCAATTTAATAACAACAACAAAAAAATTTTAAAAAATTCCCAGAGAACGTTGGATAAAACATTGCAATGTCAGAGCAGTTCAATTTATTACTGTACACAGCGACGATAAATCATTGATAGCGAAAAACCACTCTGAACAAAGATCGCAAAAACATAGTTTGGTGCACATAAATATTCAAACTATCGTATTAGTTTTAAATTTATAACTACAAAACAAATTACAACAATTATTAGATGTAATCCATGCTCTTTGAATCGAATGCCACTCATTATAGCAAATCCCACGGGAAACAAACAGAAAACAAACTAAACAAAATGCTTAGACCTTCAACCGTAAAATGGCTACATCCTCCCGGCACGAAGAGATCGTGGTCATTAGAGTACGTATTGGCCACACATAACTTCCACGTTCATACGCAATACGCAGGGAACCAAAATCCACGTGCGAAACGTGTTTCTGCGTAGGTACTCTCTGTGGACACATTTTCTTAGAATTTTCCATTTATCAACTCGCCCGAACAAAATCAAAAAAATAACGCTCACCTCAATCAAAGAAACATTTGAAGCCGGCCAAGAATTAAGAATCATAGATTTTCTCAAAACAGCCGGCCTCACAGCATATTTATTTGTTTAATTCAAACATACGGACTTTGAGCCCTATTGCAATATGGCGATGTAGAAAAAAAAAGGGAAGAAGCGAAAAGATTTTCTTTCAGAAAAGGGTCTACATCATATACATCGAAGTAATCTAATCTAATAGAAAAAGTGTTCACATAAAAAAAAAAATAAAACATTTTTTTAAAAAACCAATACGTTCTTCGGTACACTCAGAATCTAAAAAGGAAAAAAAAAACGCTTATACGAGTACCATCTCAATACAACGGATCTTGTGTATCTATACTTTTTTTTTTAATAAATTATTAAATATATATGTACGCACATTGTATGTAATATTAAAACGCGAAACAGCATAATTGTATAGAGATCACGGTAATATGGTCGAGAGAATAGAAAATGAAGTCTTTTTATATATCTTTATACGGGATTTTTTTTTTTTTTTTTTTACAAAAAACCGTGAACCCCTCGTTCATCTTGGGCGCATATCATTTACATATTTTATCGCAGTTTGAGCGCACCTAACTAAAATTCTGGCCGGTTAATGGATTTCGAAAAACCACGTACATATTATTAAAGCAAAGCTCTGAAATTTAACGTTACAGTACTTACACCGTATTGTTATAATGCGAATCATACACCCGTATTAAACACGAATCGAGCAGCACGGTAAACAGACCGACGATACGATAATGATCGCTAAATTATTCAAGACCGGTGACGGCGTACCCAGAGGGATGACTCTGAGAGGATTCCAGCCCCCCCTCCCAATAAGTTATTGACAATTTACCGTGTTTAGAAAAGTATTAGTATAAGTATAAGTACAAAGACAAGAAAAAAACACACGAGCAGCAGGACCCGCGCACTGAAGTCGAATTTTTTCTCACGTACTCTAGTTGTTACCATTACGTTTCGTGGTTTTTTTTTTTTTTTTTTTATTGTTGTTGTTACTAGGTAACAAGGGATTGAACAAAGTTTTATCGAAATAAGTTTAAAGTAGTTTTTTGGTAACATACAAACAGACATTAGGGTAGGGCGTTAAAAGTTGAAACCAGCAAATGGAACATCGTTGATACTTGCATATCATACACAAAATGCCATCGGGGGGGGGGGGGAGTCATCGATTAATCATTTGAAAATAAATATGCAATTTATTACACTTCCTTACCCCTCCTCAACTACAATTCTATTCCATTTAGCTGGGTCAATTTGGGTTTGATGTATCACACTATCGTATCAGTTAAAATTTAAAGATAATCCATTTAGGCAAGTTAAATTACGATTCAGGCCACTGTGCGTCACAGTGTGTGTAGAACGGCTGTACGGAGGTGGTTTCAAATATTTTCCGGCGGAAAAATGAAAAACCTATACTGAGCGACTATACGCGGCAATAATTACGCGTGCGTGTACACCCAGTATTCTTATTGCCCTCCGTCTTTGTCCCGGGCTTATTTCCATGGATATGACATCGTTCGGTCGTATAGTAATTATACCCGCCACACGGCTCTTGTAATTTAACCCGTGATTTCCGTGTGTGTCCGACATCACCGTCGCTCCGTCTGCATTTCCGTCACGCGCCCTCGTATTGTTACCGCATCACCGTTCAAATTAGCCCGAGTCATTTCTGAGCGAATCGAGCAACGTATTGGTTTTATTACGATATTATGATGTGTGGCTTTTTTTTTTTTTTTTCTGTGAATCAGCGGCGGATCCAGGGAGGCAACGGGGTCATTACCCGCTCCCCAAACACCGTAATGAAATATTATGTTTCGGTTCACAAAGTCTTTGATTTACTATTTTCAGCAATACATTTGCACTTTCGCCTCCCCCCCCCCTTCAAAATTGAGCTCTGGATCAGCTCCTGCTGTGAATAACATTCGTACCGCGGAAATGTCGATCCGGTCAACAACTTCGGCAACGGTTTCTGGTACGACAATTTTGTGTAGTAGGTTCAGTAGTCAGGTTTTCCTAATGGTCGGGGAAAACCGCGAAAAAAAAACGAGAAACCACGATAGTGTACGCAAAAAAATGGTTTCGGAAGATAAACGTTTTAAACATATTTTAGTACTGTACACCGTAGTAATATTGTAAAACGTTGTTTTCGGAGGGTTAAAAATGTTTGTTTTTTTTGGGGGGGGGATTCGGAAATGCCCGCTCGGATCCGTTTTCGCGGGTATAGGTTTAGTGCAGCGTTTTTACCGGCGGCGCCGCAACAACCGGGGGTCGGTTGGGATGTACTGGAGGCGCGAGGAACCCTCCAGCCACTGATAGGTGTTAACGATGGGCCGAATTGTATTTGATTAAATCGGTTATTACCGCCGAACGGTAAGCGGAACGGGGTTTAGGTCTTTACGGTGCACGCGGGCCGCATAAAACTGGCCAGCGATTCCCCACACACTACCTCCCCACACTCGCACACGTAGTTGCGGCACTGAACGGAAATTCGTTATACACGGTGCCGGTTAAATATTTCGCGCGAACACATTAACTATTATTATTGTATGCGTATACAGGGTACGCACGAAACCGCGGTCTCCCGTGCGGAATTCGCAGTGGGGGCGACGATCGCGCGCTGGAAACGACGCTGTATGCATTGCAGGCAGTACAATGATGCGTGGCGACAGTGTCGTTTAACTCGGCTTTTTCCCGTTTCTCCATTGCAACCTATTCCCAAACTAAAATCTCGTAAATCTCCACGCGTCGTATAATATGCACCCTACGCCCATCATATCGCTGTAGACGGTGTCCCCGGACTTCGTCAATTCACCCTCGCCCCTAATATTATTCGAAACGTTCGCGATACGCGTACTGATATTATTATTGTACAAACAATGTTACCTCGTTGATCTGCATGTCGGCCAGCCGATCCATGACGCCGTAAAAGTTGCCGGTGCACAGGCTGTTGGTCTGTTGCAGTCGCCTGTGATGAGCGCGAGTGCCGCCGCCGCCGCCACTGTTGCCCGTGGAAACGCGACCGCCGCCGCCGCCGCCACTGCCGCCGGGGTTCGGGGACAGCCTGATCGGCGCGGGCACGACTAACCGGTCCGATTTGCTCAACTCGTGCAGGTTGGGTAGCGAGCCCATCGCTGGCGAGCGATATCGGCGATGTGGACTGCGCGCGTACGTGGACGTATCACGTGTGTGGGGGCCGTATGCTGCGCTCGTCCGCGTCACATAACGGCCGGCACGCCGACGATACGACGACAATCCTGTGACAACACCGCCGCCGCCGCCGCCGCCGTGAACGATTACGACGCAAACGCCACGGATTCGATTGCGCGCGACAATACCCGCCGCATGACGGAACGACAATGACGCGTACCCGGGGAAATGTGCGCCGCGGACATAACGCGCGGCCGTGACCGTGTGCACCCCGTGCGAATGTGCAGTCGCTGGCGACGACCGCTGACGACCGCCGGGGCCAGTACCGACGGCCCGCGGCGGCGGCGGCGGCGGCGGCGGTTAGCGAGGGAGCGAGCGCGCGGCCCCGGCTCCGCCCCGGCGTCGACGGACCCGTGAGTCGATCGATAGACGCCGCGATGCGACCTCGGCGGCCGACGCGGCAGCGCCGGCAAAATCGCCGTTTCACGCAGCCTGTTGCGCGACAATAATATTGTTATATAGGTACCCGAGTACAAAAATAATAATAATAATATGTTGTTTTGATTTAATTTTTTATCGCAATGTTTTCGGATTCTGAACGTGCCGGGCAATGTGTGTAACTGATTAATGTTGTACGTCTGTAAGCGACATTTCTACCGGACATTTCGCTGCGATTGTCAACTCAACTGAGGCGACTTCGCGTCAATTTCATGGGGAGGGCATGGGGGCGAACGATTTTAGATTCTGGGTGTAGCGAGGACGTATTGGTTTTACTAAAGTGTTTTTTTTTTTTTTTATACTGTGTACCAGAAAATTCGACTAGAAATCTTGATCAGATACGTACGCACGGTACCACTTCTGAAAGATAATGTTGTCCAGATGATACTTTTAAGAGGTCATATTTTGATTTTCCAAGTGGTTTCCATAATATCTGGGAAAAACCAGGATAAAACGTAAGAAAAATGTACGAAAATAATATTTTCATTATTTTTCAATTTTGTTATTAGTTGTAATTTAGTTAAAAATATTTATAGAATCTTGAAAACTGGATAGAAAACTTCTATTTGCCTTTTCTAGACGTGGTAAAATTTTCAAAATATTTTTGCCATTTTTAAGCTTTTTATACAAATTTTAATATCTACTTTGAAATTTAGTTTAAAATATCCGTATCGATTCTATGGACATAAAATTCGTACAGAACCTTTATATTTGCCTTTTTAGACGTGGTAATATTCATTACCACGTCATCATATCGTTATCATATTTCAAAAAATTTTAAGCCATATTGAGCTATTTATAGACATTTTGCAAGTTTTGTAAGGTTTTTTTTTTTAAAGAATTTTAATGTCAAACCTTGACGAAAATTTTTGAGTAAAAAATGATATGGAACAAATCTAATTTATCAATTTTTATTTTTATTTGAACGTATGCCGGTTTCAAAACGATGGACAAGTCAGAATTAAGTGGACTGACTAAGTTTCGAAATGATAGCTTTTTGAAGTTCTGATGTTATTTTTTATGTTAAATAACTCTATATTGTACCTGTTCAAGCATCACGATCTAATGGGTATTCATGCCTATTATCATCCTAGAGGTTCCGAGTTCGAACCAGTATTTTTCGCTTTTTGCCTAAACGAGGAAAAAACAAACACATTTCGGGTGTACCTAGAGACCCAAACCATTGATTAAACACGCATAGATAGCCCACGGGTAAACACAAGATTTAATAGCCGTAATTAGTATTAAGAGTCCTCAAAAGATGACATTAGCAATATCAATATTTAAGAAATAACTATAATCGTAATTAGATAGGCGGTGAAATAGAAGTCTGTGATAAGAAAACAACCTCTTCTATCCAAAGTCCAAACTGGGAATTGTTTATGACGGTCGGCTTACTGACGTGATCTCTTCCCGCCATCTAATAATTTCACTGCCAATCGAATTACGATTATAATTATTCCTTTAGTATTGGTATTGCTAATGCCATCTTTTGAGAACTCTTAATACTAATTACGGCTCTTACATCTTGTGTACAACCCGTGGGCTATCTATGTATATTTAATCGTTGCCCCGTAGGACCCTTTATGGGTTGGATTTCGAAAATCTGTCGACGAGAATTGTTAATTTGTATTGGACATTGGCGGGCAATTTAACGGCCAATGAAATAAAACGGACCGAGACTGTAATATTATGGGGCTGGGTAAGGTGCAAAACGCTAGTCCGACCAGAGCTCGTGTTGCTGCTGACCCAACTGCCTATATCTATTTTATCGTGGCTCTCCTGCTCAAAGTTTAAAATATTTAAAATACCTACCGTTATTATTCGACGACAACAATGACACCATCATCATCTTTGTAACGGTCTTACGACGACGACGACGACACGAACATATTAATATTAACGGCGTCATTATAATATTCAAATACCTTTGTGTATGACCGTGACGACGTGAAATAATAAATTATAAAAATAATATTTATCAACACCCGCAAGGGGTGTCTTAGCTACAACGATATCACAATGCTTGAAAAAATGATTTTATATGATAAGACACAAGATACAATTAAGTAAATACAAGTCACTTTAATTTAGGAGTAGAATTAAAATTAAAGTCAAAATTGACGAATTCATTACGTGTCTTAGGCAAACGGTAAAACGGACCTTTCTATTACTGAGGGAAACATGGAAACGTAATATATTTCTAGAGTTAAAACAGGGACTTCAAGATCTATCTGAGATAAGAACTCCGGACAATCAATCATATCCAGTGGCGCCGAATTAATTTTTTGTATGTGTGGCAATAAACATTAATTTATACCCACCAGTAGGTGTAGAAGTATCTACACGGTATTAAACCTAAGTCGGGGGGGGCATAGCCCCACCACATTAACTACCAATTTATCTTAAACTGTAAGATATTATTTTCACAAATTATCCTATTAAAATGTTTGCATCATTTAATATTTAAACGCATTAACAGGAACTTTAACTTTTAATTAGCATAGAAATTATACACATGATCATTAGAAACTGATATTGACATTTGACATAGACAGGAATATATTGGTTTTACAATGATGTTTATTTTAGATTCTAAGCATAGCGAGGGTTCTATTGATTTTACTACGATGTACATAGTTGAAAAAAATCCTTAGAATAAACCCTGATTGTATCCAGTCAAGTTTCGAATCTTCTATGATGGCCATCATGTAAAAGTAATAACGGTACCGTTTAGCAACGCATTCTGACGGAAGTAAAAAATTCCATCCCGTTTGTTTTCGCACTTAATTTCTATGTTTTACATCCTCACTCTAGTTTTCATGTTACAATCCTTTTAAAATATTATTGTAATTAACGCGTGCAGATTTGCTTATCGTTTTAAAAACACATTTTGAATTATAATGTTATGGGATAGGCCAAAGACGTTCTCAGAATTTTTTATTAGGAGAAGAGATATAAAAATGTCCCCTTTTTTATGTAAAAACAATATACATTAAATTATAACATATTATATTTTTGAATCAAATATTGAATTTACAAAATTATATCAATTTTTCTTGATTTTTAAGCTAGTTCATCAAGAACTTTTTCGGGATCAATTTTTACCAGACTGCTCAGGCAATTTACATTTTTCTACATCACCTACACCATCAACTTTTATATTCTCTATATCCGTACTTGTAAGAAGCACTTTTTTTTTTTTGAAAACAAATTTAACGTACTTAAATCAGTTGAGTTATTTCGTTTCATTTTGATCAAATATACGTTATAAATACACTATAGTTCAGGGATGTAAACGGGAGTGAGGTGAGGAGGGACGTATCTCCTACATTAAGTTATTTTTCATAAATGTTTATAATATTATACAGTGATTTTTTAAGCATTCTCAGTACTCATTTAACGAATAATTTCCGAGTTATTCTACTTTAAATGTTAATGAATTGCACAATTCAAAACAAGACAATTATCTATATGTACACCGTTGGTATCCAACCCGCGTAAAAAAACCATTATTCTTAGTATTTAAAACAGAATAACTCGGAAACATTTCGCTCAAATTTCATTTATAAAACGTCAAAATTTTGAAAAAAAAAATCATTAATTTATATAATTTGCATCAAAATATGTCGGTTCTTATTTGAAAAATTAATGTTTTTATCACCACAGGATACTCCATAAAATAATTCCCCAACATTTAATGTCGTGAAAAATCTAAATGTACAAAACACTTGAGAATTCCAAAAAACAGAATTTAAATTTATACATAATTCAATTATAAAAATGGGATGAGCTGTATGGTTAAAATTAACGCTATATATTATATTATTATATCTTTGTATATATAAAAAAATATTGTATAAATAATAATAGATGTAAAAAATTATCCTTATCAACCGCATTTATGATTAATATATTGTTTTCATCAATTATATATGAAGTCAGCTGATTATATAACCCAAACCGCGATAAAAATATTGCAGATATATAAAATACAAACACGGTCTGTAACCGGGCGTGGTTTGCAATCTGTATATAAATATTGTGAAAAATAATAACAAGTCGAAAAAATGTTCTTTGATTATATTTATTTTTTTGATTGTTATCTCTGCACCCTCAATCTAGTTTTAATCTAGTATTGCTATTTTAAAAATTATCATAATTAACATATGCAGCTTTTCTTATCATTTTATTCACATATTTTAATTCGTGACGTCATAGTGTAGACCAATAAATTTAAAATTACAAAGATAAAAAATATTATTATCAATAAAATTATTAGATATTTTCTATAAACTAAAAACTTATTTTTTGATTATTATCTCTAAATATCAGTAAAACAAGAAACTCCATATTACTTGGAAAAAAAAAAAGGCAATGAGAGGATCCATCTCCCATATTTCCCCGCCCTGTGACCCATTGGATAGACTTATACATTTAAAATTACAAAGGTAAAAAAAAAAAACATTACCATTAAAATGATTACGCTATTTTTAAACTTATATCGTACTATAATACTATGAACATTAATATATATCATCGCTTTAATCAATCTCCAGTTTTTTGAATGTACCTTCTACGCCAAGTTCTCCGATTTTCGGTTGGCCAACCCATTTAGACAAATCGGCTTTCGGTCTGTTTTTTAACCATTCGTTGTTAGCCATACCATATTCCAACCAATCTTCTAAACCGTTACAAAATTAATTAATGAAAATAACAGCGTTCATATAAATGTCTTAAATTATACCAAATTTTATAATATTCTAACAACTGGTAAGCACTCACTTAAAATGTCGTCGTAATCTCCGGCGGTGCCACCGTACTGGGCCGGCAGAACGTCTTTCGGAATGAATTGATGAAGACTTTCCAGCGTGTCGTGGACGAATATCTACGAAGAAAAAAAAATACGCGTTATAAATCATATTATACAATTAAATATTTACAAAAAAAATTACGTGTATTTGCTGTTTGTTTTTATAATTGGTAATTATATTAGAGTACATTTTAATTACAGTTTTTTAGGTTTATAGCTTGAATTTATAGGTTGGTATTCGGCCAATAAGTTCTCAATAAATCGTATTAAATATAAAATTTACTTAAAGTAGTACACCCGATGGAATATATTTTATATAAGATCCTTTGTAGGCAACTCGTAGTAGTAGCAATATGTAACCACAATTTCGATTTACTTACTCTTTTTTGAATTTTGTTTGGTAAAAACATTTTAAAGAAAGAGATCATCTGGCCTATGTACGATGGTGAGTTTACATAGTGGATACCCTTTATGCTTACTGGAAACGAATTCTGCAAAAAAAAATACAATTTTTTTATATCTTTCTGAAATAATTAGTACCGAATGAGTTAATTTTAACAAAATCTTCATACGTTATTTTTACCGTTATCTTTTCCTAAAACGAAACTCATTTAAAAAAAGAACTTATACTGGGGACAGTTGCAACCACTTTTGTGTGTATAAAATTGAGATGGTTATTTCGTATTTTAAAGTTATTTAATTTATATCTGTACGCAACAATAAATTATTGTTAACGAAAAACGACTTCGGTAAGACATATTTTGATATGGACAATTTTGGTTTTTCCCAATCATGATGAAAAATATTTTAGATATCAAAAGACTGCATTCTTTGATATTGACAATATATTAAGAGACACAAAAATGATCCTTTTCATTTTACAATTGGAGAAATATTTCTGGTGGAAAACATAAGTTTTAGAAATAAAAAACCAATGAAATCGGTAACGCCGTTTAATTTGCCGTTTTACCTATAATTTTTTTTCAGCTTTTTTTCCAATTATTTCTAAAACCCCACAGAAAATCAAAAAATGACTCCTTTATTTCACCAACTATACAAAAGTTTCTTTTAGCAAAGGTTCGCTATAGATTAGAGCAATATTTATTTTCGAAAAGTTGTTTACAACCAAAACATAAAAAGCATACATCATAGTAAAACCAATAAATCCTTTGCTACGTTCTAAACCTAAAATAAAATTTACAATGCTAATAAAATTGGTTTTATTATGATTTATGTATAATTTCACAAATCACGACAGTTAAATTTTTAGCTACGAAAAACCTCGAAAACAACTTCCTAAATGTATGTTATTTCCTTCAGTATTCAACCCTAAGTTTGCAGGTTTTGAAATTTCTCATATTCTCTACATGAACATAAAATAGTATCTTTAGTTTAAAATACTCCTGTACTAGAGATCATCATTTTAAAAAGATGACTGATTATACTATAGGTTAGTGGTATACAAATGTTATACAAAATTTGCTTTGATTCAAAACCTTGAAAACCTACTATAGGTACTAGTTATCACTGTAAAATCATCAAAAGAAATTTCATCGATCTAATAAATTACAGATATCAAAGGGTGTAATGGTTTAATTTATATTCGATTAATAAAAGATATAGCTCACTATTCGCCCCATGCGCGCAGCGTGCCGTACTATAATATGGCGAGGGGATTAAATAAGTCACAAGTCAACAATATACTCACAATACACAAATTCAGAGCATTTTTTATCAAACTGGGTGGCATAGACATGAATTGACTCAAGCTGAGGTGTTCTAGGTCGAGCAACATAATTTCTCCTCGCATGGGCTCTTCTTTCATTTGCAAGTCCAAGTTACCCAGCATCACTTGAAAGTACAATAAAAAGTCCAATTTTGTGTCTTTTGATGTCGGGACTAATCTGGTACACATTACTCGGCAAGCTTCTGACGTTAGTTTTGGAAAGACACAAATCGATCTACAGGTAAAATATCGTTAAGGTACACAACTACAAAACTGTAATAGACAAGCATGGTGTTCAGCTCTTATGTTCGATTTATTAAAAATGTATGACATAATAAATTTACATTTAGCAAGGACAACTTTGTGTTAATAGTTTTAATATTTTAGTGAATTGGCCTATTATCAAACTCGTAGATAACAACATACATTTTAGAACATTATATAATTTTCAGCTATTAATAATAAGAATTTGCGAAAAAATTAATTTATTCTCAATTAAAAATATTTGATTAGTACATTATGTAATCTATGTTTTATGTATACATGTTACGAGTAATATGGAATCATGGGTAATTTAATTCTGTCCGGGCAATTTTAACCACAAATATAAACAAATTAATTACACAATTTTTAATTATAACCCATTTCTTGTATCATAATATTTTAATACAATTGTACATCCAATTAGCTGTTATTACAAACAAAGTGTGTCCATTTTGAAACACGCCACATTTTTAGATTTTGAGTGGAGCAAAGCAGCTTATGGCTTTACAAAAATGTTTATTTTTTTTTTTCTGTGGACAACTATTCTACCAGCAATTTTGCTCCAACTTAAATAACTTTAATTTAAATCTGTACGCAACGATAAGCAATTGCTAACGAAAAACAACTCCAGTAAAACATATTTTGAAATGCCTTATAATATATTTATGATTTTTATCAAATTGTACATTAAATCACCTAAAACAGGGGCTGCACCCGTCCCTTTTGTCCTAGGACGTCTTTTTTTTTTCATTCAAATCAGATATAAGGTTCCGAGCAGATCGAGGAATGTATTGATTTTACAATGATGTATATTTTTATTTTTTTACTTTTTCTGTGAACAACTTTTTTACCGGAAATTTTGGCCGATTTTCAAATTTAGAACTTTTTCTGAGTGAAAATTTGTCTATAGTGGTACTTTAAGAAGATTATTTTTTGACTTTCTCCAGGGTTTTCATAAATAGAAAAGCCAGAAGAAACGTAGGAAAAACGAGAAATTGTATGAGATGTTTTATTTTAAAATCATAAATATTACGGCCTTTTAAAACATGTTTAACTAAACTCCACTCAGAATTTTTTTTTTTTTTTACAAAAACTAATCGTTACATGCAGATTTACATAAAATTCCCCTATGTATTCTACCTTTCCAACTTCTCACCTACAAAAGTGACCCACCCATCCTAAGCATATTTTCGTATCCTTTTATATTCGAGAAATATAAGTTGTTAAAAGTATAATAGGTATTTGGTATATAGTATTAAAAGCCGTATAAATCATGTAGAGATAAATAAGTAATAATACAATTTTTAATTATTAAACATATTTAATTTTTCCATGATATTATATAATTATTAGTAATACATTAAGAACCGAAAAAGAGATTGTTGGATGAGTTCTAGAATGATATGAGTACAACTAGTGGATGTGAAATGGGAGATCGGGCAAATGGAAATTAAGAACGAAAGTAACAAACATCAAATAGTTTAGATGAAGGTGAATGGAAAAAAGAAGTAATAATAAATATAACACACAAAAATTATTGATTTATTTGAATCGTTTAATTAATTTGCTTATATTAATGGATAAAATTGCGATATTTCTCATTGTTCATAAAATATATAGTTTTCAAATCGCTTAACATATATATACGAGCTCGTAGCTCAAGAAAAATTATGATTACAAAATCTATTTCAGTATTGAAAAGCTTTGTTTTTTATTAAAAATTAAATGGTTTTTAACTTCCATAATAAAAAGAAATTGTCAACAGTTTTAAATTCAGTGCTTTAAAACACAACATTAAAAAGAAATAAAAGAACGATCATTGAAGCCAAACTGCATTTGTTTCCTTTTATATAATGTCTAATTTAATATTTTTTCAAAAGCAAAACTTAATTTGTTATGATATTAGTGAGGCAGTTTATCATATCAGAAAAACAAAAAACTTACCCACTTTTCTTGGATTCATTTAAAAGTTGTTCCCGGTCAAAAGAACAAATAAATTCTGGATATTCCGCTCGGGAAACGAAATACGAGTCTATAGTCCGTTTGGCTCTGTGCAAATTGTACTTGCATCCGATGAGAAAATGCGATAACCATTTCTTGTCTGTGAGAACATACGATTTAATATCATTAATATTCGGTATTTTCAGGACGTTCGTTGAGTACACAAAACGATATTACGTTAAATTAATTTCCTTTGTATTGACATTATTTACTATTCGATATTCTTTTCGCGATCTTTCCAAAATCAATCTGAAGTCTTAACATTATAATACAACGCAAGTGATGTTTAACACCCGTACAGGCTCGTTAAGGTTAGTACCGTTTTAAAACGTGTGTATTTGTATCGTATTGTTATAGAAAAAAAATTTTAACTACCAAACCCCGGGCTCCGGTTCTAACGTCTGTTTGTATGTTATACACATTTCGAGAACTATTTTGACTTTTGATGAAGCTTTTTTTTTAATCGATATTACCAGAAATGTATAGGACAATTTTTAATGATTATGCCATGCAAACAAACAATATACGTTTCCTTATTAGGTTTGTATAAGTAAATAAGTACAGATAAAAATATAAAATCATTATACATTTACATTGAATACAATTAAATGAATTAGATTGAATGTGATTATATTCTTGGTATTAACATATAATAATAATATAGTTGCGTAAAACATAAATGTAAATAAATTTGAATGAATTAAGTTTTAAGTATAAGGCTTAACGAACCGCAAGAAACGATTATTATGCAAAAAAAATAAGTAAAAAATATGATTTTTGTATTAATTAGAAAAGAAATACAAGGGCGTATATTAGCACGATAGAACTTTATAATATACTATCTGATCACAAAAATGAGAAATGATAATAATAATATTATTATTTGCATACTAATCATTAAAGAAATACGCTGTTAAAATTGAGTTCGATCAACAGATTTTTTTTTGATTCTGAGCGGAACGAGGAACGTGTTGGTTTACAATGAAGTTTATTTATAAATAAAGTGAATAAATATATAAATAAAAATGTGTATTCATACAAATAAAATAAATAAATGAATGAATGCGTCGTCTGGAAGTATATCACAGTCAAAATGTAAAAAATTAAATGAAAGAATACATAGAAAAGAAAGAATTATACAAATTGATCGTTTTACATAGAATATAGAAATAATTTATTTTAATAAGAGAGATTATTTAAAATTAGTTTTTATTAGACATAGATATGTTAAGAAATATAAATTATATGATTATTATTTATTATCTAAAATGTATTGATATGAGACATTATTTTTCTGTGTTTCATTGTGTATGTGTAATTCTTCTAAAACTGTAAATGTAAATGTTATTTTGAGTATTTGAAATTTTTAAGTCTGTATTAATATCAAAACTTATATTATGGTTGTTTTATAAAACATGTGTAGCGAAATTTGAATTAAATAGAGTTTTTTTTTTAATTTCATTTCAGAAATGTGCTCATTATATTTTATTTTAAAATTTCTATTTGTTTTATCTACAAAAAATGTATTACAGTTACATTTAAGTTTATATATACCAGCATTTTTAAAAGAAGGGGGATTTTAGCTCTATTGTTTAAATGTTCGATTAAATTATTATTAGTCTTAAAAACGATTTTTACATGATTTGTATCGTTGTTCAAAATTTTGGTAAACTCATTAGACATATTATTTTGGTATTTCATACTACAATAGTTAACAACATTATTCGGTGAATTGTGTATTATTTTTTCTTTAATACGTCTGTGCATTTTTTTAATAGTATTTAAATTGAAATTATTTCTATGGGCTATTATTATAGATAATATTGAGCTTGTTGCGAGAATAAGGGTGATTAAAACCGTGTGGTATTATAGCATCAGTTTGTGTAGTTTTCGTGTAACTACTAAAATAAAATGGATTGTTTATTATGGAAACTGTAATAATCTAAGAAATTGAATTTATTATTTATTTGTATTTCAAGTGTAAATTGAATGTTTTTATTTATTTTGTTTAAGTAGTTTATTAAATTTTCTGCTTGTCTATTTGAACCTCTAAATGAAATGAAAGTGTCATCAACGTATCTATAATATGCTTTTACATATGAAATATAGATTATGACAACATTATAATTTAATTTAACATACCTAGTGCAAATGTTTTCATTTTACGCATTATCCTTTATGAATTTCAAAAATTTACCCCTCTGAATAACGGATATTTCCGAATAGCGGACAAAAATTTGTCGACCGAGGGTGTCCGCTATTCAAAGGTTTCACTGTAATTCGAAAGAGAACACAATCGTGTATATTACCACGCGTATAGCCAGATAGCCTACGTAATGCCTGACAAGGAAATAAAAACAGATAATAATAATATTATTTACATTGTTAAATGACATGCCCCGTAAGAATTCAAGTCGACCGAAAACATTTTTTTTTTTTTACTTTATATAGGTAACTATAATAACACATAATATAAGCACGATATTATGTGATTTGAGTTCAAGCATAATATCAACCATATATCCTCCAAAACTTGTAAAATTATAGACAACCATTTGTTTTTGGTTTTACCCCGGTTTTTTATCGACAGAACAACACATAACAAACGCTATTTTAAATATGTTACCTCTGTTCCTTACACTATAAACGGGTAAAAAAGTTTAATTTTCAAATAGAATTTCTCTCTTTTAAACGAGTTCATAATTTCATAACGACCAAATCAAAAATAGATATGGAAAAAATTGCCAATTATTTGTATATCTATTTTTACTGTCTCGAATAATCATGGTCGAACTCTGCTCCTCCGGTCTAAACTTTAAACTGTTTTTATTCATTCGGATACGTATTTAAAATAGCCCCCATACTTGAAAATCAAAAGTGCTTACTTATTTAAATTACTTATGAGTAGTATAGAAAGTAGGACATTGACAAAGCTTTATAATAAAATATAAGCTTAAACGATTCCAGAATGATTGGGTGATTGGCTGATAAACCGGAAGTCCACTCCACTTAAAACCAATCACTGGTTCGTGATGAACGGATCGCTTTGTATAGGAATACAACAATCGCCATCTTAACCGTTTTCTTTTCAATAAAGACCGATAAAAATGGTATTTTTCAGATCGTCGTACCTCCTCCCCCCGTCTTACCTGTTATTTCTGGCAAGTGAGGCTGTTTAGACATCCATTCCATGAGCTTCGTAACATCCTCTGCGAGTTGTTGATCCGTTCGATAGTAATCTTGCTTGATCACGAAGTCCCGTTGCGTTTCGTTGAGTTTCATATCTAAAACCATTATGATATTTGATTAAAAATATCCACAGCGAAAAATACGACCGTGTTCACGAGTGGAATTCACTGAATGAATAACGATAAAAACCATAAATCATCGAATACTATAAATTACTGTTGTGTTGCTCGCAGTGTTACCAAATATACCAAATAACCTTCGTATTTTTATGGAAATTTAAACTTACGTACGAAGATAAATTAGGTCGAATATCCTTTTCGTATACCTTTTAAAATACCAAATTTAAAATGTTGAAATACAAATAGTTTATTCTTATTTCAGTATTGTAGTTATTACCGTATAGTTGTAGAACTAAGATCTCAATTCGCGGTTCGTGTAGAAACCTTTATTCAAATATCATTTGTATAATATATCATATCCCTAAATACTATGTTTAAAATGGTAAATTTGCTTGTTACGAAATAGTTGTGAATTTACGAAGAATTTATAAAATTTCACACAAATTTAGTGATGTTTCGAGACTTACAGGTTATTCTTAATCCGCGATTTTACGATATTCTGCGTATTATGTATATTCGTATTATTCCTCCGATAACCCAACGGCGGTTTTCGATTTTTTTTTTTTTTCCGCGACGAGGATACTCCAGCACCAAAGCGTGGATATACGTACTTATTTTCGGCTAGTGGTTAAATTAACAAAGTTGAAAATCCGTCAAAGTGTTTTTTACTAATATTAACCGAAATTTGATTAGCGTTCCTGGTAATTAACTTAATATAACCAAACTTTCAAGAAACTTTATCCATCAGGGGGCGAGACTTCCAAAATGTTTTTCTCACACAATCATTTATTGATAAAAATGTCATACTAATATGGTATAAAAATAAACTGCAACCTACCCCTCCTAAATTTTACCTCTGTTTCCGGACTATTGATAATATTATTGTCAACTGTATATCGTAATAATTACAATTGTTGGACCGTGACGACCGTCGGCCGTTTCCGCTGGTTTTTATGATGACTTAAATATTATTACAATATTATAATTTTCCCTAACCCCACGATGATGTATTATCGAGAGAGTGCATCATTTTTTTTACTTTAATGACGCACTTATATCATTATATCGCGCAAACTGTTTGACCATGAAGAAATCTAGTGTAACCGTTATTCTTTATTCAATATTACTATTAACCACATAATAATACATTATAGATACACGACATTTCCCGAAAGGCCATTTTAATATTAATTATTTTTTGTGTAAGTAGATAACGATGGGAAAATACACGAGTATTTATCTTGAATATCTATTGTAAATTATATATTTAATTTGTATTGTAATACGAGGGCTATTTCAAAATCAACCTACGTATGGGATAATATATATATATATATATATGCATAAAAAAAAAACAAAAACAATAATTGTTTGCTTAAAGTGGTTTTATTAACATTTAAATTACTTTTCTACATAGTTTCCGTTTAATTTTGTACATTTTTGGTAACGTAGGACGAATTTTTGTATACCCTCCTTAAAAAAATGGCACCGCCAGTGTATTTTGGGACCCAACGGGCACAGAACTTATAGTAAACCAAATTTTCTGGCATAGAATACTTTGAGAAATCTCGGGAAATCTTGTTAAAAGATCTGAAATTGTAAAACGCCTGTTTCTTGAACAAATTGGTCAACTTGGTGAATCACGTCTTTGGCCATGATTGATTTGTGCCCTTGGTCCCCTTCATAGTGCACATTTGTGCTTCCGTTTTTAAATTGTCTTTACCAATCACTTATCAAACCATCCACTCATCACTTACCGTAAACAGCACATAACCAACGATGAATTTGACCTGTACCATTTCCTACGGCTTGTAAAAAACGAATTACATTTCGCACCTCACAGGCAGCGGGAGATAAAATTGTATTCTCTATATTGTAACGGCAACTATTAGAAAAATACTCAACGAAAACGGTCGAAACTTGACATATTTCAAGAGAATAATGCACTGGCTGCGAAATGCAGAAACATGTCACTGAAGTACCCGTATGTAGAGCAACCTAAGTTTCTTGTTCTTTACATGAACTAAAAACTAATTAGGTTCCACATTAGGTTTTCTTCATTCCTGGTTACGCTAAAAATTATTTCGGAATCAATTTTTATTGATAGGTAATTTTATTTTTTGTAATTTTAATTTTTAGCCAAACATCTGAGGAAAGTATTTAAGACTGAAAGTAGGTATTTAAAGTTTTAAGATTTATTATTGTATGGCACGCGTATGTTTTTGGTTGGAGGCAATCTAATTGAATAACTATTTACAATACAACTGTTCATTTTCCAGAACAAGATATAAAAATGGTCGTTTAGTATCGGTACTAGTTTTTAGTACCATATTAGAGCCAGTTGTTTGTGTTTCTTTTCGGCATAATTCATAAAAATCGAAACTTCGTCGATATTATAGGAAAAAAATAAAATCATTTGTTAAATAATGTTTAGCAGTAAATGTCCATAAGTTTTACCGTTTTACTAAAAATCATTTACAAATTGCTCATACTGGCCGTGTAAAAGTGTTCTGCCATACGGACACGACGAAATTGGTCTCACTTTTATTAACACAGATACGTATACTTTCTCTAGTGTTCACGGGTAATATTAACTCTGGCTACCCGTACATTTAACAAAAAAACAAATAATAATAAGGAAATTATAGTCACAGCTCGGCGATTACAACAGCAACGTCGAAAAAATAAGCCTCCAAGCATATCGCTACTAATATTGATTGTAATATTATTGTACTCGTGCCCACAAGACGTTATCGCTTACTGTAATTTACCACAATAAAGTAACTATTATCATTAACTAAGGAAGCGGTACCGTTTAACAATAATAATACTATTTAACTGGAAATGTAGAATACTATTTAGAAACAAAACCAAAAAAGTATATTTATTGTGCATACTGTGAGTCTGTGACACTACATTTTATCACACGAGTTGTTCGTCGTAGGACCCGTAGATATATTATTTCATAATCATTAGGGTACCTATCTATACAAGTCATTACAATATTGTGGAAATAATTTATGAACGTATTGTTTTGAATTTAGATTGTTTTTCTTTGTCGGGAGATTGTCGTCTGCTACCCTCGCTGCAAGAGGTCTGGAAAGTGTTCATATTATGGACAATGGAACACGGGCGGCTATTATTTGTTAAAAAATAAACTATTTTGAAAAAAAATTGTATAAGACAGTAAATAAATTTACGGCAAACAATTAATAGCGTTGTTGGTATTTTGAACGTCGTCGCTATAATACTTCTCATACGTATAGATTAGGTACTGTTCGTGTCCCATGTGGTCAGGCCAATGTTGTAAGTCGAAATTTAGGGCGTTGATGTACATGTGGTAATTCAATTTATACCTGTACGCAACGATAAATCATTTCTAGCGAAAAACGATTATGACGAAATTCAGTTGTTCATGTTTTCATAAACTTAAATTGTGTACAGAACCAAAAAATTAATAACATTTGTCCGAATTTTTAGTTTCTGGAGTGGAGCGAAGAAGCTTATCGTTTTACAATTTTGTTTATTTATATATTTATTTACTTTTTTTTTTTTTTATCTGTGAACAGCTTTTCTACCAGAAATATTGCTTAGATTTACAATGATAGCACTTTTTTCCGAAAGGAAGTTTGACTGGGAGGGTTATTTTATTTTAGGTAGGTCGTTTTTTGATTTTTTCAGTTTTCCTACTCAATGAGAAAACCTGGGAAAAAAACATGGGAAAATCATGAAAAGCGTAAGAAAAACGAGAATATATGTACAATATTAAACAATTATTATTAAAGAAAATATATATTGATACATATGTAATATTTTTACCATAATACGACATACATATATATTGTTGACAAAGCATCACTATCAACTGTACTCCACTCAGAATCGTTTTTTCGTAATGGTTTATATCAAGAATTAAAATCGAAAATTTTTATTTCGATTTCAATTTAAATATCATTTATCGTTATTAGTTTTTACTGATTTTAATATAAATTTCGATATATTATATAGTATTTAACGATATTCTAAATCGGTTTTGAAATCGATTTCAAGCCCTGGACTACATTGTTGTAGTATAACAGTGGCTGCACCCGTCTCCAATATTCTAGGACGTCTTCTTTTTTTTTTTTTTGAATTTGTCCCGAGCTATTAGATAAAATTCCACATTACACGCCCCGCTGTACTAATACTTGTACGTACTTAAAAGCAAAATATCATAGTCTTATGCCCCTCTAAATAGGATGCTATTAAATAGCAATTCAAACCAAGGAAGTTAAAAAATTATTATAGCATAATATTTACTGTTATAAATTATACACTATTAATGGATTAAAATTGTTTGTGATATTATTGTACTCATGCCCGCAGCACGTTATCGCTTATTATAATTTATTACAATAAAGTTATTAATAACTAAGGAGGCGGTGCCGTTTAATAATAACAATATGTAACTAGAAATGTAAAATACTAGTTTAAAATAAAACCAAATAAGTATGTTTATTACACATCCTGACATACTGTGACAGTATAAATTTATCATACAGTATTTAAGTTGTTCACTGTAAATTATTTTATAATTATTAAGGTACCTGATACCTATACGAGTTATTACAATATTTATTTATTTATTAATTTGTATAATACAGTATGAAAATATTAATAAATTAATATTGTGTCGAATCGTTTTTCATAAGCAATGGTTTATCGTTGCTGACAGATATAAATCAAATAACTTTATGCATCCGACCTTCCCAACTACCCACCGCGACAACAGTCGCACATCCATCAGCAGTATCAATTCTTTTTTTTTGAGACCAAATGTATTTAAGTCTAATTGACCACATCTAAATGTCGCCATGCCTATATACGTCTATACTGTCACATCCATTTGTTGTAGATCGTAAAAGTTCTGCAGCACACTTGGTCGGAAGTGACGAATACGATCTCACTTTTTTTCACACCGGATTTCTATTTTCTGCACCCTCAATCTAGTTTTAATCTAGTATTACTATTTTAAAATATTATCATAATTAACATGTGCAGTTTTTCTTATCATTTTATTCACATATTTTAATTCGTGACGTCATAGTGTAGACCAATAAATTTAAAATTACAAAGATAAAAAAAATTATTATCAATAAAATTATTAGATATTTTCTATAAACTAAAAACTTATTTTTTGATTATTATCTCTAAATATCAGTTAAACAAGAAACTCCATATTACTAAAAAAAAAAAAAAAGCCATGAGAGGATCAATCTCTCATATTTCCCCACCCTGTGACCCATTGGATAGACTTATACATTTAAAATTACAAAGGTAAAAAAAAAAAAACATTACCATTAAAATGATTACGCTATTTTTAAACTTATATCGTACTATAATACTATGAGCATTAATATATATCATCGCTTTAATCAATCTCCAGTTTTTTGAATGTACCTTCTACGCCAAGTTCTCCGATTTTCGGTTGGCCAACCCATTTAGACAAATCGGCTTTCGGTCTGTTTCCTAACCATTCGTTGTTAGCCATACCAAATTCAAACCATCTGTCTAAACCGTTATATAAAAAAAAAAAAAAAAATACCTAGAAAAACTTCATTATAACATTTGTTGAAATAACTTAGTAAATAGCATATTAGATAATATTCTAATTTAAAACAAGTGATTAATGATTACTGGCCCACGATTTGTTCGTAATCTCATTTATAATTTCACTCACTCGTTATTTCTTCGTAATCTCCGACGGTGCCACCGTATTGGTCCGGAAGGACGTCTTTCGGAATGAATTGGTAAAGGGTTTCCAGCGAGTTGTGTATATATATCTATACAAAAAGTAACAAATAAAAAATACACGACATTAATATCATTAAAATCACAAGTAGATATTGGTAAAAAATATAATTTTTCCATTTTGTAAATAAAATTGATAATTACTACAGGGAATATTTCAACTACAATTTTACAGACTTATAGAATGGTTAAACCACAGAATTTATCGTATTGTACAATAGTCAGTCTTTTCAAGAAAATTATGAATTCGGAATATAACTTTTAATAATAATTTGGTTAAGAATATTCAAAATATATATTCGAATATTTCAAAAATAAAAATGTTTCCATACGCTGCAAATGATACTGTAATTTTGCTAATATTATCAAATACCGAATACATATACCAAATACATTGTCTAGTATGCATATGATGGCAAGCAACGAGAAATCACTCTTTACCAGTGCTCTGCAGGCTGCAGTCCACGAGATTGTTGTAATAGTTCAGTCCTTTAGTAATCGATCAAAATAATAAATACAACTAAACGATAACTGTGTTCGGAGAGTTTTTTTACGAAAAAAGTATCCAAATATAAAAATAAAAATACAAACAACGGATTCAGAATAGATGATCAAATGTTTTTATCAAAAGTATCTAGAACAATATCCAAATACATTTATTTGAATAGGTACTTTACGAAACTGACAGTGGTCTACGGTCAATAAGGTCCTTATCAATCTTATAAAATGTAACATTTATATTCTGAAAAGTAGCACTCCCAGTGGAACATAATTTTTATAAGAGCCATTGCAAGCAAATTGTGGTAGTTATGTATAAATACAAATTCGACTTACTCTTTTTTTAATTTTTTTTGGTAAAAACATTTTAATAAAAGTTACTAAATTGCCTATAGACGGTGGTGAGTTTATAAAGTGGATTCCCTTCACGCTTACCGGAAACGAATTCTGCAAAAAAATAAAATATTTAACATCAATCTTTCTGAAATAATTAGTACCGAATAAGTTAGTTTTAACAAAATGTTCGGATATTATATTTTCCATTATCTTATCTTAAAACGAAAATTATTTTAAATAATAAAATAAACAATTTTTCAAAATTGGTTTTATTATGATTTAAGTATAATTTCATACTACACTACGATTGATAACCTTCGAGCCATGAAACATCGTTGAAAATAACTTCCTAACTATAGTTTATTTCTTTTAGTATTCAACCCTAAGGTTGTAGGATTTGTAACTTCTTATAGTCCTCTCTACGCTTTTCTATCATAGAATAGCTTCTATAATTTTCTATAATATTCCGCAATGGTAAACCATATTTTGCATAATTTAGATTAGTGTTTAGAATGTAGGTTAACAGTACACAAATGACTCAAAAAATCGATTAGTCTTCAAAATCATACTGAAAATTTAGTATAGATACTATACATGTTAGTCTCCACTTTATCGTATTTAAAATCAATGTCATCAATCCTATGATTAAAAAATATACAGCGACACATACAGGCTGGGATTAAGATGTCAGAAACTTTACCCCAAAATTATGGTGCGTGCGCTACTGAAGACAAAATAGTTTATTTTATGGTCTTATAATTATAAAATAAAGACATACTTCACACGTGAATAGATCACTGTTTTAGGTGAGAGGTTGGTAAGGTAGAGAGAAAATTTAATGTATATCTGTACGCAACGATTAACCATTATTAATGAAAAACGATTCTAAGCGGAGTTAGATTAATAGTGTTACTTTGTGAACTATATATATATATATATATATGACATTATGATAAAATAATTACATACTTTTTTTTTTTTGATTTTTTGAAGCGAAGTCATTTATAATACTTCGATGATTAATATTAGAAGTTATTTCTTATAGCTCTCTATAATAGAATACCTACGCGTATTTAAAATAAAAATGTAAAATAATAATACACGATTTTAAATGTATAGTCTTGATTACGTAATATGGGAGTAAAATCGAATTATTATTAATTATATGCTGTGGGCGATGTATAGTCTGTGGCTAAAAATATGGCATGTGACTAAAACTTAAACATATTTTGTTTGAAGATTTTTGGCACGATGCCTTTCATGAAGTTCGAGGCCCTGGATAAATGTCCAGTCTGTTTTGTCCAACCGCTGGTGTTGCCTATAATACAAGTTCTTTCTCACTATCCATCTAATGACACAAGATGGCAATACCAATAAATCATAAGTCCGTAATTATTATTAACATACTCACCACACACAAATCCATAGCATTTTTTAGTAAAGTAGGCGATAAGTTCACGAATTGACTTATGGGAAAGTATTCTAGGTCTAATAAAATAATATTCCCTCGCATAGGCTCCTCCCTCATTTGTATGTCTACATTGGCCAGTATTGTTTGGAAGTAAAATAAAAAGTCCAATTCAATTTCTTCCACCATCAGATATGATTTGTTAAATAACACACGGTAAGCCTCCGGCGTTAGTTTTGGTAATAAACAAACTTTTCTGCAAGTACAATATGCTTAAGTTATGACAATTTAATTGGCATAAATGCTGTTTGGCTCCTATATTCGATTTTTCTAAAAATGTGTGTTTTAACTGTTTTAAGAGTATCATATACGGTCTCCGCTCAGTCTCATAAACGTACGACGTTCATAACGTACAATTAAACACATATTTTAAGGTCAGATTTTAAGGTTAGATTAGATTAATTAATACGAATACAGGAACGTCTCGGATGCGGGGGTGATCTCCCGCATCGCCCTCCCTCAAAGAAAAATGGACTTACATTGGAATTTGGCATAGTCATTGATCCAGAAATAGATATGATAGATATAATTAATATATTATGAGTGTAATGAAAAATATATTGGTTTTTTTTTTTTTTTTATACTGTGACAAAAATTTCTACTAAAAATCTTGCCCTGATATGTATGTGTGGCACCATTTCTGAAAGCCGAAAGGAATTATTGTCTAAATAGTAATTTTGAAGGTCATTTTTTTATTTTACAAACGGTTTTCATAATATTTAGGAAAACCCAGGAAAAACATAATAAAAACGGGAATTTTACGAAAATAATGATTTTTATTATTTTCAATTGAGTTATTTATTGTAATTCAATTAAAAATATTCGTAGACTGGAAAATTGGGTAGAAAACTTATATTTGCATATTTTTACGTAGTAAATCTGTAAAAACACTTGAGCCATAATTATTTGAATATGGTTTAAGCTACCTATTTATAGATATTTCAATGGATAAAACTTTATGATTAAAATTGTTAGACAAAACAGAAATGCTTGAAAACTGAACAGGAGGTTAATTATAAGTTGCACTTAGCGGTCAAAACAAAAAAAAAATTAATTTAATGTTGTCAATTTTTTTTATACCAATTTCAATATCAAATTTCGACGAAAATTGTTTTAGTAAAAAATTATGTGGGACAAATCTAGTTACTGCCTTACTGGTCCATACAAATTGTTTCAATATAATATTTATTTTGCTGTTTATATCTCTTATATGATATCTATATTGTTGAAAAAGCTATAATATTAACGGAGCTCCGCTCAGAATCATTAAGTAATAAAAGAAGATGAAAATATAAAGAGCTGATACTTTTGACGGGTGTAACCCCTGTTGTAGTTGGATAGTGGGGAAGGTAGGATACATACATTTTTTTAATTTATACCTGTAACCAACGATAAATCATTGATAAAGAAAAACGATTTGAAGCGAAGTTCGGTTACACATCGTACAAAAATTAATTTTTTTAAATCTTATGAAAAAAAGAAAATACTATAATAAACTCAATTTTTTCGGACCTCTATGTACGAATTATAACTAACCCCCTGTTAAATTTTGATGCAATTATGTTTTGTGTAACTATTTTATTCATAGTGTACCTACCAAATTAAAACTACGTCGTAAAAAACTCCCAAGATTATAATGTCTATAAATAGCTCAAAAATTGCACAAATGTTTTGAAAATTTGACAACGTTTATAAAAAAACAAATTATACAATTTTAGTCTAAATTTCAAATATGTATGAATATTTTTAACCGAATTATAACAAAATTACCAAATTTAAAATTATAAAAGCATTATTTTTGTAGATTTTCTCATTTTTCCTACGTTTTTCCCCAATTATTATGAAAACCATTTGGGCAATCAAAAAATAACCTTTTTAAAGTACCAATTAAATAAAAATGATTTTCAGAAAAACTGCTATACTTGATACATTGAAACAAGATTTTTCGTTGAAAAGTTGCTCACAGAAAAAAAAATAAACATCATTGTAAAACTAGTACATTTTTCACTACTCTCCGAATCTAAAATATCAACTATTTGCTTAACACATTTAAATTTAATGCTTTAAACACACAATTTAAAAAAAAAAATCGAGCATGGAACTAAACTACATTATTTTCGCTTAAATAAAAGCAACTATTTTAATATTCTTTGAAAAGTAAAACGAAATTAATCATGCCGATATTAGGATCACATTTTTATTGTACCTTAAAAAAAATAAAATAACTTACCCTACTTTCATATAGTATAAACTGCGTTCACGATCGAACGAACAAATAAATTCTGGATGTGTTGCCCGGGTAACGAAATACGCGTCGATGGTTTGTTTGGCTCTGTGCAAATTGTACTTGCATCCAATGATAAAATGCGATAACCATTTTCTATCTGTGGAAAAAAAAACATGAGAATATAGAAACAGTATCATTGATATTCGGTAATTTCAGGACGTTTGTCGGGTACACAAGACGATATTATGTCAACTTCTTCTTCATTTCTTTTGCATTGACATCATTTGCTATTCAGTATTCTTTTTGAGAACTTTCCAAAGTTAATTTGAAACCTTTATATTTTAATCCTCCCGCATGCGATGTTTAAATACCCGTTCAGACTCATTACGGATAGAGTTCATTCGCACGAAGCCACCACAGCAGCGCCACCAAGTCGGCCACGCCATTCATAGAAGTTTAAGAGACCTGACATGTTGGACACTCGACCAAAATAGAAGAGCTACCATTTAAATTTATTTGGTTATAATGTAAAAACTCACATTCATTTCATTCGAATCATTGCACGTAGGGCGTGTTGACTTTTTGATTACTTTGTCAATATTCATTAACATGGATAGCCACTTTAATTCAAAAAAATTAATTATAAAAATTGAAAATCGGACGACAGACAATATGAAACTCCGTTTGCAGCGAAAATTCAGACAGTAGTGGACGTACTTAAAATTTTCTATTTGGTTTTGTTTTTGATACAACACGACTGTTTAGATATCCTACACATGCTAAATTTTTGACTTCCATTTAGGAACTGAACTAAATTTTAAATTTAGGTTTACCTATGGTGTGTAATAACCTACGTCGAAACACAAAAGCGCTTTTGGAAGCATGAATAATGGCGATGCTTTATTGATGGCGCGCCTATGGTGACGCTGCTCTGGTGGCTTAGTATGAATGAGCACTTAGCATTTTTTAAAGCATATATATTTATATCGCATTGTTATCGAATAAATGCCTTTAGAAAGTTTCAACTTCTAACCCCCGGGCCCGTATTCTAACGTCTGTGTGTTGTAAAAATCTTGAGAGCTATTTTAACTTTTGATGAAGTTTTTTTTGATCAATTCCTTATTATTATCATAAAGTTATAGGATAAGTTTTGTATCTGAAAACGAGTGGCTAATAAAGAAAAAACTGTTTACTCAGTAATTTTAAACTGAAATTATGTAACCAAGTTACATGAAAAAAGCTTGATTTATTGAAAACAATTTATTGGTTTTTTCAGGTCAAATTTTTTAATTGTCATTGTCAGGTTAGGTATAAAAGTAAATGTTTTGACGATCTATTCATGAATTATGGTTATTATTGCTTTCATATCTCTCATACTGAATATTTAATAAGTCCTGGAATCCGATTTGGCTCGTTTATACGTCCTTGGACTTAATTATACATCATCACAATCGAACCAAAAACCTTTATAAAATAATGCTTATTCGATGCAAACATGTTTGCTTATTAAAATTGTATGAGAAAATAGGTGTAAATAAAAATTTCAGACATCATAAATTTACATTAAAAACAATGAAATGTTAATGAATAAGATTCCAAGTGATTAAATTCTAGGTATCAGTGTATTATTCACATCAATTGTTGCGAAAGTGTGTAAAAAAAATAAACACAAATACATTCATATGATTATATTATATCATTCATACGTACCTATAAGGTATAACGTAGCGTAAAATACGATTATAAAAGTAGAAAAGTAAATATAAAAATATGATATTTGTATTAATCAGAAAAAAAATAAAACTAAACAAATGCGTATAAACACAATGGGACCTATATAATGTCTAGTAACGAAAATAAAAAACTATAATATATATAGTTATATTTTATTATTTTAAATTGTATAAATTTATAATTTATATAAGTTATATTTTATTGTTATCTATACAAATATATTGTGAATTGGACTTTTGTCCGTATTAATAAATAAATAAATAAATAAATAAATAATAATAATATTATGATAATTTGCATAATTACCGCTAATGAAATGTCCTTTTAAAATTCGACCAACAGCCTAAAGAACTACCAATATAATTACACTAATATTTTAACAATGTTTGAAAACAAACTTTGAATCTATCAACTACTTTTAACATTAAATTTCTTTCGCTTTTCATAAAGTTCATTTTTATTAAATTAAAAAAAAAATACATTATCTTACAAATTTTTACCAGTTTCTGAACTAGATATACATTTTTAATATTTCATACATTTTTTGATACATATTTTTACTTTTAAATTTTTTAATTTGCAACCATACAAATATTTACCTGATGTTTAATATTACTAATTGTTGATAATACAATTTTAATTTTAAACAAAAACTGGCAAAAACAACATTTTTAACCATACCAATATTAATGTCATTATATTGTCAATCTTTAGATGTAATTTACTTGTAAATAAAAAATATTCAGGCATATGCACAAAATATACCTGGACCACAATTTACAAAAATTATTTTTTTAATCAAGTTAAATAATATTTTTGGGAGCACGTAAAATATTGGAAAATATTTTATCGGACCCGTACTTTTTCGAAAAAATATTTTATAGGAACCGTATTTTGTTGGAAACATACTTTGTCAGAACCGTATTATGTCGGAAAAAGATCTAGTCGGAAAGTATTTTGTCGGAAAATAATTTTTATTTATCATAGGCACTTCGTGATCATGAGCTCGCAATCATTAAAAACAATTATATTATTATTAAAACATGAATGGCAAATTCATAACTTATTGCAATGGAATGTATATCTGCATACAATAAAAAATAATTTAATAATCAAATATTTTAAACACACTACATTAACAGCGAAATGGTTATAAACAAGCTTTTATCTTAGTGAGTCGATGCCGATAAACTTCGTTTAGCCACATTTTCATATGGATATTTTGAATAATTGTACCTATACCTACTTGCATTTATTACATAAAGTTATAATTTAGTGTACGTGTATGTTAGTTGTGCTTATACATAATCATAGTAAACATTTTTTGAACAAAATGTGAAGAAAATATTTATTTTTCACTTTAATTATATGGCCGATTGTAAAAACTTAATGGTAATTTTTTTTTTTTAATTTATTGGGGGAGGCGGTGTGAGATTTTGAAAATTTAAAAAGGGCGTTAAGTTAAAAAAGGTTGAAAAACATTGCATTAAAAGAGTATACGCTATTTTTTATTAGTCTCGAAAAATCCATGGCTCTATCCTCCTCTTCCGGTTTAAACTTCAAACTTTAAAAACAGTAATCATCGCTACGACCACATCCATTCTAATAGCCAAGAATGAAGAATAGCCATTACCAAGAATCGTTGTGCTCTTCTTTTCTGACTTACCTTTGATTTCGGGCAAGTGGGGCTGTTTGGACATCCATTCCAAGAGCATCGTGACGTCCTCGTCTAGCTGTTCATCCGTCCGATAGTATTTTTGTTTGGTCACGAACTCCATTTGGGTTTCGTTGAGCTCTGTATCGAGGACCATTGTAATATTATTAGATAAAGTGAGAAATATGGTGCAGTTCGCGAACGATATTCCTGAAAGACTAATGCCGTGAATACGAACATTAAACTCGAATCGTATTATATCGTGTGCTACTCGCAGTGTGGCCAGAAGTACGGAAAATTTTGTATTTGCACGGAAATATTAAGATTCACGTACGAAAATAAATTAGCTATAATATTCCTATTCGTACACCCATTTAAAAATTCAAATTCAATTATTTGGGTAAAATGTTAGTAAATTACAGATAATGTTTTATTATTTCAGTATTGTAGTAATTCAGTAAATACTAATTACAGTACAGTTGTAGTAACTAAGATCTTAATTCGTAGTCCATGTTTAAAGCCTATAATATCCCTAAATATCATCAAATATATGATGATGACGGTTTTGTCAAAAAAGTAGTTTTTTGTTTATTTGTATACGAATAATAGGAAAAACGCATTGATTTGCCCTCCGAAATATCGTCCCCTTTTAATTTTATAATTGGTGATTATACTCTAAAACCAAAATAAAGCGAATTCTACGCAGTCTGCGTAAGGTATATTTTGCTATATCGCCTGTTATTTGGACAGCACATACGGGTATATCGTCCTCTTAACCGAAAGTGATGGACAAACCTCACCAAACTTTCAAGAAACCTTACCCATCCAGGCAGATGAGACTTCCAAAACATTTTTCTCACAGACAAATTTGTTCATAGAAATATTTCATATTAATATGGTTTAAAAATAAACTACACCCTCTCCCCTTCCCATCTTTATCAATGTTTGCCTGATATTGATAATATTACTAAGTTCTGTATGTCATAGTATCTGCGACTCACAGTGGTCTGAATCGTAATTTAGCCTAGCTAAAAGTCTATTTTAAAATAATGTCGAATAAGCTTTATGGTATTGAATCATCGCTAACTATAATTAGTATACCAGAGATAGTTTAATGATTATCAAACATTTTACCCGTCATAACTTGATTAAATATCCAGATAAATTTAAATATAGTATGTAAAACTGCATTAATAACAACTTCATTGCCACACGGACACACGGTAATCTCATCAAAAAGGCAAAAAGCAACGTGTATGCATGTTTGAATTATTTTTTCAAAATATAATATGGATCCTACAGAAAAGGTAAGTTCTTTGTTATAGCTTTTAAAATGTATTTATACAAATTATTTAAATTTTAATCTGGAAATCCTAAGTTTTTTCTATATTTATTAAGTATAAAATCGTATAACTTATTATTTATCACTTTTTACACTTTTCCACCGTATATGCATAAACTATAACTTTCCTATGACTTTCGAGCTCTTTAGATCCATAACAACTTTTCGCGGAATTTTGGTTTTATAAGATAATATACTTTTCAAATTTTTATAACGTTATATTTTTTTTCTTTTTCTAAAAAATTATAATTTCCGCACTCTCACGAAATACTACGTTATTAATCGCCATATTATATTTTTATTTTGTCTATATCAGGGGTCTCCAATCTTTTTTTACGGCTAGCCAAATCTGAGATACGCTTTGGTATCGTGAGCTAACATTTTTAGGGAAATATAGAAGTAATGAAATTGAAGAATAGATAAAAATAGATACGGTTTTTTTTAGATTTTAGAAAAATGTGTATTTATTTTTATTTTTATTATTCAAAATTTGTTTTATTGTGGTAGTTAAATTACTTAATGAAAAGTGCTTAATTAAAATTTCTTGGTTTTTTTAAAACGACTAGGTATTATGCGTCAAACTTTGATGTCCAATCAAACAACGTAGCTTGTAAATATTCGTCACATAGTTGATTCTATAGCTATTAAGAACAACAACTAACGAAAAACCATTTATACTTATTATTTTTCTTTTATAGTAATAAATACTATTGATAAATAAGTAATGTTGTTAAAACATCAGTAAACTTGGAGAGCAGATTTGAAAGGGTTGACGGGACGAAACCGGCCCGTGAACCGTAGGTTGGAGACTTTATACAGAGTGATCAATCCATCGTAAGACACTCATTATCTCGGAAAGTGTTAACTTTTTTCGAAATTTATTTTAAAGAACATTTAAGAAACAAGCTGTTCTAAAATTTAACATTTACATTATTTTTCGTCACCCTAATTTTTGGGAGTGAAACAACTACTTACCTACTTTTGATTTTCAAATGCAACCTATATTAAAAATTCCATAAACAAATAGAGTATTAGTTAAAATAAACGTCGGTGTTTAATTTCCGTCAATCCATTGACAAGATATTCCACTTTTAAGTTTGGATCGGGGGAGAATAGTGGAGCATCATTTGTGATGCGAAGTCGTTTTTGGTGTGGTTTTTATGATTGTAATCAAATTATAATATTATAATTTCAATCAACCCGGCGAATAATAGTGAATAATAAAAAGAATAAATCATTAAATATGTATTATTGCGATTGTACATCATTTTTGAATAAAATATATTGTAGTATTACGTTTACATGCTATAAGCATGTAAGCCATGTGAGAATGTACAGAACTATTTATATTATTATCTATTTATTTCTTATTACAAATTCCTTTAATATTCAACCGGTAAACCATAAGGTTATTGCCAATATTTAGCGTTACGTGGTCCTTAAGAGGACCGTTTTAGTTTATTGTTACTGACAGCGGCGTTAATTCGGGTTGCTGGGTATCTGCGTCGATTGGTGTTATTGATACGCTAGTTAATTGCTTCGATTACACAGATTTTGGCTGGGCTAACACGTGTGTAGCGAGGGCTACGAGCAAGCTACCGCCATACTCCCCTATGCTATTGTAATAATAGAGTGACTAAAAGATTCAAATAAGTCCAAGTACTTGGTATTTCCTATGGAAAAAAAAAAGAAAAAGTTAATAATTTAATAAATATAACGGAGCATTCGTTGTTAAAGAGAGATACATAATATATTCCTTACAATCAAAATGTTTTATAATGAGTCAAATATAGTAGAAGTTTACGACAACTGCGCCAGCTCTTTGAAAACACTGTTTGTGCCGTCGCCGCCACAGTCAGACCCTGAGTATTTTTACGATTTCCATACAACATCGCAATAAATATAATTTCATCATTAGTTATTTTCTATCGACATCGACGCGTAGGCCAACTTCGGGGCGCTTTTAAGCTCACAAATAACAACGGTTTTTTCGTTGTTCGCAAAGTACCCATGTCCCATACATTATTTTCAATCGAAACATTTCAATGCGAGTAAAATAAAAAATAGAAATATATACGACGTCTTTAATAATGACGCGCGCGCCGTATGGTCACACTCTCACACTAAATACCCTCATAATTCGCACCCTTGGAGCAAGACCGCCATAACTCAACATTTGGTACTTTTGTGTTTGATATATTATCATCAGAACCAAAAAAATGTTGACTACATAATGGTAGACCACCACAAACATTATCTTGATTAAATTCTGCGTCATAGATTTGTGTCAATATAACATTTTTTTTGTTTTTTTCGTTTTAATGAACGTAATACTGCCACATTTCTAATATAGGTGTATTCATTTCTGTTAAATCATAAATTAATCAAGGCCTCGAAATTCAAAACTGCCGTAATTACGTTTTGGCAATTTACAATTTTATTTTTTATAATCATTGACCTCAAAAATAATATTCAAGACTGCCATATTAGGTTTTATGGCTGATATTGTTTTTTAAACGTAATGTAATACTGCACTGTATCAAAATGTGGCAGCATATAGTATGATGAAATATAATTAAAAACCGTCTAAATTCTATTAATAACAAGAAGATAATAATATCGAAATTTGTAATTATGTTATTAATGTAAATCACTTTTCTTAAAAACTTGATGTTGCATAAATAATGATTATCAAAAAAAGTAGTTTAAAATTATTAAAATGATTATTACTAGTCAGAAGAAATAATTTATCAACATCGGTGCAAAAAAAAAATTTATAACGAACCGAATGTATTTATTTTAATAAAATATATTATATCTATAAGCAACGATAAACCATTGCTTACGAAAAAACCCTTGCTGAGCGGAGTACAGTTGACAGTGATGCTTTTTAAACAATAATTATGTCATTTTATGGTAAAATAATTAAATAAGCTTTAATAAAACTTGTTTAATGTTGTACCGATTTTTCCAGTTTTCCTACGTTTTTCCAGGTTATACCATGTTTTATACCGGTTTTTCACATTTGCTGGGAAATCTCTTGGGAAAATCGAAAAATAACCTCTCTAAAGTACCTCGCTTGTGAAATTTCTTTTTAAAGCACTGCTATCATTAAAAAAGTTGGAGCAAAATCGTTGGTTGAAAAATTGTGCTGCACAAAAAAAAAGAAGGCTAAAATATATTTTAACTAATATAGAGTGACAATAATAAGAAAATAAAAAAACAAGACAGTTGTTACTTCCCTCCTCCCTAAAAAAAACCCTCATCCATATACATTCACATAATATATGCACACAACTGTAGAGAATAAAAGTCCAATTATTTTCTAATTACTTTACCTTTTTTGAGTAATTCAACCTAAATAATAAGTGTTTATATGTTTAGGAATATTTTATTTTTATTATTCATTAAACTACACAATGTTGTATTTCAAAACTATTATAATTTTTTAAACAATTAGACAAATTTACTTTATAATTATTAAAGGTTTAGAATATTAAACAATATATTTTTTTTTTTTAACAAGAATTATAAAAATTATACCATCAGCTACCTTTATTGTTCATGAGTTTGATATTCCTTCTTCGCGGATCATATAATTATCTGAATATTCTTCCGTAACACCGGGAGTGTTAAATTGCAGAGAGTAAATATTAAGTGACTTGACTTTTTTTATAAATTAAATGGTCGCTTTATTTTGGGCCAAAATCTGGTTACCAAATCGAATGAATACTTTATTACAGAAAAAAAAATCTAACCATTATTTCGGACATAAATGGGTTGTATTTAGTTATTACTGCGCATGCTCACACAGAAAGGATTATGAAACTGAAATTTATCATAAGTAAATATTTAGCAGTACCCCCTATATCAGCACCATAAAAACGGAATTCAAATCCGAGATCATCCGATCGAGATATTTAATGTTATTTGTAAACATAATCACATTGTATATACTTAGAGGACAAACTGCAGATTTTATTACTTACTTCCGAATGAAATATTTATATATATATACAGATTTATAATATAGATCAAACAAAAACTGCATGTATTTTTGTAATAGTTTATAGAGATTTCATTTTATATAAAATAATAATATATTATTTATTTGTGTTGTGTAATGTCTAAAAACTACAATTTGGAAACTAGAATTGAATAATGCCGACTAGTCCACAAACGATCAGCGTATTGAAAAAAAAAAATCCGACAAACTTCGAGCGACATACACATAGATTAGGGAAGTACGTTCAAAGATTTAAATAATTGCGGGTCGCAAGTTAATTTCATTTAGATATTTTAAGTCAGTCGCACTCGTACGTATATTGGACGTCGGATAGAAACATTAGGGAAAAAAAAATCCGTGCACTCGTCGCAATAAAAGTACGGGGCAAAAAACAATCATTCAAGAAACTTTTCGGACTTTGAATCGTGCGCAATACGTGACAGTAGTGAAATTTAGGGAGCCCGTCTGATATTGACGAGCGACGAAAGTCTGAATATATATATATATACGACGTATTGTATCTGATATTAAGTTTTAGAAATATTTCAGTTCGGCGGAAAATCGGGGGGAAAATGTCTACGGAAAATAACTCAAGGGCTCTGCGCGGGACCAGTTTGCGTGTAAAACAGTATTGCGGCGCGGTCGACGTATCGGTCGATTATTGCGCACGAGTGCATTTGCATCGCGGCTTACAGGCTATCCTATACAGGTTTGTAATACGGACCGAAAGCGGAAAATGGTATAAATATATACATGGATTAGATATATGGTAGACATATTATACATATATATGTTACCGGAACTGAAGTATTAGCGATCGAAGGCAAACGGGACACGACAGTAAAATAATAAAAGGACTGTCACTGTAAAACGCTTTGAACGCTGCGAAAATATCATTTCGATTATTCAGTACCCAACCATAAAGTGTCTGCGGTGCAGCTTCCGCTGGTGTTTAATATAATTGCACGCTAAAATATACAGCCGGCTGCCGACCAAAACCGATTTCTAATACCCAATACCCGAGTTCTCACATTTTCGCATGAGATTACGAAAATGTACCTCACACTGGATCTCGACGAAAAACAACTCGAGCATATCAAGAAAGAAGAGTTCTACAGGCCGGCTGACCGATTGGACGAAGACGTGACTCAGCTCGTAGAATGGCTATCCAAACAACCGCACTTGCCCAAAATCACCGGTGAGTCGTCGCGGGGTAATAGAGGCTATAGTATTTTATCACTTTTAGATTCTGAGCGCAGCGAGGAATGTGTTGGTTAATGGTTTTACTGGGCGTAGCCCGTCTCCACCAAATTTTGTTACTACACGATTCTCGTTTCACCCAGTCTAGTGTAGATCAATTTAAAATTAAGTTGTCAATGGTTATTATTTTACATAAATTATATAATATTTAAGTAGCTTTTAGCGTTTCCCAGAAAACACCACACGAGGTAGCGATACTCTTTGTTCTCCAATTTTTTTTTTTTAAACTTTAAATTCAGTTCACGTTAAAAAAATTTAAAATATTTTTCTACATAAATTTCATAAAATGTTCTTTTACTCTAAATCAAGCTAGTAGTACTTATTCTGCGTAAGCATTGTTTTTATAGGTTACCCGGTAGTTGGACGAGACAGTAGATGCGAGTTTAACGTCCTCTTAAAGAACGAAATAAACAGTTCACACGCATTCGTCGTAAGCAGTATACTTGCTGAATTGCATGCCCATAAAATAGGAGTAAATTTACTATCCACAGAAATACAATTATTAAATAGTCGCAATACTTAATAAATATCTTCAACAATATAATCCGACACTTCGTGGGATTCTAAATATTATAATAACCCCAAAGTGTATTAAATCTATTTACCAAATATGTCTGTATTTTTTTTATATTCTGTAGCTAGACCACACTTTTAAATATTTCGAAACCACAACTGTGTTAAGTAAAAACGACTCACAGACTTTTTTGATTGAGGCCAGATTTCATTAACAGCTGTGTGTATGGCCAGAGAGGTCGTTTTTCGATTTTCTCCGGAGTTTCCTCAACAAATGTGAAAAATCCAAAAAAAAAAACATTTTTTCCTATGATCAGCTTTTCTACCAGCAATTTTGCTTTAATTTTTAATGATAGCTATTTTTCTAAAAGGAAATTCCACTGCGGAAGTACATTAAAAAGGTCGTTTTTAGATTTTTTCCGGGAAAAACTGGGAAAAAACATAGGAAAACCGGGAAAAACGTAGGAAAACAGGGGAAATCGGTACAACATTAAACAAATAATATTAAAGAAAATATATAGAGCCTATTTATTATTTTACTATATTATATGGCATATTATGTTGAAAAAGCATCACTATCAACTGAACTCTTCTAAGAATCGTTTTTTCATAAGCAATGGTTTATAGTTCCCGTCTGTATCCTTCTTCCTAAATTTCCACTTACACCAGTGGTTGCATCTATCCCTATTATCTTACCTTTTTATATAATTCGGTTAAAAAATATTGTAGAAACCTATATTTTTCCGAAACTTTTGTTGGTCTTTTTTAGACTTGGTAAAATGTTGAGATATTTATAGGAATTTGGTCTTTTCTAATTTTTCAGTTGTTATTTGATTTTGTGTGAATAAAATTATTTTGGCCGAAAAAAATCTAAGAAAGGGATGGTTGGTTGACTTATAAATTTCACAAAATAAAAAATAAGGGCGACAAATAAGGGTTAATGCTAGCCATGCAGCTTGCTACCCAAATTTAATTTTAAGTTTCGCCATTGCCGTCACAAAACGACCGGCCATATTCATTTTAAAATTTTCAGAGATATTTTTTATTTTACCAATCTAGTAAAGACATTTCATCGCATTGTATAGTTAGCATAGTTAATACTTATTTGCAAGAACGCCAGCGTGTACGTATAAGCAATTCGGCAGTTGTGTTTATCCATGCACTATATAGGTATGTTATTTAAACTTTTTTTCGGAAAGAATATACAGTCCGTGAATTTACAATGATCCGTATATAAACGTAAAACCGATTTTAAAGTTTTTAATTTGACTTTTCGTCTCCTTTACTTGTAATGAATGCCCGTGTCAAAATCATGTGCTGAATGCGTGGGTGTATACTGTTAATTAAATGCCAAAAGGTAGTAACTAGTATAAGTTCCATTGACGTATTTTTTGTTTGAAGCAACATTTTTTTCGTTGTTGTTTATTTATACGAACACGCGAATATAGCAAAAATAGGTATAATAAATACCTTCGTGGGGGAAATTATATTTTTTTAAGGGTTATAAACGCGGTTTTTTGTTGTTTGTTTTTTTCATAGAATAGCTTACAATTACCCTTGAGGACTTTATTAAAAATTATATAAGCCGTAAAAATAATTCAATATTATATTGTTCCTACGCGGACAGTACACCTAAAACAACAGATAAACGAATATAACAGACGAAAGTACTCATACACTTTATTAGTACTATTATTAGAGTTGGACGAGGTTTGGTTTTATAAAATCGAGTCAAGTTGAGTTCAAAAATCGAGTACTCGAGTTTACTAGTGCCAAAACAAATTTAGAAAAATGCGTTGGTTCAAGTATTCGATTCGCGAAAATTTTATAAAGACGATTACTCAAACAGCTGTCAACTATATAACTATAATACAGAAGTATATAATTTTTTAATTTTGATTTTTGTTAGTATTCGGTTAAAAATAACCGTAGAGGCCTGCATTTTTCACTGCGTACTTATATTAGCATTCTTAAAGGGGTAAATGTTTACAATTTTCTGGCAATTCTTAAATAATGTACAGCCATTTTAATTTTGAAATGGTCTAGACTCCAGAGTTTTAATTATTATTTGGATAACATTTTTCTGACCCAGCAAAAACTCTCGTAAAATTAATGCGTTTTTCACCGTGGTAGATAACAGAAAATCGTGCGAAACATCGTACCTACCTGTCCTATATTTTATAGTACTACTTTTTTTTTTTTCTTATCTTTCAATTTTAATAGCAATTATTTTATGAATATTTTATTAGGCCGGTAGTTTGAATTATGCGCATATATAAGTACATCATGACGTTAAAACGACGAAATAATATTAAATCCGAGGAAAACGGGTAAACGTCAATCTGCAATGACATCCATCTTGTATAGGATTTATAAGCCCAGGTCACCTTGGTAATACGCCATAAAAAATAAATCGAAACATCATTAATATTTAATTATAAATTTAATTTTTTTAATTTACAGTTTTTGGAAGAAAAATTTAGCAGCTACCTACCTTGACGCCTCCCCCCCCCCCGCGTACGTACACCTATAATTATTAGGTGTGCAATATTGATGTACTTGATTTTGGAAACGAACAATAATACATTCTAAACCGAATCAAGTTGTTTTTTTATAGATAAAGTAGCCACCGCATTCAAATATTTTTAACGAATATTTTTTGAAAATATAGTTTAATCGAAATTGATTTCCACCTGAAGGTACGCTACTTTTTCCGGACAATACTAACAAAACTATAAATATTTGAAAGCAGTATTATAAGTAGTAGTAGTATCCCTTTATACGCGATATTCACATTACTGTCTTCACATACGTTGTTTTCGTTAAAAATAAAAAGACGGACATAATTCGCACGTTGGGTGGGTCACTGTTATAGGTGAAAAGTTGGGAAGGTAGGATATAGAAGGTATATATATATATATATATATATATAAATCTGTATGCAACGATTAACCATTGTTAACGAAAAATTATTCCAAGCGAAGTTCGGTTATACATGTTCATGTTTTAAAAGACCATAATATTTACTAATTTTATAAAAATTTGATATTAAAACTTTTATAATATAAAATACTACATTAACATCAACTTTTCCTTGTTGACCACTAAGTACACCTTATAATGAACCTCCTATTAAATTTTCAATCATTTCTGTTTGGTCTAACAATTTTATCCACAGAGTACTTACCGAATAAAAATTAGGAAAAAATTCGCAAAATTAAAATAACAATAAATAGCTTAAAAATGGCTAAACATTTTTGAAATTTCACCACGTCTAGAAAACGCAAATATAAGTTTTCTTTCCCAAATTCAAGTCTATGAATATTTTGAACTAAATTACAACAAAAACCAAAATTGAAAATAATAAGAGCATTATTTTCGTAGATTTTCCTGGTTTTCTCAATTATTATGAAAACTGCTTGGGAAATCAAAAATGACTTCCCTGAAGTACCAACTAGATAAAATTTTCTTTTAAAAAAGGGGTTATATCAGAACAAATTTCTGGTAGAATTTGTGTACACATTATACACATATAAACATCATTGTAAAACCAATACAACATTCTTCACTTCACTCAGAATCTAAAAAGAAAATATACATATCTTACACAAGATTTCCGTGATTTATGAGCTGGATATTTTTATGTTCGTGATACAACATAATATAGCCCTCAAGGTCTTTTTACTTGAAGAATCTATTTGTAGACACTATCAGATCATTCGATCGAAACCAGGAAGTTTGATAATGGCTAATTAATTTTATAATTAGTGCCATAAAATAATAATTGACTGTTCAAATAGTGTGCATGAGGCCGAGTTATAAAGTTTACATGCGTCCAATTTTGTTTTTATAAAAATATTTTATGTAATGATTATGTAATTCAATAAATCAAAAATTAATATATTTCAGTATAACAATATTTAGTAGCCGTTAAAAAAAAAAAGATAACACTGTTGATAGGAGCGCAACTGTTATACGAGGGAAGTTATGCATTTATATATTTTATACGTGTACGCGATGTTGAATAATTGCTAACGATAAACGATTCTGTGAATCGAGTGGAGCTCGATTGAGCAAATTCTTTTCAACAAGTTACCAACAAAACATTTATTAATTAATGTATTGTAAAGTTGAAAAAATATTAGAATGTTTTTAAAATTGTACCACGTCTAGAAAAGGCTAATATTATGTGAAAATTCCAGGTTTCTACGTTTATTTTCAACCGAATTACAATTAAAAAATCAAATTCGAATATAAATGATACCATTGTTCTCGTAAACTTTCCTATTTTTTCCCAATTGTCAAGAAAATTACAAGAAAAATCAAAATATGATAATATCCTTTATGGTCAACTAAATCTAAATAACTATATAAAAAGCTATCTTGTCGGTACTTGATTTTAGCAAGATTTCGGGTAAAAAACCCGTTTTCAGAAAGAAAAAAAAATTTAAAAAAATTACATATAACATAATAACACCATTACAAATTATGCCTAACCTATTGATTAATATTTATAATCAATGGTAGACCTAATATATGCCGCACTCGTATAAGTACCACGTATTTTTATTATTTTATTTTTAACTAAGTTAAACCGGATTTAATAGTTTTTTCATAATATTTTTATAATCTTGTACTTATATTACCTATATTACTTAGGTATATTATTTCATTATATAATTTTGAAAAAAAAAAAAAACCAAAAACCAATGTAAACTTATTAAGAATAATATTAAGTTCTAAACGTAAGTAAAATTTAAAAAACCTATATAAATTGATAACATATCATCATATCTAAAATTGTGTTATAACTAGCTTATCGAATATATATAGATAGAAAATGGTTGTCACATTTCATTGTCGGGTGCAAATACAATGTGCAGAGATCGAAACAAGTTATCGAGGCGTATTTCGTAGCGCGGGAAGAACATCCGGAATTTTTCTCCTCTTTCACCAGGGAACGGCTCGTGGAAGCCATCGATAACGGGCAAGTATACAAAAACATAACTTTAGTAGATCAAATACGTTATTCAATCGATTGAAGAAGGTTATTATATTATATTATATTATATAATTAAAAAAATTATTAGATATAATAAATTATAATAACTCAAGAGTTAGCTTGGTTATCGTCACCGTTAACATTTCAGGACGGTGACTTTGTTTCCAAAACGCACGCCTGAGGGTAACCGAATTTTTTGTACTAAAACCAACCCGTCAACGGACGACGACAAGTTCGACGTCATGACCTTGCTGCAAGTGTCACTCGCCATACTCGACTTGCAGTTGAAGGAAGAACCCATGTATGGGAACGTTTTCTTGTACGACCTGCAACATGTCCGGCTTTCACAATTCATGGCCTTCACGCCGACCATAACTAAAAATATTTTAAAGTGTGGTATTGTGAGTATACCCATCATAATAAGACCGTTAAAACCTTCATATATATTACAGACTTGTAAAAGATACTTTTTAAAAATATTTCTAGTATACCAATATAGAAATTGTTTAAAATAAATTTATTATAATACATATTTGAATGCTACTACAAAAAAATGAGTATGAATAAAGATACTTTTGAAAAATATTTTTGAATACTTTTTTACACATAATTATCACATAATAAGATTTGTTTTAAAATGTTGAATTCATTTGGCTTTCAATTTGGCGCAATACGATGCGTTTCAGTTGAAAATAATATGGACAACAATTTTAAAAATTATACGAATATTTGCGTTAAGTCATTTTTGTATAAGTATTTAAAATACTCAATAGGGTTTTCGAAAAATCCTTAGAAATTATATTCTATAGTTGAAAAATTCCTCAGACCTTATGGAAAACTAATTATTTTTTTTTTTAAATATTAAAAATGGCACAAATTATTTGCACGGCTTTATAGTGATTTACAATAATCGTTCAATATAATAGTATATCGAATAATAAAAACTAAAATTTAATAATATTTCACTAAAATACAACAAATTGTGTAACCACTATTATTTTGTAATGTTAAAAATATTGCAAAATTATAATACTGCGAGTATCGCTTTTATTATAATATACCTATTCGCTGTAATTCGCGTGTTACAGAATTCGTTCCCGTTGAGAGTGAAAAGTGTCCACTACGTGAACCCTCCGAAATTCGTCAGCCGTCTCGTGACGTTTTTCAAAATGTTTTTGCCGAATAAATTAAAAGATAGAGTGAGTATCGGTTCCTAGTTGAAATTTGTAGCAAAAAAATTAATAAATAAAAATATAGTAATTTGCTGGTTATAACAATCACGACTTTTCGATTATACTCCGTTGTAGATGTTCGTACACGAAACGCTGGAAGAACTTTACCAGTTTATCCCGCGAGACGTTCTGCCGGACATATATGGTGGCACGGCTGGAAAAATTGAACAATACGAAGGCGAGTACTTTTACCATGGAAATAATAATAATACGAACTATAAATATATGAATATTTCATAGAAGAGAATAACGATCATGATGAGATAATTGAGATATTTGTATTAAAATGTGTGCCTGTAGTGGAGAAAATCTCAGGGGAGCATATTATGATGCTATGCGCTTTGCAAACCCTGGGAGCCCTCAAAAGTACCCTTTTTTTTTAATACAATTTTTCCCGAATTACGTAGAGTAAAATGTACCGGTTGTCCTCAAAATATTATAATATTATAATATGCATGACTATTGACAAACAATACAACACGGTAAATTGTACTTAAATAGCACGGAGATACAAATGTAACGCTACTAGCGACGTATTTACGGGGAGAGAGGTTAATAAGGTCCGGAACCCCCTTCATTGATATCCACTCAAATATGTTATATTTAATTTTTTTTACATGTTAAAATAATAATAATCTTTATTTCATAGTATACAGTGGATGTAGTCAACATTTTTTGGCGCTTTGTCGAGTTATCAATTTTTACAATTTTAAAATATCGTAATTATTTTTGTTATCAATTTGGTACCGAACGTGGTTAAACGTACTAAGATATTGGCATAGATAATAAATTATCTTTATTATTTATGGATATTGGGTATTGAATAAACCAATAATAAATAATCTGCTGTTATCAAAATTAAAAAATCAAGATAATGACACTATCGTCCGGTCACAGAATATTCTATGGTACAGTCTAGATATTGGTGAGGTTCGTGTTTTTTGCTTGTTACCACAGTTATCTACTGTAGATAACCGTGCTTGTCACCCTGTAAATCTTAAAAACTCCCAATAACTAAGCATAATAAATCAAACTATATTTTTAATTATTTATTGTAATTAAAAGCTCAACCACTAAAATTACACTTGTTATACATGTAGTTCAGCAATAATATTATATAAAATTATGTCATACATGTTTTGTATACATCTTATTGATTTGTTGTTGTTTTTTTTTATAGATAATTAATTTTAAATATTATTCTGGCCTGTTCTTTTGAATCTTACATCCAGTATAATCGCTACGTCACCATGAAACCGTATAGTATTACGTATAGGTAATTTACACATAGGATTATAAATATGATATTTTTATTTAAAAATGGTTATTGAAAGCTGTGGGGGTGGGTAAAGCACCCCGTGGCTCTATGCTCTGAAAATTATATAGACCCTCCCCATGACAAATTCCTAAATACGCCACTGAACGGTACGACAACGTAGTAGATATGGCCATAGTATTAGTATAAAATAATAATGAAAATAAAATACAACATACATAATAAAATAATAAACAAAATTTAGTTTCAATAATGAGTGACATACATTGCAGTTTTTCAAAAAAAACAATAAATAATAAAGAAAAAGTGGAGGCGAAAAGTCGAAATTGAGGTACCAACCAAATATTCGGAAAATACAACTAGTTTTTCTGATAAAGTCTTGATTAAAATGATCGATAATTAAGTGAATCCATTTCCACAGATATAGTGGGAAAGTCGAACATGTACAGGGTGGGGCACTGAAACGGCCGATTTTAAAAATAGATTTTCTCAATAGTAATTAAGATAAGAATTCCCACTAAATATTATTAGTTCAACGAGAACACGCCATTTAGTAAACACGGAACAGTGTAGTGGTGAATAACGTGGTTATGCAATAAAATCGTTTTACAAAAATAATAACAGTTACGTAGCCGCACAGTGTTCAATCCGTCTTCATTTTAACCTAAAACGCCATGATTCGGTATCATCGGCTAAGATTATAAATAATATAGATAACCAAATTTGAAGAAACGGGTTCGCTATTTGTGTATGTTACGTGTTTGTTCGTTGAGCTCAACTGGTACGTTTGGCTGGGGCAACTGGTAATTTGGTAGAAAGAAACTGGTACATTTTTTAAATCCCGAGAACAGTCCATGATGCAACTGGTCAACACCCAACCGGGGGCCCCGAGCTGTTATTGATGGAAAGCCCGGATGGTTGATTCCTGTGGGCATATGATATTGTCACCAGTTGAGAAGAATCAAAGGTAGTAAGAATCGTAATGAAAATAAACATAGGAGGAAATAAGCAGAGCGAAAAACAGACTGAAAAAGGGGTCGTGATCGAGCATTCTCTCATTATATGATTGACATCCAATATACGCGAGACAAGTGACCGGATCAAGTGGGAGTTTAAAACGAAAGCGGCCGGCTCCAAATAGTTGGGATAAAGGCGAACGAGAGAAAGATCGAAGATGCATCTGCAGTGGGAAAAACATAATATAATACTATGACGTTAACAAACGCATTTTGTTTTAAATGTTTAAACGGCCCGTATTTACCTGTTTTCAGACGACATGCTGGAATTTCTGTTATCGAACAAAGAATGGTTGGAAAATAGGCCGAAAGCCGATTTGTCGAGACGACCCGAACAGTTGAAAACCGACGGGTCGGACAGCGTCGACGGTACATTTAAACGACTGCAGATTGATTGAACGATATTGTATTTTTTTAGTTTATATAATTATTTGACGATACCTGTAGTAATAACTTTTTACGCGGTACATTAATTTATTTTCGGCGGACGTATACGGTTTAAACGAAATATTTACATAAATACCGGCAAATACATATTATAACTGAAACGTGTAAAACTAATATTCTGCAGTGTAAAAATAATAAAATATAAAAAAAATAATAAAAAATGTGTATATTATTTAGGGGGGGAAAAAATAAGTTTGAAATTATCAAGATTTAAATGCTAAACCGTGTTTGATTTTTTTTCCATTTCGAATGATTAAAATCAATTTGTTACGTGCAACTATTCTTCCGTAATGCCCGATGCACGTTCCCGGAGAACGGAACTAGACACCGATGAAACACAATGCCTAATACTGATTAATAATTCCAATCGTCCGTTCTAATAATTTTTTCGGTAAGGACATCCGAAGGATGATCACAATACAGAGTCGAATAACTAACATCCTATTAATTTACCGAGAGCATAATGAATAAAGCTTTTTTTTTTTTTTTATCTAATTTCAGTGCAGCGATTCCCAAAGTGTGTTTCGCGGAACAATCTCAAGGATTCCGCCAAATGTATGTGAATACTGAGAAAATGGTTTTATATTAAACTTGGAAAAAAAAATAGAAGCAGAAAACATGAAACAGAATATTAACGAACATTTGGAAAACCTCTTGGAAAACCAGTACTTCCCGATAATTATAATGACATTGATTGGATACAAAATCCTTTTGTGAATAAAAAAAATAATCTGCCGGACTACGGATAACATCCGTTTCCGAATATGCAAACCTAATGGAAATTAAGAGTATGTCATCCTTAAAACATACATTTGAATCCGGATCTTTAAACGAGTTTTGGATTGGACTTAAGGACGAATACCCATATCTAGCTGAAAAAGCTATTCTAACTCTACTAGGTACGTTTTGTAAAACCCTACCACTCCGGACCCAAAAATTCAACTTTCAGATATAAGATCCAATTTTATAACTATTGTAAGTCGAACTATAAAACAATTCCATTCATCGCATTAAAAACATTAAAAGTAAATTAACACTAAACGTATATTATAAAATAAAATAAATTATATTTTGTTAAAAGTACATTTTTTTTAATAATTAAATAATACATATTTGTTATTTTTATAAATACAATTTTGATTGAAATTTTTTTTTTTTAACTAATTGTAAATATCAATATAACAATATCTTTTAAACATTTTTTAGAGTATTTATTTTTCAGTAAATAATTGAAAAATTAGGGGTCAGTTGGAGTTAGAGACATCGGGGTTACACGAAATACAAACTTTTTCCTAAGGGTGCCATGGTCGTAAAAATTTGTAAACCGCTGTTTTAGGGAATTAAGTATTTTGTGGACATTTGCATCAAAAATAAAATAACACAAAATGTACTCAGATAGTCTGAGGATCTATCTATGACACAATATGTATAAATTGAACTATTTGTCCCTAAAATGAAATCGGCAACTGTTAAATTTAATAATCCTACCGAATCATTTAAGTATATCTGATGGACAGTGGACATACTTTTACTCTGTGGAAATAATTATAAAATGTACAAATGGTATGAGAAGTGCATTATATTGTGAGCGAAGCGATTATGTAAATAACTTTTTGTCAAAGTTCAATTTTCAACATCGAGGGTGTTTTTGTGACCTGATATGGATAAAATTGTTTTGGCTTCAAACAAATGCTCGTTTTTCAGAAGTTACAGATTGTACCCACACTACCTCATTGAATAAAAAATATCGAAAATCCATGCAGTTTTTTATGAGCGTTTGAAGTTTATATTTTTACCACCATCGTGGAAATTACCAACATTTAGCATATCTACTATTTTGTTTTTATTTATGTGACTAAAATTTTGAGCGAACAAGTACCAGTCAGGTGAGACCAGTTCTCCAATAGATTACATGAGTTTTTAATATATTAATATTAAAAAATAATGAATACATTCATTGTACTTTTTAATTGTGAAAATTAACCTCAAGATTTATCGAAACTAAAAAATTACATAAAAAAACCCTATATTGGTTATTTTATTTTAGATTCGGAGCGTAATGTGTATTGGTTTTATTATGAATTTTTTTTTCTGTCATCAAATAAAAAAAAAGAAATTTTTCTCTAGTTGGTGCATTAAACAGGTCATTTTTTAATTTTTCAAGAAGTTTTTGAGAAAACCCTGAAAGAAAATTATAGGTAAAACGACAAATATTTACGGCGCACCACGACGTTACCGATTTCAATGTTTTAATTTTTGTTCAGCTTATGTTTTCTACCAAAAATATTGTTCCAATCGATAAATGACAAGAGATCGATTCTGTTCACCTTCACATTTGGTCACTGGCGAATAAAGTCGTTTTTCTTTTTTATATCCAAAGTAGTTTTCATCATAATTCGGAAAAAAATTAAATATTAATTAATATTTACGGTGACCCGAATTTAATTTAATTATTTTAAATTCTTTAAACGGTGTTTTCTACCAGAAATATTGCTCTAATAAAAAAACGACAAAAAATCTTTATTAATTTTTAATCTAGTTCATGAATAAGTCATTCGTTTTTTGATTGTTTTCGTGTTTTTTTTAATAACTGAGAAAAACCGGAAAATTACGAAAAATGAAAACTGATAAATTTATAGCACTAGGATTCCTTTATTTTAAATTTTTACGGCTTACGAAATTTGTAAAAAAATACGGTATTTTATAATATGTCACATGAAACATTTTTGCCATTTTTAAGCTTTTTATCCAAATTTTAATATGTTTGTCGTAGCTGAATGGTAAATACATACTGAATGTATACCTATGTTCATCCTAGGGTACGCAAGTTTGATCCCGTGTTTCGAGGAAAATTGTTTGCATTTTTTTTTTTACTTAAACAAAGTGTAACATAAAAAATGTGCATTTTAAGGGTACCTAGAAGAGACCCAAGCCATCATTCACTCGGATTATTTTAATCGCAAAATACCCCTTGAAAGTGGCTACGAGAAACTTCTTATTATTGAAGAAATGATAGACATTGCCAATGAAGGTTGAAAGACATTCAATAGTAACGGTAACCTTAATAAACGCAAAAAGGTTTGGAGGTAGAATAGAATTGTATTATAGCCAACAATCGAGCCTGTATTTTAGCATGTGTTCGAAGGCTTTGAGGAATGAAGAAGACAGCACTTCTAGACGAAGAGAGATGTTGGACTTTGATTTAGGGATGGGAATGACTAGGAATAAAAGTTCCAGGAGGTGGAAAATTGTAGAGTAGCCAACAAAATCGTTGAAGATATTAAGAAGAGAAACTAACGCATTCATGGGAAGGTGTTTTAACAAGGCAGATCGAAACCAGAGGCTGTGGATTTTCGTGAGGAAATAGTAAAATATTTAAACCACCTGGCAGTAGCCCAGAGATGCTAAATCGAGCAAGGATTTAGATTGGAACAAAAGATTTTACAGCTATTATTTTTTTTCAGTCTTAAACAAACATGTAGTTTGGGCGCACACATTACGATATTTAAGAAGGTCTCATATGCATCCTGATTATCGAAAGACTTTAAAGTGTAAGGATCAATTTTTGACGATAGCGGAGCATAAAAGATTCTATTAGAAGAGAGGGAGCAATGCGATCTTCGTGTACAGCCAGTGATGTCACTGGCATTATGGTGCTGCAGGAGTTTCACACTATTTACATGACTGTGAAGCGACCAATATTATCTATAAGCCTTGCCTTCCACTAGCAATATCAATATTTGATAAGAAAGCCCAGTGGCTTCCAATTTTATACACAATGTTGCCTATATAACTCCCGATTTGTACTTCGAACGGTTTAATTAGTTACTTACCCAACACCTAAATATTATGTTTTTAACCCATTTTTAAAATAATTAAATTGACAACGTCCAATTTGTATATATATATATATATTGCCTACCCAGCTCTTGAAATTGTTCAATATATCTGTTTATCTTACTTTCAAAAAAATTCAATTGCCGCTTAAAAAAATATATCTGTAATTTCTATACTAAACAATAATTTAATGCAAATATTGCCAATGTTCAATTCCAAGTTTTCGTATAAGTTTGCACAATTAACTATAAAATAATATTTTTATCTTAATCATAGATCTTTTTAGTTATTATTTTATCATAATTTGATATACATAATATAGGTAGGTACCAGATATAATATTATTATTAGTAGGTACCTATAGTCTGTCCCACGAAAGATCGGGCCACTTCCGCACATGTATAAAGTTAAAACTGACTTTGAGCGTCAACACATTGGCGTATTTTTGATTATCGAAGCAGTTTTTATAATAATTGGGAAAAACCGGAAGATGCGTAGGAAAACGTACAACAATTTCACACAATATATTTGTTCAATTTTGCTTTAAAAATGCAATACTATTAACCGAGCTCCGCTCAGAATCGTCTTTCGTCAGCAATGATTAATTGTTGTTTACAATTATAAATTAAATAAATGTATGTATCCTACCTTCCCAATTGTCCACCTACAATAATGGCTGCAATCACAAGTGTATCGGCTCGTCTTTTTCTCTTACAATTATTCAAAATCACCAAGTAATGAAAATAAAAAGGAGTGTAGCAATACTAGACACCCATAATAACATTCCAAAGTTTCATTAAATTAGGAATTTTTCTTAGGTACCAACCCCCCCTGATTTTACTCTTAGACTGGACTAACAGACAATATTATAAAATTCATAAAACGATTAATATAAAATTATGCAATAAAAATAAATACGATAAAAAATGTTTACCGTATAGTAACATGTATAATTATTACGCTTTTCTTCATCAATACGATCAAAAATTTTCCTACCACGGTCATAAGTAGGTAGCCGCTAACCGGGTTTCCGCGACCCCCGTCGACCTTTATGGCGACAAAATTATAATTTACGAATTTATTTAGTTTTATGTTGCAATAATAATCATATCGCCATCTATTGGGAGTTTTATTTTAGGCCATCGCAAAGGCGGGTTCCCACGGCGCGTGGCTCGGCGTGCTTCGCGCTTGTACCAAGCTCGGTACTATGCTCGGAATAACACGAGTCACAAATGTCTACATTATTCCCACGGCGCGTTATTTGGCAAGCCACGAGTTTATCCTAAACAAACCAAGCACCCTCAAAATTATTTTATTTAGCCGCCAAATTATTTAGTTCAAAATGACTAGTGCTCTAGATCAGACGCAAGTTACTGCTTGCGCAACTGCGTATTTTATCATGTTAAGCGGCAAGTATTTAAAAGAAAATCAATTAAAAAACAAAACAAAAAAATTAATGAAGATATTGGATATTGGATGCATGTAATTTATAAAAGCCGTACTAGATAAACGATACATTTTTCATATTTTTAAATTATAAGTAGATAAAGTACATATTTATTTTTATAATATATAGAGAGAATATTACAACTTTTATAGTGCCACCCTTTTTTAGTTTATTAAACTTTAAGTTTACATAAAGGACATAAAAGTTTATAATTATATAGCTACTTATACACTATAAACAAGTATTTTAATTTAAAGTTAACGATTTTATGGACAGTGAATAAGTTATAAAAATCCTAACCGTAATCAAAATTAAAACGCACACATTTCATTAAAATCATATTAAAAATTCCCTATGTGCATGCTCGCCGAGTCACACGCCAGTGGGAACGCTGTTCAAATGCGCGGATCGTTTCCTTTGGCGCGGACACAACCTACTGACAATTTTCGTATAGCCACGAGCATGTCTGAGCTATACCAATCCTAGAAGAGCAAGCACCGTGAGAACCCTTTAAAAACGGGCCAGTGAGTCTATAGTAGTATTTACCGTCAATGTTATTTGAGATGGCTATTTTGAAATATATACCTAGGTTTTAAATTTTTAATGATTTAACGTGAACATAGTATAATATATTATTTTATTAAAATTTTCTCAAATTAATAGTAGTCGTCAGTAGCATTAACTTATTTTTTACATAGTTAAATTGTAAAAAAAATTGAACCATATTTAAGCTATTAATAGACACTTTAATTTCCTGAGTAATTTTTAATAACGTATTTACTCTGTGAATAGAATTGTTAGACAAAACATTAATGCTTGAAAATTGAACAGGAGGTTACTTATAAGTCGTACTTTGCGGTCAAAACAAAAGAAATTTATTGAATGTAGTATATTTTTTTAAAAAAATTTTTAATATCAAATTTTAACAAAAATTGTTTTAGTAAAAAATTATGCGAAACAAATCTAGTTACTGGTCCATACAAAATGTTTTTATATAATATTTATTTTACTGTAATATGACATATTATATAATATTGTTGAAAAGGGTCTACATCATATGCATCAGAGTAAGCTTTTTGGTAGAAAGTGTTCGCAAAAAAAAAATAATAATAATATTTTACAGATTCAAATCCTGATGATTATTTTTTAAGATACCTCTATGTTAAATACATATTACTAATAATAACTGGTAGCATCAAGTAATCAAATTAATGAACATAATCTCGAGATTACCTGCTACATTTATAACAATAAAAACTTAGATAAGGCCAATATAGTTTAAATAATATCAATATAAGTAATTCAATAATTTTGTGGATAAGAAAATATAATCATACATAATAAGTATTAAAATAGTCATCATTAGTAATATAAATAGCTTCCGAAATTCATAACGTCTTTTAAAATAATTCTTAACTTTGACAATGAAATACCATTAGACATGAGAACAATAAATAAACATTTAAACATTCAAATTATTTTTTTTTTGGATTTGGTCTACTATGCACTTGTTACCCATTAGGCATCTGATATGGTGTCAAAAATTAAACTTTATCCTAATGAGTCATAGTTATTTTGTATACAACACAAATAATAATATTTTGATAAAATGTTAAAACGTAAAAAAAATATAAATATTAAATTATCAGAAATAGATAAAAGGATCTGATTTTTACTTGTAAAATGTTTTTGCTTCATTTACATATCTATGCATATTTTAATTAAATATAAAAAAATTATGTGGTAGAATGCATATTAGTGTCAAAAATCAATATTAATGTACAATTTTAGAGTAGCTTAATGTATAGAATATTCACCAAAAAAAGTGCTGATAAAGCTAATACTTTTAAGATAATGAGTATCTTAGGTTATACTGATTATCTTGTATATACGTGTGGATGCTCTCTCTCTCTCTTCTTACTCTAATAAATTTTAAAGTTCCTTTTCACTAAACTAGGTCTAATTCTTCCATTCCACAACACCAACTATGGTAGAAATAATCCCATTCAACATATGATGCACATGGGTAACAAGCGCCTAAGCTTTTCTTAAATTGTTTTAATTAGTATTAAATCCAATTTATTGTTTGCTTACTTTAATATTTATGCTATATTGATCAAATTTCTTTATTACTGTAAATTGTATTTTTCTATTGGGCTCTAAGCCAATTAATAAATAAATTAATCAATCTCAATATCAAATTATAAAATATATTTATAACAAATAAATTATAATAATATGTTTGATGAAAAAGCAAATACAATAATGATAATGATGTTTTTTTTTTTTTTAGTTTTTATAGAAAAAAATAAAATACACGACAAATTAAGAATCTCTTGCAAAGTCGGTTAAAAAGGAACACATTATAAATATTTAAAAATTTAAAAAATGCAATAATGATTGAAAAATAATAGTATAGGACGTAAAATGTGTTATGTAAAAACAACATAGCTAAATGCCTTCGAAATTACCGGTGAGTATAGGTAGATATATCTAATATTTAAATTTCTTTATAAAAATGTATAATAATATACCATATAGTGTGCAATTACGTTTTAATACTTAATAGTAGTATTAAAGTATTGAAGTACCTCTTATATTAAGCTACTTTCTGTTTTATTTGTACTGATTTTCAGCTGGTTATTATTTGATAATGTCCCGGAACTGTTTGATTCACTTTTTCCATTTAATGATTTATTGCTGTATAAAACAAATTAAACATGTTAATTAATATCATTGAAACACTATTTATTCAAAATAAAAATAAATATTTTATTGGTTTACCTACTTTAAATTTAGGTGAAATATATTTAAACTATGTGCCCATTTATTTCAATTAAATTTTAATACTTTTTTAGATTCTGAATAAAAAGAATATTGTATTGGTTTAAAATAGGTATGTGTTTGTTTTCAATCAAAATTATTTGTTTGATACAGCAAGTCTCTAAATAGGTAGTTGTTTAATTGAATATCATTTAAAAATAAATTGTAAAGAAACAAATTTAACACATCCCCTCCGGACACCATTTGTTTTCCAATTTATTTACTTTTTAAGGTATATGTTTTTCGACACAAATTTCGGAACTTTTTGAATTTATTTGTGAATGGAAATCATTATTAAAGAAGTTATGGAAGTTTGAAGTTCTTTGTATTAGCTCACTCTGACTATTAAAACGAAAATAATTCTCAATTCGATGAGCAAAACCACATCTGGTAGGTAATAGGGAAAAGTGAAAATGCATTATAGGTGTACATAGACACAAAGGTGTCACTCGATTGCTCGAACTTTTAAAAGACAATAACCCTCGATTTGTTGTGCAATACCATATCGGGTAGGTAACAGGAAAAAAATTAGATTGGGGTGAGATCGGTGCAAAATCAAAATGTTTAAATCACATACGGAGATTAGATGCATGTTTTTCAACAACAAAAATACCACGCTGGCCAAATGTAAATAAATTAATGTAAAATAGATAGGTATTTAAGCAAAAACCATAATAACAAAAAACTTCAAACTTCCATAACTTCTTAAAATGATCAGCAAAAAAATTCACAGTAAAAACTAATATTTAAAAAAAAAAAATTGGAGAACAGAGTATCCAGTAAACTAGACTTATAGGTACCATAGTAAATTTGTACCAAATTACTTTATTATAAGAAATTTACACATAAAAAGGGTTTATCAAATGAAAATTTTAGTATTAGTTAAAATACATTTCGGTGTTGAAAATTTGATTTCTATTAATCCGCCGTAGACGAAACATTCCATTTTTAAGTTTGAGCCGAAGGAGTGAAATAGTGCATTATTACACTACGCACCGTGCCACCTCACAAATAATGCTCTAATACTCTTCCCTGGCCTAAACGTAAGAGTAGAATATCTCATCAACGGATTAACCAAGGAATTAACAGAAATCAAAAATGTAAATACCAAAATTTATTTTAACTAATTCCCCATATATTTATGACATTTTTAATATAGGTTGCGATTTAAAAATCATAAGTAAGTTTAACCTCCCCAAAAAAAGGTTGAAAAAAATAAAAAAAATAAATAAATAAATGTAAATTTGTGGAGCTGCCCGTTTCTTAAATGTTCTATAAAACAAATTCCGAAAAAAATGAATACTTTTCTTAATAATGAATGTATCCACTTAAATGGTACACTGTATACATAAAAAAAAGCAAAAATAAAATATGGTTTGCTTGCGAGACATTTCATATAAAATTCGAAATAATTCGAGTGTTAAGATAGTTTGATCACCTGTATAATTGCCTTGAATCTAAATTAATATTTGACATAATATTTTTCAAGATATCAAATTAAATTTTTTTATAGCGAAATTGACGAAAATCAATTTTTCTTTAATTAAATCGAATCAAAAAATTAACACATAAATTGGTGGCCGTGTAGTTTTTAGATCTTATTATCTTATTAATGACGATTACCTTTCAGTCTCGATGAGGCGATTTCTCCGGTTGGCGAACCGTCGGCGCAACGACGGCGGCGTGTCGATGGCAAAAGGACTGTACATCTTGGTGGGCGTCCTGCCCAACAGACATTTGGACCGGGTCTTCGGAGTATTGGGAGTCATCGGTGATTCGTCCAATTTGAAACGACGCCTAGTGGCTGGCCGCAATTTCTGAAACGATAAAATCAGGTAGGTTGGAGCCGCTGAACCTAACCGGGTGTGGTACTTAACCGGGTTACCGTTAATGTTATATGAAGTCCCTATGCATACCTGGGTAGCAGCTTTGAACCCGGTCCTCAGCTTGTTCATGGACCTGCACACCGAGCTCATGCCTCGCCTGAACGTGTCCCGTTTCTTGGCCACCGTGTTGACGGCCACCTGCCACACCTGCGAATTGCACGTCTTCGGCGCCTTCGGACTGTTCCGGGTCGACTTGCGGACCAGCGAGTACGGACACTCCTCGTCGAATCGGTCCCGGATCTGTCGCTGGATGTCCGACTCGACGAAGCACTCGGACAGCGGGCTTGCCCTGCAATACTCGCCACTACCGCCGCCGCCGCCGATGAAATTCAACTTCCGGCGCATCATCACGACGTCTCAACAAAACAAAAAAAGGTAAGACAACGCGAAAAGTAGGTACCTAAAAAAAAAAAAAAAAAAAAAAAGGAAAGAAACAGAATAAACGGGCGAGAATGGTTTTGCGTTTGCCGAACTCGTTAAAGAAACGCGTGCGCGCCGAACGATCGAAAATTGAAGCACGGAAAACAAAACGACGCACCGGCACTCGGCAGCGTACTCGCGTCGGGATTGTTTGCAATGTCCGTAGACCGTTAAAATTCAAACAGTACAATGCGATTTCGCCGCCGCCGCCGCCGTTGATCGGCCATGCGGCCAGTGTTGCCGGAACGGCCGACGCGAAAACACCGCGACACTAATCTGACGGAATAAACCGCAGAGATTCTTAACGGATCCCGCTCACGGCCATTATTGTACAATTCGTATTATATTACCTATAATAATTAACAACATTATTAATCATGATCGATTACGAATTAATAATATGATGTTAATTCTTTGAAAAAGAACTTATGTTACCTGAGCGGCTACGTTCAACAAAATTATTTTTTTTTTTTTTTTTATTCAAAATTATTAAGTGCGAGGTATCTACTAGGAAAACAAATCAATTAAACGTGATCAATATTCGCATCTACTTAACAATATCATCAACATTGCCATCGATTTTAGAATATAGTAATTCTAAAATATTCATAGATAAATACAATAAAATTACTCTATATTATACCCTCCCTAATCCGATAAAAGTCCTATCAGGCGATTCGTGTTGCGTCCATCACCTATCGCTTAGCACTAGTGGCCAACGGTCCCAAATAGCACATAAAAAAAATGGCTACGGCGCGGCGCGTATTTTCTCGCTGCGGCAGCACCCGTGAAATTGCATCGCATGTAAAACTATTAAAACCACGCGTGGTATTTCGTAGAAAATGCAAATATTTTCCTAGAAAAAAAAAATGATCAAAAATTAACGGTTTTTACCGCGCAACTATACAAAATAATAGGTATCGTATTTCAAAGGAGACGATAAAACGCTATAATGGACAAACATACTACTATCATTGGTTATACGTAAAAAAAAAAATCCGTGTATACCTACAACGAAACCCGCAGCCTCCAGGTGATTGTGCAGCTGCGACCTATAGAGTATAGAGCACGTACGATCCTTGTTCTTTTTGCAAAACGTACCCGTCATATTTGATAGATACCGGTGAAAATCTTCTTCGACGAATAATAATGATAATCCGATATCCGTTGCTCAAAATTTGATTTTTCCGACGTACCATCACGACATTGACGTCTTTGATAATACGCACAGCACGAAATGGATTAAATAAATTTGATTACGATTAAACTTTTTACAGCTTACATAAACACTTTTGAACATTTGTATATAATGTGTGTGTATTATATAGTATATAACGTATTACAAAGGCGTCTGTATTATCACATGCTGATGCTAGAATGAAATTATTTTTATTTAATTGCCACACCTCGTATATGTGCGACAGTATAGGTATATGTACAGAGTGATTTACTAAGCATGTTCACCCGTTTTTTTAGTTAAATTTCGCATATATTCAATTTCTGATTTTTGGAAGTGTAGTTAAAGCCGATATTTTCGAATACTTAGATTTTTCAAAACATTTAAGAATTATCCTGTGGTAATACTAACTTTGGTTTTTAAAATGAGAGCCTAAATTAATAATTCCATAAATAGACGGAGTATTACTTTTCATACATCTTAGTGTTAAAATGTTTAATTTCCGTCAATCCGTTTACGAGATGTCCCACTTTCAAGTTTAAGTCAAAGGAGAGTAAATTAATAATTGGGTGTAATGTAGTATTTATTTTTTTATAAGAGTTTTAATATCAAAATTTAAAGAAAATCTAAAATCAAAACATATATGCACAACGCTTCGAATCGTTTTTCGTTATCAAAGGTGTATCCTTGCTTACATATATAAATTAATTAACTTTGTGTATTCTATCTTCACAACTTCCCACCTACACCAGTGGCACATCCGTCACCAGTATCAACGCTTCTTTTTCAATTAGATATTATTTAAAAATCATATAATCATACAAATTCCTAAATCAGAAATATTTCCTTTAAGAAATCCTAGTAGGTATCAACTCTTTTTTTTTTTACTTCTATGTACTTCTAATGTTAAATAGTCCAGCATTTATTATCGGTCAAACAATTTTTTTTTGTATAGTACTTATCAAATAAAAACTAGAAATATCTTGAAGTTTCATGTTTTGCTAGGCATAATACTGAAACACGGAATACAAGTTTGCCTATATGTGTGCATAATAAATCTGTCGAGTCAGAACCATCATAGTCTAGTCGAGTTCCAACTATACCCGGGTATTAATAATGTCGAATGTTTTTAATCAATAATATAAGTAAATTATAATAAAATATGTTATCAATCACCACACGCATCACTCATATTCTACTTCACCTGGTATTGTCATAACCGCCTAAGGAGATCAATGTTACTCGGGTCAAGTGTATGTATATTATTCTAATATTTATTTATTGTATTTGAAATAAATTATGACGCTGTTGAATTGTGTTTAGTTGTATTAATTGGCGAACGCGGGTCTTAAGGTCTCTTTGACCTGTAAAATATAACTTAGATATCTTTATTCATATCAATTCAATGGACTTGTCCAAAAAGCCGACTAGTGTAGTAGAAATAGCCAACCAACTGCTCCGACTAAGTGTATAGGATTAGGTATAAATATAAATAGCCCCTTACGTTTCATTTTCTAAAACCAAAGAAGTGTGTTGTAGTGTACACTGTTTCAAAAGGGCATAATTCATAATTAACCTGATTAAATTAATTTGTATACAATTATAATAAAATAATACATAAAATAAATGTGAGCATGTAAAAATATAGTTTTAATTTTAAAATTCAATGACAACAAAGACATTATTTGTTTTCCATACGCGTATGATATTGTTCAAATTTTTAATATCGCAACAGATTATATTATACTAGAAAAAACAAAAACCGTTTTGGTCAAAGTTCTTAAACTGAGTTTTAATTTTAAAATAAGTAACAACTAAAAACTGAGGATTAAGCTGAATGGAACATCACCTGGCATCTCCCGAGGGTAAGCCTATGGGCATACCTTCCGTAAATTATTACCAACATTTTCAAACTATACTGTAAATTTAATCGATCTGTAGTTTTTTAAACGTGCCTTCCACGCCAAAGTTGTTGGCGTTTTGCTGTCCTGGTCGTTTGGACAAATCGGCAATCGGTCTGTTTTCCAAATATTCCGTTTCGGATAGCAGATATTCGAATAAATCCTCTACAATAATAAAAAAAAAAACATATCGTCGTTAAATAACGTTTAAGCAAAACATCCTGATGCATATATTTCGCGTACTGCGTCCCGAAACGATTCTTATTTTCCAAAGTGCGTCCCAAGAAAAAAAATATCTTATTTTCAACGTAGTTTGTATGCTCCCAAGTTTATTTAGATTTACTCAGGATGCACCATGAGAAGGTGAACTGACTTTTATCTCAAACATATTTAGTTATTTTCTTATCTATTATTGGCTTACGCTCATTATGGTTAGTTGAGTTTTATAAAATAATTTTCATTTTTTAATTCACAAGAAAAATGTTAAAAATGTTGTCCATACTTACTATACTCTAAAGGCCGGCGTTTAAATAAAATTATTTTTACAAAATTCATATATAGTTTTTAGAGTACTTATATATTATTTGTGTACTTTTTATATTATAATATGTCAAATAGTGCTTTTTTTATAACTAGCTTTCCCGCCCGGTGTAAATAGGCACCTACAGCAGCATCAATACGACTGTGGGCGCATTCGGATTATGAAAAAGATTAAAAAATGGGTTAAAAATAGGATGCACTTGGGATATCCCCAACTCCCATAATTCCATATTCGTATACAATATCACTGGGCTTTAACCTTTTATCCTATAAGTATATGTTCTAAATATTGTTCAATATTCCTAATCGACCCGACATAATATACGATGAATAATGTATTGTGTACTAAACAAACACGAAATAATATTCATAACGTCACGAACGTTTCGGCGTTTTGTTTCTTTATTATACGGTTCGTGGGCATTATGTATTATTATAATACGAAATTATCGCGTTTCTACCAATCCACGATCAATATTATTATTTCATTTGGTAACATTTGTATAGAATTACACTACAATGATACTATACGGATTTACAGAGATGCAACCATGCTGGATGGAAGTGACCCCACGTCTCCCCGGTGAAATACGAAATCAACGTAATAAATGTATGGAATTCATTAAAACCCTCCTCCTCGTCCCCGAAAATAAATCTTGATCGCGCAGTTGTGGTTTTAAAAAAAAATTGTGCTTTACTCACTTTCGAGTTTCTCCATTGTTCCGGCGGTGCCACCATATATGTCCGGAAGAACATCTTTCGGGATGTACTGATAAAATTCTTCCAGTGAGTCATGAATAAATATCTGAAATGGAAAAAAATAAAATAAAAAAATGATATAGTACCATTAAATGCGGTATTGCAGGCGTGTATATATCATTGTGTAAAACATTACGCTTTTTTAATTAGGTACCTATTATTACGCCGATAAATCTGATTTCAATACAATAGGTACCAACTATTAATTATTTAATTATTTAATTGAAACTCACTCTGTCTTTTATTTTAGCGGACACGAACATTTTGAAGAAACCGACCAGACTGCTTATAAACTTTGGCGGGTTCACAAAATGGACACCACCAATACGCACCGGAAATGAATTCTATATAAGTGCAACAATTAATGGTCAGTGTATTTATTAGTAAATATTCGGGTACATTTACCATAAAGTTACACATTAATGTTGTCCAAAATTTTAGCGATTAAGGATTAAACCTAACCTTTAGTACTAGGGATTAAAAATATTAAATATACTAGAAATCAAAACGAAATTATACAATAACGCAAATCTATCTAATAACATAAATGAAAAATAAAACTGAAAAACAAAATAGAGCTGATACTGGGGGTGAGAGCAGCTACTGTTATAGGTGAAAAGTTGAGAAGTTAGGATACATAAGGTTATATCATTTATATCTGTAAGCAACGATAAAACATTGCTTGATAAAAGACGATTCCGAGTGCAGTTTGATAACACATAAATTGAAGTGCCGTAATTTTTTTTTTTGCGATTTTCGTTTAAATTTAATTTCAAAACGCTTCTAAAAAAAAAAAGTTGTCCGATGATTATAGATATTTTACCATGTCTAGAAAACACATTTGGGGTAACCACAATATTTGAGGCAAAAACAAAAACAAGATAAATCTAATTTCATTAAAAACTATACATATATTTATTGTATTTAAATTGTTGTTGCACCTAAATGTAAGTCATTTTTCCCTACACAATAATCAATGAAAAAGTGCATTTTCGAAAAAAGTGTATTTATCTGGTTGTTGCACCAAGCCTTTCAATTAGTGTATGATCCGAATCTAAGGCTTTACTTGCGTGATTTTTCACGTTAAGACTTTTAGTAAGACTAAAAAAGACTGCTCCGGAACTGTGGCTCCGGGGCAAGGGTGGCAGAGGGAATTTCCTCTGATCAAATCATAGGGAGATTAACGTATAATTTCACCTTCCCCAAATAAAATATGGATAAAACTTTATTAATAATAAAAACAAATATTTAAATTAAATTTTAAATAATATTGTTTCATTACTTTATGATACGACTGATATTATGGTCTCAAAAAACCATTCAAAATTTATTATAATTCTGTGACATCAGTCATCACTATTCATTATACAAATTACGTGTAATTTGTTATGTTATAATCTATGACAACACTGTATATTTACAGACATTTAATTTAATATTGTTTTTACTTTTAATTTATATTTATACTCAAGAATGTGTTTAAGTCAGTGCTCAAAATGAACATTAATGCGATTCCTGTTTACATTATCACAAAGAAAAAAGTTTGCTGTCTACAAATTATATAAATAACTAAAATATACATTATATAGGTATTTAAAAAAAAAATTATGTGTTATGGTTTAACATTTTTTTTTTATTTCTAGCACAAATGGAAGAGTAAAATATAAATAATACAGATTTGGGAAATGAGCCCTTTCACTACATGTATATCATGTGGGTAAATATGGGTGTCCGAAAATATAAATGGTGTAACTATAGATAATTATACTTTCGATATTTTTGTCCCCCTCTCATATGAAAAATAGTTCCTTGACATATAGTCTTAAGGTTCTAATAGTGTAGGATCTGAGTCTATAAGATACGATGATTAAAACCAAGGTCGATCAGTAGGTATATTATTTCATATGAGATTGTTTTCAAGGTTGTATTCATATGTTGTGGATCAACATATTATTACCCTGAGGCCTGAATAATTTAAACCGATAGATTTTGATTTTATAACCTCGAGATACTCGTCTATTACATAGTTTTAGATAATTCACGGGGACATCTACTACTTTTAATAAGATTTTGTTAAGTACCCTCAATCGAATTAACATCCCTTCACAAGTAATTAAATCATACGATCATTTTACCCCTGGTAAAAATAACCTAGGTTGATTACACCCCGCATGCTTAATTATTGAGGGTAAATGTAAGTTGGATATTAATGTATTATATTCATTCCTCTCAGTGAACTTTAATGGGGGATGTAATTTTAACGTAGAATATATTGAACACCCCCCCCCCCCATCAACACCATGAAAACAAATTTTTAACGTAGAGGTAAGAGCAACCAAAGATATTTTTATTAGGAATAAGAATATCCTGTAGTATATATGTTTTTACAGTAAATATATTTTGGAGGTGCGAATAGCCTACGGTTACCTACGGTAGTTATAAGGAGAAATTTGCAAATTGTAATGATATGAATATACGGTGTGTTTACGCACCAAGCAACAACTTAAAATATTTTTAGTCATGGTTGGCGTGACGACCAGGAATTGTGACCACCGCAAATATTGCAGGTCGTACAGATAAATGATACCGTGCATCGGCTCCTTCTCCAGCAGCAAGTCCAGAACGGCCAAGTTCGCCCGGCAAAAACACAAGGCATCGAATTTTTCGTCGACGGTCTGTCTGGTTTTCGTGCAAACAATCCGGTAACCGTCCGGTGACAGTTTCGGAAACACGCTCATCGCTCTGCAACGTTGTTATTTATTAATATTAATTGTTAATATTATTAATATTAATTTTACAAAGATGTTAATTAATTTATTTTTTTTTTGTGGACAGTTTTTCTACCAGAGATCATACTCCGATTTTTAAGTGTAGCACCTTTTCTGAAGAAAATCGGTGTGGGGAGGTACATTATAAGGTGGTAATTTTTTGATTTTCTTAGAAGTTTTCTCATCAAATGTGAAAAACCGAAAAAAAAAACGGAGGGAAAAAGGGAAAATATACGAAATATAGTAAAATAATACAATTTCTTTTTCTGTTGATAACTTTTCTACCAGTAATTTTGCTCCGATTCACCATGATTCGGAGCAAAATTTTGCACCGATTCACTTTTTCTAAAAAGGAAATATAACTGGGAAGGTACTTAAAGGAGAAGCGTAGGAAAAATGGGAAAATCGGTACATTAAACCAATATTATTAAAGGAAACGTGTAATGCCTATTTTATTATTTTACCATAATATGACATATATATATTGTTGTCAAAGCATCACTATCAACTGACATCCGCTCAGATTACCTATAACAGTGGCTGCAACCGTCCCCATTATCCTAGGACGTCTTTTTTATTTTTCCTTTTTTTTAAAATTTATTTTGTATTTTCGTTTCATTTTTACTAAATGACTACTTAAGATATATTATTATTATATACTTGCCCAGTTTTAGTAGCTTCTATAAGATGGTCCCTATCGAATGAACCCAAAAATTCTTGATGCTCGGCACGTGAAACGAAATACGAATCCACAACTTGTTTCGCTTTGTGTAAACTGTATTTGCATCCGACGATTAAATGCGATAACCATTTTCTGTCTACGAAATAATGTTCAAGAAGCAGATTAGTTTTTAATTCTTCATGCATGTATATTTATGTAAGTTTTAACAAAATTAGAAAATAATTTGTTTTCAGCGTTTACATTACAATAATCGTGTGGTTCGTTCTCGTAGTTTGTACCTATCTAAATTAAATTTAATGAAACATCAAACGATTTAATATTACAATAATATATTATCACATTATCGATTTGTTTACAGTGACGTACCTAGAAAGAAAATGTATCGATGGCTCTTACAAGATGACTATATAAAAAAATAACCCGTGTACCGGTCATATATGAGGAGGAATAAAATGATTTTTTCTTACAATCACGTATCTAGGTAATTGTTACTATTTTCATTTTATTTTATCATTCATTAAATTATGTTACTTCTATCTTAAATAATTCCCGGTTTAAGCATTAGTTGAATAAAACAAATGTTTCGTTATACCTACGTGAAAGTTAGGCATAATTTATAAAAGCCTGTTTTTTATAAGTGCCGAAGTCTAAAAGTTTTCTGCGGAACGTTGATGAATAAATATACACATTATAACTAATAACAGTGTTTATACGTTTATCACGTGTTTGGCAACTTCTGCGGAAAAAAAACGGTAACCCAAAAGTAAAATTGCACTTTACGAGAAATAAAAACGAATTTTCAAGTATACCTCCAAGGTACCTCGAGATAAACAACGTTTTTTATTAAATTGTCGGTAGCATATTAAATTTCTTCTTGATTATTAGTAGGTTGCGTTATATCGAACCGAAATCATATATTTTACGTATGGGAGTGAATGTACATGAAATAAAATATCGTAAAAAAAAAGTTAAAAACCATAATATATTTTACCATGACCTAACAATATATAAACCAGTTTTCTATAGACACTCGCAACAGAATAATTGTTTGAAACCTCTAGACTAAAGTTAAATTTAATTACGTCAATAACGGAGCACTATTAAAACGCAACGCGTGCTATGCCGACACATAAATGATACGTATTTCACTATATACTCTTCCCCCTATCTAAATTTAGAAGTAGAATATCTCGTCAACGGGTTGATGAAAATAAAAACTGTCAACACCAAAATGTAGTTTAACTAACACCAACCTATTTAGGATATAGGTTACCGTTTAAAAATCAAAATTAAGTATTCGTTTTATCCCTAAAAATAAAGATGAAAAAAGTTAATACTAATTAACATTTTAGAGTTGCTTGTTTTATAAATTATCAAAAAAATAAAATGTTTTTGAAAAACATCAATACTTTTCGGATTATCGAGTGTAGTCACTTAACTGGATTACACTTCAAATTAAATATAATTATAAACAAAAATAACAGTATAAAATAAAAATATAGTCGAGAAAAATTTAACTTTGGTTAATTTCTTACTCGAATCAATAAATAATTATAATTTCTCATAAATGATCGAATGTTAAATGTCGTCTATTAGATGATAAAATGTTTTTTAAACTGCCATTAAATAACGTATAAATGATGAAACACCAAAATATACTTCAAAAGATTTAAAAACTAGTAAAACATTTACAAATGTGTGATTACACCAAAATATGTAAAATGAAATTGGAATAATTTGAATAAGAAAGATTTAAATCGTGAACATTTTTTATCACTAAATTCGCAGTTCTATGTATACCAGATGATCCATTTAAGTGGATACACTCATTATCTCGAAACGCATTAACTTTTTTCGGATTTTGTTTTCTAGATCTTTTAAGAAACAAGCAACTTTACAATTTTATATTTATGTTAGTTTTTGTCACCCTTATTTTTGGCGGTAAAACCACTACTTACTTTTGATTTTCAAATGGCAACCTATATTAAAAATTCCATAAATAGATGGATTATTAGTTAAAATAAATATAAGCGTTGAAATTTTTGATTTCTGTCAATCTGTTAACGATATATTCAACTTTTAAGTTTGAGTTGGAGGAGAGTAGTGGTGAATTATTAGCACGCCGCATCACCACACAAATGATACTCCATTACTCTCCTCCAACCCAAACTCAAAAGTGGAATATCTCGTTAACGAATCTACGGAAATCAAAAATGGCAACACTAAAATTTATTTTAAATAATAATTCATCTATTTATGAAATTTTTAATATAGATTGCCATTTGAAAATCAAAAGTAGGTAGTGGTTTTACCCCCAAAAATAAGGGTGACAAAAACTAACATAAATATAAAATTGTAAAGTTGCTTGTTTCTTAAAAGATCTAGAAAACAAAATCCGAAAAAACTNAAATTATTTTTACCCGAAATCTTCGTTGAATCATTATAAAAAAATTTAAAAATAATCATCTAACCTAACATTTTATACTATTTTTATATTTAAATTTCGAATTTGGTGAAATCAATGGATCAAATAAATCGCGAACGATTCTGTACAAATAAAGATTATAGAAGTTAGAATTTTGTATATTCATTTCATATATTGTACTCTTATAAGTCTTAACATCGATAACAATGGTTAGATATATTATAAAGGTAAATTAGTTTTACAATTATTTAACGAATAATGATACAAAATACATTAACATAGTATTAACAGTGGATGTTGTATTACTAAAAGTCAATGGTCATTGAAATTTGTTGGCATAGCTAAAATTATAATAATTAGTATTTTTACTTATTTAATTATGATAATTAGTGTACTCACTTAAATGAATCACCCGGTATAATATAACGACTTAAAAACTCAAAATTATTTTTACCCGAAATCTTCGTTGAATCATGATAAAAAAATTTAAAAATAATCATCTAACCTAACATTTTATACTATTTTTATATTTAAATTTCGAATTTGGTGAAATCAATGGATCAAATAAATCGCGAACGGTTCTGTACAAATAAAGACTATAGAAGTTAAAATTTTTGTATATTCATTTCATATATTGTACTTTTATAAGTCTTAACATCGATAACAATGGTTAGATATATTATAAAGGCAAATTTGTTTTACAATTATTTAACGAACAACGATACAAAATACATTAACATAGTATTAACAATGTATGTTGTATTACTAAAAGTCAATGGTCATTGAAATTTGCTGGCATAGCTAAAATTACAATAATTAGTATTTAATCACATTTACTCATATTTGATAAATTTTTATTAATTATAGTTATGTAGCAAATAATTCGATACCTAACGAAATAATAAAAACAATAAATACGCCGTATGAAAAACAAAAATTATAAAACCCGAATAAGCCTAAAACGTCATTAAGAAAAAACATTGTTATTTTATCTTACTACTACTATTACTTGCATTTTTATGCAAGTAGTAATTTATTTTCCACACTAAACAAAACATAATCTAAATAATATGATCTCTTTCACGTTTAAAATAGTTTAAATCACCCCAAATTACCTCCCTCACATATTTTGAGAAACCCCAATATACTCGACCGGAATCGTTTTGATTTTTTCGAAAACATGATATCATATTTAACAACTCACCTTTGATTTTGGGTAAATGTGGTTGTTTGGCTATCCATTCGATGAGCTGAGTGACGTCCTGGTCCATTTGGTCGGCCGACTGATAGAATTCCTGCTTTTTGATTTGCTCAAGTTGTATTTCGTTTGGCGGTATAAGATTCATTTTGCAATAATATGTTCGTACCGATAAATCGTATTGATGAAAGAAAAAGAAAATCGAATTGGTTTTTGCTCGACCTTATAGTTGCTGTCGCGGTCGGTTGGCCGTCAGCTAGTCGCCGTACGAATGTGAACTTTAACACAAACAAACAGTCAACGAAGAATACAAGACGGGAATTTACTTTTATTTTAACATTTGCTCGAACACGGTGGCCTTCAGATAGGTTCTGAATTTGTTATTTTACCTCTGACCTGATTTCTGTTTAAAACCTATTCGTTCGGAAGGTCCCCACCTTCAGTACGTGTACAATCGTGTAATCCACGGATAAACGCAGCACGCGCAATAGGCAATATATTCCTAATTTCTTACGAATGTTCTGCTCCCCAAACAGATATAATAAAAAAATTGTATTTTACAAATACAAAAATATAATGAATACGATCAAAAAACGTTCATAGTTTTAATTTTTTTTGGTATTCCAAAGTTTTCATATGAAACTTAAAGTGTTATTACTTATATTATTTCGTGTCACCCTTACGTGGACGTACTCACGAGGGAAAGAGGGTGTATCGTGTATGTATTATGATATAATAATTAATAACAGTAGATAAGTCACTAGTGGTTTTAATTGAAGTTTAATGGAGGAGGGAGTGGCGAAATTAGTTAAAATTTCAATATTCTTTCCCTCTCAAAAAAAAAAAAATTAAACAAACGTCAAAAAATTCATATATTTTTTACATTCTAAGCGCTTAATTATGATGTGTTTTTTCTGTCTGTAAACAATTTTTCTAACCAGGGTTCTTGCTCCAATTTTCAAGTGTATACTTTACTTGTAATTTTCCTAATAACTAGAAAAACTTGAAAACCGGGAAACTGTACGGCTAAAGCAGTTCCATAAGGAAACGAATTTTAATTTTTTTATTGGAATTCGGTTAAAAATTATCAAAGAAACCTAAAATTTTTATAGAATACTTATATTAGCCATTTTTAGACGTGGTAACATTTTGAAAACATTTCGATCGATTTTTGAGCAATTTATAAGTACTTAACATACTTAAATATACACATAAGTATATTGATGATACAATTGATTTAATTCCAATTCACAATATTTAGCAAAGTAGCATTTGTTGTACTCTCATCTTCCGCGATTTCGACGTATTAAAATATAACTATCGAAAGTCGTTCGGGTCAATAACCTAGTGCAGGACTTTGAACAATAAGATGGTTCAACGGTTAGCAATAATAATATTAGTTTTAGATTCTAAGCAGCGAGAGAACTGTATTAATTTTGCTATGATGTGTGTTTATTTATTTTTTCTACTTATGAACAACTATTCTACCAAACATTTTCCTTCAATCGAAAAATTACAAGACACCTTTTTTGTTGTAGTTAAGATCTAGTTGGTGAGAGTATCGGGAGGTTATTTTTTGATTTTTTTTTTTTTCTTATCTGTTTCCGTAATAATTGGAAAACTCATATTATTAAAAGTGTAGAACAGTTGTCCATAGACATAAAAAAATCGCTCACGTTATAGATAAACCAATACAATCTTGACCGCGTTCAGAATCTATAAAAAGAAAATATGGAAGTATAACTTCTTCGTATTAACTGTGTAAATGACGAGAAAATGTTGATGTGTCTGTAATTCAATCCGATATCGTCGACGATTTAAATATTTGTTATGATTTATAAAATGTATTAAAATATTTTATTCGTTTGGGGCTTACTATCAAATATACTATAGTTTATCATTAATACGCATTTTCATGGAAAACTGATATGAAGTTTATGATATAACGAGCAATAAATTATTATTTTATTTTTTTTAAATCGCCAATAAACACCCGTTATCAAAATTTGTATCTAATATATCAACCTATAATAATATAATAATCACGACAAAGAATGACCTAATTACATAACCACTGGCAAAAACCTGTACGGTAGCCGCAATACCGCGAACGTCTTTTGGAAGACGACGCTCATCTCGACATGAAAAGTGATACTATATTGAAACTTCAGTGCATACTATAACTACGTAGGTGTACTAATTGAATTTCGAACGGAAAGTATAGTCAGTACTTCAATATAACAGAAACGTAATTAATAGGTTTTAAACTAACCATTTAACCATTTATACCTGACCTCTGTTATATAATTTGTATTTCTTTATTTAATTTACATAACATTCCTGAGGAGCTTATGCCAATAAATTATTCCCTACCAAACCTGATGCTGGATATGAAATCTTTTATTTCCATAAATAAATATCTATAAATAATCTATTGTGTTAACTTAATAATATTGATATGTTATACTATTCATAGATTCTGCAGACTGTAGCAAAGAGACTATTAGATTCACGAAGACGTACAATCTTTTTTTTTTCAAAAAACATTTTTTTAGTTATTCAAAATGTTAAAATTATTAATGTATATATAAATTTCAATGGTACGCCATTGAACGTACGCTTATTTCGTCCGGCGGTACTTTTCCTGAACAAATGTCTAGTTTCCCCACAGTTTTTCTTTAAAAATTAAATACTGACCACAAATGTCAAAAAATCGATTTTTTTTTTTTTTTTTGTTGATATATGAAATTACCTGAGATAAAAGATTAAAATCATGACTAATGTAATAAACTCATGAGTTTATCTTTTAGATTCTAAGCGAAACGAGAAATATGTTGATTTCACTATGACGTGTGCGTATAAGGGCATGCCTTTAACACATATTACATGTTATCACTTATAAATTATACAATTATAATTCAAATGTTTTATGTTTACCGTTTGGTACGTCGCGTTAACTAGAAATTATTTAAATTTTGGAGTAAGCAAATATTAATTAATTGTATATATATAGTTTAAATTACTAGCTTTTAAAAACAGCATTCCAATTACTTGAAAAAGAATTTTAAAAACTTTAGTCTTTAAAAAAATTTGACAGTCAAACATTTGAATTCAATTTTAAATATTATAAAGTTTAATTAGTGGTTAAATTAAATATAAGAATGTTAATTTAATAACATATTATTATAGTTCAATAACTTTACGAATTGATTGAAATATATACTTTACTAACAATATTATGCGTGATTTGTTTATTAGTTTTTCTTTTTTTAAATGCACACATTTTTAGATTCTGAGTGGAGCGAATAAGCTTATAGTTTTACAAAGATGTTTTTTTTTTATCCATGCGCAACTTTTCTACCAGAAGACTTACTACGTAAGGATTTCTATATGTAGCACCTTTTCTGAAAGAAAATCGGCATAAGGAAGTACTTTAAGAAGGAAAATTTACGAATTATTAAATATAAAATATTACAATTTTTTTTTCCTGTAAACAACTTTTTTACCAGCAATTTGGCTCCAACATTTAATGATATCAACGTTTCCTAAAGAAAATTTCACTAGCGAGGTACTTTAAAGAGGTAATTTTTCGATTTTTCCAGCAAATGTGAAAAACTTGGAAAAACGCAGGAAACTGGGAAAATCGCTACAACATTAAATAAATATTATAAAAGAAAATATATAAAGCCTATTTAATTATTTTACTATAAAATGAAATATATATTATTGACAAATCATCACTATCAACTGAACTCCACTCAGAATCGTTTTTTCGTAAGCAATGGTTTATTTTTGCTTGAAGGTATACATTAAATTATCTATACCAATAGTTGCACCAATCCCTATTATCCTAGGACGTCTTTTTTCAATGATTTTGCTAATTGGTTTGTATCAGTTAGTGTTTAGTTCATCGAACTTAACGTGTTATCCTTGCTTTCCTTTCTGCTACAGACACAATGCTCCGTAACTATTGATATTTTATAGGTATAGTGCGTTAATTTCAACAAGTATAGATACATAGAATTTGTTTTGTAAATTATAATACAGTGTATAATTTATTATAAACCGATGAAATCGCACGCAATGACATCAATCAATGGCGGTCAAATAATTTTATCGTGAGGGGAAGGAAAATACGGCTAATTTTTAAAAACTATTATTAATTACACGATTTTTCTTTTTAAATACACCTACACAAATTTAATGTATTGTTATATATATCGTTATACGATGCTCGTATTGGTGGGGGGATGCGCAGGGGAACGGAGCACCTCTACTAATTTGTTTTAATTTTTTGCACGCCCCTACTATTTTATTATACTGGAATAGGAGAATAGATGAACATACGAATGGTGAATATATAACATTGACACAACATAAGTTATTTTATCCGTTATAATGGGTAGTGATTATAATCAATCGAGATTTTGATAACAAGCGCGTCCTTGTACACGGTAAACGTCATAAAGTTTATAACGGTTACTGTTCTAATATTCTAATATAGTTTCTGAGTCAAATTTTGATTGATGAACTTGTGTCTTTTTTTATTGTTGTAGTTGAACTATTATTTTTGTCGAACGCGATCCTTCTTTTGTTGACAGATTCTTGTTTGGTAGAGGGAAGCAACGTTTCACATGACTTTTGCCAACAAATTGCAACTGAAAAACTGCAGATGTGCCGAGTGAAAGTTTTTCTCGAGAAGGTCCTAGTTCAGGTTAATCAGGAACTTTTTGGTATAGTTAATCACTAAAAACATTTTGACAATTTATCATAATAATAATCACCACTTGTATACTATTATGTTATCATAAACACGAAAGAATAATCTTCTGTAACCAACATCCACCTCCCTCTCTCCTCAAAAGCTTTTCTTTTAGATTTATTACAAAATCGCCAAATTTGAAAAAAAATTTTTAAGAAAACATCGGTCACATCGAAACAAAGAAAGTTATAGAGAATCTACAAATACAGATGTACTCCGAAGAAGTCACAGAATCCAGTGTTATCAATCCTACTGCTCTTGGACACTGCGTTGGCGCTCAATTCAAGTACTCCGAGAACTTTTTGATCCCACTACGTACATTTACTTTTTTTAGACGTGGTCAAACTTTCAGATTTTTGATTTTCGAATTAGTTTTCACAATAATCGGGGAAAAACGTAGGAAAGCTAGGTTAATAAAAAATGATGGCACTTCAAATTATGTATTACTGAACTGCGCTCGGAATCGTCTTTCGTCAAGCAATAGTTTATCATTGTTTACAGATATAAATAAAATAACCTTATGCATCCGACCTTCCCAACTTTTCACATACAGCAGTGATCGCTCCCATCCCTAATATCAGTTACTTTTTTCTTCTTCTCCTTTTTTAATTTTTTTGTACTGTGTATACAAAAATTATACCAGAAAAATTGCCCCTCTACATTCGATGTAGACTTTTCTCAAAGAAAAATTTTCTAGGAGTGGCGCTTTGTGTAGGTCATTTTTGATTTTCTCTCGAGTTTCCTCATCAAATATGAAAACGATAAAACTGAGGAAAACGGGAAAATGTACGAAATATATATATTAGTAAAATATTACGATTTTTATTTCTTATGGACAATATTTTCTACCAGCAATTTTACTCCAATTTATAATTTTAGCAATTATTTAAAATGCAATTTGACTGGAAAGGTACTTTAAGGATGTCCTCTTTTAATTTTCCCAGACTTTTTCTCAATAAATAGGAAAAACAGGGAAATTAACGATATGTAGGTACTTAGTTGAACGATATTTTGGACTTCTTTTTTCCTGTGGATAACTTTTCTATCAGCAATTATGCTCTAAATTTTTTTAAAAGGAAATTTGTTTGAGGAGGCATTTTAGAGAGGTCATTTTTTTATTTTCTCAGGAATTTTCCCGAAAAATGTGTAGAACCGAAAAAAACAAAGGAACATCTGGAAAATTAGTATATTTAACAAATATTATCAAAGAAAATATACATATAAAGCCTATTCAGTTATTTAAATTATTATTTGACAAAGCATTAATATCAACTAAATCCGCTCAGAATTGCTTTTTCGTTAGAAATAGTTTATCGTTGCTTACAGACATAAATTAAATAACTTTATGCAACCTTCTCCACTACCCACCCAAAACAGTGGCCGTACCTATCCCCAGTATCAACATAATTTTTATTGTGAAATTATTGTAAGAGAATTATTATTTACGAAATTTATTGACAATATAATTAAATAACATCATATAACAGAAGTTAAATGCAATTATATAGGTATTTCATAAGTGTACAGACTATGTACAGTCTGTCTTTGAAAAGGTGTCGCGTCATTTCAACGCGAGACAATTAGGCACATGGCACATTTTGACGCAACTATATATATTTCAATGAATTTTTTTTTTTTTAATTATTATTATTAATTTATTTTTCAAAATAAATGTATATATAAAATAAAAATAAAATAAATTGTTATCAAACATAAAATATTTAATCTTTAGAAATATCTAAAATATTATTACATGTATACATTTATTTTGAAAAATAAATTAAAAATAATTGCGCCATGCGCCTAATTGTCTCGCGTCAAAATGACCGCGTCCAGTTAACGCGCGTCGAAATTACCACTACGTCATTACGTACATTCCCATAAAAATATAGTCAATAGTAAAAAAAAAAAAAATATAAATTTTAATTATTTCAATCTCTTACAATACTAAATCGCTGTGCGTGGAAAGTTAAAAACAAACTCAATAGAAAAATAAAAAAAAAATAATATTAGTAATAGTTTATATTTTCTATCTCTCAAATCAATGAACATTTATCTACCGGTTTTAGGTTATTTCCAAAAAAAAAAAAATGACAACTTTTAAAAAGGGCTAAATTGATTTTTATAATGAATTTGGTTAAAACTATTATTACTGATTTCTAAATAATTTTGAGATTCAATGAAAAAAAAGAGCTGATACTGGGGATGGGAGCGACCACTGCTGTATGTGAAAAGTTGGGAAGGTCGGATACATAAGGTTATTTTATTTATATCTGTAAGCAATGATAAACCATTGCTTGACGAAAGACGATTCCGAGCGCAGTTCAGTAATACATAATTTGAAGTGCCATAATTTTTTATTAACCTAGCTTTCCTACGTTTTTTCCCGATTATTGTGAAAACTAATTCGAAAATCAAAAAAAAAGATCATAGATAAAACTGACTTTTAGAAAAGGTGCACTTATACATTGGAGTAAGTTTTCTAGTATAAAAGTGGTTTACAGTATAAAAAAAGTACCATTGTATAAAAATTTAAAAAAAGTCGTCCAATGATAATGAAAATTTTACCCACGTCTAAGTAAGTCCAATATAGGTATTATTATCAAGTTTCAAGTCTCTGCGTGTATTTATAACCAAATTACAACAAAAAAACTACCAATATTAAAATTCCTTAAAAACTCAAAAGTGGTTAAAAACTTTTGGCAATGATACCGTAAGAAAGTAAATCAATAAGGCAACAGAAAAAGTGTGTTGTGATTTTTCGATTAAATCATTTTCTCTGGTAGAAAACGTCGTTCGTGTTTTTATAAAATAATGAAATTTTGAAAATGACCTCTTTAAAATACTATTTAAAACTTGAGAACTTGAGCTTACAGAAAAGTTGCTACACGTAAAAATCGGAACTACTTTACTAAGAAATGTCCACAGACTAGGAAAAAAAAAAAATAAACATCTTAGTAAAACCAATAGCTCCCTCGCTACGCTCGGAATCTAAAAGACGTCCTGGTAAAATAAAGATGGGTGTAGCCGCTTTTATAGGTAATTTATTGTATACCTATAAGTAACGATAAGCCATTGCTTACAAAAAAATGTTTCTGAAGGGAGTTTAGTTGATAGTGATGCTTTGTCAAAAATATACGTGTCATATTACAGTAAAATAATTAAATAGGTTTTCTATATTTTCCGTAATAATATTTATTTAATGTTGTACCGATTTTCCAGTTTTCCTACATTTTTCCCAGTTTTATCTTGGTTTTTCACATTTACCTGGAAAACTAATATTAATTATAATATTTATTAAATATAAATGTATGGAATAATATTTATTTAATGTACGTTTTTCGTATTTGATGACAAAACTCTCGAAAAAATCGAAAAATGACTCACTTCAAGTATCTTCCCAGTTAAGTTTACTTTTAGAAAAAGTGCTATTATTATAAATTGGAGCAAAATTCCTGGTAGAAAAGTTGTGCACAGAAAAATAAAAATGTAACATTATAGTAATATATTTCGTACATTTTACCGGTTTTTTTTTTCGGTTTTTCAAATTTGATGAGAAAACTCTTGAGAAAAACGAAAATAACCTCTTTTAAGTACCTCTCCACACTGAATTTCTTTCAGAAAAATGTCTGCATTTAAATGTCGGAGCAATTCTTGTGGTAGAAAAGTTGCACACAGATAAAAAAAATAATAATAAACATCTTTGTAAAACCATAAGCTTCTTCGTTCCACTTAGAATCTAAAAAATAATCAAAAGTTCATATTATTATATACACTATGCACACATAAAATTTATATTTTTAAGTACTTATATATTATTTTCATTACACAAATTCGTTTTGTATTTACAACTAAAAGCGTCAACAAAAAAGTATCCACATGTAAAATAGACATGATATTTTTGTTTATTTGAAATAGCGTATACAAAAAATTATCTAAATATGTATTAGGGTATTCCTTATTTTTGGACCTATTTCCTAAAAACTAAATCAAAATAATTTTAAAAATCCTGTTATTTTTTCAAATTTTTACTTTGGCGCTAGATGACTGGTTTAATTTTCTCCTTTAAAATATTCTTGTTCTTTGAATGTTTAAAACTTACGTGTATCAGTTAAAATTAATTAAAGTAAAAGACTTTAATTTGTCAATATGCTCAGTATATCTGTAAAACTTCTTAACTAGCTGGTATTTAACTATCCCCGTTATCTCCGTATCTAACAGCACCCGTTGGACACCATTTAACGCCATAATGAAAAATCTGAAAATATTACAGGATAAAAAAGCTATTTTGAACTAGTCTTTTCACTGATGAATTTTGAATTTTTAGAAAACTCAAATAAGGAACGCTCTATTATGCATACCTGTTTAATAAGGATAAAAAATGCTATATTTTGCGGCAATTTTTTCGGAACCGATATAGGTATAAGCAGGGTTCCAACGTTAAAATGTTTGCACCTAAACAAATTGATACCCTTGCGCCCCCCCCCTTTATAATTGTCACTGAGGTTTTTTTTTTCTTACGATTATATATAAAATGTTAACACACACAATCGTTAGCTCGGAAATAATGAGTCGTACAACGGCGGCGATCGATCTTTACAGCATGCACCACTGCTGTGGGTCGTTGCACTAGATTCTCGTGGAACTGTAGTCGCTTCCAAGTGCTGAACTCTTTGTATTTCCGCGGATCGGACGCTAACTTGAAAAGATCTCGGGCCACGACACCCGAGCAGCCATGAGAACGCGAAATAAACAGACAAAACGATCAACAATCCGGCCGTGATTTTAATCCCGACAGTCGAGTTGAATAGACCGGCACTGGCTTAAAAAATAATAAAAAAACATGATCTTTAATAAATTATAGCCCATGGGTAAAAATATAAAAAATGTAAGGGGGCAAAAAACGCAAAAGTAAAAAAAACGTGCCTACTTTGATGTTTTTATATCCTTAAATGTTTATATATGTATATCATTCTGTATACGATAATGCGAAATTAGAATGGGTACGCTAAAATATTTGTTGAAAATAGAAGGTACTCCAGACCCCCTTCATTGATTTAAGCACTGCCTATAGGTGAAAATTTACGCTAATAAATGTTTACGCCCGAAGAGCAAGAGATCATCACTAGTAGAACGCCTAGTATATGGATGATGATGCACAATATTTCCAATCTAAGATAACACAATTATTACTATTTATACAAATCATATTATAGTATTTTTTTATAAAATCGTTTTCTAAATTAATTACAATTTCTTAGAAGCCCCTCCCTCTATTTAATCCGGCTCTTATTACTGAAATGCAAATGTTACTTATAATCGATCATATACTAACCACCAAGCGCAGTCGTCGGACGACAACCACTCTCGTCCTTACAGTCCTTGTATGGGCAGTTAAGTTTCCCATCATGGAAAAATCGTTCGTAAATACAAGTTCTAGAACCGCAACTTTTCCACATTCCGTTATCACCGTCGCATTCTGTGCGCAAACAACAGTGGTGATCAAATGCATTTTCGATAAGGAATAAGGATAATTGTATAACAACAACTATTATTTAAATAATTCCTTTTTTTATAAATATTGAAAAGAAATGAAGTCATGGCGGGATATATCCTCATCACTACCCCTCCTCCGTTTTACCGCCCTTGGCAGAATACAGAATACAGAAATATCGTTTTCTATGATGATATAAATTCCTACGAACGGCCGACAGGCAAAATAATAATTAATAACATTACATTATACGAAATGTGCATAGATACCTCGGTACAGTGTGAATACAATTTCGAAATGCAATTCTTCGTCATCGTCTAGCGATTTGTTTCGCAGGTGTATTTTGAATTCGATTAAGCCCCGGTGGTCGATGAATGAATTCCTTATCAGTTCATCGTCCCGGGTATTTTTGTCGAACTCGAAATCGTGATAATCATCGCGATCCCGGATGTTTCCGCATATTTTGGGACCCCATGTTTCCGGTGACCGTATCTTTATATTAATAATGTCTCCGATACTTATCTTTTCTTCGGTGTGTCGAAACTACAATATAATACAGAAAAAAATATAGGCATGTTATCGAATAAATCGCAATAAATAATAACAATGACATAATATCGCTGTAGGTTAGGTTAGGTTATATTACTTGAACGTAATCGATACAATCTCCTTGAGCGTTACGCCTGAAAGACATGCGCTGCACGACGGCAAACGCGCCGAATTCCAACGGGGACGTAAGTATAAAACGACAGTTGAATTCACGTTCGCCAGTCCACCGTTGGATGGTGGGCCCGGTTTTGATAACCAAAGCCGATTCGTCTTCGAGACTGATTACGTTTAGATTGTTAACAAGACCACATACGGTATCGTTTTCCAAGATATCTGTGAACAAATTTGAAAAAAGCAAACAGTATTTTTAGACACATAGAGTTTGGAGTGAATGCATACAATTAAGAGTACATTAAATTTATCTACTATAAATGATGATCGAGAATGCAATATTGAATGTGATAATATATATTGTCAAAAAAAAAAAAAAGCTGATATTAGGGGCACGTGCAGCCACTGTTGTAGGTAGGTATTTTTTTGTTTTTCATTTTTTGTTATCAATGGTTTATCGTCAGTTACAGGTATAAATGAAATAACTTATGTATCCTATCTTCCCAACCACTCACCTACAACAGTGACCGCACCCGTCCACAGTATCTGCTTAGTAACCCTCAAAATAGGGATACCTCGGTCATTATCGTTAGTTTTTACTGAAAATTGGTGTTATAGCTATAGCTATAGCTGTATCAGATTTAAGATTATTAACTAGAAATAAATTAATTAATATGAAATCAGAAAATTTGTAAATTGTCAAAATATTTGGTTATGGAGTATTTAGAAGATTTCAATGGATTTGATATGTATTCCGAATTAGAATTTTTTAAAAATCAAGCTTATAATTTATTAAATAATTTCAATTCAGGTACTTCTTTAGTGAGCTACTAAAGTGTATTCATAATAGTATTCTTTAAAAGATGTTTATCATAATAGTGAAATTGCACTCGGAACATTTTTAACTATACAGGTGACAATGGCAACTTGTGATAAAAGTTTTAGTAAAATGAAAATTATTATGAACTGGTTAAGGTCTACGTCACAGAACAAATTAATATGAGTACTATATGGATTAAATGTAAAATGGTTACAAAAATCAACTTTGAAAATGTTATAGATTAATTTTAAACTAAAAAGCATGAAAAGTGAAATTTCGAAAAAGTACAAAAGTAAATTTTGTTTTCAAATTTTTATATAAGGTAATAATACGTTTAGTAGTGTTTTCTTATTAAACATTATAATTATTATTATTATGACTAATAATAATAAAATAAATCTTTTATATATGTGCGTGTGTGGACGGAGGGGGAGGGGGGTTAAACAATTTTTTACAAGGGTGAAAATGTGTTAAATGGCCAGGAACACTATTAACCTCACCTATAGTTCTGAAAAAGTTTACAGTATATTAATAGAAGTTGAAAATAAATCGATTCTACGTAAAAAATATTTTGTAATTAATACGAAGCGAGTATAACATTGATAAAATGCATATTATGGTACTGCAATCATTGCATATTTTATACGGATACACTTCGACTGCATTACATTGTTAACATTTTCAAACGAACTGTTCGTAGTGTATCCGTTACATACGCGTTCGATTTTTAAACCATAAATATTTCGATAATATCAATACTATTTACACGAATCTATTCATAATTCTGTTGTATATTGTAATATAAAACATAGGATTTTTAATTTATTTATTATTTAAGAAAAAAAAAACAAGGACTGTTTTATATACGTGTAATATAGTAAATATTACTAATTTATTGCAGAGAACGATGACGGGTGCACCGACTACACAAAATATTATCGGTATTATTGTAATATTATATTTATTTAAATAGTTAAAAAAAATATTCACGTCTAACACTGTATATTTACACATTATTTTTTGTTTTTAATTTATAGTAAGTAAAAATTAATATCAGTATTATTGACTTACTTTCAACGTACCCCGTCCCAGTGGCTCTGGCCGAGTACAACAACGCCAGCAGTCCGTGTAATAGTAACGACGACGAAAAGTCCATTGATAAAAAATTGATTTGATCTTTTTCTTCTGTTTCTGTTCAATAACCAAAATCAAAAAATATCGTCGTTTTGTAGTAAAAATTATCGGGTAATCATTTTCCGTCGTAAATTTGTAACGCCCGTGCAAGTGAAAACATCATCGGTAGACCACCGCCATCGTGTTTGTTACCGACGATCGGTCGAACAACGTCAGACTCGATATTCCAAAATCGAGTAGGCTGCTATCGGCGACCGTCGTTAAAAAAAAATAATAATAATAATAATAATGAAATATTATAGTGTGATAACGCGCTGGCGGTTGTGACCTTTAACGTCATTATTATTACGGTTAAGACGAAACGATTTCGACTGTTATAGGCGTTATGATAAAGTTGTAAATAAAAAAATAATAATAATTAGATATGTTGTTGAAATATTACTAGTAATGATGTACATGAAATACATTATCTTATTTGTTTCGTACAAATGATTTCAGATAAAAAAAAAAAAATGACGAATACATTTAATAAATATTATTACCTACACAATATAGTTATCAACGTGTTGAACGGGTAGTAATACGTAGGAAAAAACATTTTTTCCTTGTAAGTAGATATCAATTGTCATTCAAACCCGTATAAACCCGTATCGAACATCGTCCAACCCCTTCCCGGGAAATATTTAAAGTAGATAACTATATTTATAATACAACAAAGACTAACTACAAGTTTATGTATTAACCCTACAATGAATGACTTTTTATTTATTTATTTTTTGTCCGTTGAGCATTTGAGTATTTACAGGAAAATAAAAAAAAAAATTATTTTTTTTTAAATCCTATTTAGATAAAAGTCATTTTTTACATTGCTGCCGGTAGGCAACATCATGCACTCATGGTCATAATTTTTTTTAAAAATAATGTTTTAAATAATTCAAAACATTGTAACCTGTAATTATAACATAATGCATTGTAGTGTTAAAAATATTTTAACCCCCCCCCCCCTCCCTCCCCACGAAAATTGATCCTGAATACATGCTTGCTCTTACTAATACCAGTCAAATTTGTTTAATTATTTAATTAATTATTAATTTCCCTATATTTAACAGGAAGGGCAAACAAAATTCCAAGAGTCCCCGACATTTACCTGGATTCAACGTTGCTTGCGACTGATGATAATTAGGAATTCGTTGATTTTAAAATAAATAATATTACTAAATTATTTCTAATCGTTTTAATTGTTATAAAATACTTTACATGGAGTAAATGCAGTTAAAAGGTTGCAATAGCACTTCAAAATTATTTCATATCCCTCCCCACAAGAATATCTTATATACGCCTCTGATTCCATCTATTTGTGTATTTTTAGTATAGGTTCTCATTTGAAAAGCCAAAGTTGTTATCGCCACACGTTATTCCATACATTTTGTAAAAATTCTAAGTATTCGAAAATATCGGTTTTAACATTTAATAATTCCAAAAATTAGAATTTAAATACATGCAAAAGATAACCAAAAAATGGGATGAACATGCATAATGAATCACTATATATGTGTAAATTTATTTTCAGAATTCATTTTGAACTTGTTAATGTAAATTTCAGTGATTCTCAAAGATCTCATACTACAAAAGCATCTTATACGTTTTTCAAGGAAGTTACATCCACAAAACAATTACCAAGAGATACTCCTGGGAAAAATTCTGTTCGTAGAATTATGTTTCATCGAGACGGTACGGTTAAAAATATTAATTTTCTTTAGGTTTATTAACTTGTCAGACCTAAAATAAATCATTTTTATAATTTAGTTTACTGCCAAATATATTCTAGTTCCTGTATAAAAATTGTGTCATAAATTAATAATTGTTTGTACTACTCGTAAAATCATTCTTAAATATAGTTTGTATATTGCGTATTTTAGATTCTAATTGTAGTGAAGAATGTATTGGTTTTACTAGAAAAAGCAAACATAATTTCTTTTTTTAAATATGGTAAAATTTACGAAACATTTGAGCCATTTTTAAGCTTTTTATACAAATGTTTTTATTTTTATTGAAATTCAGTTAAAAATATTTATATCGATTCTATAAACATAAAACTGGGACAACAATTTATATTTGCCTTTTCTAGACGTAGGCAAATTTTCAACAAATTTAAACCATTTTTGAGATGTTTATAGACATTTTAATTTTGCAAGTTTTGTACGTAATTTTTATTCGGCAAGTACTCTGTGGTAAATTGAATAGACTTAACAGAAATGCTTGAAATTTACAGAAGGTTCATTAAGATTTTAATATCAAATTTTGACGAAAATCGTTTGAGTATATGTGGAACAAATCTAATTTTTCAATTTTTTTTTTTCTAACATATGTATATTGCTAATTTAAGAACGATGGTGAAGTCAAAAGCGGACTGACTAAGTTTCGGCTAAGCTTTTTAAAATTCTAATGTTATGCAGGTATTAAATGTTATGTTAAACAACTTTATATTAATGTTATCAAGAAATATTTATTGTGATCTATTGGTTATACATACCTATTAAAATCCTAGAAGTCCAGCGTTCAAACCCGGGATACAAACAAAATTGTTTGCATTTTTTTTTCCTTTTACCTAAACAAGGAAAAAAAAATGCATTTTGGGTATATCCAAGCCATCGTTTGCTTGAACTATTTTAATCGCAAAATACCCATCTATTTGTTGTGCAAACTTTTCTACCAGAAATCTTGATCTGATGTATCAAGTGTAGTTTATTTTCTGAAAAGAGATTTTGTCTCCATGTTAATTTAAGGAGATCGTTTTTTTATTTTTTTAAAATAGGTTTTAATTTTATCTGGGAAAACCCTAGATAAAATGTCAAAAAACGGAAAATTTACAAAATGTAGGTATTAGTAAAAAAATATTATAGCCTTTTTTTTTTCTGTGTACAACTTTTCTACCAGCAAATAGGCTCCGATTTAAAATGATAGCAGTTTTTCTGAAAGGAAATCTGACTAGGAACGTACTTTAAGGAGGTCGTTTTTCGATTTTCCCAATAGTTTTCCCAGCAAATGTGAAAAACCGGGAAAAAACACGGGAAAACGGGAAAATCGATACAATATTAAACAAATATTATTGAAGAAAATGTACAATGCTTATTTAATTATTTTACCATAATATGACATGAATATTGTTGACAGAGCACCACTATCAACTGAACTGCGCACAGAATCTTTTTTTCGTTATCAATAGTTTATCGTTGCTTAAAGACATACACTAAATTACCTATAAACAGTGGCTGCACCCGCCTCCATCATCCTAGGACGTCTTTTTTTTCTTCTTTTTTTTTTCTATCAGTATATAATGTAAACAATAGTGATTGACCCCGTATAGCACGAATAATAATTGTTCTACTGTTAAACAATAATATTGTACTCGAAACATATAATGAAGTAAAAACCGCAGAACTTGTAAAACGTTCGTTGGCGTATTAGATTCCGAGTCCTTGTTTGTACATTCAGACTATAAGTCTTCTGTTAATTATGTGCAAATAGAGCGTATTCAAATAATACACATCATATTAATTTTATATTCCACGCACTGACGTACCTATAGATAACTTATTATAAACTATAATACATTAAACATAATCAAAATGTCTTTACAATCAATCACTTACCTAATACCAATTAAATGACAGCTGCGGATGTTCAAACCGAATCTCATACATATTGAACAAGAAAACAAATGTATTGTAATATTTGTATATAATTTTACGACGCCATAACCATAAACTGTAGTTCCATTAATTTTTTCCCCGATTATGTGTTTTCCTTTTACAAACCGTGTAATCCGTTCACTGGTACAATTATAACGAAAATTATAGTGTTACTCTCTGATTTAATTTAATTTTAACCTCCTATACCTATTATTTTTAAAACCAGGGTTCACACGTTTTACACATAAATGTATAATAATTGATATATTCTACGTATAACCAATACTCGAATTGGTGGGGGAGTCGGTCAAAGGGTCGGAGCTCCTCTATCATTTTTTTTTTTTTTATTTTTTTCGCGTACCCGAACTGTATTTTTTTACTGGGACGGAAGGACTGCACAAACTAATGTCCAAAATAATTTTTATCAAATATGGATTTCAATTAATGGCACAAATAATAATGAATTTTACTATTTTTGATATTAGTTTGATATTATCATCTTTTCTATGGTCCTATATTTTTTACCATATGGTAGGTATATCGATATTTTATCGCACGGTACCACAATAACCAAACGCATACCGCATAGTTCAATTTATTTAACTAAGCTTTTGAACATGCGGTTACCATAAAGTAATTACTCTATGGTATAAAACCAGGAAAACGAAAAAATCGGCACAATATTAAACGAATATTATCAAAGAAAATATATAATACTTATTTAATTATTTCACTATAATATATATTGTTCTATAATACTATCAACTGAACTGCGCTCAGAATCGTTTTTTCGTTAGCAATGACTAGGTTCGTCATCGTGGCTTACAGATATACATTAAATTAGCTATAACAATGGCTGCACCCGTCTCCATTATCCTAGGACGTCTTTTTATTTTAATAATATGATATAATTCAATATTATATTATATAATTATATTTTTAATATAATTCATAATACATTTGTTGTTTGGTAAAAAGTTTGAAGTTCTCTCAGTTCATTACGATATGTTTCATCGTCTATCCCATCATTATAACACATATAATGTCTATTGCAAGAGAATTTCACAGGGATCATCGCCTTTAGCTTAATTAGCTTCAATTTTTTTCCTAAATAGGAATTGTAAATATAGTTACAAGTAGGCCAATTCCCAAACGGCACCCGTTTTTGACAACACGACTTCCTTCCTACTTCATACAGACTTAGAACTATTTGAAAAGAGTTGTGTTCAATCAGCGTATAGATAGGGAATATTGCATCGGCCCATCGAGTTTTAGTATTTTGATTAGTTCAAAATCATAAAAAAAAAAAAAAAATTGACGTAAATTTAATTAAAAAAATACAATATTGTACTTATTACACGCGACCCATCAAGATTTTCTCGACGACTCACTGATTAAATCCGGGCTTGTATGGATTTATGTACCTATTTAAAATAGGACTTGGAACGAAATTTTTAAATTGTTGGTTTGAGCTCATTTACTTAATTTTTCCCAATTCGAACACTGTGTATTATTATACACAGTAATAATAGATTAAGTATATTTTACAACTATATTATAATCATACTATTTTTTATTTGAATGATTTTCATTTTTTGACTCGTATAAGTTATAACTTCAAAATATATACATAATTAAATAATGAATAAATAACATAGGTATATCAATACATATATTTCCACGAGGATTCAACAAATGCAATAACTTTTGTTCTATTCAATATTTTTGTTATATTTGTTTTTAAATAATTAGATTCTTAGCTCTGCAGTTTATATATGAACATTTTTTTTTTTTGAGGTAGGAGGACTTCAAATGATAAATTTAAAATTTTACTAGAATTAAAAAAATTTAAAATAACCATGTTGTAAAATAGATTTTTAGAAAATGTTTTGTGGTTGAAACATTTGTTAAAGTAGGGTCTTTTATTTTATACGATTTTTTTAAAGTTTTTGCAAATATGAATATCACACTATTTAATCAGTTATTAGTCAGAGCATATGACAAGGGTTTTTTTTTCCATGAGTCATTATCATGCAATAATATTACCATATCATAGATATGAGGTCAATCAATTAATAATGAAATTTATGTCGACAAACAATATTATTTTGATCGAAAAGAAAATTATTATCAAATTTTCAAAAAATCGTAGAAAATAAAAGATCATACTTTAACAAAAGTTTCAACTATCAAAAATTTTCTAAAAATTACTATTTTGATTTTCTTTTTTAAATTATAGTAAAATTTTAATTTTTTTATTTTAAGTCCCCTTCCCTCTTAAAAAAAAATGTTTATATATAAACTGTAGTGCAGGGGCATATTAATTATTTAAAAAAATATACATCAAAAATATTGTATAGAACAAAAATTATTGCATTTGTCGAATTATCGTGGGACACTCTGTATATACATATAATATTTTTTATAGAAACTCTTAATTACAAAATAATTAAGCAAGATTAATGAATAATTAATAATAAATTATATTATTTAATGATATTTACTATTCAAGCTTAATTATATTAGCAATTTAATATTTTTTACTAAATATTTTATAAAATAGTAATCCAAACTATACAATAAAAATTAAAAACAATTTTTCACATCTTAGGTATGCAGGGTGTCCTACAGTATTATCTTTATACAAATAATTCTGGTAATATTTATTTATTTTTTTTTAATCAGGTTTTGTGTGAGGTGAACCATATGTAAAGAATAGTTAAATTTTTATTTTCATCCCTTAATCACTGAAAAAAATACATTTTTATTTTTCTACTTTTTAAAATTTTCAAAAAAGCCATTTTGTAAAATATATTGTTCTGAAAATTGTAATGTGTCATGCATTCATACCCAATCAATAGTTTCTTAATAATAGCCGTTTTAATTTCTAGAAATTTGGCGTGAAAATAATTGATTTGCAATAGAATAACACGTTATGCGAAAAGGAATCACAATCAGCACTTATCTTTTTTTGAATATTAATTTTTTTCACGTCTATTTTCTATAAATTAAAATTACTATGACTAAGATACTATTGATACTAAAATATATACTACTATAAATAGATACTAAAATTACTATTTTGAAAATTTTAAAAAGTGAACAAATAAAATGTCATTTTTTTCAGTGTTTAAGGGATGAAAATAAAAATTTATTTTTTCTCTACATATGTGTCCCTTTCAGACAACACATGATTGAAAAAAATAAATGAATATTGACATAGTTATTAGTATTAGTATGACAACACTGTAGGACACCTGTATCTACACAAATATGTGGAATTTAAATAATTGAATAAAAAAAATATTGATTACAGTATATAAATTTTATCTATGTATAAAAATAATACAAATAATGTATAGCACAAATTATATATTATCAATTTTGATGTATACAACTTATACACAAAAATGCACCCAACTATGGTTAAAACTACTATGGTGTATGAAATACAATAAACCAATATAGTATTTATCGTTGCATCGTGTTTTTAATAGATTATACCTAGTTGAAAATGTAAACAATGTAAGTACCTACATATAAATAATAATCGACAAAGTCATTAATTATTCTCGAGGTTAATTATATTTATACTAATGTTGGTTAATACAAATTCACATTAACAATTATTGTATAAATCGATTTTTAAATAAAATCCGACGCAATAAATATATACCAAACAGTTATCCGTTTGATACCACGTTACGGCATTCACTTTGGCCGACTATTAGATATTTACTTATCCAATCCTCTACTTTCTTCCTAGACTCGTTAACCGCCTTGTGTGAAATATTGGACTTGCCAAAGTCCAAATTCTTGTCAGCGATGCAGTACGGTTGGGCGATCACAAACTCTTCGGCGTCCCGACCATACAGAGCTCCTTCCAGACATTTCCGAAGTTCCCGGGCCCCAGCAGCCGACTTGTCGTCTTTGCCGTCATGATGGCATTTGTCAATCGTACGCATCCGTGAAGTCAGATCGCCCGTTTTCGGGACTACTAAAGTCTCCGATCCGGTAACGGCCCGGCTGACTCCCAGAGGAGGATACACCGCGCTCACGTCTCGTAAAGCCTCGTCCCAGTGCTCGTAAAAGTCTCCAGTCACCTCATCTTCGGCCACCTCCTCTTCAACCGCCACCGCTGCCGCGGCTGCGTTGTAAGCCGACGAAAATCCCACCGAATCGCAATCGCTGAGCTCCAGTCCACCACCGTATTCCGCCAAAATCCGTTTCACGTCCACGTCGTCCACGTCGTCGTCGTCCAGCGACGAACACGAAAATGCCCCCGGTTCGTAAATAGCCACGGAATTGAGACGCTCTTGCACGTAGTCTGCGTACTCCGCATCGCTCGCTATGGACCCCGAAGACGGCATACCGGTTATTGATGTACAATATATTCACGATTTACACGATTTCAGATACAAACAAGCCGATAACCCGAAATAAGTGTCCCGGCAAAGTCCCTATGACTTAGTGGGACAACGACGGTCCTCAATGGCCCTCGGTATTGAAATATAAAACGATCCCGACACAAACGAAATAATAATTAGTTTAAATTAAAAGCATTTCTTGAGAAGAAAAAGAAAAAACGATTTCTATACACACGAAAATAATAATGTGTATACAGACCACGGGCACACGCTTCATTGTCCGTACACGATTTACGAACCCCATCGACACTGTAAATATAAAACAGTACTTTTGGACATTTGTAGGTACGGTAACACAGAGTAACTCCAGCGCAACCGCTTTGTTATGGTTCGTCCGGATGTTTTATCGTTATTGTTGAGTACCTATACACGTTGGTTACACCACCCATTATGAGTAAGTAGACGAATAAGTCAACAACGAACGTACCTATGACTACCGGGAACTATCTGAGGGTAGGGGAGTGCAGAAAAGCATCAATTATACATTTGTATATTTCCCCTGCATGTTATACGGACAGGTGTTTTAAGCCCGGTAAATTTTGTCCTTGAAGATTAAAACTTTAATTTAAGTTAACATAATAAACGTCATGGTTTTGAAATTTTTAGTTTTTACTTGGGTTTTAGTTGGCCAAATTGTCAATACATATATGTATTATTATTCTTATGATTCTGTATTCATATATGTATATATATTCAGCTCTTCATCCAAATGCGATCCAAAACAATACATTTCTAAAAACAAGGGAAGCATTCAAAATCCCGAAAGTCAAAATCCTGGCAGTTAAAATCGCGACAGCTAATATCACAGAATTTCGGTGACATGATTAGTTTGATTACCTATCAGCGTCCCCCCACAATGTATAGGTTGTTGACTAACTAAGCTCATTAAAATTGTAATAGTTGCTAACTTGTACATTTCTTATCTTTGTTTTAGGAGAAAATCTATAAGAACAGTTTTCCAAAAAAAAAAAATATTTGAAGTCGTTAAAAAAATAAAACTATTATAAGTATACATATACTTGTGATATGAAACATTTATGTTATACGTTTTTCATTAAGTACCTATTGATTTTTTTTTTTTTTTTGTAGAACGTTTTCTATAAACAATATTACACATATTGACATTTCTTCGATTTCGAAGCTACATTCCGCCAGGGGCGGATTGAGTCACCGGGAATTCGGGAATTTTCCCGGTAGGTCGCTTCTTCAAATAACTATTTTAAAAAGTATTTTATATCAAAATATTATGTTGAAATACCTATATATTTTGTCGAGAAAATTTTCTTATTGAGAATGGCTATGAGAAAAAAAAGGAACAGGGGTTGTTTTTGTAGACCTATCTGCAACGCATGATACGGTGAATCACAATTTACTATTGAAAAAAATATATAAGTGCACGAATGACTAGCACATCGTACAAATAATATCTCCTATGCTACAAAATTGACGTTTTACAGTCACGCTTAATAATAAATGAAGCAGATGGAGAAATCAACAAAATGGCTTACCGCAGGGTAGTGTACTGGCACCCATGCTATTTAATATATACACCAATGACCAACCAATCACAGAAGAAACTAGACACTTTATATACTCAAAGCACCTGGCTGTAGTAGCACTGCAAGACATAACATACCGAACGTAAGCTTACAAGAACTGTATAATAATTAACAGCGTATTATGCAAGAAACTAATTAACACCAAACCCGGATAAGACACAAATATGCTGCTTTCACCTCCGAAATCGTAAAGCAAAAAGGGAATTCAAAGTTGAGTGGCTTGGAAAAACACAGAACAACCAGTTTATCTAGGGTTAATTTGGACAGAACCCTTACGTATAAAGATCAGTGTAGAAAAACAAAAATGAAAGTCCAAACAAGGAATAACTTATTGCGAAAACTCGCAGGTAGTAAATAGGGTGTCACACCAAACAATATTCGAACTATAGGACTGGTACTATGTTTCTCCACTGGCGATTACGCTTGTCCAGTATGGAACCGGTCGAAACATACTAAACACGTTAATACGACACTGAATAAAACCTGTAGGTTGATAACTGGTCGCCCCAAAGCTACGTCATTAAAATATATCTATCCTTTAGCAGAGATTACTCCGCCAGAAATACGGAGATATGTGGCCACATCTATCGAAAGAACAAAATAAACTATCGACCAAAGGTATCCCATGTGTGATTATTTAGAACCCCGAAGGAGACTTAAATCAAGATGAAGTTTTATTATTAACACAAATGTAATCCAGGACCCCCTCGACCAGCTCCGGCTATGAAAATTAAGAGAAAAACTACTAGCTGAAACACCTGTTCCGCCTGATGAACGATTACCTCCAGGCGGAAACCTACCATGGCCCATATGGAAAACGATTAATAGGCTAAAAGCCGGAGTAGCTAAGACAAGAGTCAACATGGTGAAATGGGAATACCAAGAAGGACCTGATACATATGAATGCGGTGAGAGCTAATCTGATGAACATCTAATAAAATGCCCTCTTGCCCCGCCAAGATACACAACTGACGACTTGGCGCTTGCCAATAAATTTTCTATATCAATAGTCACTAACTGACTGAAACAAACTATTTATCACATTTATATATTTTAACTTATTTTTTAAGACCACTTAATGTATATTTATTTTTATGTTCATAATTTTATTTTTAATGTAATTAGTATTTATTTAATCTAGCACCGGACACGATAAGAAGACCACGTGTATGTATTAAGCATGTCGTGTTGATTTACTAAATTCGGTTAAAATACTGAGCGAGGTGTACATCACATCAACGCTCACATACACCAAACATAGATCAAGTTAATTTAGTTTCCAATGTATAAATATCACGATTAAGTATTTTTCTGAGTCAAAATTCAACAATATGTTAAATATTACGTAAAATCTATTTAATTTTTTCAACTTTATTAACTGTATAAAATAAATTATACAAAAAGTGCACGTCATAGACTTTTTATAATATAATCATAATGTTATAAGAATTTTAATATCAAATTTAATTTTGACAAAAATCGTTTTAGTAAAAAATTATGTGGAAATAGTTACTGGTCCATACAAATTGTTTCAATAAATATTTATTTTACTATAATATAACATATATTATTGAAAAGCAATACTATTAACCGAGCTCCACTCAGAATCATTTTTTTGTTAGCAATTTTTAATTGTTGCATACAGATATACATTAAATTCCCCTCTATACCTTCCTAATTTCTCACCTACAACAGTGGCCCACCCATCGTACAAAGTATGTCAGTCTCTTTTTTTTTTTACACAAATAAATTAAAAAATAATTAATATAATTTCTGCTATTAGCGTGATCCTATGGGGCCCCTATTTTAAGAATAAATCTCAGGACCCCCGGCTATTGGTGAGTATCCGGGTAGGCCAGCCACTGGTTAAACAGAAATAGGTATTTCATAACCTATCAAGATTACTAATGCTGTCAGTAGTTTCTCAAATGGGTTATCTGATTTTTTTTTTTTTTTTGTTACGAATAACTAGCAAACTTGTAATCTCTGTAAAGCTCTTATTAATAAAACATGAGTTAAAAACTATTATAAATACAATTATTTAAGTTTATCATAACATCATGGCAATACTATAATTATAATAAAGTTTACATATTGAAGAAATCTTTTTTCATACATTTTATTTTAAATATTAACTCAAAATAAAAAATTGTATAACTAATTTTATACCATAGTTACAATAGAATACACATTATTTGAATAAGTTGAGCCTCAATAGTATTCATGTATTTTTAAATAATCAAAGACCATAAAAACATTGCCACTAATTTCATAGTGTGAAAACTATAATTTTAATAACAATAAACATATTATTTTTATATTTATAAAACACAATATAATATTTTAAATAAATTACAATAAAATTATATTTAATCATCAGTCTAAGCATTATTTTTTATCACCAAACTTATAATTAATAAATATATTTAGATGTTGAAATGTACTTAATTCATAATAATTATGTATACATTTGTTATCATATTTGTTTAGTAAAAAATGTAGTAAAATTCCTTCACACAAATGATTATTAGTTATGCAATGATTAATAGTTCGTTTAAATAGTAAGGAATAAATTATTTGCTTATAGAAATAAATAGAAATGTAACATTACGAGATAAATTAATATAAACCAGTTATTTTTTTTGTTTTAGTTTCAAATGTATCAGTTTAAAAAATAAAAATGACATAATCTATTAAAAAAAAATCTAATTAATACCAAAAATATTTGAATGCATATACATATATGTATTTCATTCAATTTTAAACAGATTCTCGAAGAATACAAATAATCATCTTTTGATATCAATATGGGAATAGTTAATAAACGTTTTTAAAACACAAAATGTACTTGAGACACCTAAAGGAATAGGAAAAAATATTACAAGTAACGGTTGCAAATTATTTGTGGGTAATTTAAAATTTATTAAGGGCACATGTTTCGGCTTTAAGATGTTTATTAAAAAAAAAAAAAGTAATACAACAAAAACGTATTATTTATACCTTTCAAAAAAAAAAAACTAATAATAATAAAATATACATTTTTTTTTTTTTTACATAATCTGGTGACATAAAAACAGTCTCCATAGTAACTATAGTTGCTTACTACTAATACACAGCGTTGTAAATATATATTAATGTCATAAATCATTATCTAAAATCTAGTTATTTACATTTTACCAAATAAAAAATATTTTTGGTGTTTTTCTTTATAAACATACATATTATGTATACATAATGCGTTTTTTTTGTGTATGTATGTAAAGTTATAGACAAACACACACACACACACACACACACACATATATATATATACATACATAAATATATACTTTTTTATTAATTTTCATGGCTGACTGAAAACAACGCAGTGCATTATAGTAAAGTAACACTTATGAACATAATAACAATTCGTAAATTTTTTATACTTCACGCTTATATCTTAACAATGCTAACAAAAAGAAAAAAAAAACAATAACTTGTACTCAATATTAGCATTAAGTATAGATGTAAATAAGCTCCTATAAACATGTTTCCACATTGCTGTGTTTATTAGTTTTTGAAAGACAGCATGTCCGTACATAAATAACTTCCAATTTATTTGCACTCTCACAATAAATATTAGATAATATTCGATTTACGACTACAAATTTACATGTAAATTATAATTTAATTATAAAAATGACTAGGAACACAATGGGCTTTGACGAGCGCAATTTAATTTGTACGCCACACTTCTTTTATTCTTTTTTTTTCAATGCATTTTGTGGCAGTGACAATTTAACTGTATAAGTGGAGCATATTATTTCATGCACATTTTAATATTTCATTGTAGTATATATTGTATGAAAAAAAAATATAATTATTAACATATGTATTATGTATACCGCAGGACGAACATTTACGAGTTGAATGAATTAGTCTTTTAATATTTAGACATTTAAAAATGTACGAATAAATAAAAAATTAGTGAATATTTAAAAAAAAATTTACCAGCTTCATAAAAAATCGCTGTAGTTTTTACATTTTTTTTCCCTCCAAAAAAAGCAAGGAATAATTTTGTTTTAGAATTAACTTTTTATAAATTCTTTTTCAAGAATTAATTATTTTTAAATAACTTTGTTAAATATACTTTTTGCTATATAATAAATGATTGTTTTAGATTTAAGAAAAAAAAAAATCGTCGAAAAAAGACGATCCTCACAATTTTTTTTTGCTTTTAATATTTTTGTAATTTTTTTTTTTTTTGTTATTTTTTAATTTTTTTTTTTTTTAAAAATATTATAAGTTATCATATACTTTGTCTCGTTTATTGCTTTAAAGTTTTAAGATTGGACGCACATTTTATCTTACATCTTGTGTTTGATTTTTCCGTTTTTGACGTTTATGTGATGATGTGAAATTTCCAAAGTGTGGTTGGTAATTGCCTGTAAACTGGTGTTTATTTCCAGCATGCGGCCGATAGTTTTGATGATTGTTATAATTATTATTATAATTGTTGTTGGTGAAACCACGATGTTGGTAACTATTAGCTGGACTAGTGCATATTATCCTTTGGTTACGTGAAGGTGTGTGACTACCTAAATAGTAAATATATTTTTAATTATATGTAAGTAATTTTAAATTAAATAGGTATTTTATTATTCGTCATTACCAGGATTAATCATTTGATAATGCTGTTGATTATTCCAACTATTATGCCTATAATGATGTGGATATTTACGCCTTGGTTGGTAATTACTATTCTGATCATTCAGATCATTCTGATCACCGTGGTCGCTTAATTTTTCTATACTACTCTCAGAGTCCTAAAACATAATTATTTTACTTGAATTTTATAAATCACTAATTTTTGTAAAAAATATTATTATAAACATTTTAATGTATCATAGATTCATATCTGATTAAGAGTTTCTTGATAATAGCCATTTTAGTTTTTAAAAAATTTACGTGAAAACAATTTTCAATAGAATAACACGTTGCGCAATAATAAATCACAACCAGTATAAGTAGTTCTTTATATTCTATTAAGTTTTTTTTTCTATTGATTAAGGGATGAAAATTAAAATTTAATTTTTCTTTACATTGTATCCCTCTCGCACAAAACCCAATTGAAAAAAAAAAATAAAAATAAATAAATATTGACAGTTATTAGCATAAGGATAACATGTAGGACATAAGTATACATATATATATATATTTTTTTTTTTTCTTTAATTAACACTTACAGATTCTGCTGATCCAGAACCAGAAGACACCGTAGAAGCTCTACTACTAGTATTTGTTGACACACTAACATTGTTACTAATATTACTAGTAGTCAAATAATTATTAATTATTATTCTTTGGGTATTTTGTAGAGCATAAGTATCTCTAACCCACTGCCGGTAGAGTATTACTTTGTCATTAACTCGTACTATTCGTCCAAGTATACTGTAAAGTAAATTGTACATTAAACAATAAGTTTGTTATAATTACAATTCAATAAACTATACAATTATTTATAACAAACAAATATACCTGAACAAAATGTTTATAGAATGAACAAAAACAAACCTAAAATTAGGGGGAACAATTTGAGGGTCAAGAGCAGCTTTTAGTGTGGTAAATGCATATTCAAATACACTTTTTACTTGAAGAGCACCATAAGAACCACGGCCAATATCATTTCCGGGTGTTAATGGATCTTCTATGCATAAAATACTAGGCCTGTGACCTTCGACCATGTCTTTTTGGACCTATAAATAGTATAGTAGATTAATGTTTGTTTATAACAGAACTGTATGCTATTTTTTTACTTCATCTTTAGATATATATAGTCCACCATCTTTCACTCTTATTGCTGTTATCATATAATTAAATTGTTTGCCATAAAGTTCGAAGAACTCTATGAGCAATACGCCTAAATTGGCAGTGGGGTAGTTTAAATCTCCTCTAGGATGTAACTATTCACAAAAACAAGTATAAAGTATAAACTATAACATTAATTTAAATGCATGTATAAAACTTAGTAAATTGTATTAATTATACAATACCTGTAAAAAACTAACAACCATAAGGATCAAACTGTATGAAGATATACCTCCATAAAACACTTCATTCATATCCCTCTGGGCTAAAAATTGCTTTAGTACCAACACTAGTTTAGGAAGCATTGGAAATACATCCATGTAATGTTTAATCATTTCAGCTGATTTAACACCATTATTCATGTTAAAACTAATATCCACCCTAACATCAGTAGCTTTATCCGTCATTTTAACAATTGGAACCTAAGTAAAAAAAACATCTATCAATATAAATCAATCATCTTAAAAACAGAAAAGAATAGTAAATTTCTAAAATACTGATAAAATATAATTATTTACCGATGCCTTGTCAAGAACTTGTATATTGTCATTACAAACACCATTTTTAAGTAGAGCTTGAGCAAGTGAATGCAATGGTAATGTGTCCCATTCACCTATTACGACCAGATCCATATCACTAAAGTAAAAATATTAGGAAATATATTAATAAAACTATTACATACTAAATGATGCAATCTTATAATTATATAAAAATAAAAAATATCTTTATTTTTAATAATTTTCTTTTAGTGAACTATTCCGATTATTGATGTTCACATCACATATATTGTACTTAAACCTATGTATTTTCTGTATTATATTTAATATTTAAGATAAAAACTGTAACAAAAATATTATTGTAAATCCTAGACGTACGTCTATAATTGTAACTGGGTTTGCCCGTTTAAATATACAAATAAATAAATAAATGTGTATTTTCTTATATATATATACATTTTTTTTTATACACGTTTTTTCTATTGAAAATGATATTATTTAAAATAATTTCATACCTAGTAGGTAAATAAAGTCCAGTTCGAAAACTACCAAATACTTCAACTTTAGCTTTAGGCCATTCCGCATGTATAACATTGGTTACACGTTCCAAAACATCGAGCCTCATATTGTGCTCTTCTGGTGTAGCTGACATATATGCGAAAAAGTCTTCTATCTCTTTATGGAGGCTGAATTGAAAAAAAATTGTTTTAATAAAATATCTAACTCATGATTGAACTTTCAAACTTACGTGCAAATTGGTTGACGGTCATAAGTTTTTCCATGTCTCCATGGACACCCGCCAAATTTACCAATATAATGTGATTGCATTTTGTTCATATTGTATGTACTCGCTATATTTGTGAATAAGCCTTGCTCATAAAGATTACTAGTCTTGATTTCTTGATCTTCTATAGAGAAATCAAATTTCCAATCCAATGGCAGAGAATAATCGTCGTCTTCTTCTTCTTCTTGACAAATTTCAGTACTATATTTGTCGTCGTTACTGTCAGTATCTTCAGTTAAGTCCAAAATTCTGGACCAAAATTCTTGAGCGGGACCTACTTGTTCTGGTTGTAGCCAACCTATCTGAGGATCCATTTAATTCATCACTGCTGCAGTGTGGTACACTACAGAAAAATATATATTATAAATTCAGGCATAGTACAAGAATCTTATCAGCACTATGTAAAGCAACCAAAATTTAAAAAATCTATTATAAATATAAATTTTATCCATGCAATGTTTTAGTATATACATAAAATATTTAAGCCAAACTTTGAAAGTCATTTGAAGTCAGAAACAGTTTTAAATACACTATGATTTCTCACCTAGAATATAAATTAACTACCATATTTTAAGAGCCAGTGGATTTTTTATTATAAATTGCATAGGTATGAAAATTAAAATTAACTCTACAAAGCTCTAGTATTTACCTATATTTTAGACAATACAATTTAAATTAGATACATCATATTCTTTAGATATATCAAGTATTTTTCATACATAAATCTATGAATGTAAGTATTATATAAATAAAATTAAATGGGTAGCAGGAAACATAACTTAAGATAGTGAATGTGACAAAAAAAATAATGTTGGTTTTACAATATATGGACTTGGGTAATCAAAAATAACAATTTGAAAAATATACAAATAATCAATAATTAATGGAAAAATGTTATTAAATAAGAAGTACTTCATATGACCCTCGCAATTTATATAAAAATGACAGATAATTATAACTAATTCAAGCCACGAATTAAGAAGAAAATAAATAAGCTAGTTCTCAATAAGTTGTTTACGTTAAAGATGCAAGTAAAAGAAATAACATAACAATTAAATAATAATTCTAAGATAATATATTAAATGACAGGTAATAAGAAGAAAACTGAAAATATACTTTTACATAAACATGATTCAAATACCTAGAATTATTAACAGCAGGATTCATTGCGCCTGAAGAAACAATTCTTATTTTCTGAATATCAATCACCTTAAATCCAAATGTTTACACTATTAAGTATTAACCATATTTTAAAAACAATAGATATTTAATGTCAGTGTGTCTAAATAATCTTAAATTATTATCTGGTTCTTCTTAAATTGTAATGTTATTTATTTTTTTTTTTTTAAATGTACATTAGGTATATTATGACCAATTTATAAGAACTACCCCGCCCATTAAATGTTTTGCTAAACTGTGGTTTTCTGTAACTTGTATGATTTAAATAAAAATGATTGTAAAATTTACCAAGACAAGAAATGATCTCTTCCGATTATTAAATATAAGTTATGATATTGAATGACCTATATTTATTTCACAACATTCATTCTGAAATAAAATAATTGCCGACTAGGTAAACCATTTAATTGTGAATAATGTTCAAAATACAACCACCTGCAACAGTTATCATGTATAATATTAGACATGATATTTTGATTTGGTAATAACTAAGATACACAATTTTAAAACGATTTGAATGAAACGGTAACAATAAATATCAATCGAAAACACTAAGGCCCGATTATCTATGGGGTTTCAGGTTTTCTAAAATATTCTAAGGTAGGTAATTTTTATTTTACCTAGGAACTTTGTAAGTAGGTACACAGTAATGGCAAGTATAATTGATTGTTAAATTATGTGGTTTAATTGTCAAGTGAAATTGTGAAATATACAGGAATGAACATTAATTTAAACAGATATTCAAAGGAGTGGGGTGGAAGTTTTTGATAAATATTGGGGCGGATGATAAAGAGAGGGACATAACAGAAACGTGTGCAGGCCACGAGTGATGTAAGGTGGGCAAGAAGGTGGGTTATCGGAACGAAATACAGATCACAAGTCGGGACTCAAAAACAGCCATTTTGTTGTACCCCAATACTTACTGATAATGCGTACGATAATTCCGACGTAAACGTCGTCGACGGACGCGAGCGGTTCGCTAACAACTGTGTATCGGTACGACTTGTTTATGACGGCCCGTGAAACTTAATCCGCCTTTTGAACGTTTAACATTTAAAAAAAAAAAAAAAAAAAAAACAACGTAATATTATAGATACATGCGTCCGTATAAATTATACGAGTATTAAGAGATTAGTAATAGTGTGTGTTATTGTTGTTTTATACATGAATGTGTGTGAACATTTTCATTTTATTTTGGAAATTCAATGTAATATTAAAAAAAAAAAAAAAAAAAAAAATTGATTGCCCGTTTTCGGATAGAACCAAAACGGAAACACCACTCGTCTTGGAAACGAAAAAAAGCTCATGATAAGAAGACGACAAACATCGATGGCGATTTCATTTTTTTATTTTTCACCCAACGACGCGATATTCCAGTTGAAAATATTATTCTATTTCCGCGTAGTTAGCTCGGTACACAGTTTTATTATTATTGGTAATTATGTCTAATCAAAATGAAAATCGAACGAAAAATAGCAAACAACCATTTGCACACGTTTGTCGAGTACGTTTTTTCTTTTTTTTTTTTTTCCCCCACAGACTATATAGTGCCGTGTAGTGGGCCAGTGGTTTCCCACTATTATCGATATCGCGCGAGCGCGCGCGCGCGCGGGGGAGAGCCGGTCGACCTTCCCCTCCCACCGCACCGCCGGAACAATAATCACGATGGTGTTATCACCATCGACACGGAAAAAAATCATTCTCCTTCGCGACCGCACCACCCGTAATCCATACGTTCCGAGTACTCGACGCCCGACGGACGCCGACGCCGTTCTCCTCCGTGTCCGCCAGTTAATGCTCATTTCGCTTCGCGCAATCCCGTCCGAGACACGCATCTTGACCGCCAATAGTATTATTATTTTTACTATTTTCGAGTTTGCGTTTATTCATAATTGTCTCCAACTGCGACGTACACCCTGCAACCCGGTACACTTTCATATTAACTGCAACACCCCAGGCGTCGTCGTTTATATTCAAAAACCTATCCGAAAATGTCCGCCGAAAAAGTATTGCTAACCGAAGATCCGGCGTACCAGGCGCTCGCCCAACACTATAAATGCGCCGGTTCGTCGTTAAACATGAAGAAACTGTTCGCCGAAGACAATAGCCGTTTCAACAAGTTCAGGTAAGAAACAACACTTGACCTTGGCAGCGTTTTTTTGGCATTCTACGTTGACCTTTGTCAATTAAGAATCCAGTTTCACTTAATACGATTGACACGCGCAAAACACAGGCGTCGGCATTTTCGACTGGTATCAGTAGTGTGTAACATTGTATATTTATACGTTTTAGTGTCGCTCTCTTCGACTCGTAGACTTAATCTATAGCACACTTTTACAGATAATTTATGGGATATCCAGTAATTAATACTACAGTTTTAAATAGTTTGAAAGATATTCCCTAGTTATTATCACTTAATTTAATTCCCAGAATACCCACATTAAAACTGTTAACTGATAAAACTGGCCGATAATTGTTCATAATATGTTTTTAAAAATGAACAAATTGTACACAGCATTAAATTGTTAACAGTTTCGGGGAAAATACTATATTTTCCTTTTATTATTATTATTTTTTTTTATTGTTCCTATGTCAAATTATCAATATCTGATGAATAATACTCAAATAAAACTGATTAAATACTGTTACATTATTTGCCTATATAAATTAACTTTCACAATGGGCAAATTCGACTAGTATTATGTGTGGTTTACCGTAAAAGTTAATTATCCATATCAAGGATAACACAATGAAAGGATAATTTTGTACGTACACTTTTACCAAGGTTTTTTTAATACAATAATTATTTCACCAAGATCCTATATAACCTTGGTCCGTCATTGATTTAATTTCCTACTTCAAACAGTTTTGTTAATCATAACATACAAAAATTGTAAAAGTAAAATTATAAATAAAAAAAATTAATTAGGTAAAAGTTGAGACCTTTATAAATTTATATTTATTTAACAAAATCAAAATTTTAGTTGGAAAACCATTGTGACTTTATAATATTTTGATTTAAGTTAATAATATTTACTTCTAGGTAGGTATGTATTTCTAATTTCTTAGGTAATAATTATGTAGTTTTGGTCACCAAATAAATTATGTGTTGTTAAAAATTTTAAATTTATTAGTTCACTATTTTTGATTTGTATATAATTCAGTTTACAGATAACTACACCTAATGATGGCGATGTATTACTTGATTACTCAAAAAACCGTGTGGATGAAAAAACATTAAACCTATTATTTAATTTGGTAATAAATAGTTAATACCTAGGTACATAATATCATTTTCATAAAACAAATTAGAAAGTTTTTGTTTTATTATTTCATATTTTACTGACCTTATTGAAAAAAATTGAAAAATGTCCTTGATGTTATTTACTTAGTTTATTTTTAGATCAATTCAATAAACATCAGAAATGCATTACCTATTTATAATAATTGTATAAATTGAATTGATTTAGGCTAAATCACGAAAAGTTGAAGAAGCCAGAACTGCTATGTTTTCTGGTGAACGTATTAATATAACTGAAAAACGACCGGTGTTACACATTGCCTTACGCAATCGTTCCAATACGCCAATTGTAGTTGATGGTCAAGATATAATGCCAGAAGTTAACAGCGTTTTAAAGCACATGAAAGAATTCTCTGAAGAAGTAATATACCTCATGTTAAATAACATTTTGCTAATCATATTTCAATTGAATTCAATTATAATTAAGGTAATATCAAAGAAATGGGTAGGATACACCGGAAAAACTATTGAAGATGTTGTCAATATTGGTATTGGAGGATCAGATTTAGTGAGTACTCAAAACCTCAATTTAAAATATGAACTTGGTATTTATCATTCTATTTATAAAATACCTACTTCTATTTTTTCATTTATATATCTACAGCGTATTTCATGATGATATGACAATTGAAATAACTTATTCTATTAAATATTTTAAATTTGTTTGTAATGTCTCTATTTTATGTTTTTACTAAATCTCAGATAGCCATTTTATAAATATAATTTAAAACAAAATGTTTGTGTTACAATTATTTGCTAATGATGAATCATTAAGTTTTAATAAATAAATGAAGTTTACAAAAATCATTAGCAAAATTATTTGTCATCGAAAAATTAGTGAGAATTGATTGATATTATTTTAGTAATTGCAATGAAAACAATTTAAATTAATAGTTTATAATAAATAAATAATGATATTAATACATGTATACATTTATAAAATGATATTATTCTGTTAACTTCAACAAGTTTTAGAAAATTAACAGTTAACCATTAGTAAATATTGGTTTGCCAACATTTTGTTTCAAAATAGATTTTATATAAAATCTTGAATTATACAAAACTAATTTTTTTTAAATTTTAGTTTGTCATTTCTAAATTAAAAGAAAAATTAACAAGAGACTAATAATTATTACAAGAAAAAAAATCTTAGAAATATTAGACAAAACAAAGGTTATTGTATTTGTCAAGTATCTGTGAAACACCCTGTATATATATAGAAAATACTAAACTAAATTTAATTTGTTTATCTAATAAATAAAGCATTGGTGTTTGAGTAAATTATATTATTTGTATTTTAAATGTTTATTTTTGCCATTATAGTTATAGATAATTAGTGCAGCTTTTCTATTTCACATTTAATGATGTGTGAGTATTAATTTTCTTAAAAACTAATTAATGTGCTTTATTATCTTATTATTCTCATCTCGTGGTAATTTGGTATTAGTTGTAATTTACAGTTGGATGTATAATTTTTGAACTTTGAAATTGTTGACATATTATTTTACAATATGAATAAATTAACATTTTTTTCATTTTTAAACTGGTATAATGTAGCGTAACATATTTATTGTTTGTCGTAAAAATATAATATTCTTCTAACCTTCATCAGCTCACATCGTCTAAAGTTTCATTTCTACTTATAAACAGCAATTTGATTGACTATGGAATTTTATAATTTTCATGAGGTTTTCTTTATTTAATTGTCATGTTTTGAAATAATTAGGACTAATAAACCAACACAACAATATCTAACTGAAATTTATACTACCATTTCTTTTCAGGGTCCATTAATGGTAACAGAAGCTTTAAAACCATATGCTGTTGGTCCCCGTGTTCATTTTGTATCAAACATTGATGGAACACATTTAAATGAAGTATTAAAGAAGGTTAATGCGGAAACTGTGTTGTTTATAATTGCTAGCAAAACATTTACTACTCAAGAAACAATAACAAATGCAACATCTGCTAAAAGATGGTTTTTGAAAACTGCTAAAGATGTAAAGTTATTTAATTTACAATCTCAATATGCATAAGATAATTATAAATTTTGCATTATAGGAAACCAGTGTATCCAAGCATTTTGTTGCGCTCTCTACCAACAAAGAAAAAGTTACTGAATTTGGAATTGATGAGCGCAATATGTTTGGCTTTTGGGATTGGGTTGGAGGCCGTTACTCACTATGGTCAGCTATTGGTCTTTCAATATGTTTATCAATTGGTTTTGAGAATTTTGAATCACTTTTGAGTGGTGCACATTTCATGGATCAACATTTTGTTAATACACCATTAGAAAAAAATGTAAGCATCTTTTATTATTTGGTAAATTTATCTAATTAATTTTACTTAACATCAATATTTTCTAGGCACCTGTTATTTTGGCTTTACTAGGAATTTGGTACCATAACTTCCATGGTGCTGAAACACATGCACTTCTACCTTATGATCAGTATTTACATAGATTTGCTGCATACTTTCAACAAGGTGATATGGAATCTAATGGAAAATCAGTTACCATAAATGGTACTAAGATTTCATCTTTTAGTACCGGACCAATAGTCTGGGGTGAACCTGGTACTAATGGTCAACATGCGTTTTACCAACTAATTCATCAAGGTACTCGTCTTATACCTGCTGACTTTATCGCTCCTGCTATTACCCACAATTGTATAAGTGAAGGAATTCATCACAAGGTATTATTAATTTTAGTTCAATTTGTTTTATCAATTAATAAAAATTTATATTTTATAGATTTTAATGGCAAATTTTTTGGCTCAAACTGAAGCACTTATGAAAGGTAAAACTACAGAAGAAGCTCGTAAAGAACTAGAGGGATCTAATTTAGAATCCGCAGAACTTGAAAAGCTTGCCTCACACAAAACATTTTCTGGAAATCGTCCAACAAACTCAATAGTATTCAAACAAATTAGTCCATTTACATTGGGATTATTGATTGGTAAATAGAACTTTTTTTTTGTATAATAATTTTGTTTATTTTATACATATTTTTATTTTTTTTTTATATTTAGCTTTATATGAACAAAAAATATTTGTCCAAGGTATTATTTGGGATATTAATTCATTTGATCAATGGGGGTAAGTTATTTATAATAGTTATTTATTATTCAAATCAGTTATTTAATAATTGACAATGTCCAATTTACAAAAATATTTTTATCGTTTATTAGTGTTACAGTAACACACCTAAATAATATTAATTGAATAATTCAAATATTAATATTTAACAAAATTACAAAAACATTCTATTATTTTGAAAATAATTTTGTTTTTTAGTGTGGAACTGGGAAAACAGTTAGCCAAAAAAATTGAACCTGAACTTCAAACATCTGATGTTATAACAAGCCATGACTCATCTACCAATGGCCTTATTAACTTCATTAAATCCAATTGGTCATAAACTATGAGAGCTAATTATCCAGTCCAACTTTGTTATTATTTACTACCTAAATCTTTGTTAAGAATACAGTAGATTCGTACGAAAAAAAATATATATTTGTATCATTTGTTGTTTTAATGTTTAATTAATGTGCAATAAATTACTAGTTATCATGTCTATGATTATTTTACTTTATTGATAGTTTATATAATATGTAGCTATTTTAACGAGAGGTTGTGATGCAAAAACTGTCCATAGCGTCCTTTAAAATATCAAGAGTTTATCATTGAAATTAAATGTACTTACTATAATAATTTTAATAATTAAAATTATTAATTTGTACATGATAAATGGTGATGCTTTTAATAATGATACTATGAATCTTAAGATTAAATATAATTAAGAATACCTAATGATATCTATAGTTTGCCTATTTTTTTCTTATCATTTATTTGATTTTCTTTTCTTTTTCATATAATTATTTTTCTTAGAACAAAATATTAAAATAAGATACATAAAAAACAATTCTTAATGATCATAAGAAATGCACAATTATATAGTTTATAGTTTGCTATTTTGTAAAATTCTATGTAAGTGTATATGTATAGTATATAAACATTGACTTTAGAAACAAATCAATTTTTTTTTTTCCATCTAATTGTGAAATATGAAAATAATTATAGTTAATATCCTATAAATTTGTGTAAATATTATAAAATATAATTATATTACTTGCATATTATATATAATATTAAATTAATTGTGTAAATGTTGTCTAATGCAACATAATTCTAAATTCCATTCTTAGTAATTAAATTATAATTACTCTAATAAAAAAACTGACGTACTTAGCACAATGAATGGGCCATTGATGCAGATAAAGAAATTGGGAAAATAGGATATAGAAGGAAATTTAATTCATATCTACGCATCAATAAACTTATGCAGTTTCTTTTATAAATGTATGTAAATTTTCCCAATTATTATGAAATCCACTAAGAAAATCAAAAAAATGACCTCACAAAAGTACCATACAGATAAAATTTAATTTCAGAAAAGATTACTACACTTAAAAATCTGAGTAAAATCTGGTAGATTTTCACAGATAAAAAAAAATAAACATCAATTTAAAACCAATACATTCCTTGCTACACTCCAAATTTAAAAATATATTGTAAATTATAACATTGTGCTATTGATAAGTATAACAAAACCATAGAGCCGAAGCATAAATTTAAACTGAATAATATAAACCACACTAATATACTAATATATATTTGTTTAAACTAAACATTAAAAAAATTATCTAAAATGCATAATTTGTAAATGTCTTAAATAAAATATTATATAATCAAATATTCAGAAAACGAATTTTTCAGGAGAGATTTTTTGTCCACTTTACCTAAAGCATTTCTGGGTACTTCTTCAACAATTTTCATTACTGTTGGTACACTATATGGTGGTAATACAGTTTCAGCCCAAGATTTCAATTCCTTTTTAAATTTTTTATGTTCAACATCATTTAAATTTTGTTCATCCATAACAATAAGTGCACCTATTCTTTGTCCCCATGTACTGTCTGGTAATCCAACAACAGCAATATCCTTAACAGCTTTGTTTTGTAACATAACTGTCTCAACATATAAAGCACTAACTTTATAACCTCCAGTTTTAATTATGTCTACTGATTTGCGACCCAATATTTTAAAACTATTGTCTACATATTCTGCTATGTCACCTATAAAAAAAAAAAAACTAATAATTAACAAATGTAAAACAATTATAATACATATAGTTACCAGTTTTAAACCATCCATTATCGTTAAATTCTTTTTTTGTAGATTCAGGTTTACGCCAATATTCCTTAAATACATTATCCCCTTTTATTTGTAAATTGCCAATATAACTGTTATCTTCACCCTGCTTTTTTATGTTGACTGTTTTAATATTTGTATTGTTCCCTTCCACCAAAATAATGTCATCTTTGACAATCTGGACATTAACACCAGGTAGTGGTTGGCCAACAAAACCTAAGATAATGAATTATTAAGTTATAATGATATTGTTTTTAGAAAATATAATATTAACCGGGTTTTCTCTCGCCGTTTAGTGGATTAGAAAGAGCCATTCCAATTTCACTCATACCATATCTTTCTAATAACTTATGACCTGTAATTTGTTCCCACTGGTTAAAAAGTGTACTGGGTAAAGGTGCTGACCCACTAATCATTAGTCTAAAGCAAAACATTTATTTTTTCTAATTTTAATACTAAAATAAAATATAACCGAGTTCAATATAAACAAACTTGCCTAATTTTCTGAGAGCAGACAGCTTTCACATACTCTACCATTCTGTCATTTTTCTCAAATGTTTTCTTATAATTCTCTATAAGTTTTACGTACATAGTAGGCACACCCATAAATATATTAACCCTGTATCCATAGTTTTGTTCTATAGCTAAAAGCCATGTCCATACATCAGTAGCATTAAACTTTGGTAACATAACACATCTAAAAAAAAAAAAAAAACAATAAAAATGATTTTACAATATTTAATTAATATTTAAGTACCTTGCTCCTGTATGAAGGGGGCACATAAGTGCATTCACAATACCATGAATGTGATTTAAAGGAAGTGCATGAAGAATTACATCTTTATTACTCCAACCCCAAGCTTCTTTTAAGCTACAGATTTGTGCATTTAAATTCTTATGAGTCAACACAACACCTAAATAGAAATATATGTACTTATAGAACTCCAAAAATAATATGAATATCTTGTTTAATATCATAAATAGCTGTTTATTTTACCTTTAGGTGGCCCTGTTGATCCAGATGTATAAATGATCATGGCATTTAAATCAAAATGCTCTTCATCACTTATATTGTTATCCACATCCAGTGTATCTATTTTATTATTATCTTCAAATGATGATTTTCCAAGTGGTTTAAAATTCATAGTGACATGGTCTTCGAGCAAAAGATACTTTTGTTGAAATTGTTCTGCCAAAGGGCGAACAATATTTTCAAATTCAGCTGTTGTTAATATAACTTTAGTATCGCTATCATTAATAAAATACTCGAGCATAGCTGCTGGATGATGTGGACTTAAAGGAACAACTAGAAATAAAAATAATGTTTAAACACTAAAAAGATATAAATTTAATACATGCAATTACCAATTTGTCCACTTATCCAAGAAGCCCATTGAGCAACAACATAAGATGCATCATTTGGACATAAAATTGCAACCCGTTCTTGAATTTCGCCATGTAAAAATTGTTCTAATACTTTAGATAATGTGATACTGCTGTTCAATATTGAGGAATAAGTATGCTCTCCAGATTTGTCTATAACTGCAATTTTGTTCGGCCATTGATAGGCTAATCTATACAATTCAAAAATATTTAAAATAAAACAAATAAAATTAATTACTTATAGCTATGTAAGTACTGAATAAAATATGAAATAAATAACCTAAATATTGGACGATACATGTTTGAAAAGTACAAAAAATGTTCAAGACTACTAAGCAATTCAATTTCAATGTTAATATATTTGACCCATTGATAAGAAGGTCCTTTCCGTAATGAATTATTTATAAGTTATACATTTTTTTTTACAAATGTTATTCAATACCACTGTACCTATACTGTTAAATTTTAAAGCCATAGTTAATTATTATGCAACAAGTGATAAAACTTGCACAATTTTAGTATGAAACTACCTGTTTAAAAAGTAAATCTACATTAAATCTACAATGATATATACCTATATATAGGTGCTAGAGAAGAGCCATTCTTGGAGATGTTTTTTAATGCGTCAGAACACAGTTGTCTTATACAACAACTGTAAAAAGGTTTGTACAAGAATTTTCTATACAACACCATTTTCTAATTATATTAAATTTTGAACTAAATTAGTATATTTAACGTGAATAATATTCGTGGCACTTTTCCTAACAAGGACTATTAGTTCTCATTTTAAAACGGAAATTAAATAATAAAAAAAGGCAAATTGGAAAAATTTGTCAATGGACGTCTGGAACCGTGATAAAATAGAATATAGATAAGCACCTATGTAAACATCGGCTCCGGACCGTTCTCCGACAGTTGATAAGAAAAAGAGAAATATTAGAAGTCATGCCAAAACACCGGTACAAAAAAATTTAAAAGCGTCTTTATCCTGCCGGTTGGCCCCACAGACGCGTGAAAAAAAAACAAGGTACTGGTTTGTTATGTTACTATCCCGCCATCAAAAAATTGTATTAAAAATGTTTAGGATTCCCTTGGTATTATGTAAATATATCGTCGAATTATTAGATTAATAATTATCAATAAATAAACTCATTATTTTCTTTATCGGTTTATTATGTAATTATATTATTGATTATTTGTGATAAACTCCTATAGAGTACCAATGTACGCAATTTCCGTAGATTTATTTTATATTTATACGACGTATTTATTGTCGTATGGATGACGGGGGCGATAACAAACCCGAGTGACGGGGCTATAAGGTTTTCACTCGACGCCGCGGGACTGTAACAAACCAGTGCCAAAAACAATATTTGAATATCATCTATGGTCGGTCCTATAGAAACACCGAGATAGATAAAAATGATATAAAATATATTCTACACTAATATAGTATATTCTTATCTACCTCGGCGTCCATTCTGTATAATATCTGTGGGTCCTCGTCATGAACGTATAATATACTGACCCCCGTAAATCATAATATTTCGGTATCAGTAAATATATTACCACAGATTAGATATAGTCTGTAATACCGCCGTGGAATAGATGCATTATGTATTTTGAACACGTTGGATCATATTATATACTGTCAATAATATGATCTAAAGGGGAGTCCTCAACTCTCACCGTGTCGTTTCGTTTCGTGCGTTTTAAACACGGCGCGTTCCTTTTTGATTGCACACAATAATTTAATCCTGTCGTTCTACCAACAGTGATAATGTTGGTGTTATCACTCACTATCACTATTAATTTATCATTCGCCAAAAATGCGCGGTAATTATTGTCGCACATTTGTCTTGTATTATATTAATTATGAATATTTATTATTATTTCGCCATCAATATTTCTCCGTCTATACACTTTCTTTAGGTTTTTTATTATTCATAGTATTTTCTGTCAAAAAAGGCAATGCCATTGTATTATTACCTAAACAGTATCCACTTAATTGATATAGTTCACTAGTATTATACGATTAACTAATAATAATAATAACAAAATACTAAAATTATTTTACTTGATTTTAGTTAATAATATAATATTGCCATTTTTAATAGTTACGTTCTACTGACTACTGGTTCTAGTATATATTGATTTTAAAATCAATGATACAATCTATATTAAAATTACCTATTTGGTATTGTAATTACTAGTACTAGTTTGTGATTTTATATCATAAAGTACAGTTGTGTCAAGGGTTAATACAACAAACTTTTTGTACAAAATGCATAGGTATCTGTCCATAAAAAAATGTACATTTTACGTTTACATTAGATATTAAATACCTTCACAAAGTTCATATTGAATTTAAACTAGTATAAAAATTGAATATGGAATCACATTTAATTTTAATTTAAAATAAAATTACTATAAAATGAAAATTTGAGTACTATTTAAATTTATTATTAAAATGAAAACACAAAGACGTTACCAGTTATAACCAGCACGTCCAAAAGTTGAATTTATTCAACTCTGAGGTATCCGCGGTAACGTCTTGGTAGACACGATCAAAATTTATCTACCATGATAATATGAGCCAATCAAAAAGGAGTATTTCACACGAAACGAAACAACACGGTGAGTTGAAGATTTCTCTAAAGGCCACAACCAAAAAGTATTATAATTTATAGGTTATGCGACATAAATATAAGAAAAATATTATAGATAAAACGGTTAAGGTACCAGTTAGTTGGCCCATGCGTTTGTTAACATATTCATATTGTAACTACCTATGTTTTATTTACAACTATTGAGATCCTGTAACTGTAATCTGTACCTCAAGCAATTCACATAGAGGTGTAAGTAGGTATAGATTATTTAAAGCTATCTATTATTTATAATAGGAGTTATTTGGAAGTTGATAAAATAATTGTAGTGATTTATAAACGAGACAGTTAAACCCCATTTCTTACCTATGCCCCTGACTATAGTGAAACTAAACCTGTGTACAAATAGTTATAGTGTTATACTATAACCTTCATTAATGGAAAATCTAAAATAGATAGTATTGAAAGTTTGTAGAATGTGATCGGAAAATGAAAATACGGTCACGAATTATACTTCATACACGAACAATGTTCTTTTATAAGTAGTTTTTAAATAATTCTAATTTGTTTCCATTCCGTTACAAAAATTATTCAATTACTACATATTAGGTAGATACCTACATAAGTCTAAAGCTAGGACTTAATTTAACCCGTATCTTAGACACGGATAATTATTAATTATTTAATAATATGTCTTCTCTTCAATAATTAACAAGAACAAAAGAAATACATAATATAAAAAAGACGGATATACCTACGTTGCACGTGGGTGCAGCCACTGTTGTAAGTGGGAAGTTAGGAAGGTAGGATACAAACGGGAATTTAATGTACATCTGTAAGCAACGATAAACCATTGCTAACGAACAAACGATTCTGAGAAGAGTTCAACTGATAGTGTTTCTGTTTTTCAACAATATACTTATATATCTATCATATAATGCTGAAATGATTACAATGTGCGTTTCCATGACAACAATGAATGTTTAAAAAATTTTAAAACAATAAAAGATTGACATATTTAGTACGTGGGTGGGCCACTGTTATTGATGAGAAGTTGGCAAGGTAGAGTGAAAGTTTAATATATATCTGTACGCAATGATTAACTATTGCTAACAAAATACGATTCTGAGCGGAGTTCGGTTAATAGTGTTGCTTTGTCAACAATATATAGCCATATATATATATATATATATATATATATATATGTCATAAAATATAATGATATAATATATAATATAATGCATAATAATATGCATTAAATATTTTCTTTAATAATATTTGTTTGATAATGTACCAATTTTCCCGATTTTTCCCATTTATTATTAAAACAGTACGAAAAATCAAAAAAATATATCCTCCCTAAAGTACCCGCCCCAGTCAGATTTCTTTTCGAAAAAAATGCTGCACTTGTATTCGGTGTAAGATTTCTGATATTAAAGTTGTTCACAGATTAAAATAACAATAATAAAATAAACATTATTGCAAAACCAATGCATTCCTCTCGCCTCTCAGAATCTAAAAAAATGTATCGAAAAAAGCTTATAGGAAAAATAATTTCAAGTCAACTGTATTCGTATTTGAATATATACGAATGGGTACCTAAACATCATGGTGGAATTAACAGGTTCACGGATCTAATATTATTATTAATTGTTATCTACGCGTATACGGCCCAACTTGCCAATAAACAAAACACACGTGCAGACGTGTTACTTTGAAACCTGCTTCTTACATGTTATATTTTAAGTTATAATTTATAACATACACGTGCACTACCGCGTGAAAAATGATTAAAAATCGCATTAATTAAACATTCAAATAATAATAAAATAAAACAACCTAATTTTGTCATTATTATAAATATTAATTATGAAGTTCGTCAGTATACATACTTACCTAATATTGTGAAATTGAACAATACTATTATACCTATATCAATACCACGATCTGCATGTTTATTAACCACGTTCGTGGATCACGCGAGGCGCGTGAACTCATAGATAACATATTATAAAAACATATTTTTCATATAATACATTAATATGCACCTATAATATATAGGTACTGTTAGAGCCTACATGTCAAGCGCGCTCGCAGGATAAAATCCCACCCGGAGCAAAACGGAAAAACATTTCATTCTATAAATATTTTAAATTATTGTGGTAAAATGGTATGTCATTATGTGTGATAAAAGTATACACAGTTGACAATCCCAGGAGGGGGAGCAACGGCCCCTTTTTCTCCCCGCTGTGGGCACTCTTGCTGTATAGGCAGATGTATACAAATATTGGGATATCGTGCATTCACTGTTTTATGGTTTAATAATTATTATTTCAGTATTTTTAATTGTTCTTAATAGCCAATATAATTATTTATTATCATATTGGAAATAAGTTTTGATTAATAATTACATTTATTAATTGAATAATTTCTTGAACTTCGTTTGTGTTAAAATTATTTCAATTATAAGTTTATTTTTTAAAAAAATTATTCTTCCGTGTTTAGGAATAGATGTACATACATTTTTATTAAATCTGATTACAAAATAGAGGCTCCACACTTACATCCATTCATAAAAATACATAAACTACATAATCCGATTCGTTCATTGATTAACTTTAAATCTGCTCCAGCTTATAACCATGCTAAATATTTAGACTCTCATAAAAGAAAAATTAAACATTAAAACTGATACTTTTATAAAAAATACTTATGATTTTATTGATAAAATTAACACAATTAATATTATGCCAGGTAACAAAATGATTTTTCTTGACATTAAAAATGTATTTACATCCATTCCTAAACACGAAACGATTAATTGTTTAAAAAATAAACATATACATTTTAATAAATTTAATACAAATAAAGCACAAGAAATAATTCAATCAATAAATGTAATTATTAATCAAAACTATTTCCAATATAATAATAAATGATATTCGCAAAAAGAAGGGTTGGTTTTGAGTGGACCTTTAAGTGCTCTTTTATTTGAAATTTACATGCCAAATTAAGAAACCAATAATATTTACAACAAAATGTACAGTTCATACATAAAAGCATACCTATTATAGATATGATGATGATACCAAATAAACAAGTAGGCAATTTAGTGTTAACTACTTAAACAAAATCATTCAATTTACTCTCGAAGTACAAATTAATAATAAATTTAATTTCTTAGATCTTATAGTTTCCATAATAAACAATAAATTTGATTTTAGTATTTACAGGAAACCTACACAAACTGATTTTATAATACCACACGATTCTAATAACACTCATTCTTAAAAAAATATCATTTTTTAATTTAATATTCTATAGGCTTCAACATAAGCTGAATATTATCTATAATATAGCCCATAGGGACAATTTTAATTAAAATACTATTAAAAAAATGGATAAATGTATTAAAGAAAAAATAATACACAACTCACCAAATAATGTTGTTAACTATTGCAGTATGGAATATCAAAACAATATGTCTAACGAATTCGCTAAAATTCTGAACAGTAATACAAATAACGTAAAAATCACTTTTAAGACTAATAATAATTTAATCAAACATATAAAAAATAGAACCAAAAACTTCATAAAAAATCTCCCTTCTTCTAAAAAAGCTGTTATAGATAAACTTAAATGTAACTGTAATGAATTTTATATAGGTAAGACAAATAGAAATTTTAAAATAAGGTTTAAAGAACAAATTTCTGAAATAAAATTAAAAAAGAACTGATACTGGGGACGGGTGCAGTCACTGTTGTTGGTGGGAAGTTGGGAAGGTAGGATACATAAAGTCACTTCATTTATATCTGTAAGCAACGATAAACCATTGCTTGAAAGACGATTTCGAGTGCAGTTCGGTAATATATAATTTGAAGTGCCGTAATTTTTTTTACGATTTTCGTTTAAATTTTATTTCAAAACGCTTATTACAAAAAAAAAATCGTCCAATGATTTTGGAAATGTTATCACGTCTAGATAAGTCCAATGTAAATATTATTACCAAATTTCAAGTCTACGTGTATTTATAAACAAATTACAGCCAAACGATTCCCAAAAATTAAAATTCCTTAAAAGCCTAAAATTTTTGGTAATGATACTGTAAGAAATTAAATCAAAAAGGCAACAAAAAAAGTGTCTTCTGGTTTTTCGATTAAATCATTTTTCCTGGTAGAAAACATCGTCCGTGTTTTAATAAAATAATGAAATCATGAAATTGTACGGTTTACCAACGTTTTTTGTACTTTTATTTAAAAAATGGAACCGATAGTGAAAAAATGACCTCTTTAAAGTACAATCTAGACAACTTGAGATTTCAGAAAAAGTTTTACACCTAAAAATCGGAGTAAGTTTACTAGAAAAAAATGTGTCTAGAGAGACTAGATCAAAAAAGAAAGAAAAAATAAATAAACAGCATTGCAAAACCAATAGCACCCTCGCTACACTCGGGATCTAAAAGTATGAGTTGATGCAATTTAGAACTAATAACCGAGGGCCAGATTCTTGAACCACGTTCGAAAAATCACTCATGGGACAATTCCCTTAAGGTACGGTTTCCAAGGCGCGACTGAACTTTATCGTGGCGACCGGCGACACTACCGGTCCGAGAGCAGTGTATTGCGACTGTCGCGCGCGACCGTTGATTTATTTCATTCACAAACCAGCTTTTGGGCAGTGTATTTCGACTGTCCCGTACAGCAATATTGCTAAATTGCATTTTTCGGGAGAAGTAGAAGAACAACTGATCGAAATGGTTTTTATTAACACGAAAATACTCGCGAAATTTTGTTTCATTTCGTATTAAATGTCTATTTATTAAAATTGCAAAGTATCCTTCACTTTTTCTATTAAGAAAAAGAGCATCAACTTTTTTTCTCTGTTCGCATTGTGTTGTAATTAATAAATCATCATCCTCTTGCTCTTCTTCAAGAAGAAGTGACATTATTTTATTATTGTTATTAATAATTGTATTCATACTCATAGTAGTAAATGTACAATTTAACTTTAAAACACTGGCCCTCACTGCACGAAAACCACAATGATACTGAATACAGATACAGAATTTGACGGTTTTCTTTACGTCTCGGCGACCATTCGCGCCTAGGAAACCGTACCTTTAGGGTTTTGTCGTACGACATCTGAAATGCTTATTTGATTGTAAAACGCAATTATTTTGTCACAACCAAAATATTTTTCAAATAGACCATATTGGTAAATGGTAACTAATGATATGATAAGATCACCGCCACTTATGTTTTTTGTGATTAACGTTTTTCTCAAATTACCTATTAGTTTTTACAATTATAATTTTTTTTTTAATAATATTATAATGGAAGACGCAAAAAAAATGTACTGTTCTAAACAACAAAAAAAAAACACTCATCGAAATTTTGCAAAAATATCCCCGATTAATTTCTGGGAAGTTTATTTGCACTTTTACATTTGGAGAGAAGTCAGAAATTGATTGACAGAAATTGCTGTACATTTAAATGCACTTCCTAGCTGTGTCATGAATTGAAGTCAGTGGATAAGAGTAAGATATAGTTGTAAATTAGATACCTACTTTGTGCACAAATTTAACTATAGGAAATAATTCTATAATTCTTATTTTATTTTATGTTAAAAGACTTGGTTAGATTACTGCATTAAAGTTACAGTTCAAAAAAAGCAATGATGAATAGACATGTAAATGGTACAGGAGGACTACCAGTAGCACAAAAATTTACTTCAATCGACAACCAAATTTTTGATCTCTTAACCCTCTTCTAATTGATGGAGATGAGAACATTGCAGTGCCAGTTACAACTTTTGAGTTAATTGATATCAATATAAACGGTTAGTTTTTTAAACTTAAATTTAGTCAATTGTCTAATTTATATTGTAATTTTTATAACAATTTATATAAATAATTAAAAATATTAATACTATTAATACTATTTTTAAGACTTAATGAGTGAATTGAAATTTATAAGTCCAAAAAACAATACAAACTATGAAAACTCCATATTTACTATGCAGCCTATTGAGAAAACTAACTGTACAATTAATAATGAAGCCATTGCTACAGTAGAAAGAAAATTTATGTTATTATCAATTATAATTTAAATAATTAAATGTAAATTATATAATTTAATTGAAACTATCTAAAATAGATACCTAATATAAAAAATAAATGTACACACAACTATACATGTATGTATATAGGTTATTATAGTTTTTAAATAAATTAGGTACATAATATATATTAAATTATTATTTTTTTATTATTTGATGAATATCAACTAAAAATGATTCTTTTAATTTTATTTTATAACCAATAATATTTTTCTTGTAGGTGATAGAAACAGTTTAATAATTAACTGCTGCAAAACGTTGAACCAATAGTTTAGACGGTTTAGATGGTAAAGACATCAGTGAAATTGACCAACAAAAACTTAAATTAAAAGAATTATATTATGAAAAACAGGATACACCTGCCAGACCTCCACCTAAGGTGGCTTGGTGATATTATTCCTAATAACCCAAAGCGAATACGCCTTGGTGAAGTGCGGGATGATAAATTTGCTTGCCTGCTTAAAATTATTTTCGAAAATAAAGATACTGTAGCCAGTTTGCTTCTTCGATTCAATTCAGCCAAGCACTCTGGATCTTCTTTTCCCGACGGATTTCAGATGGTCAGTGACAAAACTGTTCTACAACGCAAGTTATGAACGTGCCAAGCAGATTAGAGCGAATAATGGTGAAAAAGACCTGAAAATTATTTTTACCAATGGTATTCCGGAAATTAAGGTTACCATCTCAAAAAATGGAGTTGCGGGTTTATGTCCTCCAGTCAATCAGCCATAGCAAGAGTAATCTATGGCGTTCCAATCTCTAGTTTTTATCAAAACTGCCGTGGACAATCTACATTATTTAATTTCAAATGTAATGTGTATCTACTCTTAATTTTCTGTTTATTGTTCTAACAGAAACTTGGCTAATTGAAAATTTTTCTAATAATGAGCTTAGTCTTTTAAACTACAATATTTTTAGATTTGATAGGTGTATTGCCACCAGTGCATATCTTTGGGGAGGTGGAGTACTTATAGGCATATGTAAGGACATTTCTTCTTTTTGTATTATTATTCCTGAATAAAATGTGGAACAAACTTTTGTTCACTTCTCTATTGGTAAAGATAAATTTGTTTTTGGGGGTGTGTATATTCCTCTGAACTCCTCATCTACCTTATATGAATCCCATATATTATCTATCAAATATATTTTTCATCATTATCCTAACCATACCTTTATTTTTTGTGGTGACTATAACTTGTCTGATATCTTATGGACCAATGATGATTTTGGCTTAATCTGTTCTCTGTCCACAAGTATACCCTGCATTCCTGAATTCTTTAAGGTAATTTTTTTTTTATCAAAACAATAATATTTTTAACAAGTACGGATCCAAGTTAGATCTAGTTTTTAGTAATGTCACGTTAATTATAGTGGAAAATCCCTTGGATCTTTTAGTTCCGGTTGATTACTACCACCCACCTTTAACTATTTCATTGAAATTTAATGCACAATTTCTCGTCTTTAATCGTTCACATACTTTTTATGATTTCAAAAATGCTGACTTTAAAAATATTTAATTGTTTGTTAATCACTTTGATTCAACCTTCTTACTACTAAATGTTGAATCAGTTTTTTGATGCGCTTCATCAGTCTATTTTGCATTACGTGCCTTTGTGTAATTATAACCATTCTCATTTCCCTCCCTGGTTTACCAAAGAGTTAAAAGAAATTTTGTTTCTTAAAAAAAAAAGGATATGTCACATTCAAATCTACTGTTAATATTTCTGACTACCATATTTTCTCACGGGCACGCTTTAAATGAGTCCATAAAATTGATTTGTTAGGGATATATTCCCCGTTTCAAAACATCCTTCATTAATAATCCCTCGTGATTATTGGAAATTTATCAATAAAGATATACCCATAAATGATATACCAAAGGTGTTGAAACTAAATTGTTGTTTATCAATTGACGAGCAGGATGCTGCAAATTTACTCTCATCTTACATTTCCTCTGTTTATACATCTGAAGTTATTGATGTGGATCTACCCAACCATGTAGACTTAAATTATGATTCACGCAATAACCTTATGTCTTTCATGGCTTATCATGGTATTACATGATGTTCAGTCCATTAGTCCAGATGGTTTATCTGGAGAGTTTCTTTTCCAATTAAGATATATTATATCATATCCCCTTTTTTTTGTTTTTTAGGCGGTCTCTTGATGAGGGTATGTTTCTGTTTATATTAAAATTCAGTTTTATAACACCCATTCTAAAATTAGGTAATGTAGCAGGTATAAGAAAATTATCAACCAATATCCATTCTCTTACACTTATCAAAATTATTTAAATCCATAATTTTAAACTGTTTTAAACAAAAATATAAATACAATTATTGATGAACAGATTTCATACTGGCTGATCCACAACCACCTGCAACCTAGTATTAAATAACTTCATATATGATGCCTTCCATTTAACTGCAATAACAAATATATACCTTTAAAAATAATTAAATTTAGTACTAAAAGTTTGACTGAGGACTATACTAACATAAAATTTGTTTTAAATTAAGTGTTTATAGTTAATATTACTTATATAAAGAAGGTTCCTAAAAAGTCAATATTATGTTTTTATTAAGTTTAAATAATTTTGTTACATGTTATTAATTTATAAAATAATTTACAAATAAGTACTTTGTAATATTTATTTATTTTTTTAATAGTTTTATAATGTTATAAGTGATATAAAAATATTTTTTTTTCTGTTCTACCCTATCTGTTGCATAAACATCTTGCTACATTGTCTCTTATTCTTCTACTTTCCACTAATTCAGAATTCAAATTTCTTCCTCGATTATCATCTTCAGGAGTATAATTATTGATCATTCTGAAATCAATTTCTTCCACATTTTCAGCATTCATATCTGAATCTAGAACTATAGCCAATATGCACATATTGTGTAAATAAACACAGGCATTTACAATTTTGCCAGATTTGTTTGGTGTATAGTGTAATATTTGATGCTTTAATAAACACCTAAACTGAGCCTTTAATACACCATTACACCTCTCAATAATACTCTTAGTTGCCATCTGCATTATGTTATACTCTTCTTGTTGTTTCAGCATATGGTGTCAAAAGCCAAAGTTTTAGGGCATATCCTGAATTTCCTACATCATATAAGTTTTTAAGTATAAATATGATTCAAATTAATATTTAATTTAATTTAATTTAAATTTAAAGCTTAAGAAAAATATTAATTTTACCCAGTTAGTATATGCTATTGTCTATGTCTATATAATTCCTCTGAGATTTATTTTTATATCTGTAGATGAATTCTATAAATGGGAATCTGCTGTATTGCCAGGACATTTGGCATTTATACTCATAATATAAAGTGTTGAATTATAAATCTGTTAAACAAAATATATGAATTAGAAAGTTAATTTGATGAATATTGAGTAAAAAGTTATTTAATAAACCTTAACACATTTACTAATTGTACATTTAATAAGTGGTAACCTTTTCTGTTTACAAAAACATACTATGGTACATTTCTATATTGGTTTGTAGGAAGTGCAATTGATGCTCTGCAATGCAGCTCATTTACCACCTTGGGTCAATAGTTCCACCAATAATGTTTTTTTAATTTTCCCTGCTACTGACCCGACGTGGTTTTACCCAAAACCGGTTATCATGAATACATAATTTGAAATAAAATTATTTTCTACGTTGTTGGTATAACAACATTTTAAATTCAACTTGCTTTTCTTGACGTTGGTGTTCACGCAGACTGATATGGCTACGACTTCTTATCATTTTTTCTGAAAACTGTATATTACCCGCCGGCTCTATCAGCTATCCATTGTATATGATCTAAGCTTAAACATCACTTCTTATCATAAGTTAGTAATGTCATTGATAGTATATATTATAGTATACAATTATACAAAATCAATGGTAATTCGTAATGTAGTTTGTTTTATTTGTTACAAGTTTAAATCAATGTAATGACAGTCAACATTACGAAATTTCAAAAGATCCAAATTCAAAATAAATTCTAAGAATTTCACTAACTTATTGTTTCGTAATAATTATAGTTACTACTTAACAGTTATTAAAAAATATTATGTTAAGTATCATGTGCAGATCAGTGTTTCTGGTAATTTATATACATAACTATTATTAAGTTAAATAATTTTATGTGCAACTAATGCTAATTAATAAGGTTTGTGTTTTAATAATACTGTTTGTGCAATACTTGTAAGATGCCAGCTCTTCGAAGTGCTATTTGTGAAACCCTTTTAGGAGAACCTGATCAAGATGCCAATTCTGCTTTGATTGAATTAGATAAAGGTCTCCGTTCTAGTCGTGTCGGTGAACAATGTGAAGCTATTGTACGTTTCCCTCGTCTTATTGAAAAATATCCATTTCCAATTCTTATTAATTCGTCTTTCTTGAAGCTGGCTGATGTTTTTCGCTTGGGAAATAATTTTCTTCGTCTTTGGGTGTTGCAAGTTTGTCAACAGACAGAAAAACACATTGACAAAATATTAAACATTGACGAGTTTGTTAGAAGAATTTATAGTGTAATTCATTCTAATGACCCAGTTGCTAGAGGCTTGACGTTGCGTACATTGGGAAGCGTTGCACGTATTATACCAGAAAGAGGTCAAGTGCACCATAGCATACGTACAAGTTTAGATTCTCACAACGCAGTAGAAGTAGAATCTGCAATTTATGCTGCTGCACAATTTGCTGCTCAATCAAAATCATTTGCTTTAAGTATGTGCAGTAAAATTTCAAATATGATACAGGGTATTTCGACTGATGTAGTAATGAAACTTGAACTAATCCCTATTTTAAAACATATGCATCACGATACAACTACTGCAACAATGGTAAGAACCCTTTGTACTGATTTGTTGGATAAATATCCAGCTCAAGATTTTGTACTTGTCACATTAAAGACACTTAATCAATTAGCTTTATCAATTTTAGTAGATGTGCCTAAACAAATAGAATTACTTTTGAAATATTTAAGTGAAGACAAACGACCTTTAGTTTGCAATTATGCCATTTCTGGTCTTTATCAAATTGCTAAAGAAGGTGCACATTTTTGGTCTGTTTCAACTATTAATAATTTAGTCAGTTTTTGTAAAAGTTTAAATGTTGACAACAATTTGAAAGCAAATGCTATAAATGTATTTGTACCATTAACAAAATCTCCAGCTGTATGTCAATTGCATTATAGTACGGACTGTCCACTTATGTCCATGTGTATTGCTGAATCAGGATCATTACATCAATCAGTTGCTGGAAATGCAGTTAAAGTATTAGCAAATATAGCATGTTATTGTTATGAAGAAGATATTTTGTCAGAAAATGATGCCAATACATTGAAGGTTTGTATACAGAGTTATCTATTGTCTGTACTATCTACCGGAAAACACAATGATGATAATTATTTTAATGATTTAAGTGTCGAAGAAAAATCTTTAATCTATAGTATTTTAAAAACAAATAATACCTATAAACCAATGGATGTCGATAGTACAGACGAAAACTGTGATAAATCATCAAGTTATCTTCGTGATGGTTTACGATCGTCTATTATGTTATGTAAGGCAAATAAAAATTTAATCCCAGAATTTCTTTCACTTATAGTTAAACCATTAGAACAAAATGGATCTGAGTTAACTCCACTGATATGTGAAGCTATTGCTGCTTTTGGTGGTATTTTACCCGGTACTTTACAGCCCAATCTACCAGTTTTTATAAAACAACTGAGAAACTTAAGTAAAAATCAAGATAATATATCTACTACAATTTTGTTATGTACTGTGATTTTCCAAGCTGTAGCAGGTTTCAATGAAAATGATGATGTAAAACGAGTAATTAATGATGTAATACTAAATACTGATTTATGGTCCAATTATAAAATTGGTCGAGCGGCTGTTAGGTATGGCCACTTTACTATAAGTTCAAAAATTTTTGGCAGTCTAAATAATCGTGTTGGGTCAGAACAAATGCATTTTTGGTTAGCTGCATTGGAGACTATAAGTACAGCAGAGTCTCAACTCATGTCTTCAAATCCTTCAAAATTATTGAGCAATTTAGGCCAATCTATATCTACTTACTACAAAGCAATTGCTGCTCTGAAAGCTGCATCGTTAATGCTTATTTTTCAAACAGAATATACACGTTTACGTTGTGAATTGTTACAATGTTTTATGCGTTTATTATCTACGTGCAATAGTTTTTGCACTACTCCACCACCAGCTATTGCTTCAGCTATAGTACAGGCTACTAGAGATGAAATGCAAAGTTATGGTCATATTACAAATCAATTAAGAAAAAGAGCAAAGGAATTTAAGGGATGTGCAGATCTATATTGGAGACTATATCAATCAGCATTTGATGCTGATCCTAATACATTATACCACTTGCAACTATTACAACATTTATGCTTATTAATGGCTCACAATATTGAATCTGTAGCTGTTCCAAACAAATGTGACTGTCCAGTTTTGGATTCTGAATTGGAAAAAGAAGGTTCTTTGGAAATACAATTGATTGTGAAATGTAGACAACAGCTCTTAGAAATAATGAGTACAGTAAAAGAAAAAGCAATCACTCATAAACATATACGGTCTCTTAAAAAACAAGCTTCCCTCTTAGTAACTACACCGATGTGTTTCCCTCGTTATTTTTTCCAAACTTTACAATCAACTACTATAACTTTAGCTGTATCGCCTCAACCTAGAGTTAATGGGGAGCCGATTACTGTAAATATGGGGAGTAATTTTGTAGTTAAAGTTGAAGGAGTTGTACAACACGGAACAAAGGCTAAATTTCGTAAAGTTGACGGGATTCAATTAACAGTTATGTCACAATTAGTAACAAGAAACCATGATACAAGACCAACTGAAGGAAATGTGGTGTTAACACAAACAGTAAAACCACATAAGGATTTCTTTGCTTCAGAATTTTGCTTAAGTTTCAACCAAGGAAGTCAACATCAAGTACATATTGAGGCAGCATTAATTGATGACAATGCATCTGTATGGCAAATTGGAGTGCGTAGTACATTAGTTATTAAGTGTCATTAATAGTAAAAAAAGAAAACAAAATGTATGTATTAATATTTTTATCTATATTGAACTCCTTCACCTAATTTTAATAAATATACTTTTTAATATTTATAATCGATTTTCTCTTTCTGAATTACTATTTTTAAGCAAAAACGCTGGCCAATATTTTTCTTCTCCAGTATTCTCATCTATATATTTTAAATTTGGATTACGGCAACTTTTTGACTTGTTACCAAGAGATGTATAGCTATGAAAAAAATAAAAAAAATAAAAAATGAGACTAGTTTATGTTTTGTAATAGGTAGTATTATATGTTTTTAATGTCTTACCCTTTATCGTACAAACAACAATATGGTATAGAAAATTGTCTCAAAAATGACCAAACAGTATCATAATTCCAATGCAATAAAGGTTGTATACGAACTAAAATAGGCCAACCTGGATCAGTTTTCTAAAATATAAATACAAGTATGATTATTTTTATAAATAAATAGATGAAGAGCTTGATAGCATAATCAGGTTATTGAAGTAATTTTTGATTTTAACATCTTATTTTATATTAAGGGGCCTGGTTTTCAAATTTAAAAAATTTAATATTTTAATTACTTAATAACATTTTCAAACTGATCTATTACTCGATATTCATTTATGGGAATGGGTGGTCGTTTTTACTGACAAAAAAAACTTTACAGATAGTAAATAGTGATAACTCATTATCAATTCAAAATTGATTCTTTTTATTCTTAAAATATTTTCACATGAGATATTTGATTGTATATCTACCATCAATGTTTATGTAAATAATGGGTATCTTTCTACAAATTTAAGTTTAATTAATAAATATATTTTACATGTAAGACATTTTTAAGAATGTAGATTTACTTACAGAATTTGTTTTTGCTTAATTATATTTTTCTATTTAAGTACTATATTAAATTTAGTTTGAAAATAATAAATATATTAGTTTCTAATATTTAGAAAATTAAAGTTATGTATGTATCTAAATAAATACATTTAAAATTTACTTGAAAAAATTGAAGTTTTGTGGAACCTGTATCAGACTGTCTTGTACCTATGATAGAAGCACACAAATTAGGATTATTTTTCAAAAAATGATCAAGGCCAGTTTTAAGTTCTCCTTTGATAACCGTTAAATCTAAATTAAACCTAAATATTATAATGATTTAATGATTAATAAAATAATATTATTTATATTTAAAAATTAACATTTTCACAGTAGATTGAACATAGTCTTCCTCCTCAGAAAATTGATCATCTGATGTAAAATATACAGCTTTAATTGATCCACTTAATTTTAATTCTTCTAACACAGCTTGAAACAAGTACAATACAACAACACAATCTTTTCCGCCATTAAAGCTCAAAAATATATTTTCTAAAGTAAATTTTTCAATACTTTCTTTTATTACCTAAAAATATCAGTTATTTATACCATTGTACATATCTTTTAATTAAAATATTTACCTTAATAGCTTGAAAAATGTGTTGTCCAAGAAGTAGATGTGTATGCGTTTGAAAATTCCTTATATCTTCAAAATTTACTGGATGTGCAGTATAATGCGGATATACTAGTATATCATTAGGCAATTTACTAATTAAATGCTGTTCAAATTGTTTGATTATATTTTCACTATTGGAATAGATTCCAATAGAGTTTAAATAAACAATACATTCAAATTTACCACAGCCATTTGTTTTCGAAATGTCATCCTTTATTACAGTAACAGTTTTATTGATTAAATCTTTGAAATCATTGATAAAATAAATAATTCGTTTAAAAACATATTTTAACATCAAGTCCGATGTCTTTTCCATTATTGTCATTTTTTCATGCATATATTTTAAATTGAGATTGGATTGTTCTTCAATGTTCAATAATTTATAGTTCTATAAATAAATATTTATATATAAATATGAATAAAGTTAATTTGATTTTTAAATATTAATAAAAATTATTTTGTTCTAAAAATGTATTTTTTCAGTTCCTTCTTATTTTGTTTTAGATAGTTTTTAATATATTAAACATAATATAAAACTATGCAAGGCATATTGAATAAAGATTAAATTATTTCATGAATTAATTATTAAATTTGTATTTTGTTTAATCATCAATTAAAGTATTATGCAATTAAAATACGGCAAGATAATTTAATACAAATGATAAGTTCTAAGTGATGTAGTTTATATTTAAATAATAAATTATTAAAACTGAATAATCAAAAAAGTATAAGTAATATTATTACTTTTTTTTTTTCTTCAGAAAATACACTGAATAGGTTGTTACACTAGGGAGTATCTTCCCTAATCTTATTATTCATGTTAACTACTTTTATTTACACTTATCAAACCTACTCATTATACAAAAAATGTATAGATTGTAGATTTATTTCAATAAATAAAGAAAAAAAAGGAAATACACTTAATGTGTTTATGTATAGGTACAATTAAATTTACAAAACATTGAAACTATGAGGTGATATTTTAAAATTATATATATATATATTATAAGTTAACTATTTAATAGGTAAATTATGTATGAAAATAAATGAAATTAATTGTTACTATTTGGTTATTTTAATATTTGTTAAACTGTTTAAAAAATATGTTAATCACCTTTTTACATAATACACAAGCACATCATACTTTATTTTAATATTAGGTTTAATAATAATAATTTTAATAACAGGGTATACACAATTTTGAAACTTAAGATAAAATATGTAGGTATATCAAAATTTGAAAATATTGAAATGCTATCATTATTTTATATATTAATGATATCCAACATTTTCAACAATTTATTAACTCATTACTCTTAACCCTATGTCTATGAAATCAATGGCTAATTATTTAATTGGAATACTGATGAAGAATTTAGTATACAAATGAGTATATAAATTAAATAAATTTATAAAATAATAATTAAATACAAAATAGTATATTACACAATTAAAACAAAATCACACATCTTCTTTGGCTTTTTTAAAATCAAAATTGCTTTCAATTAATTTTCTTTTCTTTGCGATTTCTGATTTACATAGTACTTCCTTCCTCATCTGAATTGTAATTCGAACCATTTCCTTATTGGGTGCTACATTTCTGACTCTTAAAATTTCTTGAATATCTTCTTTTTTTACATTATGGAAATATTCTTCCATTATTAATTTTAAACCTAATTCATAATTTTGATCAGTTTTAACAAAAGTATAAACATGCAAAATTGGTAAAGAATAATCAAATATTTCTTCCCATTCAAATAAATTATTAAAATACTTGATAAACTCTACAGCAATCGCTGGCAAATTCATTGTTATGTGTATATTATTTTCTGAAGTAATTTTCTTTGACCATGAAATTAAATGTTTCTTCAAGTCTTCTTGAATGAATTTACTTCCGTCTTTATTGATAATTGTTAATAATTCATCTTTAATGCGGTTTTTCTTTTTGTTTACTTCTAACCATTTACAACTATTTGGATTCAAATCATTAGCAATTACTATGCATCCCATTTTCGCAGCTGGTACAGAAAATGGTCCTATTCCAGCAAACACATCATACAACACATCTCCTGGTTTAAGTTTTTGTAAAATACGCTCATGTTCAGTACATAATCTTGGATTCCAATAGACTTCTGAAAAATCTAGGTCAAATAAGCATTTATTTTCCTTTACTGTTGTTTTAAGATCAGATGAACCACAAATAACTTCATACTCAAAGTTTCTAAATACATTATTTATATTATCAATTTTATTTACAACACTTTTACATCCCTTGATTTTGTCTTTAAGTACTTGTCCAATAATGTCTTTATAATCTAACAATTCTGGTTTGAGATTAACATGTACAATTGATCCAATAGATGAATAACTTGATAACATTGATTTTTCTGGGAGTATTGCTTTAAGTATTTCATCATGATTCCAATTGTTATAACCTATTTCAATAGTTACATAATTCAAATTTTTAGCAGAAATAAAGGTCAAGTTGAGATCATCACATGTAGAAAATTTGGTTGGATCAAGAAAGAAAACACATTCACAGTCATTAGAGTCATTACGAACTGACCTAAAGTTGTTTAGCTTAATAATATAATTCCTTAATATTTTATTTGCAGTTTCAATGTTATTTTTATTAACTTTAATTACTGGTACAGTAACTGATTTTGTGAATTTATCAATTTTAAAAATTTTCATACCTCGTACAACTTCTGGTGGTAATAATGCATTCATCTTGGTAGAGTATGATTGAAAAAAATGGCTGTTTATGAAATAACTTTGCAATTGGCGAAAAATTAGTTTCATCAATTTTTTTTTATATATGTAATAATTAAAACAAAAACCATATACCTAAAACAAATTAAATAAATATTTAAAAAAAAAAACATTCCATGTGAAAAATAAACAAATATGTCAGTTATAAGATCTTACCAGTTTAGAATTTTTCAATTGGTCAACAAAAGTTAGAAAGTGAAGGATTGTAAGAACCGAAGACATTTGGTAGAATGAATCATTATCAAATATTATTCGCATATCGTTGAAATAATAATCTTGAAAATATTTTTAGTTATTATCACGAAATTAGATAATATGGACTGGTAACAACAATGATGGCGGGTGGTAGCGGTGCAGTAAAGAGTTGAGTTTTGCGACGGTGAATACCTAAGTGGAGGAATATAATAACCACGATTTTAGCGGTGCTTTCTTGAACTATAAAATATACCCTGCGTGATTGCGTTGGTTTAAGATATTATAATCGATATATCGGTACACCTTAAATCTTCATTGCGTGACAGAGCCATAGAAAAAAATACTACTGCCGGAACCTGGTCAATGGTTGTGAGCAAGATTTCTTTGATTGTTTCAAACAAAATAATAATACAATAAATTATCTTGATAATAATTATTTTAAATCGAGGTCTATGAATGGTTTATGGTATGTATCCGCTTACCAGATAAACCATACTGTGGCGGGTTTCGCGCCACATTTCTTCTTCCCGCTGCGCGTCGCTCGCGGCGGACGTCGGGCACGCCCCTCGCCGTCGGCGTTCAGCGGTCATCGTCCACAGCTCCGCTCGTCACGACGTCACCACCGCTCCGCTCTCTCTCCGCACCGACGCCGTACGCGAAGCATTGTTTCCGACTCCGAATAATTATTATGTTTAATTATTTTTCTTAACTAATGTTGTTGCGTGCTCTCCTTTCCTCCGTCAAAAACCGTCTGCTGGCGATCACTTGTATTGTGTCTTTATGTTGTAAATAAACGTTTCTTTACTACCTTATCATAACTTATCACTTAACCTTATCATCTGAACTATACGGGAGTTCAACACTTTTTCTTTTAAAATAGTCTGCAATTTTATTTCTGAATCAGAACGAGTCTCGGAATACCGAGAGCTTGACAGGGAACATTGAGTTATTAAACAAAATTTTGTTACTCAGTAAATCCCATATCCTATCATTATTTTCATTTTTTACCTTTTTTCCGAACCTCTACATCAACCTCTAAAGCAGTACTAAGCGCAACATGTTCCGAATTTGATCTTAAAAATGATTACTGTTACAACTGTTGTTATCCTCCTTTGACTGAGCAGCGGTTGCTGGCTGACGACTCTCAGGTCTTACGGAAACCGTTTTAAACCACCGTTCCATTTCAGTAAAATTACTTTTTAAAAGAATTTTAAAATAAAACATAATAATAATAATTATATTTACTGATATTGGGAACCGCTGTTAAATAGGTGATGACAGATGACACATGTCCGTCGTTCACCACGCAAAATAAAATTATATCAAATAAAATGAATATTAAAATAATGATAATTGAACCAAACCAGAATTAAATGGTGGAAACTCAAAATGAGATAATCTATATAGTTATTATTGTATATTTACAATATACTTAATATACGACGGGCTAGGTAATAACTAGAATGGAAATTCGTATTATCTACACATATCTGTAAATTATATTTGAGTTGACGGAGTCTTCTTAATGTATGCTCGTTGTTTTAAATATCGTTCAAAAGTTTTTATATAATTCAATTTTTTTTTTTGTAAAACAAACAGAGCCTTCGAAAAACAATTACGAAGCACTAAAATTTAATTAAATTTAATATATAGCGGGGAAATGTAAGAAACGTAGGTGTTAGTTTAAAAATATTACGGTCATCTTTTTTCCTGTGAACAGTTTTTCTATCAACTATTTTGCTCCGATTTACAATGGTAACACTTTTTCTGAAAGCAAAACTGACTGGAAGGTTATTTAGGGAGATAATTTTTCGATTTTTTCGAAAGTTTTTCCAGCACATGTGAAAAACCGGGAAGAAACATGGTAAAAACAGGAAAATCCGTACAACATTAAACAAATATTATTAAAGAAAACCTATATAATGACTATATCATAATATGACATATATATTGTTGACTAAGTATCTCTATCAACTGAACTCCGCTCAGAATCGTTTTTCGTTAGCTATAATTTATCGTTGCTAACAGGTATAAATTAAATTACCTATAACAGTGGCTGCACCCGTCTCCATTATTCTAGCACAGCTTTTTAATTTCAGTTCCAACCCTGCTTCTGTTTCTTTAAGTTTTTTAATGCAATGTAGAAACCTAAATTTATCATTTAACTGTTTAAAACGTAAGTTTAGCGAACTTATGCATAATGTATAATAATAATAAAAAATGAAGTAAGGAATTTGGTTTCACCTTAAATATAGTAAGTTCTTTATTAGTACTTTTTTTCCATTTATAACAGACAGCAGTTTGTTAGTACCTATTTAAAGTTTGGTCTTTGAATTACGATTTACGAACGCGAACATCACAGAACAATATCGTCAATACTATATAATATGTAGCCCGTAAAATTTAATATTAATAATATTTTTTCTAAATTATTACTACATACATATTTTGTTCAATTATAATAATTTACTTTTAAAGAGTGAACCCCGTTTCCGCGGGAACCTGTGCATGTGTAACGGTTTCACTGCCTTTGCACCAGCCCCATTTGTATGCGGTCAATAGCATTGGATATCATCATAGAACACGCAAATTATTATTTCATAATAAAGTCGCAAACAATAAATAAGGTAAAGTACAGTTTTATGAATATTATTAGTTTAAGAAAAACAATTAATAAATTATTGCTACTTCATATGACAAAACGTGTATTACAAGTATTTTTTATTTATTTTGTATCACAAAAATTGGCATAAAATACCACGGTTGTGTTGCAATACTTTGTCAATACACAATTTAAACAAATTTTTATTTCAAAATCATTAAAATTTAATTTGTTAGTAAATTTTCATAATATTATACAGTGTTATTCTCTCATGCTGTGCTTCTTTTGTTACTTAGTCAACAATCATAATATTAGGTTTATGCTAACTATATATTATAAATGGTACCTACCATTATTAATTATAATATTTTATCTGTCCAGTTTCCTATGTAATTTAATGGTTCATAGTTCAATTTCACATTGTATAGACATATACAACACGTCAGTATATTATATATTTATTATTTATTATAATATACTAAATAGACTAAAAATTAATAATCAATTTTAATAGATACTAAAATAATAAATAACTGATTCATAAGCTTATAGTAAGTTCTATACAATTTAATGTTTTCAGATATCCTGTATATAAGTAGATTTTATATTATTTAAATTGTTAAGTTTTTACGTTATTTATTGTGAGGCTCGGTGCCAATGCGTTTTATGTTTCAACACCACGCTTTACGGAAAAACGTTCATACTTCGCAATATGATTTCAATGATTATTTTTCAGTTAGAAAGAGGAAGACTTTTTACAGACCTCATTGAACTCTGTTTTTGAATACTTTTATCTCAAACTTAATATAATACATATTTAAAACAATTTTTGTAAGCAATGGTTTATTATTGCTTACAAAAAACGATTCTGAGTGGAGTTCAGTTGATAGAGATACTTTGTCAACAATATAAATGTCATATTATGATAAAATAATTAAATAGTCATTATATAGATTTATTTTAATAATATTTGTTTAATGTTGTACGGATTTTTCGGTTTTACTACGTTTTTCCCGGTTTTGCTGGGAAAACTCTTGAGAAAACCGAAAAATGACCTCCCTAAATTACTTTCCCAGTTAGATTTCTTTTTAGAAAAAGTGCTATCATTGTAAATTAGAGCAAAATTGCTGGTAGAAAATTTGTTCAGGGGAAAAAAAAATCATAGTATTTTACTAATATATTTTGTATATTTTCCCGTTTTTTCTCACTTTTTTATTTTTATTGGTAAAACTGCCGGGAAGATCAAAGAGAAAATTTCCTTTCAGAAAAGGGCTTACATCGTATAGAGTAAGCTTTCTGGGAGAAAGTTTTCACATAAAAAAAAAATAAATAAACATCTTTGTAAAACCAATTAATTCTTCGCTACATTTAGAATCTAAAATGGCCAATATTAACTTTTTTACCAACTTTTTATTACATTATTTAAATTCAAATACAGAATCGGAGTTTAAGATAGTCTGTAGAAGTTAGTTGTTTATCAATCACAAAAAAAAATTGTACGGACATTTTATATTGACATTGGGAAAGTCTTAATTATTGTTATCTTTAAGGTAACCATTAAAGTGTAAAAATAACTTTCAAATTTTTCAAAATATTATTTAATAACAGAAGTGTTTAATATGTTTAAATTTATCAATTCGATTTTTATAATTATGCAGTATCTATACATATTTGTTGAAAACCTTATCTTGAACATCTTAAGAACGAATACATTATTTTCTACAATTTTAAAATGGGTTCTAAGTAGCATAGTCATATTTAAAAAAAGTATTCTAAAGGGAATATTTTTATATTACTTAAAACATAATATACCTACGGATTTTTGGTTAGTGTTCTCCGTTAAATGTCGAAGGGGAGAACCCACCGGGTAAGGTCTTTGTACAAATTAATGAGATAATGGACGAAAATGCGTTGTTAACTAAAATCTTTTAGAATAGTTTATACCCTCGAGGAATATAAGCCAAAACACCCCCTCGGGTGGTCCACTTGTGTGATGCCAAATAACCAATGATTTGATAGAAAGTGTCCCATTATTGTCACGCATAACGTAAACATATTTTCGCTTTCCCTTGGAAACAATGGTTCTTCCTAGTTCGCCCTTCACTCTCTCTAATTATCAAAGGTGTAACGTGGAAGTAAACTCCAAACATTTAAAATTAATGAAAATATCATATAAAAATGTAACAGTTAATTTAATTTATGGTAAAGTCAGGGTTAGAAAATAAATCCATCCGAAACCTTCATTACGGCATTTAAAAAGTTATTGAATTATTCTTATAACAATTTTAAATTGTTATTCAATGATGGTGTAGTTTTGGTGTTAGTGTACTAAATAAGCTTCAATCTAATCAAAATAATATTGTTAATATTAAATAAACTAAATAATATCTAAATAAACATACTTGAATACGTTCAACAAATAAAAAGTATAGTGATCCCAGTGTATTGCCAATTAAATCCCTTTATAAAAAAGGCAGCTTACTATATTTGCCTTTAATCGTTTTATTAAAGGTAATTACAGTAGTTTATTTGATAATAAAAGAGAAATCATAGCGTATGATTTTCCTATTAAATATGCGAAAAAATCTTACGTACTTAAACTCAATGCATATTCAATATAAAAAACATCTACTTTACGCAAAGTAATGCCAAACAAATATTATATAAATGGTTAGGACCTGAGCTAAATCTTTTTGTTTTTTTTATTGGTAATCACATGTTTAAGTTCTTTTAATTAGTATCTGTTTGTTTTATTTTATTTATTCATCTTAGTTTTAATCAATAATATTTATTCTTATTATTATTATATTATTTGAATGTACCTATCTGTAGTTTTTTCTTATTCATTTGTTTTAAATTATCCAATATTGTGTTACTCTTTATCACAAGCTTGCTTAAAAGAGATAGATATATTAATTAATAATTGTATAAGTAATTTACTATGTAAATGTTTAACGATGATTAATAAAAAAAAATAATAATAATAATAATAACAATAAATTGGAGATGATTAGTAATTTATAGTTTATTTCATACATTTTCAGTTTGATTTTAGGAAGTGGCGTCGCATCGACATAATATAATATTATATTTAATGTTCATTTAACGTATCGAGAGAAATCTCAGAAAATAGAAACCCTACTCAATATCTGTGGCGCTTTCCATGCAGAGTTCTTGAGAATAAAGTACAATACAAATTATAAAACAAAATTTAAAAAAATTAAATTTTTTTATCAAATTTATATATTGTTACTTAATTTTCCATAGTATTAACAATATAGCTAATTGATACAGCAAATTAATTAGGTATAGTGAAAAAAATGAGATGTCATACGGTTATAGTATATGATACTAGATACGGTTCAATTTTGAATGTGTATAGTATTGTATAAATAACTAGATGATCTATTGGATATGTATTTTTTGAAAGTTTTAAAATCACATTCGTAGACTATTTTGAACAGCTTAATGTTTATATTAATATTTATTAGTTGGAAATAACTGTAATGTACCTACGTTCAATGCGCTACCACTTTCGCTACATTTCAGAAATAAGGAATTCCCTATACAACCATTGCTCCAATTTTTGTAAGTGTAGGACGTTACACAATTTGTTTTTCTTTAAACGTAGTGCACTACTTTTTTCGACTTCAAAAAGATAAATGTTTGATATTTCTAGTTTATAAATAAGTACCAAGAATTAATTTATATTTCACGTTTCCGTTAAGTGAAAAAAAAACTATACTTACTACTTCCATTATGGAACTTGTTTACATATTTTATTTTACAATAAATTAAAAATAATAAGTACAGCAAATTATTTAATATTTTATTAAATTCACAATTTTATTTTGGTAAAATATAGTGCGTAAACCAGCGAAATTTGCAACGTTTTCCTATAAAAAAATGTAGGGTTAAAACGCTACACGATACTTAATAAAATAAAGTCACTACCAGTATAGCTACAAAAAACTCGCTCCTAACCATTGTTAATAAATAATATTAATATTTTAATGTACCTATACCATAATCCATAAATTAAAAACAGTTATAAGTTAATCATTTAAAAATGCATTTGAAGTTTCTTAATTATTACAAGTATTTTTAAGATACATATAGAGATTAAGGGTAAATAATTAAAACAAATAATAAAATATAACTTAAACGATTTCATAATGATTGAAAAAAACATAATTCAAATTCATTTAAAAGTATCTGAGAAAATGTTTGGTTCATGATAAATGGATCACTCTGTATTGGTATAGCCTACACTCGGTAGGTATTTAAAATAAAGTAAACTTCAGATTTTCTGAGATAATAGTAGTTAATTCGCAAATGTTCAGCATTGTTTTATATTGATTATAAAATAATTATTACTATTCTCATTTTACTATAATTAAATAGACTTCCTGTATTTATTATTTGTAATTATCCCACTGATTATAATATACATTGCTGGTATTTTGTACTTATTAGTACTTACAACTTATGTGAAGTATGAGTAGTGTAATACATGTTTTACACCTATATACACTTATTACCTATCTAATATCTATATACTTGAGATGTGTAGACATGTAGTTCAAGTACAAGTTGTAGGTTAAATATAGAACGATTTTACCTATTTACCGCATAAAAGTATAGGTACGCGGGCATTTTTTAAATAGTGGTGACTATGAGGATTTCATTAGTTATTACTCATTAGTCATTATTACCTTACTATTTAAAAACGGTCAATGAATCGTGGGACACTTTTGTACTTGTATTTTGTTTCCGTTAAAAATATAATAATAAATAATAACGAGTCCATTCAAGTGCTTTGAAGTAAATCTAAACAGTTTCAGATTTGTATTATTTTAATATAGTTACCTATTTGAATAGGTACTATTTAATGTATAAAGATATTTAGCTGCTGATTAAGTTTATTTAAATTTATTTTTTAAATAGAACTTGGATTATTATTAATGAAATAACTAACAATAATGCACTATTTTAATTTGAAAAATAGGTAGGTACTTAAATCATACCTAATCAAAGATTAATCACATTAAAAATGTAATATAACACACGTAAGATGTTAGATATATTCATATAATTATATATTTATATTTATTATACTTACATACCATACAAATTTTATTTCAAAATTATTTAAATTTGACTACTTTAAAAAAGGGAAGTTATTCTTTTGTCCCCTCTTCCCACTGTGCCACTGCTTCATATCATGAATTTTAGGTGGGTAGTTGAAAAGGTAGAACATAAAGGGTAATGTAGTATAGTATATATTATACAGAGTGTCTCACGAGGATTCGACAAATGCAATAAAACTTTTGTTCTTATATTAAACTTTTATTCAATATTTTGATATAATTTTTTAAATAAATAGTATGGCTATGTGCTACAGTTTATATATGAACATATTTTTTAGGGGGAGGGGGACCTAAAATAAAAAAATTAAAATTTTACCATCATTTTTTAAAAAAAAAAATTCAAAATAGCGAGTTTGTAAAATAAACTTTTAAAATTTTTGGTTGTTGAAACTTTTGTTAAAGTATGGTCATTTATTTCCTATGATTTTTTGAAGTTTTTGCTAATGTGAAAATTACTTATTGTGGTTTTTCAGTTATCAGTAGGGCCAGGAATTACATATATTAAAAACGTACGAAATATGCATGCATTTATGCGCTGATTACCATTAAAATATACAAAATATGCGAACCAAAATGATTAAAACAACTAATCCCGAACGAATTATTTTTATCTAGAAGTGATTAGATAATATAAAAAACAAATTCCTTAAGAACCATAGATATATGTGGGTGAAACCAACGAACAATAGTAAAACAAATGCGTTTGAAACACTTAGGTATTCGACTATTATGCAATAAAAAATCGTAAAATACATAAGTAGGCAATATACATCAAAAAATGAAAAATATGCATTTAAAATAGCACTTAATAGTTATCTGTATGCCAAATTTCAGCCGGTTCTGTCCGGTGGTTTGGGCTAGATAATAATATCGATGTATTCATTGCTATCATGCTTAATGATATTTAAAACAAAACCAAATAAATGTTTGCGAATAAACGTAAAATATAACGTTGATCGATAGTGTCTTTGATTTGGTATTTTCTCTTTATACGCTTAATCGTTATGATCATTATAAGATGACACTGCTATATAATAATAATTATGATATAATTTGTTGGTTGTTATCAATCTAGTTCATCGAAATTTGTCATAAATCAACACAGACAGACGTTCACTTTTGCCGAGATTTTCACATAAATAGTTTATAACATGATGAATCCAACTTAGAGTTTAATAGGTACTTCTATATTACGTGTATACTGTATAGTATTATAGGTGTAGAGTTATTACTTTATTTGTTAGTCTAGAATCAGGGCTTGGAACCTTTATGAATTATTTGACAATAATATTATAAATGCCATTGGATGCCGGCACAAATTCATTATGCCCCGATCAACAGTTCTAAATACCCCTACTTTTTGACACGAGTTATATACATAGACAAATTATTATTATTAATATGCCTGTTGCCGGGCACAAGTGAATTGTAATCGGCTACTATTTTGATTACGATTCGTCAGTTTTATCGTTTTAGTTGTCATTCGTTGATCGTCTGCCGTGGCACAGAACAATCAACAAACAATTGATAAACAATATTGTTTATCTATCTCATACCTATTATATATAATCGTGTATTAAAATTTTTTTTTATCTACAACAATGAACAAATTAATTGAATTTGATTTAAAATCAACAGGAATTAGGAGTGGTAAGTGAAAAGAAGGGAATATTTGATCCCCACCTCCAATTAACCCCACGAGGCCACGAACTTCCACTGCTTAGTATAATTTTAATTTAAATCCTTACCATTTAATGTTTATAACATCAACTTTTAGACACTACATGGTACTCAACTATGAGTAATGAACTACACGTCAACACAGCAACAATAAAGTTAATACTAAACAAATAAAACTATACGGCTACCGGCTAACGCTAACGTAACTGTGTGAATAATATTGACGTGTCACGATAATGCGTCAAGACTGATTTCAATGAAATCAACGTAAAAACTAAAACACAGTGATAAAATACTGTCGTCGTACCACTAAGAAATATAGTAGAGGGAATGAAATCCAAAGATAGCGTCGTCAAATATTATTATTATATGTTTTTTACATTATGCAGATGTCCAAAGAGAAGACGACCTGTACGATAGATACCTAATTGTGGTATCTATACTGCAGTATTCGTTAAACCGGACGTGTATTTACAGACCCTATCCGAATTCGGCCTGAGTGGTATGTAAAAACGCAACCGGTCGTGGTATTTCATTGACTAGGACACTAAGTTTACATTTAGGAAGCTAATTTCCTTGTAACAGTATCAGGTATGGGCCAATGAGTAGATTCAATTTTTACATTTCCTTTCAGCTTTATATAAACTCGTGGTGATCATTTTCATCGATTAGTACAGAGTTTTTCAACCTGAGGGTCTCCAATTAATTATTTAGGATCGCCAAAAATATTAGATATTTATTGTGACAGTGGAAAGGTTGAGAAACACTGGACTAGTAGATTAAAGGTTTTAACTGTTTTAGGTTTACACTAATTAGAAAAATAACTTCCTTAGGTTATATTTTTTAAAACTGTTCAAACCAACTCGGTTACATTCTGGCTTGGGCCGAACTCGGATATAATCTGTAAATACATAACCCTCGATAATATATACATCTGAAATAATAATAATAATAATAATAGTTATGTTAGGTTAGTACCTATACAGTAAAATAATTCACTTTAGCGATATTACGAGTAAAACATAATATTTATTAATATTTTTTTACATATTATAGTTGTTATTTTTCAAGTAGGAACGCGTGGGAGGCTCCGTGAATCCACTCGCGCCCTTCCCAAATACAACCAGTTTGTGGCGGTGGTGGAAATCCGTTCGCCTGTTATGAAGCCCGCGTACAGTTCCTTTTTTATTATTATTCTTTCACCAACGCCGTTCAGTCAGAGTCAGGTCACCGAACGTTTTCGTCGCAATATACCCAGGTATATTATTGTCATTTAGCATTTTTTTACTTCTAATTATATTTCATATTGTACACACATACACCTCGTCGACAAAATAACACACCTCGCCGACAGACGGACAGTGTCGCAGCAGTCAGTCAGTCGGTTAACCGGGGAAACACCACTTTTTTTTATATTTTATACTTATAACAATACTCGTTATCTCCATAACATAAACATATATAGGTAGGTACCGTGTGCAATACACAAAATTTCATTCACTGCAGCACTATTATCGCTAATTAAATAAAATATAAAACTATAATTAAGCAGCCATGGACAAACAACAAGAGGCCGCGGCCGCAGCAGCCGGTACGACGTCCGACGACAGCATCAGCATGAAAACGGAATATCCATCGCACGAGGTTTACGTCTCCGAACCGCCACCGGTAAGTAATAATGAACAATATTAATAAACGATTTTAATAGAAAAAAAATTTGTTGAAAATAAATGTTAAAAAAAAAAAAAAACAATAATCGGTCGTCGCTCGTCACACTCCATTTCGGTTAGCTAGAAAGTCGAAGAAACGAACTGTGCTACTATAAACCGCAGAAAACTATAAATAGGTACTATACGCGTTGGCCGGAGACCGGAAGTGTATTTTTTTTCCCCATCATCGATTTTATTTTACGTCGGTGAACGGTTAATATCGATTATTATTGGAATACATAATTTTCACGAGATAAAATATATATATATATAATTGATAGCTGTACTGATATGTCTTACAGTGTTCAATTTTAATCAAAGTTGAACAGTAACTACAGTTAAGTTTTATAAATTATTTGTTTTGTTAATTTTTAACTTGACTAGTTAAAAAAGAAAAGAAAATTACTTATGGTTATTATATCAATTATTATTATTTGTATTATAAATTTTAATACAATAATTTTAACTTAACTTAGTCTTATTTTATTAGGTAACATTTAAATTGCCTATTTCTGAATAGTTATTTACGAAATATTCGTATAAAAAACCAATTATGAAAGTTTTTTCTTTTATTTTCCAACGAAAATCTTATAATTATTTTTACGTAAATATCATTATTATACGTATAATAAGACATTTATTGACACTAAGATAGGTAATAATAACTGTATAATAATTTTCTATTCGAAAAATAAAAATACGTTTGTGATTGTACATTATAGCCAAGTGTATTTTTTTTTTTTTAAAAGAATCAGCATAATTCTTATATTTAGGTTACTTAAATTCATTCAAAATTAACTTTAACTCAGCTTATTTGTGTTTTGTCTTTATATGAGAACTTAGGTTAAACTACATAGTTTAAAGTAAAAATTTGTTAGGCATAATAAGTTTGATTCTAGGTAAATTGGCCTTTTTTCAAAAATAATTTTGTCTTATGTAATTTTTCCCTTTTATTTGTTTGCTACAATTAATTTACATTGAAAACTATACACATTGATTTGCTTAATCCTTCTCCTGTTGGGCCAAAGATAAATATATATATATATTTGTTATGATTATTACCTATAGGCAATTTCATTGGTACCTATACCTATACGCGATTTTACGGCGTTTTGGTTTTGTTTTCTATTATAATTTTTTTTTTTACCCAAATCTGCTCTGGTTATATACCTAATAGGTATTACCTATGTATATATTTATGTATTGTAGTTATTATAGATATCGCCGGTAGGTATTTCGAACAATGGACGGGATAAAAAAATAAAATAATAATCGCTTTTACCGCCCGAGAAATTGCACGTTATGTGTACAATAATATACAATGACGTCTGGGTACATATATTATAATATAATAATATAAATTATTATATTGTATATTGTATTTAGTCACCAATATTTAGACGCTTTTACACGGATATCAATATAAATATCGCGTTCGTAATGCAGTATTTTGCACGGTCTCGGAAAACCAATAAAAGGACTTGTCATATTTAATATTTACGTGGATACCTTACCTATACATACATATATTAGTAGTATTTTAATATGCATATTATCGCGTATTTAAGTATAGATTACGGTCATAGTCCTTTTTATACAAAATCATTTTTTTTTTTTGTTTAAACAATTTAAAATTCACAGTTGTTAATTTTTATTCGGTTTAAATATTTTTAGTATTCACGGCAGTCGTTATTTTCTATCAGTATACAATATGTATCGATACGAGTTTCGTATTAAGAGGTACCTAATCATAGTTTAAAGAAATAAAAAAAAAATTTTTTCAAATAAAGTGCTATCAGACGAAAAATTATTTTATGGTCTTACATGAAAAAATCTGAACATTTTTACTGCCTGAAAGTGTACTTCGAGGGGAAAAAAAACTCACATAATTATAAAACTAATGTAGCTTCTTCAGTACACCCAGAAACTAAGAAAAAGAACGAAACATTTTGGCCCCTTTCGACTTGCATCCCGGGGCTAAAGCCCACCATCCTCCTTAATATAGTCCTGGTACGCCATAATGAAAAATAAATGCCTTATTTAATGACAATTTAAATACAAATACGTAGGTATCTAATACCACAATACTAATAGTACTATTATCGACAAATATACGTTTTTTATCATGCCCTCCCCCCTTGTACCCGGAAAATAATATGTTAAGCCACTCACATCATTGAACTCGAGCACAGTAATCAATAAATATTCGGACATTAATAAATTTGGTCGTGTTTGATAACTGCAGATAATAACTATAATACTTAATTTGTTTCAATTCAATATTGTGTCTTCACGGGTTTGTTAGCAGGGCTATCAAACAGTGGTGGATCAAACTACTTTTTTTACTGGGGTGGGAGACACATTTAAACCTATAGGATATAGGCACTAAGCTCATTCCTTATTATAAATCATAGTAGTGATAACAAGTTAAAATTCTTTAAAATACACTCTATTTATAAATTAAATATATCTTTAATTTCAGGGATAAGGAAGAAGAGAGCTTAAGTAATTTTTGATATTTTTGTTTTTGTAATTTGTACCTCTTAGTTTTTAGTCTAAATGACATATGTTTGTATATATTTTAATACAATAATTACGTAGTCACAATTGGCGGATAGGAAAAAAAACAAAAATCATTTGTATAGATAGGCGGTATGTACCTAGAGAGAATACTACCGCCGCCCTGAGGGAACCTCACTTAAAATAATACTATTACACACCTGTGTGTACAACATAAGTACCTACAAAATAATAATAATAGTTAGTATAGGTACCTATAATATGTAAAATATGGTGTGCCGAGGACAACTGGGTATAACGACTGTAGTAAATAACAACAATAATAATACTACATGGTTTTAAATATCCTTTCTCTTCGTGTCGACTCTTGTGTTCTGCTATTATTGGACGCGCGCGGGCTGCGCAGTGGTATTGAGTTACCTTGAGTTCAATATTCCCCACAATGCGAGTGCGCGCCTGCGTTAATAGTCGCGTGAGCGTTTTCAATTCTATTTTTTTCTTTTTCTAAACAACGACGAATAATTATAATTTACGGTACACAAAAAAAAAAAAAAACATTTAAAAAGAGCTTTTCACGCTTGACATATATTAAAAATACTACAATAATGTTCGCTCACTGTCTTGCCTGTGTGCAACAAGGTCAACCCGATCGTATTTTGCGTCTTGTGTAATATCAAATTGTAAAGGTACTTATATAGTAGGTATGTACTTACTACTTATATTATGTCCAGATATAAAAGATAGGTACGAAACGGGGACGGGTTTTCGCTAAAATATTGTCGTTAAATCGTCGAATGAGTATAACTATATCTATGTATCTAACTGGTTTCTACACGTCTCTCTCTTTCTCTTTCGCTCCCTCTCCGTCACGAAAGAAAAAACGATTATAATATAATTTTGTGCGTTCAAATTTGTTTCTCTGACTACATTCGACGTTGCACGGTTAATTTACATTACCTATATTATGTGTCAAGTCGAAGTCAACATTTTTGTATTAAAACTGTATTTGGTTTTGATTATTGCAAAGAAAAAAAAACGAACATAATATTAAATGCGAGTATATGCATAATATATTATTATTATTATTCTTTTTTAATAACAAATATATTATAAATAAAATAATATGTAAATGCGGCCGCATATACGAGTATATTATGATATTATAATGATTTGTTGTCAAACCGGTTGTTGAATAGTGTTCGGTTAAGAATATTATACAAAACAAAAAAAAAAAGACAACATTGAATCTTCTAGAATCTGTACGACTGCCAGCAATGAGATCTATAATACTAAAACACATTATATTAATATGTATTTTGCAAACATTGTATCTTCCTTAATATTGTGTTATTCCGGGAAAATGAAAAAAAACACTGAACTTCTTATACCAAACACAGCTATAAATAGTAAATTTACACTACATAATACTATAGCTATCAGTGGCGGTTACCCTATAGTCCAGTGGTTCTCAACCTTTTCTGTATGACGGCACCCTAATTTAGATCTATACAAATGATGACACACTTAAACTCTACAATGCATTATGTTACCTATAATGCAGGTTATAATGTTTTGAATTATCTACAAAACAATATTAATAAAAAAAAATGACCATGAGTGCATGATGTTGCCTACCGGCAGCAATGTAAAAAATTACTTTTATCTAAATAGGATTTAAAAAACAAAATTTGTATTTTTCCCGTAAATAAAACTACTCAATGAACAAAACAAAATTTAAAAAAATTAAGAAGTCATGTATTGTAGGGTTAAGCAATTAATTAAATTAAAATGAAACACACAACGCTCACAACACGACGGTGATTACGACTGAGGAGAGGACATGCTTTTTACGTACAAATAAACAATTTTTGGCGACACATCACAGTAATACGCGACACACCGGTTGAGAACCACTGCTATAGTCTGCTATAAGGTACTCAAGCACTCCTACAGATGTGGGACGGTTGGTAGACCATATCTTAGAGGCTAAAGAATCTTATGTTAATCAGTTGTGAACGTTATATTCCGTTATCTTCAAATTAAATTCTGCATCATTTTGCACAACAAAGTGTTGATTTAGCTAAGAGATTAGTCTAGTTTCTGTCCTTAGTCAACAAAACACAAGTTAAGAAAGTGAAATGTTTATAATTAACCTATTGTTTGTCAATATTAAAATATAACTAATTTATAATATTATAATATTTTTTAAAAAAAATTACGCAAGTATTTATAAAAGCCAAATACGTCTAACCCTGGCATTTAATATCTTCGCATATGGATTTTCTGAAAAATAGAATAAAATTTCGAATTTTTGTTTGCAGTAGTTCCCACGCTTAAACATAATATAATTTCAAAGTTGAAGATATGCAAAAAAATAATCAGAACAAACTGTAATAAAAACTAAAAATCATTTTTCTTTCTTTCTAAAATCACACTTTTAAGTTTCGTATTTAAAATAATTGTCGTAATATCGTGATATTATGTATACCTATTACCTATATGTTATTAGAACAAAATAATTTACGCAAACAGTTAAATAAAATGTCTAGGAGGGGGCATGGCCCCTATGGCCTCCCTAAACGCCGCATCTGGCTATATAGGTGTAAAGATATAAAGTCAAGCCAAAAATGAAAATTTAAATACCTTGAGTCATCCCAGACCCAGCTGATAATGACGCTCATCGCGTCTTGTTTAAATTCGCTATATTATACGTGTATTTTTTTTTTATTAAAATGTATACATTATATACTTTCCAACGAGATTTTCAAGTGCACTAATTGCATATAAATATTATATATACGCTGTGACTATTGCAGTTTCACTTGTAGGGTACAATAAATGAATATAATACATGTATTTTATAAACTAACATAGTATATACGCACGCTTTCTCTCTTGATATGATCCATTAAACGATTTATCAATTCGACGGGTTTTTTTTTTGCACGAGCCTTTTAACGATGAATTTTCGCATTCACCCAACGCTATATGTATTTTAATAATAACGTCTAACACTTTTCACTGACCATTACCACATTAAAATACAACGACGTTTGAATGACGCATACTTAAACGAAAAATTTAAAAATATTTTACCTATTTAATTAGGCACAATCGATTAATGATCAAAAGCCACATCATATACTATACACCAACTGCAGTTTTTATGTAATTTACTGCAGATTGAGTCCATAGCCAATATCGAAATTATAATATTATTTATGCGTCCTATAGATATTATTTGCATATTTATTTGTGGATTGAGGATCTATTTATTATAAACATGGTGTATATATAATATGAAGTGTATATAAATGTAAATTTGCAGCGATAACGTGTACCGTTCATCAGTGGATTTTTACGAGACATTCGAAAATACTCGTATAATATCAATCCAGTAAAACGAATGACGTGTTCAATTTGGAAATTTTATTCCACCCATGTTGTGATTTTGTTATTGATTAAAAATTGTCGAATTTTTACCGAAAAAATACTCTAATACAGTATTGCATTATTTGGGTTACCAAACGATCTGGAATTTGAGTTGTTTTATTAGCAGTGATACAAGTTGGGTTGAATTTCTATGTGAATTTCGTCATGTTGTTACGGGAAAGGGTGTTTTTACAATACCGGCATACAATTTTGTTTATGATACATGGCATTAGCATCAAAGATGTGCTTTTTGGGGATTTCAACTTTCAAACTCCATCCATATTATTTTTATATTCAAATTTACTTATTTTTTTTTTTTAAGTAGTTCATAGTTTTAATATAATATTTGGTTGTTTCACAAAGAATATTTCGATAATGTGAAATAGGTAGGGAAATATTCGACTCTATAGTGACTGAGTTCTGCTGTTCACGGGTCTTTTTTTTTTTTGTTATTCTAAAATATTTTTCTGTATTCATATATTATTAAAAAAAAAAATAAAAAAAAAACAATATGTTAAATTAGATGGAAAGTGTGCTGCACGATTTTACATGTATGTATTTAAATGCGACGCAACTACATTATTCATATTTTGTTCTTAAAAATTGTACTATACGAATATTATTACTATATTATGCAACAAAATCTCGGATTTCTACATAAAAATTTAGAAAATTAAGTATATTTTCATTATTCTTACGAATAATAATAATTATGGATTTTCTCACACACATCACACATAAAAATATGATCATTGTGTAATGTAATACTTACAATATGTAATATATTATAAACTAGTGTTGTTTGTGATTGTTTGTATGTTATTAAAATATGCTCTCTATATAATGAACAATAATTGTTAAGACATAGAATGAAATCAGATAGGTACCTATGTATGTCACTGATTAACTCTGATTATTTTATGAACTTTAACTGACGCCTAATTTAGACTTTAGAAATTTTTAATGCAATTAGCCATTGTAAAATTTGATCGTATAGTAGTAAATGTTATATAGATAAAAATCGTTGGAATCTATATACAGTTGTCAATTTATATAAAATTACAAATTATATTTCATTATTATTAGGTGTATCCGTACATTATAATTATTATATACGTAGCTATTTGGATTATATTTTAAAACCCGTAATTGGGTAGGAGGGGGACGTTATTATTATAATTTATGGGTACCTAATAATTATTGAATTAAAGCGGTGTACTCGGGGAAGGGGTGGGACGTTGTTATGATAAAATATATATTTTGTAATTTCGTCGTGTATTCAATCCGTGAAGTAGTGCGCGGAATTATAAATATAGGTAGTATAGGTAATATAGCATAATAATAGAAGTTTTTAATAAAAAAAAAATTCACCCATTCGAGTGTACCCAGTAAACGTTGCATAACTATTGCACCTACTACAATATACACCGAGTTCACTGCAGCTATCAAATTACACAACTAAAATCGAAAAACACATATAATATCTCATTCTCATATTATTACACTGCATGTTGCTTCATTATAGTAATAATATTATTATTTGTATTCTTGCCCGAGCCCCTGCCCGCAGGTTCAACGAACCAGACGCTTTCTCCTTATTGAATATAAGTACCAAGGTATACCTATATGTATTATACATATATACGTATCTGTCGACAAACGGACAATATGACAAAATAATATAAAAACGATTATTGAATAATATACGGCGAAAACTGCATTTGCGCCTATATAGTATATATACCTGATAATTGTATGTGATTTTTTTTTCTTTCTTTTATTGTTATCGGAGTAAAAAAATATCGTGTTAAATATGTGTCGGGGAAAAAAAAAAGGTATAATAATAGTTTTTTCCTGATTTGTGCCAAACGTTGTTCTGCAATATACTATACCTAGATATACGTCACATATTTTAGCCGCGGCCAATCATCGACTCGTACTTATATACATTATACCGTTATATGTCGTTTCATTGCAACCAACCAGCTAGAATAACAGATGTCATGAACCTCACCATCACGATATTATTGGAACCAATCAATCTAGTATAATGAATAACAATAGTTAACCTTTTTGTTCGCACGCGCATTGTTTTCACGGAGTGGAAAACTATATTGTATAGATATAATATCCTTTATATCCGCGTGATTTTCTTGGTGAAGATTCGGGCCTGTAAATACAGGTACGCCGACAATCATATATAACTGTAAATATGACTCGAATGTATTTAATTCGTTTTGTTTTTTTTTCTTTTATAATTTTCCAAACGCGTCATGTAGATCGAAGACTATAACGGCGGGACCTGTAGTTTCCATTAAAATGAACCTTTCCCTTTTCCACCAAAAGAGATATTGACCAATTTCCACCAACACAATGTCCATACTGCTATACAAAAAAAGCGCTATCTTTTCTGTTAGAGTTCGGTATAATAGGACATCGGTTTCATAGACTCATTTATAATACGATAATAAAAATTATTTATTGATTGATATTGCATGTTTTCACAGTAAACAATTATATTTATCGGATGTATAATGTATATAATATTTGTTTTTGTTATTTTTTATTAATTCACAGAATGAAGAAATTTGAAATAAGTTAATATTTCTATTAATTAGAGTGGACATTTGAAAGGTATTAAAATATTATGCAGCAAAGAAAAAAAGTTAGCCATGTTAAAACATTTTAATAGGTACCATAAAAAAAAAAAAAATCACAAATATTGTGTAATATAGAAACCTAAAATAAAATAATGTATTTTGATTATATTAATAATTTTGTATGGGAAATTGTTTCACGGTATCGAATAATTTTCATTATAATAGTAAATAAATATGGAAAAAACAAAAATATTCAAATACGGTCAAATATAATTGCAAAATTAAATTTCGTGAATTATTTGTGTAATAATTATTATAATATTAATATATGATTATGTGATTCGTAAAGATTATCATTGGTGTAAATTTAAAATAATACGCAGTATAAAATATTTCAACAGTGATGGTACAAATATTACCGATGGCGATGTGGCATAATTATATAGAGTGTGCAGAGCCTATAGTAGCTGTACATTGTCCGTAAAACTTACCTTGTAGTATCTGGGACAGTTTATGATTTTTTTTTTTTTAGTTATCAAATCATTTTCTCGTTTTCTACACTATTATATAGACAAATCATTTTATCTATACCTATATTATATCTAATATTATTGGTAAGAAACAAAAAGTGGTTTATAACATAAAGTAAAACTATAATAAATACCGGAACAGTAATGGTGGAAAACTAAAATGTTTTGTATAGCTATATATTTCAAAAAAAGAAAAAAGCAAAATAATAATTTCGTTTCGTATATTATCCCATTCGAATTATAATATACGTGATATTTATATAGTTTTGTGTACACCCGATTCATGCATAATATACATGCTTTAAACCGATTTCCGGTATAAATCACTGCGGCAGTATTATTTCGTACATTAAACCATTATTATTCGTTATTGACCAAAACATTAATATTATTATTATTATTTAGGGAACGTGTTGAAATACACAAATCGCGAGAGCTATAATACATAAACAAATATTGTATACATGGAATGTAAAAATATTATAAATATTTATGTCAATATAATTATCGGTTTTATACAGGTATTATTGTTAATGTTACCGTTTAGTTTTTTTTTTTTTAAATTAGCGTTTCGCACAGTTTCCTATCTTTACACTCTCTCCCACGATTGTGCTTTCTTTTGCGGTATCTACTAGCCGATCCTTATTACATCTTACATTAGATATTATGCTAATGAGTTAAACTTTGACCTTTGGTATATAGCGTATATCTATTATATACATTATACTGCAGTATTATTACAGTTCATTGTGACGTGGACTGTAATATATTATATTATATCTACAATATAGGTACCTAGTGTGTTATATATCTATGTGCAGGTACCTATAATAATACTGCACGAGTGATGCGTGTTATGATGGTAATTGTAGGAAAAAAAAACTACGGGGTTCCATATTAAAACGTACCTGTGGCGCCCAAACTATATTTTTATAGTGTAGTAGAGTTTGAAATTCAAAACCACCACCCTCTTCAAAAACTTTTGTCCATATAAATATATTCTTTTTGACCCCTAAAACCTACTGACTTAAATATTTATATCCGTTATACGTGACTATTCCAAATTCCAATTACCGAGAACACCCAATTACCAAAATATGATGTGTAGCGAATACTACACTTGAAGATTACTAACTATACTTAGTACAGTTTGGGCGCCATTTGGAACGTATATCTCGTAATGTGCTCTATATGAAAAAGTTTCTTCATGACGTGATTGATTATGGGAGTTAGTTGGTGCACACTACTAATAGTATAACTGGGTATAAAGATATCCAGTACCCGTCGCATAATTTAAACTTTGAATAATATTTTCTAATCATTAAACACAATTATTAGTCCAATAGGTAACCAGTGTTTATTGTGAGTGTATAGTTAAAATTAATATTTTTTAAGAATAACGTTGTATTATGGCATTGAAGAACCGTATACTTACCGATAATATACGCTACTATAGGCAGTAATTATTTATTTATTCCTATTACAATCTTATTATTCTTATAGTTCATCAATTTGGGGAGAAACCTATAGTATCCATTTATCTAGATTAAATGTTTCTATTAATTGTATTATAAAAAATGTATTCAGTTTACATTTTCAAACAAGCACTAGTATAATATATGAGGCACTGAATGTAAAAAACTTTAAATGTATTTATAATTTCTCTGTTCTGATAGATTTATTTAAACATAAGCATTTAATATCAATATTTGATCATGAATATAAAACTAGATTTAAACAAAATATTAATATAATGCTTACCAAATTGTTTTCGGTCAAAAAAGTACATTTTATATTGGCTTACATTTATGTGTTTCATTTAATATTAATTTAAATAATTTTAAAAATTTAACTACTTTCAAAAATTATAAAAACAAATTAAATTTAAATAATATTTAATTTCAGTTATTAATTATCTCATATCTGTCACTTACTGTCTATCTATTTTATTTTCTTTATTGGCCTCATGTTATTAGATTTGATACCTCATTAATGTTCTATTATATTGATTGTGTCTAGTATAATTAAGGCTCTTTATTCTATTTGTAATTGTAATATTTATTTAATTATAATTATTATAAATTTATAAATTTATTTATAATTTATAGATAATATTTTGTTATAATATGTAAAGATATGTTATTGTTGCGATAAATATGATATTATTATTATTAATTATTTAAACAACAATAAGACCATATAGTATAGGTGTACAGAAAAGTCATATATCTATAAAATAATTATTCTTTTTATACAATATATTACTATTTGTAATACCCAGCTTTTCCTGTGCGCGGTATTGAACAGAAAAAAAATATAATAAAAACTTGTTTCCCCGTAGGTAAAATTTGGTACTTATAAGAATAATAAAAAAAAAGTTGTTTCTCGTTCAACCAACATTTGATATTAGAAAAAAACAAATTTTAATTTTCATATTTTAAAGACTAATTTCCTGTGTGAACTCTTCTTTAAGGGTTGAATTTTCCATTCAAATCATTATCCAAACACTCTTGAAATTAATACGAACAAACCGTGCAAATTTTAGTGAGATCGGTCTAGTAGTTTTTGAGTCAATAAACTGAATAAACTATTACCATAAATACACTGCCTTTTACTGATTTATAGATGTTATTGTGTTCAATAGTTGATCGACGCCAAATAGTTGCGATGAAGGCGAAGGAGAAGAAGAAGATGTATGTTTAATTGTTTGTATGCTGAAAGTTAAACACATATATATTATATATATCGACTAAAAATAATGCAAGTTATAGATTTCTTGTATGAGTGATCATTTTTAATTTATCTTAATATAACCTACAACTGTATACATTATACCTATATATACGTAAGGTTATTATTATATACCTAATTGGGTCACATAGTTCAAAAAACGTAAATGAATTAACATAGGTAAAAATAATGCGAGTTAATTCAATAGTGTATTGAATGATTTTTTAAAAAAGAACAGTAATGATAATCTTAACACGAATTAACTCTTATGAGGAACACACTAATAACGTTGATTATTATGGCGTGTTTGTCTACACCAAATACGTTTCTATCAGCTATTATTACACAGATACGAGAAGAAATTAATACTATTATATTTTCACAGTTCAAAAACACAGGTTAAATTGGAATATCATTTTTTCTGTCGCGTATACAATATAACAATACATTATGTTAAAGTGAAAATATATAATTATTACAACCACGGTCGTTATAAAAATATTAGAATTCATTTAGCGGAGCATAAAATATATATTTAAACCGTCATTAACACATGTTTTTAATTTTCTAATTTTTGTTCGACTATAAGGTTAGTTCAGTATCCAATCACGTATAAATAAAGCTGCCCGCAATGTTTCTTTTTTTCTCTTAGTTATAGTTTTATATCACTTTGGTTTATTTGTCAACATTGTGTATTATGTATTTTATCGTCGCCATCTATTGCAGAACAATGGAATACGTATAGACGAAAATAAATAAAACTCCCATGGTAGAAAGTAGTTTCCTATAGTTCGTTAAGCCATTTGGGTATCTACTTTTTTCCCTTTTTTTTAAATAAAAATTCAATGGACTCCCCGTCTCTCATTAACACCTGACACACCGTCATCACGCGTTCATTATACACATGTTATTATTATTGTATGATCGATTTATGTAAATTATTATAGTGACACGTAAGATACATCGTCGTAATAACGAATTCGTTCAATTTCATCAACGCTTTCCCGTGTATTATATAATACCGACTGCAGATGTGGGTTTAAAATAATTAAACGGAGCAGATCGAATTTTACAAAAAAAAAAACCCCTAATGTTTTCCACGTTACACGCACATAGGCTTTAGCCTATTTATTTTCGTAAATTTATAATGTCTTCTTTCAAAACGTTAATAAACTTGTGGTGGCATACGATTACATCCGGGGAGCTAATAATGTACCTAATATTCTTTAATAATAATTTCTATACGAACATAACTGGGATATTTGCTTGAAATTCCAATACGTGTATTGATGATTTAGTTGATAAATGGGTTGGGAGGAGTCGAAGACTTCGATACAAACAAATATTTGTCATTAACTACACATAATGTGTAAAACATCGTAATAGTATTTTTTTTTTCACATATCAGCTTTTAGCTGTCGACCACAAATAATATATTATGATGGTCCAGTGTGATCCGCCACCAGGGTTTTGCCGGTCAACATTGTAATATAGGGCGGGACACTAAAATGATCAATTTTCAAATACAAATATTTATGAAATAAAAATTAATGCAAATTAGCTATTAATTTGTTATAATGGAGTTTATAATATGACATTTATTTTTTAAACGTAATTTCCTAAAAATGATGGTTATCTTTTCTTATAAGCACTATTCTAATGTTCTTGGTATATTGTCCACAATACACATCATGGTGTTTCACTTCCAAAGATGTAATGGGAATTTCTTCTCGAATTTTTTCGTTTTGACCTTCAACATCTGAAAGAGTTAAGGTTTCTGTGCGAACATTCTATGGGGGTGAAAGTGTAGACCATTGTGAAAAATCCGACGTTGGCTCATACGAGATAAATTTAACGATACCGCATTTTTCGTGCTTAACTTCTTAAAATGTTTACAAGAGCGGCTCTAATAGCAGTGAGGTTTTCAAGAGTAAGTACGAATGTTTTGTTTTCGTTCAGCCTACTTTATCAAAAGTGCACCGGACGTATTGGTTTTTATTTTTATTTTTTTGCGAACGTGTGATAAGTAATAATATGTTCAACTACAAAATGATTACGGGTAATACTATAAAATATTTGTATATAGGTACATACGACCAGCATAGAATTTATACGCTCGGTTCCGATGACGAAAGTTATATTATAGCCTCTCCATAATGTATTAGGTATACGATGTATGATTTTCTCGTACAACTATTTTAATTATTATCTCAGTTTTTTTTTGTTTTTTTTTTTTACGTTCGCCGCAAGATATTCGTAACTGACTAGTCAGGTGTCGTATAATATATGAGGAGAGTGCATTTTTTACATTCACACAAATCACAATAATAATATTATAAATAAAACGTACAATATAATAATAATTATTGTTGTCTACGGTGGCGGTGCAATAGTAACGGCTACGTAGTATCATTACACCACATAGTAGTGTACTGACTGCAGACTGGTGTAGCAATTATTTCACCGTATTTGTCGGCGATCGTTTTTGACGATATTTTTATTTTATATTCTTCTATTCCTTCTAATTTGTTGCTGTTTATCATTGTTATTATTATAGATTTGGACATCCGTGACGGCGAAACAACTGTTATCACGCGAGAAAGTATACCCCGCGCGCTTCTATAATAGTAATACCTATATAGGTATCTTATCTAGTATCTACCTACCTAATAATGTAATAATATAATATAGGAAAATCGCAATTATGGCTTTTCTGCGCTGATGGAAATGAGCCCGCAGCCGATTCAGATAGTTTCAATTACCACGTTTGTGGTCGTTCGACGAGATAATATTATAAGTGGTTTTTTCTTCTTCTTTGTCGTCGCGGAACACATCAATCATTTGTATTTGAAATAGGTATGAAAAAAAAAAAAAAAAAAAAAAAAAAAAAAAAACGAGAAGCTAGTTTCGTATAGCCAGTGGTACAATAATACATTTCAAATACTTATGTATTATATATTATTAAAACAACAAAAAAAATAAATATGATTCTGACGAGTATGTAGGCCGTAAAAGACTACGAATTTATATAGCATTAATATGCAGGTATAGTGTACATATGCTCCCCAAAAAAACAAGAGAATTGAAAATAATTTATAGTTAATAAGAAATTATACATGAAAATCATTTATTTAATCTGGAATTTGATGCAGAACAACTAAACAAGCAATAATGTATGTAATTTTGTGAATGTAAAATAAGTCTTTGAACTTTACCGGACCTTGAACAAATTTAGGACGTGGTGCTGTCGTGTGGGAATCGTGTGTGTATACCTAAATCAACATTTTATTATTCCGGTAAACAAAAAATTCACTGACGTATATAAATCGAATAATAAATTAGAATTTTATAAAACGTGAAAGTTGTTTATTGTTATTACTATATTTTAAACATATTAGGTGCATACTCGTCAAAATGGAATTTATAATAATATACAAAATAAATTCAAAACGATTTAAACGCGTTGGTGGAGTACATAATAAGGGGATGTCTGTTTACTGTTATAAGGGGAATCGAGAGTCATGATGAGAGATATAGGTACGAGTCATGAAAATTCGTGATTAATTATCGTCACGAAATTATTTGAACGCCGTGATATCGGTATAGTGATTCTTTGGACGCTTTTGTATACGTCTATAAGGTTTAAAAATCGTGATCAAAATAATATATTAATGTTTGTTGCGCATAGCTATACCACAACGGTAGGTATATCTATATGTACGTTGATCTATACCCGCACCAACAGGACCTATAATATAGGTACCAGTCTCTTTATTTCTGCACCGCAGAATTAAAATCGTGTAAATCACGATGCATACGTGCAGCATTCCATACACAATAGTTTTTGTTGTGTACAATTCTATTGTGATAACAAAAAAAAAAGTACATAAAAAATCTGCTATTATTATCATTATTTTTTGTTTGTATATGTGCGTGAATCCAAATAGCCGCTAGATAATTACAATAGGTAACTACATAGTATTTCAATAACAATATTAATTGTGACCCCAGCGATCGTGGCCATAAAACTATAGTAGTCAACAGATTAATAGTATATATAATACATGTACTCGGTATTAAGTATAATTGTATTTTGAAATTATTATTCTGGTATTAAAATAATTGTTGACAGAGTGTCATTAAAAAAAATATTTTAATATACTTGGTATGAGTGATTATAATTTTCATTCTCAATTTTTTTTTCTTGCAGCGTTTATAATAATATTGTGTTTAAACGTAAGCCGAGTTATTTTAATTATTGTCAGATGGTAAAAAAAAAAAAAAAACTACCACAATTTATCATATTTATAATGTATTGAGAATTTTTTTTTGAAATTGATGGCGATATAAACACAATACTTATTTAATGTTTTATACTTTTGTACTCGAGTAGGCGTAATAAGGTTCAGACAGTCGTGATGTACCAATATATGTGGATGGACAATGAGCCACGAATCCATGAGATTTTAGTGCTCTAAATCAGGGCTCAAGGCATTATTTTGAGTGGACAAAACGGTGAACAAAATAACAAGAGATGATTTTTTAATTTTTTTTCTTATTTGACCTGTGGGCAAATTAGGCCCCAATTCGAATTATATACTTAATCTCTAATTTGGTTGATGTGTAGGATATTTTTCCATGGACGTTAGAAGTTCTGGTTACGCCACTGGGCACATATGTGTACGGCTGTTATTGTAACTAAAAAACAAAATAATAAACTGTGACGTTTATAAATTAATCATCTCTCTGCTATATACTTCCAAACGTTTTTACTCATTAAATCACCTAATTTCTGCGGTTGGTTCTCCGACTACATTATTAGGTATACCATATTCTGAATAACTGATATACATATTACTATTTCGGGCGAAATCGTGTATATATATATATGTATAGTATATATCTAAATTCTAAATCGCTATATATAGAGATTATTAAATATCTTCAAATATATGTAAATTTTAAGTTATTTATTGGTTATTTCGATTTACCGTATATATTTTGTCGCGTATAAAATTGAAATTGACTTAATCCTGGGACCTGGTTCCTGGGGACCATATGTAAATTATACTCATTGTAAATCTAGTTTTACAGATCGTATATAGTATAGTGGTAAATAAATAAATAACTTTATTACAAAATGTCTCTAATATATTGTGTATATTTTTTTTTAGGCGTACAAACTCAAAACTAGACCAACTGCCGTCCAAATAGCAAGAATAGCCGCATTTACCGTGATCGCGTGTTCATTCATATTGGGTTCTTTCTTGTTGGCCGCTGCCTGGTTACAAGCGAACGCATCGTGTTCACAGTTAATGCACGCAGAAGCACTCCTCAGACAGGTATAACTAAATAATATAATTTATTGTAAAATATGACAATTTAGTATAATATAATTATTTTTGTTAGAAGTGTTAGAACATCATAATAGTTATTAAAATAAATTGCTGTACGAAATGTTGATACTTATCGTGTTAGTTTATGCTTAGAGCCGGATTACGGTCATAGTATGAGGGGGGCTGTATACTTTTGGAGAGACTTTTTTACCCATATAATTATTTTTTTTGTTTTAAATTCAGATTTATCGATTTTTATCTAGCGTATATTTATTCAGTATTGGCAACATTCTTCATATTATATCGGTCGAGGTACTTATAATTTCAAAAAACAAAGAAAAAATACTTAAGGGTGGATTTCTAAAAATGTTTATAAATGTTTCAAATAAAATGTCATTAGGCGAAAATATGCATTTCTTAGGGTATGGCATGGAAAAAAGAGTATTTTTACTAATTAAAAATGTGTTTTCTGGAAAAAAAAACACATCTTTGTAAAACAAATAACTTCTTTACTACATTCAGAATCTAAAAAAATACTGAAAAGGGGAAAAAAAAGCTCGGCCCTCTTCGACTTGCGACCCAGGGCTATAGCCCTTATCTAGCCCCTCTTAATCCAATCATCCTGTTTATGCTACACAAAGAGTATTTTCAAACCAATATATGCCATATATTATATAACATATAGTATAAGTAGGCTTACACTGAACTTTAGTCATTATAGGTACCTATTTAACTATCTATGTACATGTTAATACAGTTTGTAAATCACCTTTAATTATAATAGTTAATAATCCAATCATGATAAGTATTTTTGAGTTTTCTTATCTGAAATTTAAAATTAAAATATATCACACAAAAATGCAAATAAATTATTATTTATGATATGTACAAACATATATAATATAATGTCTAAAAAATTTGAGACTTAGTTTTTGATTTTTTAATTGTAACTACTAACTAGGTATAGATAAATATGTTATTCTTGATTCAGTTATCTATTTTCTGAGATAACAAATATTGAATAAACGGAATTTAAAAGAGCATTACAATTTTAAAACGTTCAATTTTAGCGTGTATAAAGGTACGACTTAGGTAATGCATAATTGTTTTGTACAAACAGCACAGAAAAAATCCATCTTTAATTTCGTCTCATCGAATTCTAAATTCTATTATCAATATAGGGAAGTTATTTAGAGAAACGCAAAAGATTAATAGAAATAAAATTATATTAAACAAAACGTTTGGTTTATAGGAATTTTAAGAATAACATATTTTGATATCACTTAATTTTGACGGCAGTAAAATTTATTAACAAATTTCACAAAAATTAATTTCATAATTGTTATCTGTTTATGTTTAGCAATTTATGAGTTAAATATTCACATCGTGCCACTAAGGTCCGTCCTCAATACCGTAAACGCTTATTTTTAAACGGAGTTTATAAGATAATCGATCAATCGTGGTCGGTTATCAGCTATAAAGTGAGTTTAAGAAGTAAGAATCAGATAAACGAATTTTTTTACGTTGATGAGAACGGCCCTTAGTATAAATTATTATACCAACAATTATTACCTCAGTACTATACAACTTAGAGAATTCAAGCTAACGGTTTAAGAATAGCCGTAAAATAATTACATTATAACCATTAATTAGTATAGAATTGTTAAAGTAATGCCTTTACATAAATCAAAATTGTTTTAGGTCATTGTTCTATATTAATGAGTCATTAATCTAAACTTGAAAATGTTATAATTATGAATTATGATAGTAAAATATATAATTATTTTTTAAAATATCATATAACCACTTTAACAATGATCGTTTCATTAAAGTATAGGTATGTCTAATTGGAATTATAAAAAAATTTTAAAAATTAAAATTAATAATATATTCTAAATTAACGAGTAAAATGTCGACCTTAATAATTAAGTAGGTAAAATGTAATTTGTTTCTCTCGTACTCACGGTAAAATTATATTGAGAACCGCATGATCACTTACAAAGTGCGGTTTTTTTTTTATATAAGAATAATAGTTGATGCGTGAGAACAGTACATTGGATAATATCGCTTTCTTTATATATTTTTTTCTTATATATATACGTATACATACATTTTTTTTTTTTTTGGTTTTTCGATGACAGTTTTTCAGATAAAACTATAGGTACCTAGTTCGGCAATCGTGGCTTTCACTTTGATCCACGTACAAACAGTGAAACTGATTTCCTATATACCTAATACCTTGTTTATTTATGTACAAGTATTAATTTTTTTGTTTTGTTATTTTTGCTATCAGTTATATTTTGAAATCATAAATTATATTTTGTCAGTGGTGGTTTTTAAACGAAATAAAACTCGAGATCGATTTACAACGGTCAAATTAATGTATATAATGATAAGGTATTACAAGAACACTATCTATAATAATTTGTCGGTCACAAAAAAAAAAAAAATGAATTTTATGAATCAATTCCAGATGTTTTAAAAATATTTTTCTATGCAGAAAAACAAATTAGTTAAGGGTCTCCGTAACATAGGTATAGGTATATATTATATGGTGTTTACAATAATATGGGTCAAGCATAGGTATATATTATATTATATTACATGCACAAGTAAAGATTATTCAGTGTAACCGACCATTAAGTCCAGGAAATAAGTTATGAAACCACAGTATTGTTCGATTTGATTAACTCGGCGTGTAATTTGTACGTGACAATGTTCTATAACTGGTGTGTACCAGCTCTCTATAGATACTTATACATTTTTTATGTAATAAATATAGATCTATATATTAAATATCTAGGTGGTAAGGGAAACGAAAAGTTATAGAAAATATTTTTCTAATAGGTACCCAGGTAGGTATGTGTACGTATATTAACACCTACCTATTCGGATAATCGAATTTAAAAAAAAAAAATGTCAGATATCAACCGATTCATTATGCTAAAACAAATCAATAATAATTGTAATATTATATGAACGCTCGTTTATACACCTACCCTGCAATATTCGTTATTGTTTAGAGCGAAGAAGCTGCGGACCGTCCACAATATCAAGCGCTGGTCGATCCTTTACAATCAGACGAGACATCCGATTCGAAACAAGAAGAACTTCCTGTTCATCAACAGTCCGCCAGAAACACAGATAGTCAACAATCCACTGGTGCAGGGAACAACGATCAGCCGAGCACACCGGTTCAAATCAAATTGCCATTGGAATTGGATTTCGACGAAATTGTCGGAGTGAGTGTTTGATCTTTCTCTTCCCATACAGAATTTGTAAAACTACTTTTTATAACTACAATTTTTGTAAAATTCACCTTTGGGCATAATAATTAAAATCTTCTAATCACACTGTAGATACCCACTCTTTCCTGATGCAGTGACATATGCATAATTTTTATATCGAGAGGAGGGGAGGGGATATGTAAAAAAAAAACATAACCTATCACATATTATATACGAAAAAAGACGTTTTTAGTTTTGTTTGGAATACCCTAAAAAAAAAATTAGTAAATTGACCACAACAAAAACTTACAGTTACACTTCAACAACGACAAGACTATCAGTTTTCAAAACAAATTAAATATCAAAATAAGTTAAATAGATTTAAATGTCGAATTGTTTGTCAAAATATATTATTTACTTACCGGAAAATGTTTTTGTAAAAGCATACTTGATACACCATTGTAGAAATTAGACCATTGTATGGTCACACTGTCACAGTTCAGAGTTATTCTCATATTATTATATTATTCTGTGGTATGGATCCAACGATAGTCAATACATAGTTACTTTCATTACTGGTGGATCTAGAATTTTTTTATGGTGGGTGCTATTTTTCTAATGATGTTCCTTAGCCTTAGGTACTTATTGTGTACAACGTGCCAAGCAATTTATAATAATAAAAAAGTTCAATTTGCAGAACGGTGAGTAATTTAGCATTCAAGCAACTCCTCTCCCACCAAAATCTGCCACTGTCTATTACTAATCGTTAGATACTAAATAATAAACGCGTTTGATAGCTCTATAAAAAAAAAATCTATGAGGAGGAGTTCAAACTCCCACATCCCTTCTTTTACGTCCCTAACTTAATGTATAATAATTATTTTTAAATTATATAAATAATATAGTGTACTTGTTTAAAATAAGGCTTTACTCGAGAAAAATCAACGTTCACGTATGAATTGTGTAATTGAAAAGAAACGCGCCGAAGAAGTGATGGATCATCAACCAAAAACTCTCCGTCTACCATTTGGCGTAAACATTACCACCGATCCACGTTTTGAACACGTAACGGGAGAACGATTGAGCATCGTTTGCGAAAGTGGACACGATGAGAGGTATACGCATACCTAAATTATCATCTACAATACTGAAATTAGTTAGACTAACCACCGTTGATGAATCCTTAAATAACTGATATAAAAAAAAACCCAAGCTGATTTGATCTTATTTTATAAACCTTTTAGACGAACTCCGAGTCCAGCTGAACCAATGCAACAACAACCGTCAATGATGATGCCGATTCCCATGGGCGCCAACCCTATGACCCACCTGCCAAGTATGATGGGACCACCGCCTCCCCCTCACCATATGCCACATCCGCACCATCATCAAAGTCCAATTCCCTTGGCAATGATCGCTAGAATTAACGCTGACATCGACAATCAGCTTCAATTACAAGAACAGCAACAGATTGAGGAGCACATCATACCCATATTCCAACAACTCTTACCCGAACTCAGACAATCCCCTGATAATCAAGAACAACACCAACAACATCACAAACAGCAGGAAGCTGAAGATAGAGCCATGCCCAACAAAGTTTTATACCATCCGGCTATGGCCGAAGGAAGACCTCTGTACACCGTCGCTATATCTGACAAATCGAATGGAGACGGACCAATGATGCACCAACAAGCTATGCCATCCGAAGCCATACGCCAGAATGCACCAATGTTCCAGAGGGTTCCCATTCACGTGCCTGTATCCATGATGATGCCACCAGGTTCTGGACAGTCAGTTCAACAAGATAGTTCAATTGATGATCCAAAACCAGCAGACCATCCACATTGTAAGTATATTAACAAAGTTGTTTTGATTAAAATAATATCAGTATTATTATTTCAAAATAAAATAGGTAGGTACATAAAAAAAATCAATACTGCTGATGAGTGCACCACTGTAATAAGTGAGCAGTTGAATAAACAGTTATTTAGTTTATATCTGTATACAACGATAAACCATTGCTAATACAATACGATTCTTACCGAAGTTTAGTTATATATGTTTTGAAATACCGTAATTTTTACGATTTTCGTAAAAAATTGATCTTTATAAAAAGATTATTATTATTATCAATTACTATTTATTAAACTCCTTTTCTAGATTAAGAGGGTAGCGAGGGATCTAATGGTTTTACTATGGTATAAGGAGTGATCAATCTATTGTAAGACACTCATTATCCCAGAAAGTATTAACTTTTTAAAAAAATTTTTTTTAGAGAATTTAAGGAACAACTAGCTCTGAAATATTACATTATCATTATTTATCTAACCATTATTTTTGGAAGTGAAACGACGACCTACTTTTGATTTTCAATGGCAATCTATGTTTAAAATGCCATAAATAGACGGAGTATTAGTTTAAAAACATTCAAATTTTTGAATTCCATCAATCCGTTGACAAGATAATTCACTTTTAAGCTTAGGCAAGAGAAGAATAGTGGAGCACTGGACACCATGCCACTACATAAATATTATGCTCCACTACTCTCCCCTACCCATACTTTAATGTGGATTATATCGTCAACAGACTGATGAAAATGAAAAATTTAACACTTAATTATTTTAATCTATTCTACTCCATCTATTTATAGCATTTTTAATATAAATTGCCACTTTAAAATCAAAAATAGGAAGTCGTTTCACCCTCAAAAATAAGGCTGATAAAAATAATGATAATGTAACATTTTAGAGCTGGCTGTTCCTTAAATTTTCTAAAAAAAAAATTTTAAAAAGTTTATAATTTCTGGGTTAATGAGTGTTTTACGAAAAATTAATCACCCCGTATGTATTTTTTTTGTCTGTAAACAATTTTTAGAAAAGAAATTGTGTCTAGTTGGTGCATTAATCATATCATTTTTTGATTTTCCATGGGATTTTCAAAATGGTTGTCAAAAATCAGAAAGAAAATGATAACACTCTCCTTCCGTAACAAATTTTATTTTTATTAAAATTCAACCCAACTTTTATTACTTCAATCTACTTATAAAATACCTCTAGTTTCTGAATTTGAGTTCATTTAGTACAAAAAAATTGCTACAAATTTACAAAAGTAGTAGGGAAAAGATACTTTTATATTGAACAGGCACAATAAAGTGCAATAATCTTCATTTTATTCAGGGGAAACTTGACAATATTAATAATTACCTATTTAATACTTATTATACATGTTTAATCTTGACACGCTAATAATGATTTTTTTTTTTTAATTTCAGTTGTTCATCCACGTTCAGTTGAGTCAGTTCAAATCAACCACAATGAGGAGATGAATTGATGTGCAAATGATTTTTTCAATTTGACAAATATATATATATATATATATATATATACATAATTTTTTTTACACTGAAAAATTAGTAGATCTTTTATTAATGTTGGTAAATTCTTAAATTAAGCCCAAACTGACATTAGGATTATAATAATCAAATAACAATATTAAGTTTAAAGAATTTATATAGATATATTTTATGCCAAGAAAACAGTATATTTGGTACAAGTACATAAAATACATATTTGATCTTTGTTTACACTATAGTTTTAAGATTTGTTAATGTTAATTGTGATTGTATAATAATACATTTATAGTATTGCTTTCAAATAAAATCTATATTAATTTTGTTAAAATATATTTGTGTCAGTGGTAAAACTTCAAATAGGTATTGAATTAATAATACATATTGCATATTATATGTATAAAGTATAAATATTAATAGTGTAAACGAGGTTAAGTAAATAAATAGGTATAAATATTAATAAATGTAAATCTGTGAAAAGTTGTAAAACAATTAACATTTTTAAGCCTCTACATCTAAAACAATAAAAAATCCTAAGAGGTTACTTTTTACATAACAATTTTAACAAACATTGAATCATATTATTAGTACCTATTTAGATAGGTAAACAAAATACTCATATTAATATTAAAAATACTCATACACATTGTGCATACAAAAAAAATTAGTTAAAATGATCAAAAAAATTAATTAAAATATAAAATGTATAAGAGCTATCTTTAAGAGTACGCATAATATGATATGATTAATGAAGTTTTTTTTTACCATCTAAATATAAATACTTAACCAAAAAATGCTACAGAATTTATTGGTTTTACTAAGACAACTTTTTGTGTTAACCCATCTATAGTTCTGAAATGTATATGCTCGTTTAGAATTTAGGTATCTCATTGTGTAGTCCCTTTTACATATCAAAATACATTAACAGGGTTATGACGTTGCATTTATCTATGTCATCAATATAATCTTTTAAAGTTAATATTTGAGATATTAATTTAAAATTAATAAGTACAGGATATAAATCAAAAATGGCATCCACAAAAAGGAAATGCAATTAATCTTACATGTTATGAAATATCACATACCACAATTAAAATAACTTTTAATTGTTTAAAGTAAATTTTTTTCTGGATAAACCATTTTGTTCACAAAACATTAAGCAGCATATTATGTAATATTAGACTCAATATGCCTGATCTTATTAAATTATTCTATGTTACCTCCATCTACACTAAAATTGTTTTAAAACAAAATTAACATATTTTTAAAATATGCATTATTTGATAAAATAAAAACCTTGGTAATACATAAATCAATAGTAGAAATTGCTACTTCTTCCTGTTTTAATAATATCAGATCAAAGGTAATTAACTATTTCTTTAATAAAAAGGTTTCATTAGGAAAATAATCATACATATTTAATAAGTTTTTCGATATCTAAAAAATTATAAATATAAAAATTATTTTACTTAGATATCTATATGATGCATAAATTAATTATTATACATTTAACTAACAAATAAATGTATATATTTTAAATTGTATCAAATAGTTAATAATATCTACTTAATAAATTACCCTATTAAAGTATTTAAAAAATAATATATAAATCTTCAGAGTTAAACTTTGTACACTTTTACTTGGATCTTCTGATGCCAGGTAAATGTGCATCCAAAAATTATTAAGATAATAATTAAAATCTATTTGTATCCAAAGTATGTGACTGTGTAAAACCAGTTATTATTTTCAAACCTAAATAATACGCATTGTAATAAATAATAATTGCTAATGATATTTATCATTGTACCAAAATTTATAGCTAGAAGTTTAAGTCCAACAAATTCATATTGAGAAATTTTAGTAAGAATAGTTCTTAAAAAGACAAATATTTCCTATGGGAATCGTTAGGAAAAAATATATTGTAATGATAATGATAAATTAAAGTAAATAAATTTAAAGTTGCTTCTAAATCTGATTTTACATCTGATGATTTCTTTAGGATTTCTGGTTTATTACTTAATAAACCAGTATTTGTTTATAAAATTGAAATTAATTTAATATGCTTAATTTTTAATAATATTTATATATTTATTTATATAATAATATTATACATAAGTAATTGTGTCCTAAAATATTTTAACATTCTTGCATACATTACACTAGAATTAAAATTAGTAAATGCGATTACAACTGTAAATAACCTTATTGTACCATTTCTAGGATTTTCATTAATCTTGACTCTTTAATTTAATATAACCTTTATAATAAAAATAATTATTAGTAAGATGATTGTCAATTGAAATACACACAAAAGCAAAATTATGTTTAAACAATATTAAAACTAAATTTTTCTTCCACTGCTGCGTCACAAGAATAATTTGAATCAATTATGGATAGGCCTAATTTGCTGAACTGCTGAATTGGGGTTATGGACTATTTTAGCTCAATAACAGATAATAGTGTACTAGTATTCAAAACTAACAGGTTATTTAACTATAGTAGAATTCATCATAAAGCTATACAAAACTTTATAATTTCTGATAGTTTTACGGATTTGAGAGCATATCATCACATTTGCGCAATTTAACAAAATACTGAACTGACTTATAACGAGTGCAATTTTCAACGGAAGCACTTGATACAAAATCACCGGTAGCGCTAAAGTAGTCTGATCGTTGACTAATAAGTATGAAGTATTTGTTTGTAAATTATTATAATACTACAATATACAAATATATACTATAAATTAAAAATATTTAATAAAAGTCACTGAATCAGAATTTAAAAAGGACGGACATACTTTGAAGTTGGGGGGGGGGCACTGTTGTTGCCTGTAAGTGAGATGTTGGGAAGGTAGAGGGGAAATGTAATGTATATGTGTATGCAACGACTAAAAATGAAAAAAAGATTCTGAATGGAGTTCGGTTAATAGAGTTGCTTTGTCAATAATATATAATATTATGTTATATGCATTATATATTTTTTTAATAATATTTGTTTAATATTGTATTTCTTTTCCCTAAAATAAACTCCTGAGAAAATCAAAAAATGACCTCCCTAAAGTACCACCCTAGGAAAATTCTCTTTTAGAAAAGGTACTATACTTGATACTAAAGTATCTCCGTAAACATATCTCCGTACTTAATACGAAGCAAAATTTCTGGTAGAATTTTTGTACGCTGTATATAAAAAATAATAATAATGAATAATTAAATATCTATGTAAAATCAATACATTTCTGCTACACTCAGAAGTTGTAAATTCTTTGTTTGACTAAGTTTTAATATTCATCTTTCCAACTATCTGAATTATACTTATCTTTATCACACTGAAGTAAATATAGTTTCGATTCCACGCTTCTTGGCTCTAGAAGATCTTTATTCTTTAGCCTCCCTTCTTCCTCATTCAATCTCCAATATGATCTTAGCCCATTAATGCTATTAGCGTGATTAATCATTGAACTCGTTATAAATAGAGTCTAGAAAAAAAAAATAAAGAAAAAAAAACATATAGAAAAAAAAGACAACAAAAAAAGATAAAAATAATATAAAAAAACATTTGTTTTTAATTAATACTTTAAAAAGTGTTAACAGGTATCTATATAACAATAATTTAAAATCTATTTAATAATATAAAAAACTAAAATTATTAATGTTATGTACCTACTCTTTAGTATTTTCCGACTAATATTACTTACCTATATAGGTTTTTAATATTATAGTATTATCTTTTATAAACATATGTATTACTATGATATATACCTCTAGTTTTTCCAACTTATATATTATTATAGAGGCGCATATAATAATATAGTAGATACCTAAACAAATGTATATCTAAATTTAACATTTTATTATTTTTAATTAAATATTATACTTATCTAAATGCAGACGAAATAAAATTGGCTCAATGGAATCTAAATGTCATAAAATCAAAAAAGAAACACTTACAAGAAAATTAAAAAATCACTGAATTCAATTTGTACAGATTTTAAAGAAGAAAACCGGTCAATTGAAAATGTTTTAAGTGTAATTTTATATAATATTCGATTTTGATTTAAATAAATTCTGTTTTATTTATTTATTTTTTTTTTATAATTTATAAGTACTAATTTCTTTATACTAATTTGTATGAGAAAAACGGAACTTAAACCATTGTGGGTCATGCCAAACCCGTATGTTTGCCTTATATCAAAACTATAAATTATGATTATTGTCTATGATCAAAATTCGACTGGGCCGCTATCACCCTATGGCCTATGTCCCTATTTATCACTCGTTCCTCACAAGATGATCACTCAAATATGATACTGAGTCAAAATATATATTTATTGTATAAATCGTAAACTAAAGAAAATTATTCAGTGTTCACTCGGGTAATAGATTTAATTTAGCCAAATTTTCTTCGTAATAAAAAAAGGAGAAAACTTTGAAACGTTGTTTAATTTTTTTTTTTGTGTGTTATTAAAATCACTTTAGTATTTTTTAAAGATACCGTATATTGGTGAGAGACAATTGTTTTATACTTTGATAATTATATTATCATGCACCCTCTAACCGTAGTCAGGCGTCAGTACGAGTTTGATTATAGACTGTATTTTTCAAATATGAATTTGCGTTGCATAGAATTTTGTGCAAAATGATTCATTAATAGTATTATACTTTGTATAGCACCGATAAACGGCGTTTTAATAATAACATTGAAATCATGAGCTTGCATTATTAGTTGTATCATCAGAATTTATTAGGCGTTTTTATATTTTACAATGATAACGAACAAATTCGAATTACCGTATTGTATTTGGTGTGTGGCCGGGAACCCTATTCTATTACAAACGGGGAAGCCAGTAACGCGCTGATGGGTTACAGCACCCGCCGAAATTTTAAGAAATTTTAAATTATTGTTTTAAATATATAGAAATATAAATAAATAAATGCGACGTCTGGAATATTATGAAATGTGTATTGTACGACCGATTTCGAACTAAAAATTCATCGTCAGGTAAAAGCACAGTCAAAAAGGAAAACGCGACTGAATATGAAAAAATAAATGAATGAATATATACCGAAAAAATTATACAAATTGGTCGTTTTAAATAGAAATTATTTATTTTAACAGGAGAGATTATTTAAAATGAGTTGTTATTAGACACAGACATGTTAAGAAATATAAATTATTTGGTTATTATTTATTATCTAAAATGTATTGATATAAGATACTATTTTTAAAATAGGTTTGAACATTTCAATATTATGCAAATTATTTGCTTTATTTCATTGTGTATATGTGATTTAATTAATTATTTATTTGTATTACGAGTGTGAATTAAATGTTGTTACAAGACAAGCAAGACGGTAGGTAATGTAAGTAGGTACCATCATAATATAGCGATCATTGTTCTCCGCACGTCTTTCGAAGCGGAAATTTATTCTAATAGGCAGTTACCTATATCGTAATACAATATAATAATATAATATTTACCGCAACGGGAAAACAACGATTGTTCCAACGGATCCAACGGTCATTCGATCACCCGATACACGGATTGTGTGTATATCTATGATTCCGGTTTAAATTTAAACCACGTCACGTAGCTGTACCATTATAACCGCCACGGCGATACGGTAGGTGCCCGTTACCTTTATATTTTTATTAATTCGTGTGCGAAATGATGTGCGCTTTTAACGTTCCACGATGCTGACGAATCGATTGCGTATATACCTGCGAGAAATCATTGCGGTCCACTACTGTGCAAATCAATACCTATGTACGCGATATCATTATTATTAATTCGTATGTGGCAGACTCGTGTACTCCCGGTGGTGTATTATATGGAGAGTAGGTATACTTATATCAGCTCTATCTACTGTATTACCCGGATCTCTATATTCGATTACTCGAGCAAAGAAGATCGCTATATATTATAATTATTATTGTCGTATATGGTATATAGTTATCAGTGTTATTACTATAATATTATAAACTTACTTATATATCTATGTTATATAAATTTAATTTCAATAGAAAACAAATCCCATTAATTGATCATTCTTCCGTACGGGTTAGGTTAGGTAACCGTACTGTGCTAAAGAAAATAATATGCATCGACAGAAACCTATAGGTACCTATAGGTAGGTACCTATATTTATATTATTATACGGTGTTTAACCACAAAATAATAATATCTATATTATCGAAAATATCTATAGGTACTATGCCATCGGATCCGGAAAAAAAAACCAAAAGAAAATTAAAACCAAATTTTCGTTATTTTTACAGATTTTGCCGACAAATTTTGAATTATTACTATATTTTTATTATTTTTTATTGGTCTCTAATTCCCACAAAAATGATGGCAAATGACGGTTACACTAATTTCTATAGTAATTCAAGTTATAATACAGTAGTAATCATACAGCCGTAAGCAATCTAGTTTATTATTTATAGCTGCAGTAGGGAATAAAAGTAACGGTCTGCCTGATAACAAAATTCAAAGATATGATGTAAGGAACGACTACCACAATGTGAAGGTAAACTCGTGCCTTAAATTTGGTAAAAAAAATTTGGTTTTTATTTTCGTGGTTTTTTTTTTGGTTTTTTCTTGCTACCGCGCCATCATTACATGACGTTTTATGTTACATTTTTTTTCTCACCACGACATCATAGCATAATATAATATTTTTTATATAATAATATACTTACTTGCAGTGGTGCTCGAATTGGAAAGGATTATATTAACTAATTTTTCAGAAATTTTAGTGTACCTAAAAGTTATTTGTTTGAAGTGGAACACATATCACGGTACATATTTTGCGTTTTTATTAATATGCATTTTAATCAACATTTGAAGGGTTTATCGTTTATAAGAAAATTATTATATTACGCAGTATGCTGAACTTTTTTCTTTTTTTTTCTACTAATTGTAATTCATAATGAACCTTGTGTTAAATTTTAACTGAGCATAAACAATTTTAATCACATCAAACCAAATAATATCCAAAAAAAACTAAACAATTTTAAATGGTTAAAAGTAACTGAAACATTGCCAGAATGTTTTGAAAAATGCACATTGTCTGGAATGAGCTATACAAATGAGCTATAGTATATAAAAAACTATACAAGTTTACAGTGAAATTTCTGAACTCTATATGAATTACAACATAGAAATATCCATTACAGTGTCAATATAATTGTTTTCCAGAATTTTTGTCTATGGGTTTTCCCCATAATTAAGAATACTAGAGGTTAGGTTAGGTTAAGTTAGGTGCCATCATTTATAAAACAGTAAAATACATAGGTTTCCAAAAAAGGCTGCTATATTAGATTTTTTCCGTTACAAAATGTTTAAAAACAATGTAGCAAATTTTGAATTTACTAACAGAGTAGTATCAATAAAATTATCAAATATTATTCACTCGATTACTTCGTAAAAAGTAAAAACACAAAATCAACAATACCTATAATTAATTAAAGAAATAGATAAACGACATGTTTACGCAGACTACACCTGCTCGCTAAATTTTGGTTTTAGAGTAAAAGCACCTAATATAAAATTAATAGAGAACTATATTCCGAAGGATAAGACGTGTTTTTTTGAAAAAATTAGTTTTTTTCGAAAGTGTAAGTTGAATAAAAATGTTTAAAAAGTTATTATTTATAAATGGAAAATTGACGGAGAAAATGGAAAAACACAACGTCTTGTTTTTCGGAATATATTTCTCTTTTAATTTTATAATAAGTGTTTTACAAAAATCAAGCGAGTTCTGTGTAGTCTGTGTAAGCAAGTTTCAATTATATCGTTGGTTTGTATGACGGAAATATGAATTTTAGAAACAAAAGCGCTTTAGATCAAATTTCGACGAAAATCATAAAAATTGCGGCATTTCAAAATATATCTTACCGAATCATTTTTTGCTAGAAATGGTTTATTTTTGCATACGGATATAAATTAAATATTTTTATGAACCCTTACCCTACCTTTCCAACTTCTCATCTAAAACAGTAGCTGCATCCGTGTTCAGTATCAGTTTTTTTTTTCTGTCTGCAAACAGTGTAAACAACTTTTTAAAAAGAAATCTTGCTCCGATGTATAGAGTGTAGCACTTTTTCTGAAATGAAATAATTTTATCTAATTGATGTATTAGAGAGATCATTTTAAGATTTTCCACGGGGTTTTCAAAGTAATTTGAAAGAATCAGATAGAAAATTATAGATATACATCTAAAAAACGGCAAGTATTTACGGCACACCGCACGCCGCGATGTTACCGTTTTCATTGTGTTCAATTTTTGAAATACGACAAGAGACCTTTTTTTGTAATATTTTAGATCTAGATGCTCACGAATAAAGCCGTTATTTGATTTTTCAATTAATTTCACAATAATTGGAAAAACCGGAATAAGATAAAAATGAAAAACAAACAAATTTACGGCGTACAATTTTATTATTTTTAATTTGTACGCACGATGGTTTTTTCCAGAAATATTGTTCTAATTGAATTGGAGCCATTAGCAATGATTTATCGTTGCTTACAGTTGTAAATTAAATAATTTTATGTATCATTCTTTCTTAACTTCCTACCTACAACAGACATCAGTATCAGTTTTTTTTTTTTGTAATCGATAATCAACTGCTTTTCGAAGTGTTAACTACTGTTTCACTGTTTTAATTAATGAACAATAGTTTTCATACTCTATTTCAGCCACTTACAACTGTCAAAAAAAAAAACACAGCGTTTCTTTAGAGTTTATAATATAGACAGTTAATTCAATACTCAGTGATCCGGTCAAATTTCTGTAGAGACGATAGTCGTGTTGACAGTAGGTCTTAGTATAATAATAACGAATAATCAAAAGACAATTAACTGTATACGCTTCCGACATTAGGTAAATTCTTTTTTTTTTCTAGTATAATGTTTTCGATTTTTGTTGTACATACTTATGTTGTACTATACAAGCTATATCTTTCTGTTTTTTTCGTATTCGGTCACTTTGTCCAAACTATTCTCCAAGCCATTCAAAATCGTGCTGCCACTAAATTGAATATTGTCCGCAAGATTTTTGATATTTTTTTTACATTAAAAAAATTAAAATGTTTAACTGGTTTTTTTCTTTAGATGACGGTAAAAAAAAAGTAGAAAACTCATTTTAAAGATCAGATTTCAATAGAACCATTTTCTATAAATGATGACTAGAATAATAAAGTAAGTTTCTCTCGCATCTACAAAATTAATTGAACGTAAACGATCTTAAAGTTTCGATTTTTATTATATTCATGTTTGTGGTAAATTGAACTGTAATTTCTCAATTATTTGTCATACCTACATAAGTTAGAGTGTTAAAAAATACTATAAGTCTATAACAATATGTTTACATAAATTTAGGTAATACAAAATGTATTAATTTAAGTTACATAGTCACCTATTATATAAGTAAGGTATACCTATGATTATAAATATTAATTACCTAAGTAAAAAAAAAAAAACATCAATTTTATTACATACCAAATACGAGTATTTTCTATTGGTGTTTGATTTTTTTTTTTTTAATTTATTCTAATTTAGCTATTTTATAGAATTAAGTTATTTACATATAGTTTGTCATAATTTTAAAAACAAAGAATATGACAATGATAATTTGATTTTAAGGAAGTTATAATATTTACATTGTAAAATCATACCTTTACCCAAATTTTTTATACATCAGTAATTATTATCAGTGCATATTTCTTTTCTGTAGTAGATAATATTACTATCGAACAGAAAAGATACTTTAATGTCTTAATGAGATTATAATGTGATGAAAGTCTACCCTTAAAATCATGAAAAACTGTGCAGAAATAAACAAAAGTCTACATTACGCTTACAATTAGAGTTAATATAATTTTTGTAAAAACACTTTGTTTGCTGTTACAATAGTGTTTTAACAAAAATGCATTCAACAAAGCTTTTAATAGGCATTTGTTTTGCTTTTTGTACTGCTGAGAACAAAGTGGTCGACTGTTGGGTATCGTTTAAATTTCAAAAGTTAGACACTTTATCATGTATAAACAAAAAACGAATCGTAATATTTTATTTGAAACACTCTGTATACGTGTATTATAGTTTGACGTGATATTTTGTTTCCATAATCGCAGCTAATATTTTCCGTGGTATTATCGAAACTGGGATTATTTACAGTAGGAGTAATATTTCCCTCGCCGTGACCTTCGAACCTTTAGCAGTTAGCGACATTCAACTTTCAATCCACGGATTTTGTATAATAATTAATTTCGTCGATATTACGGTCACCGGACCAGTAGACCAGGTCTAACGAATAACGGATCACATATAATACCGTTGTAAATTTCAATATGCCTACCAACAATAATTTTTCTTCTCGTTTTTGTAATGCTAATGGTGAATTGTACTTGTATAGCAGTTACATAATACACATATTAATCTATATAAGTAATTTATTTATATGATACCTATTCGATAGTATACGTATATTACTATAGTATATACCTATAATATTTATGAAAAAAAAAAAATAAATGTGTTTACTTTTAACTACCATAACCACGCCACTGCACAGTCCTAATCATAATCAAAATCGATTGTTTATGGCCATTAGTACTATATAGGTACTTTTAATTTGCTATAAAAAAATTGTTTAAATAAGATATTATTATGTCACATATAATGCAGCATGATCGTAGTTATAGATTCTGAACGTAGCTTGGAATGTTTTGTGTTTTGATGTGTGTGCCTTCTTTTTATTTTAATTTTTTTTTTCCTTTTTTGCGGGTGTAAACTTGTTCAATGTGTTATAGGTACTGCAGTTCTAAGAGACGTAAGTATTATATATATATATATATATATATATATATATATATGTGGTTTTAACTGTAACATATATACTATTTTTTACAAACCGTATAATACAACAGTTGTGTAACTTAATGTTATTATAGTTTGCGTTACACAATTTAAATCTTTAACAATAAGCCGTGTACATATGAACCATCGTAAAATATTGATGTCCGTATCGATTTTTTTTTTTAAGACTCGTCGAATAGTTACGATCTGTAATAATAATTGGTCAACGTACTACTTTCATTACGCACCGCATGCAGAGCATGGGATATAATAACGTACGATCTGCCGAGATGTCAATACTGTATTCTTTATAATATCGTTAAAACATATTATATTTCACGTGGTCCAGTACGTATTTTATATTCCAACACAATAATATATAATAGGTGTATAAAAATATTGCCGTAATATCCCCCCCCCCTCTCTATGATAGATCCTTTTGAAAAACGTTTTTACGACATTATACGACCGTATAATAATATTAATTCGCCGTTTGTGTGTTCCGTATGATTTTATCGACATTTCGACGCGTTATCCTTGAACCGACGACGGTCGTATACGAGAAATCTTGCCCAGATTTTTTATAACATTTTCAATCTAGTTGGTGCATCGAGGCGGTCAATTTTTGATATTCCTTGAAGTTTTCTTAATAAATGGGAAAAACGGACAGTTGCAATACATATTTTATTCATTTCTGGGATACCTAGACAACAATGCGTAAAATATGACTAATAATACTTTACTCAGAATCGTTTTTTCGTTAACAATGTTTTATTGTTACAAACAAATATTAATTAAATTACTCTATCTTCTCTTCCCACGTCTCTCCAGTGGCACATTCATTAGCAGTATCAGCCTTTTCATTTATTTTTCAGTAAAGCTATTTGTTATCTGGCGATATTTGAAGCAAATAATACAAATAATTATTACTATATTTTGTACACATACCCACATAATATCATGATTGTAAAATATTTAAACTATATAGAACATGCGCATATTATGATAAATCATTGGAGAAGTTAACATTAACATTAGGAACTGTAGGGGATGTTTAGACGAATCTAGAGAACAAAATATTTGTGATACCATAATTCAATTTGAAAAAAAAAATTGATGTGAAAAGATGTGAACAACTTTTCTACCAACAATCTTGCTGCGAAGTATTAAGTAAAGCACCTTATTTCAAAGGCAATTTTCTCTAGTTGGTGCATTGGGCAGGTAATTTTTTGATTTTCTAAGGGGTTTTCGAAATAATTGAGAAAAATCAGCAAGATAATTATAGGTAAAACGGCAAATATTTACGACGCGCCGTGGCGTAACCATTTTCATTGTTAATATTATGTTTACACGATGTTTCTACCAGAAATATTGCTCTAATCCAAAAATGACAAGAGATCGTTTTTATTCTTTTTAACATATAGCCATCGTTTTTTTTTATATTTCAAGTGTTTTTCACAATAATCGGAAAAGACCAAAAGAGATGAAATGTACAATTTTTTTTTCAAATTAAAACCCGATTCCTTTATTTTAAAAAAATTCTATGGCTTATGTTTTCAGAGCAAAAAATATTGCTCTGAAAAAAAACGACAAAAGATCTTTTTTGTTTAGTTTTTAATTTAGTTGGTGACCAAAAGTCTTTTTTTATTTTATGTTTTTTTTTTTTTTTTGTAGTTTTTTTAATAATTGAGCAAAATAGAAATATACGTAGAAATTACGAAAAAATGTACGCAAATATTTCTGAAATTTTTTTTAATTTAGTTTTTTTTATGTGATTCAGTTTAAAATACCTGCATTAAGTATATTATTGGAAAGAAAAATAGATGAGAATAGAAGCACTTATACAGTGTTTGTGGATATTAAAAAGGCATTCGACAATAAATGCACAACAGAAATAAAAAGAAGAACAGCTTTGGCTAAGGAAGCTTTCATTAAGAAGCAAAGTCTCTTAACAAGCAGACATTTATCGATTAAAATTAGGAAGCTAATTATTAAAACTTATGTTTGGAATGTAGCGTTATATAGCGAGTCTTAGACTTTAACCACACTAGACAAAAGAATAATAGAAGCATTAGAGATGTGGACATGGAGGATAATGATGAAGATCAGTTGGATAGAAAATAAATCTAATATGGAAGTGTTAAATATGATAAACACACCTAGACCAATTATCAAAATTATGAAAATGAGAAAAACTAAGTTTTTTGGACACATGATGAGACATGACACAATTATTACAAATATTATGGAACGGAAGATAAATGGGAATAGAGGAAGAATACGGCCGAGGGAAACAAATCTGGGGAATATTATGAAGCTATTACCCCTAGTAAGTTACGAAGAAGTGAAAAGATTAGAAGATCAAAGAAAGAATTGGTTGCAGCGAAAAGGTGAAGCCATTAGACAATGAAAAAAAAAGTTTTATGTATTCGTAAAAATTTGAAATTTTGACTAAAAACTTATAATTGCTTTTTCTAAACGTGGTAACATTAACCAAACATTTGAGAAATTTTTGAACGAGGTATTTATAGACATGGGTGTAGAGAGACTTAAGCCATCGCTCGCTCGGACTATTTTAATCGAAATATACTCCTCGATATGTTGTGCAAACTTTTCTACCAGAATCTTGCTCCAATGTATCAAGTGTAGCACATTTTTTGAAAGGAAATTTTATCAACATGATACTTTATGGAGGTAATTTTTTGATTTTCCAAGCGGTTTTCATAGTATCGGGGAATAACCGGAGAAAAACATGCGAAAAACGGGAGAATAGGTACAATATTAAATTTATTCCATTATATTCCATAATGATAAGAAAAATTAAATATCAAATTCACTTAAAATCCTCTGAGATAATTGCTCTTGGTTAAAGATAAAAATTCACCCTGTATAAGTATTTGATAAATAAAGAAAAAAAAATTAAATTTATATTTACTGATAGAAATATACCATTCCATTAGAGATTTAGAGGTATTCACCGACAGGCCTATAAGTCGGCCGTTATATAGTATATTAGTCCAGAGTGTTTCCGTGTTGTCGTCCTGCCCGTCGTAGTTTAGGTTAACTTACCTACCTACCTTTAAAAAAAAAAAGAAATTATGAAAATAATATTCAAAGCAAGCGCTATGGATTTAATTTATGCTCTATCGTCTTTCGAATAAAATGATTTATCGTTACTTTCGTTTTTTTTTTTTTTTATGGACAAATATTGTACTTGTTTATACTTAACCTGAGTAACAGCCATACAGATATTTCAAAAAAAAATGTTAGTTAATATACAATAAGCACATGGTCCAATTATGGCTTAATCGGTCAATTAACATACATGAGTTGTCATTATATTATTATCATAATAACATCAAGAAATACTCGCGTGTTTATGACAGTTTAAAATCATAGGTCAAATTTTCGAAATAATATTGTTGTATTTTTCTTTATCTAAGATTTCTGTTTACTCTGACGCCCATTTTATCTCAATTCTTGGTACCGACTATGATAAATGACGTGAGGACTCCAAAATCATTTTTTTTATATGTACTGTACCTATTTAATATATTGTCATACTGTTTTCGGTATAAAATATTACATTAATAATTATTGTTCTTATTTGCAACTTTATATTTATAATTAACTTTAATTAATCGACTTATATTTTAGACGCGAGGTTAATAATGAAATATAAAAATATTATAGCTATACCTATACAAAAAAATTATCATTCATAAATGATTGAAATTAATATGAAATAATTTAAATCCACATAGTTCTTTAATACGATAGCAAAAAAACCGTTTTAACCGATAAGTTGTACTAATCGATACACTATGATATGTTAACCAATAGTTTTCAACCTGAACGTCACGGCTGCCTGGGGCGTCGTGATTTAGTATCAAGGAAGCCGCGTCAATAGTCAATATTATAGTAGAGTAACAGTAAATTTATATTTTTAATTTTTATTATTATCATTATCACTCCCAAATATTAAAATTCCTTAAAAGCTCAAATAGTTCAAAAGTTTTGGCTATGATACCGTAATAAAGTAAATCAAATAGGCAACGAAAAAAGTGTCATGTTATTTTTCGATTAAATCATTTTTCCTGGTAGAAAACGTCGTTCGTGTTTGTATAAAATAATGAAATCGTGAAATTGTACGTTTTCTTACGATTTTTTCTTACTTAAATGCTTTTAATTAAAAAATGGCATCAAAAATAAAAAAATGTTTTGTTTAAAGTACAATCTAGATAACTTGAGCTTTCAGAAAAGGTGCTATACTTATACATCAGAGCAAGTTTACTAGGAAAAAACGTGTTCACAGACTAAAACAAAGAACAAAGAAAAAAAAGAAATAAACAGCATTGTAAAACCAATAGCTCCCTCACTATGCTCGGAATCTAAAATATGTACTAGGTAGGTAATTAAAAAGTAACATCTTAATAAAAACGAAATTGTTTTAATTGCAGCTTTGAAAATGGGTAGCATTATTTTCTTGATTTATGTGATTATCTCAAGGAGGTACGAATACTTAAATGGTAAACATTGTAAATTGCGTTAATATATAGCTTAAAAAAAAAGTTTGAACGGATATGCACTTTTTTGAATATAAAATAATTTAATAATAAATTTAAAACTAAATATTTATTTGTATACATTTTTTAATTAACATCTACAAACCACATGATAATAATTGAAATGTGAAAGTGTTTGGGAATATTATAACTATGGGAATAGCAGTATAATTAGTACCTAAATTATTAGATTGTAAAGTACCTACCAAATTTACTCGTAAGTACGTTTTGTTTGAAAGTTTCTAAATTTAAATTCTGATTTTGACCTGGAATCTGCAGTTGGTAGACGATAAAATAATCTAGAATTCTGAATTAAAGGTACATTTGATTGTTATACCTAGGACGAAAGTAACATTTATGAATTTGTACAGTTAAACCTCATTGTTTTGAATGATACCTAGGTAATTAATATTTCTTGCTTTCGTGTTTTGAATATTTTATAGAATTCCAGACAGCAAAAATCATTAGTTTATTATATTATTTTCGTATTATAGAAAATATGTACTCTACCTACCTATCTCTATTGAGAATTCATGCACTTTCAACATAGAAAAACCAATTTTACGAAAATTAAAAATTAGAAATTACTAATTAATATCTTATCATTCTTATTGCTCGATTTTACAATTTTTGGTTTAACGCAGTAACGGATAATTATTTAGCTATAATTTACCTTTAACAATTTAGTTAACCTCATGAATCATACACACACACCAAGTAATGATTCACAACATTTTAAGTGTTCCAAAATTTGATTCTGTTATTTAACACTTCTGTTAGAGATGTTATCAATTCTAGTTGGACGATTTTATACAAATACAGAATTCACCGAAATCATTAAATTATTTTGATATTTGTAAAAACTTAAATTTTCTTAAATATTTCATAACAAGTAAGTATAAATGTAATGAATATGAACGTAATGTAAATTAATGAAATAACAAAAGTAGATGTATACATCGATTGTTTCTATTTATCACATAATAATATTATGACATTGTAAAACACGATTTATTTATATTTAGTCTGTCACTATTTGATTTTTATCGATAGATTATAATGATTATTGTTGACCTATTATTATACTTGAATATAATTTTTTTTACTTAGCACAAACATTTACATTATATTTTGCACAATTTAATGACCTCTTAAATGGAATATTCATAGTTAACAAAATGTAAATAATAATAAAATGTGTATAGTACAATTACTCACTGGCTTCTCCATGAATACGATGCAATAAAATACATCATATAATATATAATATACAAGTACCTAAATATTGTAATTTTCCTTTATTATTCTGTATTCAACTTATTATTTGAACTTGCTATTTTAACATATGCTTTTGAATTTGTATATATGTATTAATTAATGTTATAAACAAGATAACACCTGAGTCGTCACACGAGTTTTTAACTCAGTAAGGCCCAGTTATGTTTCTGATTCAAAAAAAAATAAAAAAATAGTATTCTATTTATTATATTATACCTTGTTAATAAATATTTTATAAAATTAAATGCATTATATAATATTATTTTGTTTTTTAAATTAATTACTATGAATTAATATAGCAGTATTGTAAATAAATAATCTAATAGTTATAATATTTTATATTACGAATATACCTATAACCTATATCCTATATTATACTAAGTGTCTTTAAAAGTTTTTTTCTGTTTACTTTCAGTATGTATACCTATATGATTATGTATATTATTGTTTTGGTAATGGGAATAACGAACACCTTAATAGTATTATGTCAACAGTTTATATTAGCAAATTCACGTATATGGTACGACCCTGTAAGCATACTATTTGTTGTGTGCAATTCAATAAAGTATGTATAGGTAGGCGACTATCTTAAAAGAGTACCTGTATGGCTGTATATATATGTACTTGTAAAGTAGTTTTAAAGTTATGACGAAGGAAATTGAATACAAATCGTGCGATATGCATGTATAGACATGGGTATTATGAGAATTATAATTGCATAATAAAGTCCTTATAGACGACACAAATTTCGCTCTAGTTCATCATACGCATAATACACAAGTAGGCAGTTACTATTGGTAGTTTGTTATGGAGTAGTGTAGCTAATAAACCCGACAAGTATCACGCTATGCTGGTTATGAACAGTCGGATTGTAGTAGCCTTCACTGGTGGTGTAGTGTTTGCGCGGTAACGGTCTTCTTTTTATATCACTCACGGGAATTCGATTTCATTAACAAATATTATTATTCCGTTCCTTATTTTTATTTAGTAAACTTAACTAATGTTTTCAACAGTTAAAGTTATTTTTAAATGTAATTTTTGATTAAATTTCACAATGACTTGTTCGGACAAGGGATTTACGAGGATTAATATCCTTTCTACGTGCAATAGATCGGTAGAAACAGTCAAACGCAAACGAATTTTTATATCAAAAAGGTAAAGTCGATTTACAAAGTTATTTTTTGTCACGGAATTTTATAAAATCATATTTATTAGATAAAAATATAATTTTATATTTAATAGAAGTATTTCCCATAGTATAATAATACTAATTAGATACTAGTAAAAAGACAAATTAGACTAAAATATACAAATCAATTATAGTTTTAAGGAAATATTAATACTCAACGATTTAGTTTTTTAATAGTGTTCTTGTATGGTGTTATTGTAAAATATTATAAAATAATAATAATTATCATTTAAGATAAGTAGCTAACCAGATAGTTTTTTTTATAACATATAGGTTTAATGTCATTTATAGGAATATACATATTTTAAAATAACAATTCAAATTATTACTATAGGTAATTTTAATAAATTGAAAATAAAAAAATGAACGTACTTATTTATTTATGTAACGAACTACAATTATGTAAAATCCATCATAGGAACAAAAGTTATTGAAAATTGTAAACAAACAAATTGATGTCGGATTTATTCTTAAAGTTTTTAATAATTTAATTTTGTTGAAATGCTGATAAATTCAGAGTAAATGTAAACAACATCCTGGCCTGTAAACACTAGACAAAATTAAATATTATAATACTCGTATATCCGAACGATTTTATTTCAAGATAAAATATATGAGTAGGTGTATTAATTGTTTTATTTATAATTTGAATTTATGTCGCATGTGCATATGATACAATTGTCATAAAATATTGCAATACTATATATTTATATGCAATTTTGAATTATATTATAATATTGTGACCGTTTATACGACATTAATGCCGGGTTACACTAAATATTTACATAGAGATGAACCTGATTATCTGGAGTTAAATAAATTAGGTTGTATAAACCATTTTTTAAATTTTATCCGGGGATAAATATGTTCTCTATCAAGAGTCAAATTACAGGCACATTTATCGTCATATAAAAATGTATATATAATTGAATTTCGTTATCAATGTTTTTGCATTACTATTTATTTGTTAACCAATATTTTGATAATTACTTGAATATAAAACAATGATTGAACAACACTCGTAAATTAAATACACGTTTAAACTTTAATTTATCAACCATTAATTTAATATTATCATAATATAAATATCCAACACTAAATTTATCAATGGATAATGACAAATTTGGTGCAACCGGATATTAATAAAGGTATATTTTTAAAATGAAAAAAAATCGAATTCAATAATTAATCAATAACTAATAATACCCATAACCGGCTGATTTATATGAAAAGGAAAGCGGTTGACCATTAAATTTGTACAAACAGATTGTAATTGTGTGGTAATAAACGTTATAATTATATTATAGTTTTATCGGTGTTACTTATTGTATTTTTTTTAAATTTATAAAACGATCGAGCACCGCTTTTCATACAAAATGTATTATAAGTGCCTCTCAAACAGACTGAATAATATATGTATATTTTTAATTTGATGCGAATATTATAAGATTTATTGTTTTATTTATTAAACATTCTAATCTTCTTCTGTGGTATTCAACCCTATAGTTGGTCTTACAGTCTTCATTCATATTCCCTCTATTCTTTCCTGTTACTGAACGAATCTCTTCGGGTCAATATAGCCCATTAATTAAACATTTCAATATTGTACAGCATTAGAAAATTGAATATTTATGTAACATTTTCATTGTGACGTGTATACTGTAAATTGTATAGATATTTAATTATACAGAGTACTCATATATATATATATTATTTCTTATATAGTTGATGGTGTGTTGTAGATAGTTTACGTCGTTTACGGTGTTTAGACCATGAAATTGTTGAATTATTTTAAGAAGTACATATAGTGGCATGATATATATTGTAGTTCGGACACATAAATTATCATACGAATAAATAAAATCGGTTGACATTTTTGTCCGGAATATTATTTTGTACATCATCTATTTTGCATATGTTAATATTCTAGATATTACAGCTGTATATTTAAATAGTCGTATGCTATTTTAATTAAATTTTTTATTGGATTCTCTAATTTGCATTATTTGGCATCAGATCAAATTAAATCTTATACAGGTACAGTTATTATATTTTTTTTAAAAATCAAATCTTTTGAAGATAGGAACATTTGCATGTACACCTATCCTACACATACAAATTTATAACATAAAATAATATTTGGTATCCCGTAAGAATTTTGAAAGAAGTCAAAAAAAAAAAATGATTTTAAACTAATTGTTTTGTTATAAGTCGTATTTAATTAGAATTTAGTATAAATAATTATTTAAAAAAAGTTTAAGTTTATGTTTCATAATAAAGTCATCATAATTTATTTATTTATTGATCATTAAAAATTAATAATAAACATTGCATTACAAACATTTTACCATTCATTATTCACCACTTACTGATCACCGTCAAACGTATTTATTCAAAACCACCAAATAAGAACTACTTAATAAATTTCACATTAAAATTTGTTTATCAAGTATGAACCCATAATTGTTTAAATTATATATTAAAATTTGTTTATACTTAACACCGATTATTTGATCTTAAGAATGAAGTTTATTCAAATTAATATATTATAATATTACTATCATACATTCAACCAACAAAAATTTCCTTCCCATTTTACAGACTTTTTGAACCATATTTGAATTGACAGCAGTGGCCAGTGAGAGATTTGTTTTCACAATACTTTCTTACTGCTGCTATCGTTTATTGAACAATTACAGCTAATACTTATTTATTTCATAAATCCTGTTTCACATGTATGGGACAGGCTAACATATTCATGGGCAATTGATAAACGATACAACGAAGCAAAATAATCCAATGTCTAACTTCACTAACTTAACACTACTGTAGTTGCCTGTACTCCGAGTCTTCCCGGCTCGATTCAAGAACCCAAGCCTGGAGGCTCATATTGCTCTTCCTCTTTAAGACCCGGTTAGTGAACCTGCCGGTAATTTTACATAGACTTAGGACTGTTTAGAACACCTAAGTATGTTTAAAAGTGTTGCAGTGAAATTTGACACTTATTCAATTTTTAATATGTTCACCAATTAACTACCTACCTACCTATTTCTTTTCACCAATTTTTTTTTTTTAAATTTTATTTAAGCTCCTTTCATTGTTTTATATAAGTTTTGCATTTGATTTCTTTTAATTGTTCAATCAATTAAAAAATATTTTGGTGAGTGGAATAAAATCGCGAATTGAGTTTTCTCTGAAACGATTCTTAATAGTTTGTTGTTCATTCTGATGTAGCTAAAAACCCTGTTCACATTTTTGGTGAAAAACCACAATCACTTTCAAGTACATAATCAAAAAAGGCCAAGATTTTCATTTACTTGTTTTATAACCATTGACTGACGAGAAATTATAAACAAACATAACCAATTTATTAAATATAATAGGAGAACTTTCCCAGACAATTTCCAGACATTATAGATAACCCAATAAAATATGATATGATTATAGATTTGTATAGGAATCAATTCGAACAGTCGGATGATGATAAGTAATTTGTATCGGGAACAAATTCCATATTACTCACTACATAATGGTACCTATATATTATTACGGAGACAAAAGATAAATAATACAAATAATATGGGTAACCCCCTTCCCATTCTATTAAGTCACCCCTGTACCTGAAGTTACATTAAATAAATTTCCCGACAATTTAGAAAGCCCCCTTCTGCTGAGGGACGTGCTATCCAGGTTGGAAAACACTGTTGTAAGTTTCTAATGTAAGGACCTTGATTGAGCTATAGTTGTCATAATATTTAACATGTTACATAATATGCATACCTAATGATTTTTTTTTTTATGAATACGTATTGTATATTTTTACATAGTACTACCTATAATTTGAAAGAGAATGATTTCTTTTAAATGAATACATTTATTGATTCAATTATTGTTCTTATGTAAAACATCAACGAAAAAAATTAACCCGTAACCTGTATTGGTCCTCGGTCACCCGTCGAGATGAAAATAAATAAATGTATGTAATATAGTTCAGGAACATTTCTATCTGCACTGTCATGCATCTGCAATCTACATGCTGAGTTATTGATGATTTCTTAGTTTAATTTTTACTAATTTTGACCATGAATTAAATTTATAAAAAAAAAAAATAGTAATTAAAAATATTTTGCTTTTTTTTTAGAACCAGTGAACTTATTGCACTTGTGGCAATTTCATCAACTTTATTTTTATTTATACACACCAGAGATTTGCATACCAGACTCAGATCATTACAATCCGTTACGAATTCAGCATCAACTTCAGGTAACATTCATTTTAAATTTAAAAAAACCTAGTTTTATACAAACTATACTCATAGTAAGTAGTTTATTATATAGGATGATTCATTCAGTATAATTACGTGTGTGGAGAGTTTTTTCTTACCCTGCATATATTTTGTTTTCTATGCAAATAAACTGCAGTAGGTACCTATCTCCGTACATTGTATCAATTCAATGTTTATACCGTTCAAGCAATGTAAAGGAAAATGTAATAAAATAATCGTTTGTTTGTATTAAATTCTGCAAGACATATCCGAACATTACATTTCCATACAATCATATTATTATAGAAACATATAGGTATTTGGTTTTATTATGCACAACAAGCTTTGTTCCCATTTTTACTTTTGAGGTGGTAATGGCGTCTCACGATTTATGTACAACGTTTACGAAAATATGCATTAAGCAATGTGTTCACGTACGAGACGGACAAGCCTGACAAAAGACCGTTTTTGTTCCGTCGCCGCTGGACGACTGACCATCATTAGTCGCGAGCGTTGTTTTAAAAAGCAGCAGTAAAGTAACAAATAAATGTGTATGTACATTTTTATGAAACGGGTATTATTGTATATGTCTCGTGCCCTACATTAAAAGACACGACATTTCATTATTTAAAAAAAAACCATATTTTTACTCGCATCGCACCGGCCTATTCAAAAATGAGTTTAGAAAAACCAACAAGACTTTCTCTTTTGTCATCTAGCCACGGGTTGAATATAACAGTCTGGAAATTAAAATAAATCATATTAATAAAAAAATTTATTCACATTTATAAAAAAAAAATTAAAAATTAATACAATTTATAAAGCCGTTCGATTGTTTAGTCAAACATTTGTATACATTATTTTATGAATTATACATATTATATTACACTATTACACTTTAGTACCCTTTAGGTACTAATACTGATGATGAACTTTTATAATTATTTTTTTTAAACTAACGTTGGCTTTTTAGCTTAAAAATCATATACGCATGATAAATTGCCTACTTTTTTGTGTACATGTGCTTTGTTACACCGATTATATAAATATATAATTTATATTTGGTTACACATTTCATAATTATTTTTTTAGTACTTACTTATTTGCATCACTATATTTTACGGCTATGAAGTAAGAGAGTGCGCGTCTCATCTATCTCAATGTATTCCTATCTATAATCATTATGATTAAGAAATGCAATATAATATTTATTTCCTTCAGTATTGTAATTAATAGTTAAATTTAAAGGCGTACAAAAAAAATTGTTCGGGATATTTCGATTTTTGAATTATAATTGATTATAGAATTATTTGTGAACTTTCTGTTCAATTTTCAGATATTTTATTTTAATTCAAAATATCTAAACAAATTACTGATATTTTCTAAATTAATTGAACCAGAAACCAATAATATTTTCAAAATGTATACCACATTTATCAAACATCAAATTAATAGATCATCTTAAGTTTCAAGTGCCATTAAATATTTTCTGAATTACAACAACATTTGATATTGTTGTAGATTTTATTGGTTCGTATCAGATTGTTCGTAATTTATGCTTAAATTCTAGACATTTTATAATAATTTTATAATTAAACTAAAATTAATTGGCAATTTGTCTTTTTTTTAAAAAATAGACAAAGCATATAATTGGAATTATAATTGAAGAACTTTTTAAAATCGAATAAAAAATAAATCATTGCTTACATATATACATGAAATTCCTGTCTATAATTATTCTTGTCTTAATTATATCTATTAATAAACGATAGTAGTGGTGGGGCAGCAATGTTAAAAACTAATCACTCATTGCTGTAGGTTAATTCGTAAAAAAAAAAAATTTCTGTCTTTATCCTATATTTTCCTAACTTTCCACCTACAACAGTCGCTGCACCCATGTGCGAAGTATGTCTGTCTTTTTTTTTTCGTAGGTACTATGTGGATATAATTGTTTGACCAAACTGAAAAAAATGCTTGAAAATTAAACAGGAGATTCATTATAAGTTGTACTTAGTAGTAAACAAAAAGTATACAGTGTAGTATAATAGTAGTTTTAGATTCTGAGTGGAGCGAAGAAACTTATGGTTTTACAAAGATATTTATTTATTAATTTTTCTTTTTTTATCTGTGCGGAACTTTTCTACCAAAAAACTTGCTCAGATTTCTAGTGTATCAATCTTTCTAAAAGGAAATTTCACTAGCAAAGTACTTAAAAAGAGGTCATTTTTCGATTTTACTGAAAGTTTCTCAAAAACCCCCAAAAAACATAGGAAAACCGGGTAAAACATAAATCAGTACAATATTAAACAAATATTATTAAAGAAAATATATAAACCCTATTTAATTATTTTACTATAAAATGACATCTATATTTTTAACAAAGCTTCACTATCAACTGAACTCCGCTCAGAATCGTTTTTTTGTAAGTAATGGTACATCGTTGCTTACAGGTATACATTAAATTATCTATAGCAGTGGCTGCACTCATTCCCATTGTCCTAGGATAATGAATTTTTGACTTGAATTACAACAAAAAATCAAATTAAAAATAATAAAAGCATTATTTTCATAAATTTTCCTGTATTTCCTACGTTTATTTTATAATGATTATTATAAAAACTGTTTGTTAAATCAAAAAATGACTTTCTTAAAATACCAACTAGATAAAATTAAATTTTAGAAAAAGTATTACACTTTATACTTAGGAGCAAGATTTCTTAATTAGATTAGAATTTCTGTACACAGTAAAAAAAAATTTTAAAAATAAACATCATTGTAAAACCAATACATTCTTCGCTCCGCTGAAAATCTAAAATAATAGAATACTTCATGTAGAAACTTAATAATAAAACCAAGACAATAACTGTCATACTTTTTTCTTATAGCATAAAAAACTAAACAAAATACTTATACTTAACAAAACTTTTATTAGAATAACATATTTTCATTAATAGCCCGATCCTTAATTCAATACAGTATTATAGTTTGGGGAAGCATAAATTATAATTATAACAAAAATAAGCAATATTTTTTATTTTTAAAAATAATGTATTTAAAACAAAAAGTCAAACATATGTACCTAATTTAAGAAAAATAATTTTGAAATACCATTCGTAAACACCAAACAGCTTGAATGTCTTGCATACATGTTGTATTAAGGTGTCTAAATGTTATTTCAAAATAATTACTAAATTGTTCAAATTATTCAAATTTGAAATATAAAACTTAAATGTTGATTTTACAATAAACTGTAAATAATAAAAACAAAAATTCAAAACAATTGAATTTCTAAAAAAAATGTTGTATTAATTTTAATTAATTTTTAAGATTCCTGTACTAAACTAATTCACTCTTATTATATTCACTTTTTAACTATTTTAATGTAGATTTGTTCTTATTTTCTTATTATCACTATAATTCTTTACAATTTGTTTTAATAGATAAAATACTCATTGCTTTTCGATACATGGATATACCTCAGTGTAGAGTGATTTCTAATAATACTTCTCCATATTTTCCGTACTATGTATATTTCTTACATCTAGAATAAATAAATGATATTATTTATTATAAAAAAAAATTATAATTAATTTTAAAAATATGAAAAAATTGTGGTTGCATTGGAAAGGAAAAAATAATAAATAGTTTTTTTTGGAAATCTTCATATAATTGTATTCATTGTTTTTATTCGTAGCGTAGTAATATTCTCCCATCATCTCCAATTTATACAGTTATACCAAGATAATTTATTTATCTAGTATAAAGATCCGTATTATAGAACAATATAAAATAAAATTTTGATCCAAAAAAAAACCTATAAAATAAAACTAATTTTTGCTTTACGGATCATATAAATTGTTCTAGATCCCCGATGCAGGTAAATAATCATGTTTTATTCAATATCATAAATAAGTTGGTAATAACTTTTAGTTTATATAATATATAATGAGTTCGAACAAATTTCATACATGTAAGAATGTGAAGTATAATGTCTGAACGTATAATATTAAATGATTTAAATTTAAACAATGTACTTGTATTTGCTTGGATACAATTTATTGTTAGATAGTATCCACCTGACCACCTACTTACCTATAATAGGTATAGGCACGTTTTCAAACGATAAGATTCTTTTTATACAGTACCAACATTTTTCCTTAAAAGCAATTATCTAGAACATTTCATAATTTAGCAATTGTACATGGATATTATTTTAGAAAGGTTATTATATTTTTGTATTTAAGAAATATACAATTACCTATTATATTTTGTACCTTTTTATTTCTATCTATGTATCTACTTACTTATAGTTATCTCTCCGTCTCCCAATTTTTGTCCCCACGATAATACAAAAATAATGCCCATCATGCACGTAAATATATTATTATTTATGTGAATACCTGTAAAATGATCTTACTATAGTAATAGAGTTTCCCTTTATTATTATATACCTATTTGGTTATATTTCGATCGTTATTATTTATTTTAAAATAATAATCTTAAACAGTTTAAGACTGTAACGGGGTGAGCAGTGGCATAAATAGGGAAAAACATCAAGGGAGACATAAGCCCTTGTCGGTAATATAAGAAGCATATTATGCAATGGTTTATTTTTTCTTGGTATTAGATGACAAACCTGAGATTGCCTCAGTCGAGGTACTTGCATAAATATAGGTATAGATACGAGTACAGTTCATTGCATCATAAGAACCAGTAAATCTATGCAAAATGTTTCTATATCGAAAAAATTCATTGTAAAATTGTTTGTAAATTTAAATTTTAAGCAAACTGTAGTATGTTCTAATGTAAATGAAGTGTTATTCTAGAAGCCGGTAAAAAAAATGTTATTCATTAATATAAAACGCGAGAAAACAGCAAATTGATCATTGCTGAAATAATATTATGAAATATAATACAGGGTGTCCCACGAAGATATACCCACTGTAATATCTCCGGAGACAATAAAGATAATCATACTATATGTTTTTTAAATTACTGACAGGGATAAGGACTACAAGTATTTAATTTTATATTTCAATACTTTTTTTATGTTTTGGTAAAATACTTAAATAAATGGCTTTTTATTTTATTGTTTCTGAAAAATTTGAAAATACCCGTTTTATAGAGTTTATTCTTCTGAAATTTTTAACATATTAACTTTTTATTTTTATTAAATTCATGATTTTTAATAATTATTTAAAGTTCAAAGAGAAGTACTAATAATTATACAGCAGGCTATATAATAGCATTCACTTATTAATTATTATTATTATGGCTAATTAACTATACACTTTTTTTTTCTGAACTTAATTAAATGAAATTATTAAAAATCACGAATTTAATCTTCGTGGGACACCTGTATATATATATTTTTATGTTTAGACGAAATGACGAATTGTTTTATACATTTATAATATGATTGGTTACTAGATAATTTATAAAGAATTAAGAAAACAACTTTTCTATATGATGTATGATGAGGATATTACCTAAATTGAACAGTATAGCTTTGATTTTATTTTTTATTTCATCGTTTTTGTGAAAGCAAAATTAATTTAAGTCGTCCATTACATTTAAAATATTATATTACTTTATAATACTCGAATGAAAAATAAATCATTCTTTCGTTCACGCCAACGGTACCTTAAAAATCGCACACATTTCCGAAAATCGTAGAGAGAAAGTTGGCGGTCATTGCCAATGGTGTCCTGCAATTGCCATTGACCTCTGACATGGTATCGCCACAGGTAAAATACAATATGTGTGTTATTATACTATTATATATATTTTTCAACTATCGATTTCAAATGGCATAGGATATATATATACATTTATGAAGAGAGAGATAAGATTTTTTTCTAACGGATCTTCATCAGGTAAAACGTGATATACCCACTTATATTGCCTTTAAGTCGAATATTCACTAGTAATATATATAGGTATATAATTTTATTAACTAAGTACTATATATATTTATAGTGTTTAATGAATAATCTGGTCAATTAAAATAATAGAAATGTATAGTCACCTAGGGGAGGTTTACAAAAAATGAAAATAAATAATTATTCTTTCCTTTATAAATTTGAGTCAAAACTATTAAATCACAAACCGTATTGATTTGTTTAAATTTTATCATATTTGAAACCGAAAAGGTTTTATATAGATTTTTAAACATAGACATTAGGTATAGCCGGTATAGGTGTCAGCTATTTATATTTAATTTTATCAACATTCAGTTATCCTTAAAAATGAACAATGATAAAATAAATACAACTATAACTAGTTTACATCATATACCTACCATAAGTATAATATGGTGTATTCATATAGATATCTATACTCGCGTGTAGGTATCCACTTCAAATCATTCACATTCAATTTTATAATATATTGTCTCAAAAACTTATTCAAATTTGTTGTAGTTATATTTCAAGACTAAATCACATGAAAGCATTTACATTTACATTCACTTTTTTTTAAATCTCAATGTAATGACCGTTTCGAAATAATAGCCCAGATTGTATGTATACACAAATATGTTTATATATGTTCATCCTATCCTCTCTCTATTTGAACTGAACCATTGAGATGCTTACGTAGTCAAGTGCAGGTCTACTTGAATTTGACGTTAAGATTATACCTACCTACAACCTATTATGCTGTCATGGCGTCACGTTTGAACAATACGATGGTATAGGCAGTATTATATTATTATACATATAGATACCTACTACAAGAACATTATTAATAAAAGGAGTATTTATTTTGTAGTATATAGTAAGAAAAGAATATTACAACACAATATTTCTATATACGAATTGGTTATAAATTAGAGCTGTACCCATACAATATATGTATAATATATTAGCTATTGTTTCAATGTTAATAAATAATAACTTATTGTAAAATAAAAAAGAACATCAATATTTTGTTATACTTGCTACACAACTACTGTAGTAACGCACGATGAAAAATGATTCTTTAATTTCATTCATAAACTATATCAGAACGGGTAAAAATTATTAATTGCCTAATAATATATTAAATTAAAAAGCAATGCACACCTTGGTACTTAAAGTCTTGGCGAGTGTGTTATTCTATCACAGTTTTGGACGAATAAAAATCCACAGAGGTGATTGCCAGACTGCAAGCAATGCCAGCAATGTATGGATTATTGATTATATTATATTTTTAATTAGATTCATTATATTATGGATGTATGGATTGAAATAATATAAGTTGGATTGAATTTCAATATGAATTAAACACGTCTTTAGGGATGTATTCTCAATTCGACAAATCCGCCCCCTTGTACACGTGCTTGCTACCGATGTGTATATTTATTATAGTCGTAAGAAATGATTAAAATTAATGATTCGTTACAAACGATCACGATTAAATTGCCTATACCTATCAATTTCATTTGAGTTTACATTGTTATACTATAGTGCGAAATGTGTAGACGCGCGCATTGTGTAAAATTGATAGGTTTTTCTTTCACGTTACGTATTATCATATTGTATAATATTATGTAATAATTATTTTATATTACCTATGAAAAATCATAATAATCATAAGTGTATGTATAGACATTAGATACCTATAGAAGTGCTACGCGTTTAAATTTATGATTCTATTAATATAATATATTTTAATAAAAGTGTGTATAAATGCAAAAAGTAAGAGTTAAAAATTATCTTTTATGCATATAAAGGCATGCTCCAAAATGTATAGGTAAGTACCTTAAAAATATTGTGATATGCTTTCATATTACCTATAAACTGTATGCATAATATTATATGAACAGAGGAAGTTATCGAACCGTGTCATACGTTGATTTACTCTGAGTTTGGCGAACTCACACGAAAAATAGCAATTCTACATTCCGTAAATATACAATATTTTTCTTTAAACCGTCATCCAATTACACGGATGTTATCATCTTTAAATTTTGATAACAGGCCAATTATATTTACTCTGATAATAAAAATAATAGAATATTGTATATTTGTATCAATTATACACACATGTACCTATAACATACATATTTTATATACGTGCATCTGACAAATGTGTGACAGTATTCTTTTTGTACTTTTTTTTAATAGATTCATACAATTTATAATATATAAATGAGGATACACAGTTGTTTCTGTTAGAAATCTCTAGAAGAATTGAAATGATTTTCTTGTAAAATATCTGTACCAATATATTTTCAAAAAAAAATTAACAATAATAACATTAGGTTTATAATTTATAAAAAAAAACAATACAAGTTAGTCAAATTTAAATATATAATGATATAGATGAAATATTTGAGTAAATAACATTTTAAACAATTGTATATATATATATACAGGTTGTCCCACGAAGATATACCCCTTTAATATCTCCGGAGATAATAAAAATAATCAAATTCTGTTTTTTATATAACTTACAAGAATGAGGACTACAAATAATTATATTTGAATTACATTTTTTTAGTAAAAAAATTTAAAAAATAATTTTGTATTTTATTATTTTCGAAAAATTTTAAGATAGTCATTCTGAAGTTTTTTTTTTAATTTTGATGGATTAGCCATTTATATCCGATGAAAAGTAATGGTATCTAGGGAATAACCTAACCGCGTTAACGTCGGTTTTCACACGGATTAGTAGAATTTAAAACGGCTGTTACTTAGAAGCTATTCATCAGATATAAATGTGTTATAAGTATATTAAAATGTTTAAAAAATAATAAAATAAAAAATTATTTTTAAATTTCTTTATTAAAAAAAAAAAACTAATTCAAATATAAATATTTGTAGTTTTCATCCCTGTGAGTAATATAAAAAAAAAAAAAAAACAGAATTTGATTGTCTTTATTATCTCCGGAGATATTCAAAGGGTATATTACTGTGGGACAGCTTGTAAAGATTATAGATACTTGCACGTTATACTTTCACATGGATTACAATTTTACTTTGTGTGAATCCGACAATAAGTTTAAACCGGACCTTAGTCGATAGTATATATACGGTATACTACAGCATTGTATTCGTAATTTTCTAAATTGTTACCTATACTGTCTATGTCTAAATGGTCAATTGTCTGCCCTCAATTGTCCCGAGCTCATTTTTCCGTGTTCAAGTATCAGAACTTTCCCAAGAAGATTATTATACCTTTACTATTTTAAAACGGTATATACGTAAATAGAAGTCATGCGAAAACTCTCGATATCGTATGACTGAAATTATACGAGTAGTATATCTACCTAGTTTGTTTAAGCGAGACACCAATATCTGCACTATACAGCAAACACAGGTATATACGGTTATAATTAATAACATTTATAATATGTTGTATCTTATTTTTAACCTTATCTACCTACATAGGTTTATTAACGTTTATATATTTAATACTTTTTTATAGTTTGTTACCTATGCATATAGTATTGTTATTTTAATGTAAAAACACGCGAAACTATCATATTTTGATTGTTTTGATTTCAATTGAGATATACCTAGGTACTTACCTACTTATATAATATTTGAAGACTATCCGTGACTGAAAATGGTATAATAAGTTGTCAAATTATATGCGACCTTGGTGTTTAATACCGTGCAGTATACTTATTACTATTATAATATTATGTCCAAATCGTATACATAAAGGTTTACTTTGTATTGTTTATAATGTCGAATAAAAAAATGACATTTAAAATGAAATCCGTCGTAACAAACTTAATTTCTGTATAATAATATGTAATAAGAGTATAATATTTTAATGACGAGATCAGAACACTTAGTCACTTAATTGGTCACTTAGTTTTTGAAGACAGTTGGCCTTTAATAAAAATAACCAATGACTTTATCAACGAATCTTAAGTTAAATAATTATAATACATTGCTTTAAATAAAAAACAAATATAAAGTCAAAAAAAAAAAATATATTTAATGGCAGGAAATGACGAATAAGGTTATATATGAAAAAAAAAAGACCAGGATATAAAATATGTCCGAAGTATACGTATAACTTGGTCTTAGTACCAATAATGATGTAAAATGTATACGTTCATAACCAAAATGTAATAGCATTAAAATACTATAGCATACGAAATTAATTTTAGTTTAATAAGTTCGTACTTTGGTAATTTGTTAAATACAGTTTTATACTTCACGTATCATATATTGTCATGTGTAAGTCTTTATTACCTGTACCTATAAAAACATATTATGTTAGGTATAGGTATGTTGTTTAAAAACTAGTAAATTTATCCAAGTGGCCTACATACAATTTTATTTTAGCAAAACAGTACCTATATGAATATATATATATATATATATATGGATATAAATAGATACATTTTCTTAAAATCAGGTTAGAATAGTTAAAATTGTGGCCAATTAACAGTTCCATGAATAAAACGAGAGATAGATTTCAGGGTGAAGTGACTGAATACTGTGATGTAGGTACTTACAAATGTAATTACTAATGACATTTATGAACTATATTAATAATACAATTATGCAGGATGTTATGTTACTTAACTCAAAATATGCAAAATTTCTGTCCGGTGGACCTTTATTTGAAAAATTTATCGAAATTTCAACAGTTCCTACCCGAGGTACTTTTAGATTGATTTTACAAGAGATATTTATTTTTTTTATTTTTTTTTTCTATGTTAACACTTATTCTTCCAGAAAGCTTACTACTACATAAATGATGCAGACCCTTTTCTGAAAAAAAATTTTCGGGGGTGATACTTTAGAACTTAATTTTTCGATTTTTCAGAAAAAATCGAAAAAAATCGAAAAAAAACGAATAAAAATGAAAAAATGTACGAAATTTATTAGTAATATATTAGTAAAAAATTTTTTTCTGTGGGCAACTTTTCCACCACCAATTTTACACCGATTTAAAATGATAGTAAGTTTTTTAAAAAGAAATCTGACTTGAGAGGTACTCAAAGAGATCATTTTTCCATTTTCTCAAGAGTTTTCCCAGCAAATGTGAAAAACCGAAAAAAACATAGAAAAACCGAGAAAAACGGGCAAATCAGTACATTATTAAACAAATATTATTAAAGAAAATATATAATTCTTATTTAATTATTTTATCATAATATTAGATATAAATTTTTGACAAACCATCACTATCAACTGAACTCTGCTCAGAATCGTTTTTAGTAAGCAATGGTTTATCGTTGCTTACAGATACAAATTAATTTCCCCTCTATATCCTACCTTCCTAACTTCTTACCAACAACAGTTGTTGCACCTGCACCTGCCCCCATTATTCTAGGACAATTTTTTTTTGTTTGATTTTTATTAATTTATGGGTTACCCTATTTATGACAACAAGAGAAAAAATATGTCTGATACTACTCCCGCTCAGAATCGTTTTTCGTTTACAATGGTTTATTGTTACATTTATCTGTGAAATTAATTACCATGTGTATCCAATCTTTTCAACTACCCAACTGCAATGGTGACAATAAGCAGTATCAACATTTTTCTAATGTTAATGCATTACGCGATGCTTATAAAATGGATGGGTATAATTATGATCTTTCTAACGAGTTTGTTAATTACTCATTCACACAGAATTTGATAATATCACCTATATTTACTATAATAAGTAATAAGCCATGATATATGATAATACACATTTAAAAATTACGTTATTATTAGGATAAGGTAACAAGTTAGACGTTAGTACCTACTATAGGAACTATTTTAAAAATCTAGTTAGGGGTGACATACCGTGCAGTTGTTGTCATAATATATATCATGCTCGGATGCGTCGACAATTTAATTACAGGTATCACGGTAATTGTCAATTTTTGAGACATTTAGGCCGACGATTATTTGGTGTTATTCGTTTAACTGTAGAAGTGTGGAAAAAAACTGTAATTTTACAAAGACCTTAATAATTTTAATGTAGCACGAAACGATGGTATAGGTAGGTACCATGTGTACTGCAGTAAATATATAATATTATATGAAATGAGACGAATAGTAGAAAAAAAAATATATGCAATTGTTATGGCGAAATGAATTATATTATTATAATAGTAATGTAACATTCGTACATCAATTTCGCGATTGTATGAATTTCACGGTTTCATAAGAATTAAAATCGAATTCACATCTTTAACGGGATGTTAAAATATTCGGACTTAACTATTTATAGTGTTGCTATTCGTATAACATATAATATATTTATATGATTTTAATACGGTATTTTTTTTAATAAATCTGTTTTTTTTTTTTTTTTTTATAGGTGATTCTTCTGCCATGGAAAACGACATAGACAATCTCATACCACACGATGAGGTAAATAGCGTTTCGAGAATATGTAGCAACAAATAATATGGATCTGATAGACCAATGTACCTATTTATAAATATTTAATAAAAGTGTCCTATTACATAAATATGGTACACTATACTTAAATCAGTATCTATACCGTTATTTTGTCTATGTATCTATTTACCGATTTAAAAAATAAAAAACAAATATTGTCAACTATGAAAAATTAATACAAGGAAAAGCTTTCTAAAAAAATATAATATATATTAGACGACCAACACAAAACAAACATGATTAATTATATATCTTACATACTATATACCACTTTCTGCCTATAGTTAAACAGATGCATAATAAATTGCCAAATCGTTCGGGAAAAAAAATATAGGTTTATCTCAAAAATAATATACCTATAGGCGAACTAATTTACCATCTCCGCAAATATAAGTCAACATTATTATTGACTATTTTTAAAAACTTTCTAAATGTCACAGCGTACAATGTGAATCAGCGCCAATGTGTAAGATTAATAAGTTTAAAATTTTAACCGAACAAAAACTCCCTCATTTGGTTAAAATACATATTATTATAATAGCTGGTTTTATCTTGATGGGGGGGGGGGTTTGTTTTATGACCTAAAACGTTTCTAACGATACAATGTACTACCATTTATTAGCATTTAAATGCAAAACCAATGAATTATATTAATTGCAAAAAGTATTTATTATGGTGCTTTATGAAGCATTGTTACAGTTAATCATTGTCTGTAGAATATGGTGAAATAAGTGGCTATATACATTTTAATTTTTTTTTTTTTTTCCGTAATTCTACTAATTCAAACACACAAACATAACTATATTATAGACTTATAGTGCGCAATTCTGCTATTGTTTTTTAATCATACATTTATTTTAGATTGGGTATAAAGATTTTTTTGCATGAAAAATGTGCACGCGTTTTTACTGTTATTCAAAATATCGTTAATCGAAAAATTAATAATGAATTTTTCACTCCACTAAAAATCTAAAACAAACGAAAATTGTATTACATTATTAGTTTTTTGAATAATTCTTGCACAATCATGTATTCGTAAAAATAACGTTATTGTGAAATTTAAATATTAATCAATAATATAATATAATATAAAGAAAGTGAAAATTTTAAGAAATCTTATTTAGGTAAAAATCAATATTTCTACGGAAGCAAATAATATATTATAAGAATAAGTAAATTAATCAAACTCGTGGCTGTCTAATATTATTGACTGCTGTAAAAAAATATAGCCTTACCGTGAAATCGATAGGTAAATCGATTTTAGAAAAAATTACTTTCGTTCGTTTTTTTTTTTATTTACTTTTTTTATTTTAATATAGAATCTGTTATTCGTCTAGAACAATTTCTACTATATAGATATTAATCGGTAATTTCAAAAATGACATAAGCCACATTTAAATGAATAAAAAAAAACTTCTTGTTAAATTTGATAATTATATACCTATGTGGCTACATAGTTACGTATTCTATGAAAACTACATTTTTCAGACATAATAAAAATAAGAAACTAGAATCGCTGCAAAAACAATTCATCATTAATGATTTGTGTAAAATTTCAATTTTATGACTTGGGTCGTTTTTCAATTAATTTCAATATGAAGTTGGCGAATTTAAATTGAACTACCTGCCTAATAAACATTTTAAATTCTAAAACTACCTATAATAATTTAATTTCGAAATAATCAATTCAAATAAAATAAGTACATATAATGCGGATCTATAAAAACTGAATAAAAAATATAATACTATTTACATACGAGCGTGTTGACATTTCATTGGAGTTCGGGATGTCTCGGATAAGATATATTTCGTAAGATTAGTGTGAGCGGGAAATCGTGTTAATTTGGAATTAAAAATAAAATTTATTTTAATATAAGTAGGTACCTAATTATTTTGCTGTGTGTGCTGTGTGAAAATCATATTAGATATACATAGCATATAGGTAGTAAAAATTGCATTTACTCCATATATATAATATATCCGTACTTGATCTAAATGTATACATTTTATGACATTATAAACCTATATTAAATATTTTTTTTAATTAACAACGTGTTATAAATGGTTTTTATTCACGCACGTTTTTTTTTTTTTTTTTTTTTTTTTTTTTAAGAAATTAGAAGCATATACTTTGAACAATACAGGCCGGGTGAAAAAAGAGTTGATATTTTTCAACAGAGTGCCAAAAGTGGGCAGTCAGACGTTCATGGAAATATTGAGATTGCTGTCGTTAAGAAATCAGTTTGTATTTTATCAGGATCACGTGCAAAGGGTCGAAACCATTCGTCTGGCTGAAACCGAACAAGTGAATATATATTGTTATAAGAGTTGAGACCTATACGAAATCACATTTACGCGTATATATTATTACAAATTTTGAGAATTATAATGAAATTGGCTTTTATGGGTTCTAGTCTAACTGGGACATAATATTGGTAGGTAAAAAAAAAACTTGACTAATTTTGTTTTAATTAGGCAGGTTTTAGTCTCTTTAAAAAAAAAAAAAGAAGCTATAGCGATATAATGTATTATATTATTGTTATGCATACGATACTTTTGTGTATCGATAAAAATATTTATATTTAGTGTATTTTATTGGAAATATATTGTTTCGCAAAAAGTAATATAATATATAATTCGACTAGTTATACCTATATTTATTTATTTCGATGCAAATAAAAAAAAAAAAAAAGGAAATACTTAATACCTACTTAATAGTTAAATAGAATACATATACGAGTACCATACTAAATTATTATTATTTTACCACACTTTATGATACAATATTATAAATTCGTTATACGATTAATATCCGAGTATATAAAAACTATTAGGGTTATTAATTTTGTTTCCATACAAATGTATTATATTTATAATCATATTTTCGTAATTAGGCATACCTATAATATCGTGTCACGCCTGTACGGCCCGACGGACATTCGCATAGTGTTTATTCAATGTACATAGTTTATACACATAGGCACAATTAGGGAGGTTGGAGGGGCTAAACCCCCTCAAAAACATTAAAATCCCTCCAAAAACATACGAAACTTTATATCATTATATTGATAAATAAAAAAAAAGCAATATGTGATAACTACTGAAAAAATAAATAACAAAATATATTTTTGTTTTTTTTTTTTTTTTAGTAACGCAATATTATAATCACGGTCTTAGATACGTATAGACCGTACTTATAATAGCGCACCGCAGTTGTTTATCAATAAATAAAATATTATCCCCGACTATATTTTATATTTCCGGTCAGTTTGGCTACTTGTGAACGATCATTTACTGCAATGAGAAGAATTAATAACTACCTCAGATCTAATAGGTCACAGGAACGGTTTTCGAAATTGGTAATTCATAATATTAAGAGAGATATTATTGTTGATATTGACATTTTTTTAAATACACTTGCTAAACGAAATAAAAATAAAAAATATAAAATGTAGAAAACTATATTAAATTTGTTACCTATACTTTTAAGTGAATTATTGCTTTATTTTTTATTTTTAAGTATTACCTTCCAAAACGAAATTTGTATAGAGGCTAAAAACTTCTGAGAGGCAGTGATTGAAAAATATATAGGAGGGACTGAAGCCCTCTATATTGTTTACTCTAATTGTGCCTATGTTTACACACAAAGCTGGGCAAGTTAACCAATTTTTTAAACTATTTTAAGTTAATTAATTCAAAAATAAAAAATAATAATAATTAAGCCAAGCTAAGTTAATTTTAAAAATATATAAACGGATTTGAGTAGGTAGGACATAAAGGTTTATACTAAGTAGGTAGTAAAAAATCACTAAACACATTTTGAAACAACGAATATAATACTATTTTTTCTTCGACACTTGAAATATTAATTTCAAAAAAACTTTCACTCTACTTAATTTTTTTTCTTCTTACAAAATTCAGATTCACAATCTGACATAGTATGTATTTCAGATGGTGTTTTTAAGTTACTGCCTCATATACAATAATATCATACAACAACAAAACGGTTTGCATACATTGCAGAAAAAAAGCAATTCATTTCAATTTAACTTCCAAACACTTCATACATTTAGACTATAGGTACCTATAGTTATTATACTTTCTTACAAACACTAGAACTGTTCATTATAATATGTAGGTAGGTGTATAATAGCAAGTCTTGTCGCGGTGTAGAGTAACGAGATTTTAATTAAAACGAAATCTAATCTTGTAATATTATTATAATATATTAAAATTAAGATTTTGAAAAATTGGATTTAATAACAAATTACAATCATTACATGATAATTTATTAATAAATATAAATTCAACGTATCTGTACGAAATCCAAATGTATAACAACTTACACTATGAAGAAGCACGCGCCACTACACTATAATATATGTTATGTACTAGATAGATGGGTGGATAATAATATAATATTATAATATATCTATATTATAATGTTAAATATCTAGGTACGGTATTGTTTTTTTTTTTATTTGAGTAAACGTAATAATTTTAGTCTGCATTCGAAATCGGTACGCCTTTTTTAATAATAATTAAAACATTATTAGAAAGGAACGAAAATTCTAATTTTAAAATGCATGAATGTATAATGTACTATTTTGTTCAAAAAGTATGTTAAACCCATCGTTTAATTAAATATTAGAAGTGTAAAACTATACGATGTGAACAAGAATTTATGTTCGCATTGTGTTATAATAAGTAGAATCCGTAACGTTTTTGCCCGAATAAATAGTTAATTTAAAACTTTTCCTTTTTTATTATGAAAAAAAAAAATGATAGATTATAATATACGAGTAGCTGGTACTTCTATTATACATATATTTTTTAAATTAAATATTAAAACATATTATACCTTATATATATTATATATTTTTTATGTTGTACTCGGTAGAGCGCCAAAGAAATGATATTGCGATAAACATTAAATTGTACACCAGGTATTCCATATAATATTTTGATGAAACTATAACTAATTCAAACAATGTCTATAATTTCGTAATAATACAACTATAGCTGGTGCTCGTTAGTTTTTATGTAATATAAATTATGCGGTATGGATACACACAATGAATTTACTAACCGCAAAAAAAAGTAATGTGGAAGTTAATTATTTGTAGGTTAACGTCAGAATAAATAATTGATAGTTGATATTAAATGTTAATTTATTTGAAGACAATAACCGAATAAAGCCAGTGGCGTCATTTGGTAAAGGGGGGGGGGGGTAAGGTGCAGCTGTGCACATGCCCCTGTCTGATATAAAAAGCAGCCCGTTCAATAACGGTTGAATCCGTATCCGTTCAGAATCGTTTTTTCGTTAGCAATGGTTGCGTACAAATATACATTAAATTTCACCTCTACCTTCCCAAATTTTACCTACAACAGTGGCTGCGCCCGTCCACATTATCCTAGGACAGCTTTTTATAATTTGTAACTTACATTATTATTACAATTTTAGTTTGTACCAATATAAAAGAGGCTAACATTTTTAACGCATCCCCTCGTGTGAGGAATTGTTGAAAAGGACTTTTAAAATTCTATAAATATTTGTATGCGCATAAATATATATCCCGACATACCTAAAATAGCCACTTAAGTTGATCAAAATATGCCCTTCTCCATTTGTGATAAAAAAATTCAAGCTCTTCAAAAACACTTTTAATGACATTTATTTTGAATAAAACATTAACTAGTCATTGTTTTTGGAAATAAATCAAAAGCATCGTATCTAGTGAATTATTTTACGATTGGCATATAACGAAATTCATTCACTTATTATTATTAACTAGTCATTCTAATTTGTATTTATTTTTTTTGTAATTGTCTACACTTGTACCATTTTCCATTGTTTTTGTCGTTGGTGTCTCTGATACGATTATTTATTTCCATCATATGGCAATCCTCTAAGTGAAACGCATCATGGAGCAATAATTGTAAATTGGTTAGGGTTTTCATGGTTTTGTACTACACACAATTATATAAATCACATTTTAACTTGTACAGTTGTTGGTACCTATATATAATTTTAATGTTTATCAGATTTTATTACATGCACCATGTGACTATATAGGAATGCAGGTAATTTTTATATACACGTATATTTAAATCCGGTGTTTTCCAAACTTTCAGGCACTGCAAACTACTTTAGATAACACATATGGGTCCAATGACCTAACCTAATGGTTGCTGACCTCATATCGATTTTAACGAGACCTTTTTTTCTCTCGCAACTTCTTTTTTTTGTTTTATAGCAAGTTTATCAGATCTGTTTTGTTGCTCGTAATTGACTTCGCAGATAAGTCTACGGACACACAGAATTGGAAAACACTGATTTAAAATTAATTACTTGTAAATACATTTTTTTGTATATTTACAATATAATTAAAAATTCATTGTAGTGAACAATATTGTAAAAAGGTCAACAAATTTAACGAATTTGTCTACTAAGTATCAGATTGACTATCAAAATGTATTATTATTAGGTTAAAAAACTATAAGCTTTAATATAGTGCAAAAAACTGTCTAAAACGAAACTATACAATAAGGAACTGCGTTGATAATTTCCGTTAATTGCAGAGTTCTGTTTTACAGAAGTTTAAATACGTACATGTGCGTTTCAATTTTGGAACCACTTAAATTTTCGTTATGTTTAGGGTCCGTGTTAGACCGGTTTTATTACATTTAAATAAAATATAAATTATTATTTTATTCGAACCACATTAATGGTTTTTTTTTTTTTTTTAGTACCTAATTATTGAAGATCGACAATAGATTAATATGTCAAATACGACAATATCAGATTCACTGCAGTAATTTCAATACATATTTGTTTGTATTTTTTTTCCGTAAATTTCTATAGGTACCTAGTATATACAAATCACAATGCACGACCTAGTTTTAAATTTTGATTATTGCAAACTATTTAGTATGAGCATACGGCAGAGGTAGATAGGTTTCGGAGATAGTGTTTGGAAAAAAAAAAAATCGAAGGAGTCTTGAGAAACTCGTAAATATTACGTATATCTTCCTCGACGAAAAAAAAAATTAGTCAAAAACGGTATACAGATACTTAATATGGTAACGAAAGAAAAAAACACCATCATATAAGATTTCATTTTAAAATGAATTGAGCGTGTACTTAAGTAATGTGTTGTTGAATAGAAAAACATATACAACTATATATATATATACATTATTTTCAGTAGACAACTGCAGTACTCACGTCATATTATGTATACATACGTAAATATATAAATATATGTTACTTATCTACTATTATTTTTACTTTTTTTTTTAACATATATAATTACAGGCACCTATTAAAAAATTAAATTTTCTCATGATTTATAATGTACAATAATATAGTTAATGATAACTGCCGAGAGAAAATGTACTTACCTTATATACAATATCATAGAGCCATGCCAATAAACTATGGCGAATATGGTAACTGCTACCAAACATTGTAAACCTACCTATGTGTATATTACTTATTTACCGATAAAACGGTATTAGAATATTTTTCGAATCTATACTTACAATAATTGTGGTAAAAATAAAAACTCTTAGAAAATACATAATATACCAGGGGAAAAGAAGAACAAAATGTTTACAATAATGAACTGTTGAAAAATAAATTTAAAAATTTATATTTTCAGCTTCGCGTGGCTTCTATGGTGTCAAAATACGATACACCTTCGGTGTTTATAAAACATATATCTTTCGTCAATTTTACCAAGTAATTAATACCATATTATAATAGTTTTATTATTAAGTAGATATATAGTAGTATATTATCATTCTTCTTCTTCTCATAAGCTCTACAGGCCATGATGGCTTCCAAAACCATTCTTCTCCACTCATCGCGGTCTTTGGCAACATTCCTCCAGTTCCGTATCCCCATCTGTTGTAGATCTTTCTTAAATTCGTCTATTCATCTGCTTCCAGGACGTCCTTGTCCACTGGTTCCCTTCATTCTTGCATGCATTACCCGTTTGGGTAGTACATTATCATAGTAATAACGATATATCTAGTTAACCCATGGAAAGTTTATTATTGGCGGGCGTTAAATATAGGTATACAGTTAACAGTTAAATTTTGCATTCGGATTTTAAGTATGTTTTACTTACGGAACTTAAGTTTGTTTTATTTTTCGAAATTCGAATAGTATCTGTATAAAGAATATATTATTATACTGAGACTATCTGATTAAATTTATTTCTAACTACCTAATTACCAATGCTAAATTTAATACCCGCGCGTAGATGGAATCCCCTACCTCATCTCTGACCATCTCTCTACCTGCTCTTTTCACCCTATTCGTTCTGCAGGTCATTAATTATTGGAATTTTGATTTATTTTATGTTTGTTTTTATTATAATATATATATATACACACTGTCGTATAGGTTTTACCTGCCAGAGCCCATCTACATCAATCTGGTAAGAGATCCTGTGGAACGGGTCATATCTTGGTATTACTACATCAGAGCGCCGTGGTATTACGTGGAGAGAAAACACGCGTTTCCCGACACTCCGTTACCCGATCCAAATTGGTTGAAAAAAGTAATAAAAAATAACAACCATTATTTTACATGGCACGTTCGTATTAAAATAATTTCTAACCGATTGGCGCGTGGTGAATGGATGTCAAACGAATGATATTTTTCTCTCAATCGTAACTAATACCTACCCACTTAATTTAGGACTTTGAAACTTGCGTTCTTCGCGGCGACCGGGAGTGTCGGTACACGCAAGGCGAAAAACGTGAGGGAATCAGTGACCATAGGCGGCAGACCATGTTTTTTTGTGGACACGACGAGGAATGCACGTGAGTATTACATTGTATTTGTACTTATATACAAAAATATATTCATATAACAGAGTGGGAATGGTTACTTGGAATTGTTTACTTTAAAACGTAGGTATATCGGATACCCATTCGTGGCGTATAATTAACTGTTTATGGGGAGACTCAGTCTTTTGCCTTCATCCCAACTATTTGGGATTGGCAACGCTCGTCCTAAATTTCCACTTGGCTAGACTTTTGATAAAATATATAATAATAAAAAAATAATAAAAATCGAAAGCAAAACAATGTATAATAATATGATCATGAGTAGACTAGAAATCCAAGAATTTTGCAAAATATCACAGTAAATCAGTGTTGAATCCAGGTATATAACAGGGCAGGAAGCAATAGCCCTCTCTGGAAATTTGGTTTGCACCCCCTCCCTATTTAATGTGGATAAATTAATAACTAATTAAAATCTTAGATAAGCAGAAAAAAAAAAGATCATTACTATAATTTTAGTGATGCCTCTCCCAAAAAAATTGTCTGGATTCAACACTACCGTAAATGCATATACATTTAAGCAAGTAGAACATTATAAATACTAGGGCGTTAATTTGAATAATACGAATGGCATGCTTAAGAAAATAATATTAGAAACCTGAAACAATAAGAGGAAACATATATGAATTTAAATCAGATAAATGAAACAACAGAAATGATTCAATTCTCAAATTGAGAATTCAGATAATAGCTTTGTGGAGGAATCTGGTAGAAGAAGCAACAGGCCTTAATGACCTGTAAAAGCTATTAGGAGAAAAAAAAGACCATTAATATATTTCAAAGCATATTTAACTAAACTTTTTGCTTACTTAACTATGCTACTTTCGAATTATATTTGTGAATCTCAACATAGATTTTTATTCAACACTCAATCTCAACTAACCTCCTAATATATCAGTCTGAACTTTTAAAATGGTCAACAAGTAGATACTGTCTATACTGACTTGCAAAAAGCATTTGATAAAATAATTCATCCACCACTTTTATATAAACTAAAATTGTTTGGAACTTCTGGCTCGTTTTGGAGGGAATTGCTTCGTATTTGCACAATCGAACTCATATTGTAAAAATATCTTTTCATACATCGATGAGTTTCAATTATTATCAGGTGTACCGCAAGGATCTCATTTAGAACCACTACTTTTTTTATTATTTATAAATGATTTGTCTCATATTTTTGATAATTATGTTAAAGTTCTTATTTTCACAGATGATGCAAAGTTTTAAACTAAAATTAATTAAATTTCTGACTCTGTTAACTTACAAAAAACCTAGATAAGTTTTTAAATTGGAGTTTTTTTAAATTTTCTTCTGTTAAATATTGATAAATGCAAAAATTGTTTCCTTTACTCGTAGTAAAAATCCTGTTACTTATAATTACTCTTTGAATAATATAGCTTTAAATAGAGTTAATTCAATAATTGATATTGGCATTAATTTCAGATATGACTTATCTTTAAGAATAAATCATGATCAAATGCTTAGCAAGGCTTACAAAACGTTAGATTTTATACATAAAAATACTCAAAAATGTAAAAGCCCTACTACTTTGAAAACTCTTTATTGCTCCCTAGTGCGATCTGTATTAGAATTTGCTTCAGTAATTTGGTTTCAATCATTATCCACTTTAATTACGATCTTGATAACATTCGGTATACATTTTTAGAAAGAATTGTCCATATGATTAACCTCCCAATTTCGAGAGACTCTGTCCTTTTAGTCTAAATTATAGTAAATTTGGACTCTCTTCTACTTAGACGTCAATTGATCGATATTATATCCGTGTAATTTATTAAATTATGATACTGTATGTCCTGAGCTCCAAGCTCAAATCAATTTTTGAATCCCTTCCTTTTTCTCAAAATCACAATATTTTTGCTATCCCTTATTTCAAATCTAAAACAGCTGATAACTACTTTTTTGTTAGAGCTCTGAAACTTGCTAATTTAGTCTTCACTGCTTTAGATTTCATTTATATTTCTTCTGATACTTTTAGATTTAAGTCTACATTTTAAAAAATGATTATAATTTTAATTAGTTCCATTGTCATTTAGTATTTTCTTTAGCATTTTATACATATAAACTAGTTGTAACTTATTTTTCATTTTGTAGGTATATTTAATTTATATAGTGTTATACATGTTCACTTTTTATATTTATTATCTTGTTAATTTTTATTAATTTATTTACTCTTTCATATTACACTCTATATTGTAAAAGGGCTGTCATATTGATTATAAAATAAATTGTTATTGATACTTATAGATATAAATTAAATTAGGTACCTATATATATTATCCTGGTACCCTAGTTCACACCTACAACAGTGGTACACCTGTCAACAGCATCTTTTTTTAAAAATAATTTGGTACACAATAAATCTTACATTTTTTTAAACTAAAAACAAAAAATTATTTTTTAATAAAATCAAAGAACTATTTTTTATAAATATATTTTGAAATAAAATTGTATAGTTAAAAATTAGAAAATATGTTTAATTTAGAAAACTAGAAATATTCTGAAAACACAGAAGACAGGTTATCAATGTTTTTATATGGATAGATTATGTAGTTGCTGATCCTGTACTAACATATATATTTTCTCAGTCCATTTAATTCAGAAGGTGCACTGGAGAGAGCCAAACGATCTGTGGAACAACATTATGCAGTGGTTGGCGTATTGGAAGATTTTAACATCACCCTGACAGTATTTGAACATTACATACCGAGGTTTTTTAAAGGAGCGTCCAATGTCTACTATGGTAACTTAACCTAAAAATGTTACATTGTGTAAACTTGTCTCATAACATTTGTATGTGTTCCAACAGGAGATATGGGCTTACATAAGGTCAATCACAATGCTTTCAAGCCAATTATCAGTGAAGCCGTTAAGGACATAGTGAGGAAAAACTTTACCAGAGAAATAGAATTTTATCAGTTTTGCAGGCAACGATTATACAGACAGAGACTAGCATTGAACTTGTAAAAGAACAAACACAGCTGTTGATGTCAATAAAAAGTTCCTTAAACACTTCTTCAACATTAAAATTTGAGTTACATATTTTTTTTTGTTACATATTATTGTTGTACACAGAAAAAATAGATATAATATTAATGTTTTACATTTTTAAAACTTTACTATGTGAATAGTTGAACATGGGAACATTCAAAAATTGTGAATACTATTTAATTATAAAAGAAACACAAATTTAAAAAAAAATTATTGCTATCATGTATATATTCCAGCCTATGTTATTTTAGTTTAACAGTTAGTTAAGCCAATTGGAACGGAGGATTAGCTTGAAACAGACTCTTTTATGAATTTTATGTCAAATTTGTATTTTTAATAATTACGACATATTTTGTTTCATTAATATAAAAAATGACAGTTTCATAAACAATATAATATTTTTAATATAAATATAATTTTTAAATTACATGTATACGAGATAAAAACCACTTGTTTAAAAATACTAGTGTACTTCAAATTTTAATATATACAAATAATTTTGAGTTATTAAGTTAACAATTATAATTTATTTATAACGCCACTTTGGACTTTTTCCGGGCAATGGCATCTTCTACAGCCTTCAGTTGTTTTAACAATTCTTCTCGCCTTGATGGTGGTGCTGCTGCTGCGGCGGCTGCAGCAGCAGCTGCTACGGCCGCTGCTACTCCTTTCTTCTGTCAATAAAATATAGTTTGTTGAACAAATAAACAAAAAAAGATGAATTACTAACCTAAAATTAAAATTATTAAATAATCTGAACGTATCACATGTTTCAGTATTCATTCAAAAATAAATAAGGTTTTTTTATGGATAGAAAAAAAGATACTACCCATAGATAATACTTCAATTAGACAAAATAATCTTTTGAATTAAATTTCACTTAGCGGGATAAAAAAATGATTCTTGAAGCAAAATTTTCACTTGAAATAAAACTAAAATATTGTTTTTAGAAACAAGTTATTTGGGTTTATTTTACATAAAAATAAATAGTAAAATATTATTCTGATAAAAGGTTGCATTTTCTGAGTATGAAAGTAGTTTTGCTGTTGACTAAGAAGTATTATAAAATTAATTTGATTTCATTCAATGATATTCAAATTAATGTATTTAAATAATATGCTTAATGATACATACTCTAGGAGGAGACAAATTTTTATTATCTTCATTATCAAAATCCAATGGCCTCTTTTTCCCTTGAATAGTGGATTTTTCTAGAAAAATAATACATATTAATATAAATAAATAAATAATAAACTCAAATTGTGTCTAACCTTTTCTGACTGCAGGAACAAGTGGCGCAGAAATTTTATTTTTCATATTTTGTTTCTGCGATTTTTGCATCTTAATAAAATAAATGTATACATAATTATTATTAGAAATTTTTTAAAAAAAATGCTAACACACATACTTTAGAAACAGCTCCTTTTTTCACTAATTTGTCTGGGGACATTGCTAGTGTTTTAAGTTTTGGACTTCCTCCTTCTTCAGACGATGATTCTGAACCACTCGAATCAGATGATTCTGAAGAACCAGAACCAGACACTGATTCACTGCTTGACGAAGAAGTAGAGGTGTGAGTACTAGCTGGAGACTTTACTCCACTTAATTTATTTACAGCAAACCTAGGTGGCATTGGCATTTGTCTTGCTCTAAAGTTTACAAAATGTAAAAACAAATTAATTAAAGCTTTTCATGGGTTCAAATCTAATTCTTTACCTTTGTAAAGGAGGCATAGAAGGTGCAGAATTAGTAGGAGAAACAGACCAACGATTAGTTGGCACTGGAGGATTCATTGATCGACTCATATTTTTCTTTTCAAATCCATCTGGAGAAGGATTTCGCTCTAAAAAAAAATAATACATATTCCTCTCTTTAATTTCAAAATTTTAATTATTATTACAGTTGACTAACAATAAATATTTTATTTATACATACATATATTTGGGTGACCCATATTTTTTAACTTTTGTTTCTTACCCTTCTATTTTGAAACTTGATATAAGAAAGTAATGTGTTAAATTGGGATGAGAAGATTTTCAATTGGAAGCAAATGTTCGTAATATGAGAGTAATCCATGACTGCTGAAAGATGCTAACAAAATTATAATAATATACTGACGGAAATTAAAGAGCAAAAACAATACATTTTAAAGTTAATAAAGATCACAGAAAAAGAGTTCCTGGTATTCAAAAATAAACTATACCCAATATTATTTATAAAATTTGTTATCATCTCAAAATTACATACATCTAGCTGTAACAATTAATCAATACATTCAATATTTTATTGTATATTAAACTTGGTAAATATATTGATAAAATAATTAATTAATTATGCTAGAATAATTAAATAATTTTCTTGAAATGTCATGGATGTACAAAAAAAACTATGTAAGAATATTTTTTTTTCTTAATAGACATTAATATGTTTAGTAATTAATTAATATTCAAAACATTTTGAAATAAATTGAAAAAACGTAAGAAAACTATTCCTTTGTTAACCATTCAATTTTATTGTGACAAGTTATTGCATCCAAATTTAACACACAGTACTTTTCTTATATTAAGTAACAAAATAGAGAGGGGGTAAGAAATTAAATTAATTAATTTTGTCTACGAATTAAGAATTATATGTGATAGTATCATGGTAATACCTGCAATAAATTGAAAATAACATTGTTGCGTGATAGTTGGTATGAAAAACCACAAAAAAAAACAAAATTAAGAGACATTCTAGTAGATTCAAAAAATGCATATTATCAAAATATTTATTTAGAAATGAAATTTAATGATTAATAGGGTTTTGACTAGGTTAAACTAGTTTTGAAACTTATTGTATTTAAAATCCACAAAAATGGTATAAGGGTTTGAAGTCCCTTTTCTTGATCTAAAATTGTATTGCAGTAGTGCGTTATTGTGTTCTCCAAGTTCTGCATTATTTATTGTGTCGTTAAGTTATTCTTAAACCACATTGCAGCCGAACCCAATGTAATTAAAATAGGTTATGAATTTAGATTATAGATTGTATAAAACATTTATAAAAAATCATAAAAGAAGATAAAATAATGTGCTCTGATTACAAAATTGGCTATCATTATTATTGTCAAGGTTTAAATAAAAGTACATTTGCCAAAATGACAAAAAATACCAAAAACAAATGGACATGTAATGAATGCAAACTAAAATGGAGCAACAATAAAGAAAAGTATGTCCCAAACAAAGAAAAAGCTACAATAGAAAGTTTAGCATCCTCTGTCCAATATATGAGTGACAAATTTGATACATTTAATACTACAGTTAATAAAACTTTGAATGATATGAAACAACTAAGAGAACAAAACAAAATACTTTTACAAAAAAGAGAAAAGCTATTAATAGAAGTTAAATACTAGAGATCATTATAGAATAATATTAATCGACAAATAAAAAAGCATAGAAGAAAACTGTAAAAATTATAATAATGAAAAACCAAAAAATTATTAATCTTATTTTTATCAGAACAAAATTTGTTTACAGTTTTAAATGGATCTGATGTTAATAAACGTGCAAATAATTTAAATAAAATATTGAATAAATACCTGTTTGATTATCTAAGAATGAGGGATAATTACATTACATTAAATAGAAGAAGAATTAAACCATGGTTAACTATAGGCTTAGTAAAATCAATTAGAACTAGAGAGTTAGATAAAATGGTATTAAAGAGGAAAAATGACATTAAATTACACAATTATAAAATTTAAAAAAACACTGGATATATCAAATAAGTTTGGAACACAATTAGAGAAATAGTTAACTAAGATCAAAAAAATAATTTACAGCCTTCCAAAATCATTTCTAATATTAAACGAATTGATATAAATACTGACGGGAAATTGTTTACAAATACTTTTAATTTCATCTGATCTATTAATACAAATAGCAGAATATATACATAGTTAAACCTGTTACTTATTTAACAAACTTAAAATTTCAAAAGAGTACTTTCCTTGATATATATAAACAAACAATTGTAACCCCGAAGAACTTACAAATTACATAACAATATCATTAATTTCAGCAATATCAAAACTACTAGTAAAATAAGCAAAAATCCAATTACAAAAAATTTAGTAGACAAAAAAAATAATTCATAAACAAAATACAATACCGATTTCATAAACATACTAGTAGTGAAGATTCAATAGTGTGCTTAGCATATCTAGCTTATAATTTACTAAAAGGAAGTATATTTTAGACTTACATAATAGCTTTTGATTCAGTGTCTCATGATATATTATTATAAACTAGAAAAAGTTGTAGGGAAAACATTTTTTTGAACTGTTTAAAATTGTATCTATATAATATATCTCAAACACTTAAAATTAATGAAATGGTGACCCTAATATTTTAAAATATGGTATCCCGAATGGAACCGTTTTAGGTCCTATACTATTTTCAATTTATGCAAATGATTTAATTGAACTAGACTTAATTGGAAATATTATAGCTTTTCTTGACAACGCAGTTTTTGAAGGTGACAATTAGAATGAAATAGAGACTAAAGCAAATATATGAATGTCAAATATTCAGGATTAGTATTCATAAAATAATTCACCAATAAACTATTAAAATCCATATTTATTCCCTTTTCCTTAACCAAAATCAATTTGCCTCAAAAAAATGTTGACAATTAAATAGAGTAATTTAATTACGCACATTAGAAAATGCTTTTGTTTTTAAAGAACCACGTAACATAGTCAAATTTAATAACATTGAAATGGTTTATTTTGCTATTGTCCTATTTAATGAAAAACCATTATAAAATTTCATAATCACAGAGGAAGAACAATTATAAATAGACATTTAATCTGATTGTTGGTTACAAATAAAATGTTATTCAGTGTCAATTTTTAAGATTTTGGAAGAACATTAAAGATGAATACTCTGAAATGCCAACAAAGCTTTCCATGTATAATTCCTTCCCATTTATTACGAACTCTTGGGAAAATCAAATAATTATCTAAATACCCAAAGTACCACCCCAATATAATTTTCTTTCAGAAAATCTGCTACACTTAAAAATTTGAGCAATATTTCTAGTAAATATTCACAGAAGAAAAAAAACCTGTAAAACCAATATATTCCTTACTCTGTTCAGAATTTACAATATGAATTACTAGGATATAAACTAAGTGAGTACCAAATAAAGTACTAACAGCAGTCAACTTTTTAAATAGAAAACAAGCACATTATTTGTATGAAGAATAAATACTAATTGTGTTATTCTTCATAAAATAAAAATATTTTGTAATATTTTAAATTGAAAGTATATATATACCCTTCCAACTTCATAAACAGTTTACCTCTAAACACAGATACATAAGACATATTATACAGTTCACTTCTGAGATTCATGGCTTTGGAGATGAACATTTATTCTGTTATAACCACAGAATGTTAAATTTTTTCATGACAATTGTACAATATTTTTATTAATTTAACTGAAATAACATTATTAACACTTTTAGCGCTGATATTGAAGACAAAACATATTCGTTCTCTATAGTGGGCGTTGATAACTAGTCATTATTTTCTTAGCTCTTCCAATACCTTCCATTACCTTTCGCCTCTGCATAGGAAAATAAATAAAAGTTTCATACAGGGGGATCACCCAATACAATCCATACCGAGTATTAAGGATATATTTTCAAAAAAAACCTTGAATTTAGAATTAAAATATAATTATTATATTTTAATTAACACACAATTAATTAAAATATAATAATTATATTTTAATTAACACACAATTAATTAAAATATAATGATTATATTTTAACTAACTCACAATTAATCAAATAAGTAATCACCTGGTTTTCTAATTGGTTTACGTCCAGGAGAAGGTTTAAATGATTGTGGAGGCGGTTTCTTCCTATTTTTTGCCATGGAATTAGATCTCCCTCTTGATCGACTACGCGAGCTGTAACTTGATGCACTTGAACTAGTACTAGACCTACAAATTGCACAATTTTTTTTTTTTATTTTATGTATATTAAACGATTTTTAACCCTTAAGCAAAAGACAATTAATACGCACAATTTCTGCTTAACTTAATAGTGGAAATTTGATGCTTAAATATATATATATACACACACGAGTATGGATACAAAAAAAAAAACCTTATAATAAAAGTATAAGTATTAAATTAACAATAAATAACAGAAGCAGCAAAGATATTTCGATAATTCAAAAAACATTAATTTAAATAAACAAATTTAAGGCAATATAAACATTCTGTCTGAAAACATTACGAGACAGAAAAAAAAATCAACATGGTTCGTTAGTGTTCACCAGACAGAACTCTGGGGAAAAATGAAGTGGAAATATAATCATTTCTATAAAAAGGAAAATGAAATATATTGTAATTTCTTAATCGACGAGTTTTTATATTAATACTAATCAGAGATAATAATTCTATCGAAAATAAGACCAATTAATAGGTCATAAATAAACATAATATCTGCAACATTCCTCCTCAAATAACAAGACGCAAACCCAAATTGGGTATTTCAATCTGCATACTTAAATTAAGGAAGTACTTTAAAATTTGATACATGCAATATTTTTTTTGACACTCACAACATATTTCAAATATTGATTTTTATACTTTTTAAACTATTTCATGTAAATAAATATTAATTCATATTTTAATCACGCATAACTAATATAATTTTTAATAAGAAAAAGTACTTAACTTAAAAAATAAAAGTGTGAAGTCTTATTGGTTTAAATATTTTAATACCTCGATGATGAAAATGAAGAATGAGAAGAATAAGACTTTTTTCTTCCTCTAAGTTTAGATCGACTTCCAGGTGATTTTGATCTCATCCATGGATCAGCCCAATCGTCTCCTCTACGTGGTCGACTAGATGATCTATCTCTTCTATTGCGATGTCCAGAAGGCTGAGGGCTGCAATTAAAAATATTTTAATGTTTTAGAATTTTATAACATGTAGCCAAATTTAAAATCATACCTGTATGATTTATCAGAACGTTGCATTATTACTTCTCTATTAGGTGGGTATTTGGGAGGTAAACCACGATGATGTGGTTTCAAACCGGGATGATAATATGGATCTGGTGGTGGATATGGATAATATGGATTTCTTCGAGGAGCGGCATGAAAATCCATAGGATGACCAGGAGGAAAATGTGGTAAAGGACGACCATGATGAGGAGGCCAAAAGTCTGGCCTATGAGGATAAAAATCTACTGGAGGTGGTATAAAATCATCTACATATGGGTCTGGATGTGGAGCTCTATGATGTCGAGTTTCTAACTCTGGTTTACTAAAAATTAAAATTGAATAAAGAATACGATTAAAAAAAAATAAAAAACAAAAAATAGTTTTTTCTTATACTAACAATCTTTCAATAGGAGGACTTATAGCAGGTGAAGCAGTTGGACTAGTTGGGCGTTGTGAATAATAATCATTTTCTTTTTCAACTTCTTCTTGATTTGATGTTAAATTCATTTTTTTCTCTTCAAAATCAATATCACTTTCCTTTTTCTTATTGGATTTTTTAAGTATCTAATCATTGTATAATAATAATAACAAAAGAAAAAACATTGATTACATTAAAATCAATTTTTTTTTTATTTCAATATACCTAATTATTTGTTTTACATTTTAGTAATAAAAATAGTGTTTTTTTTTTTTTACCTCTTTAGCTTGACGTAATCCTCTTTCCCATGCAGATTCTACAGGAGGAACTTCATCTTTTTTTACAGCTGGTATTGGAACACCAGGTATCTAATTGACAAGCGATTTATACTCATGTAACTGTTTTAAATTAAAAGTAGTTAGAATTATTATAAACATTTACCAATGGTCTTTCATGCTGTCGATAATGATCAGGAGGATAAAACGGTAAGCCAAGAGGTGGAGGTATCGGACCTGGGCGTACCAACTCAAACATTGAGTAATTGCCTTTGTCCGTGACACCCGGATGCAAAAATCTAGATAGACCATTCTTGATAGATTCATTTAGGTCTTTATACATTTTTACCAGCAAATTACTCACCGGCAGTTTGCACCCCATGTACATTGTCCTCTTGAGTAAAATCGACATACTGGCCTAGGTTCTGTTTCTTCGGGTCGATGTTCACCTTCATCAGAAACCTCACCTTCCTCAAGTTCTTCAGGTTCCTTTTCTTCCTCAATCTCAGCATCTTCTTTAACTGGTTTCGGTTCATCACATTCCCCATCTTCTCCGTCTTCAGCTTCAAAATCTAATGGTTCTTCAACTGGATCATTAACAATATTAGGCTCCGATTTAGCATCAATATTATTATGACCGTTAACTGGCAAAACATTATCTTTAGAAAGAGAATTAGTATCATTGTCACTTTTCCATTCCTTCACACTTTTCTGAAAACAGAAAAAAAGTTTTTTCAAAATGTTTATATTTTACTTAAAGTATCTTACTACAAAGACAACTGTGTGCAAAATCTATATTATTAGTACTAGTATCTTTGTAGTTTTCATATAGTTAATTAATCAACTATTTCAATGATATTCGTACTTGGGAGGTATTATCGTCAATTATCTCGTCGTTTATATTGTCCATTGAGTCTTCATCAGATACATCTGATAAGTAATTATTAAAAGGTTCTTTTGGTTCTTTTTCGGATAAATTACTCCTTGATGATGCTTTAGATGATGCCCGAGAATTACTATTTCTATCTGGAGACCCAGCCTCTGATGAAGCACGACTCGATGAGCTGGAAGACGAGCTTGGACTTTGTTGTTCATCGTTTTGATGTTCAGGACTACATGATTCATCAATAAGACTTTTAGATTTAGTTGATGAACTATCAGCAGACTGATCATCACATTCTGGACTTGGCAAACCATTACCATCCAAACTCTGAGATCCAGATGTATTGTTATCAGGACTTTGAGGTGCAGAGTTATGACTGGAAGCTGAAGGTGAACCGCTACCAGATTGGTCTCTGTTAACATTGTCAGGTGATGGCTCAGGTGATGCAGATCGACTTGAATTATTTGATTGAGAGTCATCGGAATTTGAAGAATTTTCTGATTCCATTTGTAGATGTTACAGGTACAACTCCTAAGAAAATATATTTTTTAAACAATTCAAAACCTATGATCAAGGATAAGAAGCACAAATAGGTTAAATTTGTCTAGAAATATTTTCCTGAACTTAAAATATAACTGATTTATTAGACCCAACATTAAAAAAAAAAAAAATTGAATAAATAAAAATATTATAGGTATGTTAATTTTATTTCAGAAGAACGACCATATATAATCCTGTTTTAGACCCAGCCCAAAGATCGCTGTTTTCTGGTAGATCTTACCTTCCATCGCAGCGAGCATATCGAGGTGCCGAAATATTTAACGGGAACACACTTTTTCTCGATAAATACATGACTTTAATACTTAAAACAAAGTTTACGGAAGAAAGTGACACGCGATCGAAAAGACTTATTTTCACGACACGAACTAGTTTAAAAAAAAAAAAAATTCAGATATCGACATATCAGAATACATAACTCACGGTTTTAATTAAATTTATTTTTTTTTTCGCTGAAAACTAATGAAAGAGAAAGAAGATAAAATGCATATTGTAATTATATATAATATATATTTATAGTATAGTATAAAATGTAATAATTACACGATAGGTAGTGGAGTTAGTTTTGCGTGCCTTGCACAGCGTTAGTACGGTTCGGTAATACGTCCGCGTGCAGAGTACGACGCCGCTTACCTGGGACTATGGGTAATTCGTGACCGTGTACGACGGGAATGCGGCGTACGAGTCGTTTATGGAGTCTGTCGAGCGGCGGACGACGAGTGACGAGTAGCGAACTGACATGAATCAAAAATTCCAAGTGACCACACGTCTGTGCTGGTGACTGGAAGCCGTTGTTGCGGACGGTCGGTGTAAAAAATAGACGACGATGGCACGGAAACGGTGGGTTGTACCTGTATTTCGACCAGAAAAACACCGTACAACTTAGCGGCAACCAACAGCTAGCAGTGTAACGCCGAGAACGCACATCATATCACAAATTCACGATTTACGGGCGAAAACAATAATCAAAATGGCCGGACGGGCGCGGGGCGGACCAACGCGTCAGTGTGGACGGCAGTGACAATCCGAAATATTACTAATTTCAGTATGCGCGAGCGACTACTACAGCCTATAACTTGCTGGTATTATCATTTTGTGGTAGCTATTTTGAGTTTTCATTTTGATCTTACGGTGTGCACAACTGCGCACGGTGGATTTGTATATTATGTTGTGTTTTTAAATTTTCATATAGGGTGTGATTGCTTTGCTGTGCCGTTCGGTACTCGGTAAGACGATAGCGCTACGTGCTTACGTCATTGATCCGCGCTCACATAAATGGGTAGTGTACAACTAGTGTAGCGTTTGCGCGTGTTATCATATCAATAATTTTATTTTTTCACAATTCTACTAAATACAGATTCATACTTGTCTAGTGATTACTTTATTGTCTATGATATCTACAATATTTAATACGTATGATCAATGCGATCAATTTATTTGTTTGTTTACAAATTATATATTGTATTTGATTATATTAAACGTGGATGTTGGTTGTAGTCGTAAAGAAATAGCCGTGATTTAATATAAATTTTTATCTAGGTAAATATACACTTTTATTTAATTTGTTCATGTTTTTTAAATAATTTCTTATAACACTTAAAGGTTACAATATTATATATATATTATATTTTGAAAATAATGTTGGTCGTTTGAACATATATTTTTTTATATTTACTATTTATTATTTGATAATTATATTGTATCCGGGGCTACACTGCCTACACTGTAGGCGTCGATGACTTGTTATTTTACGGGATACGGGGTGGAAATTGCTTGTAAAACGCGTTTTCTTTATCAGCTATGCTGTCCGACGCCACCGAAAATGATTGGCCAATCAACTATTCTCCTTCTCCTTTTTATTCCTACAAAGTATGTACACAATTGTACAATACTTCATAGCAACAATTTATTGTTTATTTTCTCCGCCATGCTCCTGCATGTATGTCTATACAAACGGCGTCCTGGCCAGTTGAATCCTTTTTTGTTTTGTTTGGCGTGAACTTGATCATACTTCATTATACAGGTACGTGTAAATTCAAATAATATTATTTACTAGCGTTCGATAAAGTAAAGCCTATAGAAACTCGTCGCTTCTCTCTTCAATGTATCAGTTGGGATACAGAGACTTAATTAAACGGCTTTGATGAACGGCGATTTCCCTTTTTCCGTTTCCGATAGACGGGCGTTTGCAATCCAGCAGTCACGTAAACCGGTAGTATTCCGTACATACTTCCTGTATCTTCTAATCATCCCTGTGGCCAGTTCCCACATTCTTATAAGTCTTATGATTGTTTTTTAATGCGTGCATAATTGTAATATAGTGTAAAAAATACTCCGGTTTGTAATGCATATGTTGGTGTATAATTAAAGGATAATTGTGACCCAAGGTCAATTGTTTCTCAATAAAAACATTTAACTAAATTACTATCAAAAACTGTATAGTGGTTCGGACAAATATGTATAAACCAACTCTGGAAGGAAACAATATAGTATTTTTGGTACAAAAAATGTGTTATTAATAATTGTATCTAATATATCAACGTCAATACAGTCACGAAATGTATTGTTCTATACATTCATGAATCATGAGTGTAACTGTAGTATGAAGATCTTTTTATTAGATAAATCTAGTTATGTGTATCTAATAGAATGTTAACAAGTTGACTGCCACGGTATTTTTATAGAGCTTTCCTCATACCAGAATAGGTACTCACTATGTTTGTCACATACGCTGTTGTATTTTTGGACATTATAACATGGGCCATTCGTTTTTTCATCATATTTCATAAAATTTTCTTATTGTTATTGTTTATTTATATCATTTTAATAATATGTATAAGAAAAATAAACCTATTTGGAGTGAGTACCATATATTATACTCAATGCCTATTGTATCATATTATTCAGTTATACGTTCATTTTCATTTTATTTGTCATTGCGTTGTGACCGTATTTATTACAATGAATGACGACAAAATTGTTGAAGCTATTTAGTCATCAGATGAGTTTTCTGAATTTGATAATGGTGATGCAGATCCAGACTTTGCTTTGGTAAATATTGCTTAGTTTATAATATTTTTTTTAGTTTGTGCAAATATTGAGTCGTAGACTACTAATTCTACTAAATACTAGTCTATTAAATGCATTAACATTATTTACTACTGTGACTGGTCATAAAATGAGTGACAGAATTTAGAGAGAATATAGTTCAAGCTTTAATAATGAAAGCCAACATATCAATGATACTCAAACCCAATGAAGGAGAAATTCATAAACTTGTTAATTCTAATCGTGGTAGATGTTCAAATTGTTATTTTGAAATGGTTCAACAAGGTGGAAGGAATCGCGCGCAAAAAATTACACGTAAAGTACAAACATTGTGTCCAGGTTATTCTAAACATTTCTGTTTGGATTGTTTTTTCAAAATACATTCAACAAAAAAAAAAATAATAATAATTTTAAGAATTTTATTATTATTTTTTAAGCTGTATTTAATATATTTATGTTTGATTTATTGATATTTTTACTAAAAAAGGTTAATGAGTACTCGTATAATATTAATACGAGTTGTCTAATTTTTTTTTTATAATAATTACATTTTTATTTTAAAAAAAACATTACATTTGAGCGCTGTTTGCACTATTCAGCTTGACATTTTTTCCTCTTTCTATTCCAATAAACAAATTGAGCATCAGAAATGGTTCTCAATGATGTAATCACGAAAAATAGGGAGTACCACAATTGACCCTCAAAGCCTAAGAGTTAAACGGTGTGAGTACCAGAATTGGTACTCAAAAGCACGTAAAACAAATATGATTAAAATATTAAGGCCTATAATACAAATCACGTGAGTATCAATTATGGTACTCGTGGCAGTCAACTTGTTAAAATTCTGGTATTTTTTTTTAAATTGGCAATCGGCTTGTTTAAGGTAATGAACATAATAGAATAAATTGCCTAATATAAAAATGAAAAAATACAAAATAACATTGCTAACCACTGCCCTGTTATATCATATTATTTGGCTTGTTTTATTAAAACATAGAAAGATATCTGTTTTCTTTTTTTTAAAAAACTGGCTATTTCTTTATCTCTTGGTACATCATATTTTAAGTGATGTTATATAATTTTAGATAAACCATGTTAAAATAACCACAATTATATTATCATTTCTTTTGGAGAGAGATTCTTCTAGCTGTACAATATATATCCTAGACTTTACATTTTCCTTTCGTTATAGTTGATCGCTGGTTGTCTTTAGATCACATATTGGACTGATCTCAGGTATTATAATAATATTTTATAAGAATACAAATTATTATTAAAGTAGACAAAAATTTATACACTACAATCTTGTAAAACAAATATTAATTCTAAAGCTTTATCTCAATATGTATGATATATATTTCTATGGATCATTATACAATATGTATATGTATATAAGTTATAAACTTAAATTATTTTATCAAATAAGTTAACGTATTCATTCTCGTTTAAAAAATAGTGATAAAAATTAGACTGCTGAATAGTAATTTTGAGTCTTGTTTGCCGAATGATTGCTCTATCACAGAGCTATCTGGTAGGTATCTGACTTCTAACACTATTTCTGCTGGATTTAATCGATTTAACATCCTGGGTTTTGTACAGTTGATGGTGGGGGCCATGTCAAAGTACATTTTACATCCTACTTACTTTTATTAGTTTATATTATTATTTACCTATTGATGTTTATCATTAATATTCATTGCCAATTTATTGTAAATAATGTACTTGTTGTATTAGTGTTATAGGTACTTTTTATCCAACAGAACGCTTCACCATCACAGTTTTACGGACTATGTAGGCTGCTTGTGTCCAGTGTCTAACGTTGTCATTGCACATTAGAATTTTTGGAAGGGGTATCAAAATTGTAATTTGTTCACATATTGAAATCTATTAAAGTAAGTTTGTTAATTCATTAATTTAATTATAGTTTTAAATTTAAAGATTTTTTATATTCTGTATACACTATACACATATACCACTGAGGATTCCAAGTAATAATTTAGTATAAAGAACTTGGTGCCTTTTAATTACACTGGGTCAATAAATACAGATATCATTAGATTTAGATAGGTGCCTAATTTTAAAACGATAAAATTATATGTGTATACAATTTTAGACCCTTATTATTTAAAGTTTAAAATTGATTAAAAAATAAAAAATGTAAACTTAAGTTTATGTACTTTTTCATTATTGCATTTTCCATACTATTGAATAAAAATAATGCATGTGTACTAAGTTAATAGACGCTATTTGAAATAACTAAATAAATTATAATTTTTATTCTCAAGCTACAGTAGTATAAGTTAGGTAAGTAATAATAGGCTTTTGAAGTTCTGATATTATATGTTATGTTAAATAACTATATATTTAAATTATATCTGTCGAAGTCTAATAGTAATAAATACTTTTTGTCATCCTAAGGATTGCGAATTCAATCCTGGGTTTCAAAAAACATTTTTTGAATTTATTTTTCCCCTTTTACTTAAACAGGGAAAAAAAGTAAATGCATTTTAGGTGTACCCAGAGACTCAGCTATCACTTGCTTGGACTATTTTACTCAAAAAATATCCCTCTATTTATTTTCTGCCTATTATCTTGCTCCGAATTTGAAGTATAGCCTTTTTTGAAGGAAATCAGACTTGGGCAGTACTTTGGGAAAGTAATTTTTCGATTTGCTCCATATTTTTTTCAACAATTGGAATAAAATGGGAATATGTACAAAATGTATTAGTAAAATATTACTGTTTTTTTTTTTTTTTTTTTTTCCCAGTAGATTACTTTTTTACCAGCAATTTTGCTTCGGTTTATAGTGTTTGCACTCTTTCTGAAAAGTACCAACTTAGTCAGATTTCCTTTCAGAAAAAGTGTTATAATTGAAAATCTGAGCCAAAATTGCGAATAGAAAAGTTGTCTGCAGAAAATAAAATAAAAAATAATCATTGTAAAACTACTTCATTCCTCACTCTGCTCTAAGTCTAAAAAGTATCGACTAAAAGAAATTCTTAATATGATTAAAGGAAAGGTCTCCAAAAGTTGAAATAGATTCTGAAGATAAAGTTTTAAGTTCGGTTAAAACCTAAGTTTTTTGTAGAATTTGATTGGAAATAATTTGTTCCATGTAACCTTTCTTGATACTTAGCTGTTTACACATTTTCTTTTTACCCTTCTTTTCATTTTCATATTTTTATGGCATTTTTTAGCAAAATTTTAGGACACATTATAGCGCTTATTTTAAGATCTGTTAGATCATATTATAGTGCATATATCAGTTATTTTTAGTACTATAAAATCCTAGCCCTGGTTATCATTCGTACTGAGTAATATTTTTTCCAAACGTATCGTGATGCACTTTTTTACTGTCAGTCAAAGACAAACTAATAATCATTAAAACGATTTCAAAATTTGATAACTTCGAAAATATTTCAAAACAAAAAAACCTGGGAGATTATTCACCCTGTACAAGTGCTAAATAAGGTTAGATAAATAATAATGTATTGTATATTTTTTTTTTTTTAAGAATATATCTCCTAAAGTAACAAAAAAGTTTGAATCAATAACTTCAGGTATTTTGGCGTCGTCTATGAAAATGTCAAATTTCTACTCTTTTAAAGAGATAAAAATAAAAGTTGGAAAAAGTGAAATATGGCCTTTTTTGTCCCAGCAGGTGTTCCATTTTGTTAATTGTTTTACTTCTTCAAATATATTAAAATTTCCACATTTGTAAAATGATTTATCTTATTAAAATAAAAGTTGAATTTTAATGTGAACACAGAAGTGTTATGGATTGAAAAAATAATTAATACTTTTGATTTATTATTTTTTTAGAAATCCACCATGAGTTTTCCTGAAGATGGATATAGAGCTATGTTAAATAGTTTTCGGACTAATGATTTTCAAGCATTGCTTGGAGCCTTTGGTCGAAATAAAGCGGGTAGAAAAAATGAATTAAAAGAACGTGCAATGGATTTGTTAAGAAATAGACCACCACCCGGCTTTAATCAACAAGCTTATTGTCAAAAAATTATGGAAATTTTTCGTTCCATGCAAAGTGATGTACCTAATAATGATATGTTGCGTAGTTTGGTTCAAAATCAGCAACGCCAAATAGTTACTTTGCAATCTCAACATCAAAGAATCTTTCCACCACCCCAATATCCACAACAGCCTATGCATTTAACTCGGGCTGGATTACCCCAGGTTGTGCCACATATGTCAAGAGGCATATATGGAAATAATATGGGCGTAAATAACGGTAATATTCAGTATAGTTATCAACCGGTTCTTTCTCGTAACATGCCTCAGGTATCTTCAGGTCAACAGCTTAACTTAATGGCAGATTCAATGGTTTATGATATGAATGCTCCTGGGTGTAGCAATACTTACAATCAACTGTCTCATTTTACATCAATGAATAACATCAAGTTTAGAAAATTGCCATTTTTTGAAGTGATGAGTGAAATTATTAAGCCAACGATTTTAAATAGTCAAGATAGATGCACCCTGCCAAACGTTTCCAGAGGTACCAATTTGTTAAGATTTTAAGCATTTATAGTTTATATTTATCTATAAGCTAATGATACCAAACATTCCCTGTTATTTATCTATCCCTTATCTTCTATTAGATAAGAATATTAATCATTGTAAATCTGTATCTAATTTTCAAAAAATTAGCCTTTGTAGTCTATAATAATTTTGGATGTGCACTACCATTATGTTTAGTACAGCCTAATTATTGGACATAATGTGAGCATGGGTGCTTTGTAATTTGGTCTATTTGTGTCAGCATTATGATTGTTAAAGCAGGAATTCGTATTTCCTTAGTGTTTTCGAAAGTTATGTGACATTGAAGTGAGATTCCCTCAATTCATGCTATATCAGATTTTAAAGAATTAGGATATAAGCTAATAAATCAAATATTTAAATGCATCTGTATCTAACACATAGTATCTTATTTGAAGAACGAATAAAAGTGAAAGATAGCATGTTGTTTTTTCGATTTTCTGTATACAATATCAATAGCAACACGGCTTCACCATGGGATGGAAAAATACCTGTTTTGTTTAACCATTATTTAACGAACGGTTTGAATTGTAAGTTAGTGGTGTAAACAATACTTTTTATTTTGTCTCTTTTCTTTTTTATGTTGGTTAAATACATTTAAAGCTGATTTCAGTTCTTTTTAGCGAAGGTTGGTAACAAAAAACCAAAATAGTTTGTTTACTCCACGTGAGAAGTTTTTCTTGTTTTTTTGAACCAGTTCAGTAGTTAGTGTATTGTAAACAAAATTCTGTTTTATATTGAATTTTGAGTGTTTCAAAATTAAAAAAATGTATTTCATATACTTTTTCCTAATTAAAACAATGTTATAATTTACAAGTTTAATTCATTATTTACCGTAAAAACTATGGCTTTTTGTTTGTAGATTCCAGTGTAGCAAAAGAGCTATTAATTTAGAATCCTGTTTATTTCTTTTTCTTCTTTCTTCTAGAATGTGTACACGTGTTTTCCTAGTATACTGGTTTTTAATAAGTCGGGTTGTTTTTTGATTTTCGAATTGTTTTTCGTATTAATCTAGATTTTTCCAGATCTAAGAAAAATGTACCATTTCACAATATCATTATTTTACTTTAATACAGAAAAGTGCTTTAATTAAAAAATGACAAGAAACCCTTTTTTTTCATTGTTCATCTTGTTTCTTATGGCACAAATCTTTTTTTGATTTAATATTAATTTGGAAAAAACCAGAAGAAAATTGAAGTTGTTGTTTTTCAGTAAAAATATTTATAGTGACTTGAAAAATGGACAAAATGTTTATAATTTTAGCTATAATTGTATTTGCTATATAACCATCAGAAGTATAAAATAAAAGATTGATGAAAGAGATGATATAACAAAGTGTCTTATTCTCCTGGACAACAAGAAACCATATTTTTAATTTTTTTTTTTTTAATAAGCATTTTGAAATCAAAATTAAATAAAAATTGCAAAAAAAAAATTACGGCACTTCAAATTATGTATTACTAAACTGTGCTTGGAATCATCTTTTTTCAGTAATGGTTAGGTTGCCTACACATACTAGGTATGGCTGCACCCATACCTAGTTTTTATTTATCATAAGTCAATAAGTATTCTCAAACTGATTGTAATTTTGTTTTTAAAAATATTAATTTATTTTAAACATTTTAGATGTGAAGGAAGTAACTTACAAATTTCAATTGTCAAGTAAGCACGCTACTGAAATTGGAATGAATCGTGATTTGTCTCAAGGAAAGACAGAATATCCTGTTCAACTGCAGGCTCGAATCTGTTATTTGGAACCTGGGAATCTTGAAATACCTGATTGTTTGCCTATTGGACTTAGCATTAGGATTAATGGCAAAGGTATTCCATTACCACCAACTTCTGCTAATGCTAGACCTGGAACTGAAGCTAGGCGGTCTCCAAGACCTATCAACTGTAGTCATTTTATTAAAATCAATCCAAATCTTCAAAACACAATTACTGTAAATTGGACTCCAGATACGAAAACATATGTTATTGGCGTGAATTTGGTTAGAACATTGAGTTCAGATACTTTGATAAAAAGACTTCAAGAGAAAGGAAAAAGAAGTTCAGAAGAAACAAAAAATTATATAATTAAAAAGTTGGCAAATGATGATCCAGATTTAGCCACTACTTCCTATCGTGTTTCCTTGGTGTGCCCATTGGGTAAAATGAGAATGAAGATGCCTGCAAAATCTATTTATTGTGATCATGTGCTTCAGTGCTTTGATGCAAGTATATTCATTTTAATGAATGAGAAAAAACCAACTTGGACGTGTCCTACTTGCAATAAAAACTGTTGGTATGATGATATACAAATAGAATCTTATTTTATGGATATTATTTCAAGTCCTGCTCTTACTGATTCTTGTAAGGAAATTGAAGTATTAGCTGATGGTACCTGGAGAGTTTATGAAGAAAGTAAAGATACTACAGATAAAACTCCTATGAATAATAAAGAAAAACCTATAGATTCTGTGGATTTAGATGATAGTGATGATGAAACACCAGTTGAAAAAACAGATCCTAAACTAGAATTTTCTAAAGAAACTAACGACGTGGCTTTAAAATCGTCTTTTATAGACTTGACATTAAGTGATGACGATGACGAGGGCACAACAAGATCTAAACAAGAAAATGAGGCTCAGGCTGCTAATGCTGCACAGATTCCAACTGCTGTAGATAAAAAACCACAAGCACAGGTACAGCCTAAACAGGCTGTTACCAGTTCAGAGCAAGGTGATGTGATTGAAATAGACAGCCCAACTCCACCATCAAGTCCAGCATTACCTTCTACCCCATCTTAGTTTGTTTATTTAATATTTGTTCCTTTTAATAACAAACAATTTTATTTATAAGTCATTTTTACAAAACTTTATTATATGATATTACATACCTCAGTAGATAATACACCAAATATTTTATAGTATTCCAAGTCTATACATTTCATTAAGTTAAATTTAATTGCTTTAATTTAAATTACTGTTCAAGTTCTAATGAAAACACGAACTAAATTTTTCTATCAATGTTGTCATTTGACTATAAAATAATTGATTTTTTCATATTTATAGGTATTAAATTCATGCCGGGTTAAATACAAATAAATTGTTTATAATAATAATTTTTAATTGCAAACATCTGACATTATAATTTCCAATAATATAACATTATAAGTTTGCTCACCTCCTATAAGCTAAAGATTGTGATGGAGGTGAGAGGTTCCTAAAATATTCAATATATAAATATATACAAAATACTAGAGATATGACAAATTGATTTTCAAACTGAAAATGGCAAATTATTAAACCCGATAGTTAGGTTTGAAAATTATCTAATGCTGATTCTGCAAGGTCACCAATATAATATTCTATGGTGGGACAAAGCGACCTTGTTACACAAAGAAAGTTCTATTTTTTTTCACATTGGTGGGTCTCATAATCATAAATCACGATATAATAAATAATCATGTACCTATAATTTCAAATTTGATTCCTATAAATAATAATGCAATAATTACAACTTTTTGACCTAACCTAATTTTTTTTACTTTTTTAATGCTTGAGTTTAATAAAATATTATAAAGTTCGGTTTGAGTTCGAATAAAAATGTGAACTTCGGGTTCTTTAATTTTAAGAAAAGTTTGGTTCAACCTTAAAAATCAGGGTTTGTAACATCTCTTAAAAATAATAATATTAACAATAAACTAATTTTATTGGTTACTTTTTACAGAATTAGAAATATAGTATTATAAATTATAAAACCATAACAAATTATTGTCTCAATAAACAATTGATAATTGTATCTTCAAGAAAAGTGTTAACTATATAATAATTTATTGGTTAATTAAATGTTTAGTATACATTTATGCAACTTAATATTAATCAAAAAACAGACTTTAATCTATGATTATAATTTACAATTATAACTTGTAAGTGAATGATGAAAATGTAAACTTAAAGAAATCCAACTAAGAATTTAAAAATCTAACCCATGTTTCTCTTAAAACATGCCCCTTAAAACCTATTTTAAAATATTCTCAAAAAACAAACACTATTGTTCAAAGTAATGGTATATACCAGGGGTAGCCAACTTGTAACTCTTATCATATTTACAAAAATTAAAATTTACTTATTTGTTAATATGAATTTTAATTTTTTTTCTTATACATTAATAAAAAAAAAAAAATGTTTTCATTATATATATATATATATATAAGACTTTAGAATACAGATTATTAAATAAATATTAAGCTAAATTTGTTTGTGTGGTATTTTTTTCATGTCTACTTTTTTAGTAATCTTTTTAAAATCTGGTTCCATTGATGTAAGAGCAGTTCTCAGTAATTCTGTGAGATAATCATTAGTCAAATTTAAACGATATTTCAACTTAATTATTTTCATTGTTGAATAAAGCGATTTATACAAACATCAAAAATTGTTAGAAAACTTGTAACCTAATCAAAACAAAATAATATTGAACTAATATGTAATTTAATAATATGTTTTTTAGGCTGTTAGCTATCGTTATTTCTTTTGTGTTTTAAAAGTACAAATTATATAAAGTTATACAATTTTTTTTCAAATATTTTGGCTCTTGATATCATTGCATTTATATATGTGGCTGCGAATATATTCATGTTGACCACCCCTGGTATATACAGATGCTTGATATACGAGTGAGACATGGTCAGTTAAAAAATAGTTTCTAAAAATCTTTCGAAAGAAAAAAAATTTCCTTTATAGTGTTTTTAACTATTGACGAACCAAGAAAATATACGTAATAATTTTAGATTTTATGTATTTTTTTGCAATTCCCTAAAGTAAAAATAACCCTAGATACATAAAATTTGAACAAAATACTTATATTAATCTTGTTAAATTTAGTAAAATATTTAGAATATTTACTAAATAAATGTAATTTTATAGCAATAAAAAAGTTATTTAAAATAAGTTCATGGCTGCTTACAATTAAGCACTTTTTTTATATCAAAATAGTAATTTAAAAACAAAGAAACCTATAATTCAAGAATTTCTTTTTACATAGGTAATTTAAATAGACTACAAATCGTAAGGAGGGTACTACATTGATATTTCTTGTCTCTGTGTATAAGATAAATTCTGATATACTATATAACAAAAATTCTTTGAATTACCTAAGTACAACTGTAGTAAGAGTCACCAACAGGCCAATGAAAGCAAATGAGCTGAGGCAGCACAATGTAAAATAAATTTAAGGTTACCTGGCCTACACAGACAGATAGTCTCCGAATCAGATAGGTTAATGTAGTGATCGGGGAACATTTAAGTTTATTTAAATAATTTTTTTATTTTAAATTATAATAAAGGCTTCCATATATTATATTATCTGTTACTATTTATGATTCCACACTATTGTATTCTTGTTCAATCTAATACTGGTTAGTTGTCACTAAACAGTAAATGTTATATACTTTGTTGTATTATTTAAGCTCAATCTTAAAGTAAAAGTCTAAATAATGAAGATAGTTCTTTCAATCTTTTGAGAGTTAATCTAAAATCTGGTTAATTCATGGTCTTTAAGTTATTCAAGTTATATCACTGTACAGTGCATATTTAACAGTTCTCAGACAAAAATTAGTTTACCAAATTAAAAATTACAACATTTACATAACTTGATTTATGTTGGTTTGATTATGTACCTTAAATGTGTAGGTACATTGGAATTAATAATAAAAAAATGTATTAATATTGGCATGAGGATTTACTGTCAATCGGGGGGACATGAATGATTTTAACCTTTAAATTGCTGTAATAGATTCATATTCACTATTAATAATTAAATTAGGTTAAAAGTCATAGAGTTAAAAAAAAAAACTTAGTTCCTGGGTATTAATGCAAATTACAGTGTGAAAAAATTGATACTGGATTGGTTATTAATTATTATCTATTACATAGGGATATTGCTCTTGAGAGGGGTGAGTTTTTGGTAAATTCTACTGTGGGTTGGATTATAGAATATTGTGGGGTATCTGCTGATGAAGAGGGACTTTGATAATTTAGTACCATTCATGGAAGTCCAAGAGTAGAATAAAATATGTATTATACCCAGCTCAATTTAATTTAACACAGCTAAATTACCCAGTATTTTCTGGACTCACCTTTATCCCTATCATAATAAATATTAGTTGCTCAGTAATTTATATCTTTTAAAAAGGTTACTTGCTTGACCATGAAAACTAAATAAATTGATGTAACTTGTTTTTCTTCCATTTGTGTCGCCAAAGTAATCCATAAATCAACGAAAAAAAATTAAATTTTCGTTCCAAAAATACCCATAACTTAGTGTCAGTCACGCTTTAGGGGTTGAATTTCAAGATGAAAAGTAGACGGTGACTTATCTTCTTTTGAATGTAAAGTATGGAAAGTCATCCAAATTGGAATAAAATTGTAAATTTGTATAAAAAGCCAACAATCAAACTTAATTTTTCAATACTGAATAGTTTATATTATTACTATTTTGTTAATATTAAACAAGGTTAATAAGGAGAAGGGCAAAGCATCATTAACTCACTCCGCCTCCTCCTTGAGTACGCCTCTGCTAATGGTATAACTATTTTTCACTGTTTAACCTGTATTAAAAAATTTTAAACAAAATTAAAAATAAATGTGTTAGAAATTGTTAACAAATAAAATACTTTAATGACTTCCTCGATACCCTAACTAAACAAAATTGTCTATTTATCCCTCAAGTTGATGATTTGAATATAATTTCTGACAGAAAAGTGGTTTACAGACAGGAAAACAAAATAAATGTAGTTGAGAAAAAAACACACAATATAAAAAAATTAATAGTGGGGATGGGAGCGGCCACTGTTGTAGGTGAGAAATTGGAAAGGTATGATACATAAGGTTATTTCATTTATTTATATCTATAACAACAATAAACCATTATTTGACGAAAGACGATTTCGAGCGCAGTTCGGTAATACATAATTTGAAATGCCGTAATTTGTTTTGCTATTTTCATTTAAATTTGACTTAAAAACTTATTCAAAAAAAAAAACGACTTCCATCATTAAAAAAACCAGATTAATAAATTTAAAAAAAAGTCTTGTCGGTTTTCAATTGGCACCATATTTGTACTAGAAAACGTAGTAGGTACTTATTTAAAATTACGAAATCAAGAAAAAATGACATGTATTTACCTAGTAGATAAACTATTAATAACTTATTTTGAACATATTATCAAGTTCTGAATAATAAGTAGACAGATTTTGACACCAAACAATTTAACCAAATTCAAGGTTTGGTCTTATAGCAAGGTATAATAAAGTTTTTTTATGCATACAGGATTTCTAAATTCTTTTGTACTTATTTCTAATTATGAAATCTAACATCTTTGGTATATGATTTTTCGAGGATTATTTTATGATTAATTTTTAAGTCATGATCTCTTAGAAATTAAATTACTAAACTTTTAATTGAATTAACTCTTGCGATAAGAAAAAAAAATCATTTATTACATATTGTTTTAAAATAGGATCAGTTTTACGGATAAAAGAGATTACATTTATTGATATTTATAAATATTTATATTATTAAATTTAAATATTTAAATATAATATTTATATTATATAAATATTTTGCCACTATAGTGGTAAATAATTTTTTTCACTCCATAAAACAAATTTATTTAACCTCAATGGTAAATTAGTTTGATCTTGCAAACAATTTCAGCATCATCAGCAAATAATAAAATAAGTGCAATGCTAGAACTCTCTAAAACAAAACGTGGTAGATCATTATTAGAAATCAGAAACAGTAAAGGACTTAAATGGAAACATTGGGGAACGCCAGTAAATACTATAAAATATTGAGATGATTTTAACGGTTTGAGTTTTATTATTTCTATTAGTGAGGTACCACTATAGTTATTCAAGAAAATAATAATCTATACCAAATGTTTTTAATTTATAATATAGTAAATATGGTCAACTTTATCGAAAGTCTGTATAATTGTGTCGACTTAAAAACCGTGATCTAAAGCATTAGCAAAAATAAAAATAAATTGATAAAAATTTGAGTGTTTTGCTAAAAAACCCATATTGAAGGGGGCTAATGCAATTCAATAATAAACTAGATAATGTTTTGATATAATAGCTTTAAATAATTTAGGTATAATAGAGATTTTAGAAATTGGCCGGTACTTAGTTACTTACATCATTCTTACTTCCAGACTTGTGTATAGGAATAATAAATTATTTTTTTCAGAAACTAGTAAAAACACTGGTTGATTAAGAAGAGATTAAACAAAAAGTGCAAAGGCTTAACAAGTACTAGAAAACATTTTTTAATTTTATAAGTTTTATTAGTTCTATAATACGTGTCTAAAACTTTTTATTGTACGACTAATAAAAAGTGAGATAATAAAAAAAAGGTTATTTTCGTGACCTTTGACATCGAATAACCTTTTTACGCGTACATGATATTAAGATCGATTATCTTTTTAGACATTGTTTATAACGATGTTATAAAGGTTTTTATCAAAATTCAGCTAGGTGGGAATTTGTCCGAGCTGAACCCTATTTTTCTTCTAATTTGATTGGTCTATTCTTAGTCCTAGTAATGATTTTAATTTCTTTAATACTGTTACTTAGTGAGTTTTAAAAAAAGTTTTAAACTGTTATTAAAAATTAAATTGTATTTCAAGCTAAATTATTTAAATTTACTTCAATTATATAATATTGTTGCTAAGTTGCTTATAATTACCCAGAGGCCAGAGTCAATAAATTCTAGAATAAATGATAATGGATATTATGATGCACACCAAGTTCATGCTTTTCATTGTCATGATAAAATGACAATGTTTATTTTGTCATGCTAAAAGTTATGCTATTTTGTCATGGACTATCGACTGCTGTCGTATGAATAATAATTGATAAAATTTAATCATGTGTATTTAATTTTTGAGCAGTTGAACCGCTCCGTGTGACAAAAAACAAAAAACCTTGTAAGGAATTCCTAGTTAGAATCTAAAATATTCTCAGAAATTTATTTTTCTTGATATGCCAACACTGATTGTAATATAATCAGCTGATAATATGATAACACATTTTTCATACTAGCTACTCGCCTCTTCTGGTAGTATTGTTTTACGAATATTTTCGTCTCTTAACTGGAACTGAGTGTTTTCCAATTTCTACTGAAGATGGCTTCCAAACGTTTCGTCCAATCTTCTATTAATTGGGTAGCAATTGCTGAACGTATACCGGAATCTGAAAAAGCAACTTATTTTGCATTCAAAGCAAAGTCTGATGGATATCTTCGCAAGTAAGTTAAGGTCATTTAAAGGCCACACGCCCTTCTCGCTAAGACAATTTGTATTGCATTTTTCTTCCACTTTGCCTTTATCCTTCTACTTCTTCCCTAGCTTCTATACTCGATTCACTATCACTCGATTTCATTTATTTTATTATTTCATACTAACATTCCAATATTACCTCTTTATTTTAATATGCAATCTAGTTTGTGTTATAATTTAAATTTATTAACTATTTGATATTTATTATTGTTCTACTAGATTATCGGCATTACCAGCCGAAGTTCCAAAAATTGATTGGGCTGAATACAAAAACAAAATTGCTGTGCCTGGTTTAGTTGATAATTTCTCGAAATTATATAGTGCAGTTAAAGTTCCATATCCAGAAGACAAATACACTGCGGTTATTGACAAAAACGAACAAGAGATTGTAATTATTAACTTTTTTTGCTAATCTTTTTTTTATAACATTATATTAGGTATTTGTACATTCTAAAAAAAAATTGTTTATAATAAGTATCTATATTAGCTTATTTTTTTAAAAAAAATGTGAAAAATATTTAAAGTGAGTAGTCACCTAGCAGCAACATTTAACTTATTTTATTTGTATATTAAAATTATTACCTACTTATGTAATATTTTATGGTCGAACATTTATAATTATAGATCAAAGGCATTGTTGAATTCAAGTCTGAGGCGGAAGTGATTATAAAAAATTGTGAAACGAGGATTAAAGAAATTGAAGGTTTGTTGCCATTTGATCAAATGACATATGAAGATGCTGCTTATGACGCTCCTGATTTGACTTTGGATTTGGAGAACAAACCATCATTTTGGCCTCACGAAAATATTGATTACATTTTCGATGAACCAGAAGAAGAAAAAAAACAAATTGAAGAACAGAAAAAAGTTGATGCTTCTCATTAAGTAAAAATATTTCATAGTTCTGAGTTCTAATTTTATATCATGTTTTTTCAATAAACATTTAGAAAAATATTCATAAATTATAAATTGATGAATACATGTTTAGATTTATTTTTCCTTTTATTAAAAATCTCTTACTAATAAATTCATCTTAAGATCAGATAACACTATGGTTTGTATTAGCAATTAGGTATACTAAGTAAATTATTTTCAATAAATTACAAAAACAAATTATTGTTTTACTTATTATCTTATCATTTTTATTAAAAAGTTGTAAAAATATGTTTTCAATGTTGGGTATTAATTAAGTATTTACTATTCAGAATAGAGTTGAGTTTTTGACCAGTTAATCAGCATCAAAATCTAATAAATTAAAAATTAATACTCGTTATATAATTCAGAGCTGCTATTTGTGCATTATTATTCATATTAATGCACTTTTTTTTTACGAATTCTTCACTATTTAGTACCATTTTGGCAAACTGTTCACTTTATTATACGCGAAAAATAATTAACTCCCAGACATTTTATTATACAACTATTCAAACTATAAAGATTTAAAATTGTTATCTATTTTTATTATTTTTCCTAGAAAGGAGGAAAAAATTGCTTCAATTTTACTCTTATTATTCAAACACAAAATGACATATTTGTTCCTTCAATTTTATCATTCATGAACTAATCATTTTCCTTATAGACATCCTATGTCTATGATTTTCCTGCCTTGTTTTTAATTTTTATCACAGTTTTAAATATTTAACATTCCTGACATTAATTATAGGATACCATTTACCATATTTTTCAATAATTATTATCACAGAATGTCAAAATGGCAAATGCTTATTTTATTGTTATAATATTTAGTAAATGTTTTAACATTATGACATTGCTTGACTGTGTTAAAAGTGATTTTAAGTGATAACTTCTATGACAGACTAGTGTTTTTTTTTAATATTTATTTTAAATGATAATTGTAAAATGACACTAAAAAGAAATGGGATGTTGTACACTCAAGGAACTTAATTTTGTAGTGTTATTAACACTGTCATTGTTTATCATTTAAGTGTTATTTTATATTTTTAATATATTTTTAATAATGAAATTATATTGAAATTAAAAACTTAAAAACAAATAATTTTAATTTTAGAATATAATTCATAATTTCAAAAAATTATAGTTTTCATTATTTATTCACTTATTTAAATAATTTCTTCACTCTAATCGCCTTTTACAACACTATAATAATTGAATGACAGCCCTGATAATTATATTTTTAAATTTAAATGCATTTTATTATTTTTATTGACTATACCTTAACTGATCAAATTCTTGGTGTATTTCAAATGACCAGATTTCGACCAGTCTATCGACTGATTGCCAACTCTAATTCAGAACATATACAAATTACAATTAACATTTTTCATGACAGTTTTTTTTACACAAAATCTTACAAAATGCATACATATCGCTTGAACCTAATGTAAATATTATTATCATACAAAACTTAAGCTTTGTTTCAAATTTTATAGTTTATTTTTAAAAATCTCTGCATAAAATAATAGTTTGACTATTTAATCATAGTTCTAAAATCTATGTTTTCGTCAGCCGTTGTATTTAATCCTCGGGAATATTTTTTTAGATTTTGAACGTAGCTAGGAATTCATTAGTTTTATTATGATTTTATACTTTAGTATTTTTCTTGATTTTAAACAACTTTTCTACTAGAAATCTTGCTTCGATGTATAGATTTCAGCACCTTTTCTTAAATGAAATTTTATTCAATTGGTGCATTTGAGAGGTTATTTTTTGATTTCCCAATGGGTTTTCAAAATATTTTGGGAAAAACCGAAAAGAAAATTATATGGGAAATATTTACTGTGCACCGTGACATTACTGATTTTATTAATTTTAATTTTTGTAAATTATGTTTTCTACCGAAAATACTGCTGCAATAGAAAAATAACGAAGACACCTTTTTCGTTGCATTTTGGATCTAGATGCTAATGAAGAACATTGTTTATTGATTTCGCAAGTAGTTTTTAAAATAATTGGGAAAATCCAAAAAAGATAAAAAAAAAAAAAAATTAAAAACTAACAAATTTACAGCTTACAATTTCATTATTTTAAACATGTACGCATAATGTTTTAAATCATATATATCATTCTAATAAATAAACAACAAGATACTTTTATTTTGAATTTTTAATCTAGTTTATGACCATGACAAGTCATTTTTCGATTTTCTTTGTAGTTTTTAACATAATTAGAATGGAAATACAAAAATAATTGAAGAGTAAATGTGTGAAAAAATATTTTCCAGAAAACAAAAAATATTACAATATTAAAAATAATCAATTATGATTAATTATCATAATTGTCATCTTTAAGTTAATGTAGATAAGAGAATAAAATATAATTTTAAAATCTGTTTAAACATTTAATAAATTAATGAAATTATGTTTTTTTATCTCATAATGAATGTAATAACTTTTTAGTATAAAATTAATTGTTTTTTTTTTGTGTGCATATTATATCTAATAATAATTAAATACAATATTTCATTAATTGTTTTTAAATTATAACCATTAATTATATCAATTTTTATTATTGTATGTACCACAGCATCACAAATAACATTGAAAAAGATTTATCAATAATATGCATACAAAACAATACATTTTTAAATTCAGTACCAAAAAGTTAGCATATTCATAATGAGATAAAAAAACAATAATTTCAATAATCTATTAAATGTTATTAAATGTTTTAACAGATTTTGAAAATTGTATTTTATTATCTTATCTACATTAACTTAAAGGTGATAATAATAGTGATAACATTATTTAATCAAATTTCTCTGCTATCATCGTTTTGTTATAAAAAATATGTTCACACTTGTATGATATAACGATTATGTTTATTTTTGTTTTAAAATTTATATTGTTCCCTTTTTAGATTAGATTATGTAAACCATTTAATTACATTGTTTATCAGCAAATAATTGCGTAAACCGAATCTTAGTAGTTGTATAAATAAAACTTATACGCTTTTGTCAATTATTTAAACAAACATTTTTTTATATATATAGATATAGGATTAAGTAATATCTAACTGTTTAAAATCTAATTAAATCCTATAATTAATTCGAGTAGTAGGTACTATATTATGTATAGTAAACCGAAGTATTTACAATTTATAGGTAAGTGCTTATTTATTTATTATTATGTATGTTTATATATGTTGTAGAGCTGGATTAGGTTGGGTCGCTAATTTTGATGCCTTTTAGGTTCGTAACGTAGCGAGGGATCTATTGGTTTTACTATGTATTATATTAATATATAATAATTTTATGAGGTGGATAACTAAAATTATTGTTATAGGTACAGTATTTTTTCTGTAGGTATAGACAATTAAAAATACTGCCGTCCTAAGGAAAAACGTAGTAATACACCTAATGCCATTTTTTTTTTCGATTTCCGGCATTTTTTTCCAAGGACGGCAATATATAGATGGGACTATCTAATCTTTCTTGCTTAGGTATTAGGTATGTTATACCTTTTATAATAATGATGTGTCAGTATAATATGCATATCATTACTTTATCAGTTTGGTCACTTTATTATTATTGTTTCATATAATAATTATTTATGTATATATATTATATTATTTTATTAATTTAGATTTTGAAGTATAATGAGAAAATTTTAAAAAATACATGTTTTTTTTTTTTTTTTGAAAACAATTTTCATTTATGATTATTACAAATTCTTTGATTTTGTCATGCAATACCCTCAACATTTGCAATTTTTTGTCTGATAGTATTTTATTTGAAACATGTATAGGAATGTTTAGCAGTTCACTCACAAACTTTTTTGTTGATTTCTGGATTACCTTGATAACAATGGGTCATACATAATGGTAAGTATGTTTGTATTTTTAATATTTATGTAAACATTTTTTGACATTTTGACTTAAGGATTGTCTATGCCATTAAACTGATTTAGTAATATGAGAGGGGTTATTTTGTTATCAATTATTATTATTTATTAATTTTTTTTTTTAAATATAAATATATATATACCTACAGTATCCTACAAAGATATACCCATTGCAATATTTCCTGAGATAATAAGGATAGTCAAATTATTTTTATTTTTTTTTTACATTACTCTCAGGGATAAGGACTACAAATATTTATATTTGAATTGAATTTTAATATTTTAGTAAAAAATCTAAAAAAATAACTTTATTTTATTATTTTCAACAAATTTAAAGATTTGTATAGAAAATAGTAATTATAATTATGCAACAGTCTGTAATCGCATTCGCTAATTGATTATTATTATTTTGGCTAATTGTTTGTACATTTTTTTCTTTAAACTTAAAAAAAAAATGATTAAAAATCACAAATTTAATAAAAATAATAAAATAAAAAGTTATTTTAGAGTTTTTACCAAAAAATAAAAATAAAATTCAAATACAAATATTTGTTTATCCTTGTTTTTAATATATAAAAAAAAAAACAGAATTTAGCTATATTTATTATCTCTGGAGATATTACAATGGGTCAACCTGTATAGATAATATAATAAATATGTAATCGTAAATCATTATAAACATTGACGAGAAAATGATCACGGAGGGGATATATTTCCTTCATCACTCCCCTATATATTCACCCCGGGCATTAACTATTGAGGTATTGAAATATTAAACTATTATTATTCCCATTATGGGAATAATAATATATTTGCTTCAACAGTTAATATTACTTCATTATATAATATATGTATAATAATCGTATTAACAAATAAAAACGAAAGTTTATTTAATATTATTCGTACCATTTTACATCAATAATTATATTATTTAAAATCAACATAGATACTATAATAGATACATTGCGTAGGAAATTTAAACTTGTGAGAAATATAATATTATTAGATAGGTTCCTACTTAATATAATGAATCACTAACTGTAAAAAAGGTCAAGTTTATTTAATTAATTTTTCAAAAGTCAAAAAACGAAATATCAAATTGAATAAATAAATTTATGATTTTGAAAATTTGGCATTCATTTTCAATAGCCTATATTTAAATGTCAACTAAATTGGATTAACAAAATTAAGCATAATACCTATATTTTTTTTATGTCTAGGATATGCCATATTATGTTTCCTTTCTATGAACAGGAACATGCCCCCTTATTTCTATTGTAAACTGCCCTTTCTGAATGCTTTTTTTAAACATGTTTGGCTAATTGCATATTATATACCTATCTAAGTGCAGTGCTTAGTACAAAATGATAAAATCAAAATTTACTTTTATCATTTTCTGTGGTTAGCGATTCATTATAATATATTTGTAAAATAACGCATTATAATCTATAATGTAAATTATAACAACAGAAATTTAACTGTATTATAGTTGAATTGGTATTTTTATTTATTGTATTAGGCGGATAATAAGGTAGGGTTTGATTAGTTTGGCATATTGACACTATCTGAATGGGTAGGTATATAATGAATAATATTATGCAATCGAAATAAATATATTCGAATTGAGTATAATGGGTAATACAAGCATTATTTAGTGGCTAATGATGCCGCGTACATTTTTTTTTTTTATTCCGCGACTAAGTATATTATAGGTACACAAACGCTGGTTAACTGCTTAACCAAAGCATGATACCGCGTTGAAAGCGCACTGCTTCCAATAACTTCTCTTCTTCTGTGCGCGAATCGAATCCGTCCGAGCGTGGATTTTAGTCATCATTTGCTTGGCGAAAAGATAATTTATCAATGCATTTTCTAAGGCTTGATCTTCGATCTGAAATTAATTAAAAAGGTTATAAGTTGTAATAATAACCGATAATATTAACATTTTGTGTAGATTGTTTAAGTATTTTAAAAAAAAAAGCTGTCCTAAGATAATGGGGATGGAAGCAATCACTGTTACAGGTGAACAACTCAAGTTGTCTAGATGGCCATTTTTTGATTTTTGACGCCATTTTTTAAATAAAAGCACTTAAGTGGGAAAAACCGTAGAAAACGTACAATTTCTTGATTTCATTATTTTATAAAAACACGGACGACGTTTTCTACTATAGATAATAATTTAATTGACAAATTACAAGAAACCTTTTTTTTGCCTTTTTGATTTAATTTCTTACAGTATCATCGCTAAAACTTTTGAGCTTTTAAGGAATTTCAATTTTTGAGAGTTTTTATGTTGTAATTCAATTATAAATACACGTTAAAACTTGGTAATAATACTTATATTAGAAGTAACTAGACGTGATAAAATATCCAAAGTCATCGGACGAATTTTTTTTTTTAATAAGCGTTTTGAAATCAAATTTAAACGAAAATTGTAAATAAAAATTACGGTACTTCAAATTATGTATTACCGAACTGCGCTCGAAATCGTCTTTCGTCAGGAATGGTTTATTATTACTTACAGATATAAATGAAATAATCGTATGTATTCTACCTTCCCAACTTCTCACCTACAACAGTGGCCGCTTCCATCCTCAGTATCAGCTCTTTTATATTTAGTGTGTAATCGTTTGTTGGAAACACTCTATAACTTAACAAATTTTAAGTATATTTAATGTAAATAATTTAAATATATCAATATATTCTATTTGTTTTTGGTGCTTAAAAACATTTTTATAACTTATTTGACTAATTAAATAATTTGTATGCTATGTCATTTTGCGCATGTGCATATCAACTTTTTTTATGATCTGGGAATCGAGGTGGCCATTTTATTATACCACTAGTTCCTATCCAACGATTTTCAAAATGTTCATTTAAATAATTTTTCACGACAATTGCATTATGTGCCGGGGCTCCATCTTGTTGCAAAATCAAATTGTTTCTTGTTGCAAGAGGAATGTCGTCTAGCATGATCGGTAGCTCATTCATTAGAAATTCTAAATACCGTCTTCCATTTAATTTACCGTCGTAGAAATAAGGTCCCAACAATTTACCTCCAATCAAACCACACCAAACATTTGTTCCCCAAATACATTGATTATTTGTTTCAAAAACCCAATGGGGATTTTGAGTGTCCCACGATTATTTTTATATTTAACCAAAAAAAGATGGGGTTGCCATTTAAAAAAAAAAGTTGATATACGCATGCGCGAAATGACATGGCATACAAATTGTTTAATTAGTCAAATAAGTTATAAAAAAGTTTTTTAAGCACCAAAAATAAACAGAATTCAAATATATTTAAAATTTGTTAAGTTATAGAGTGTTTCCAACAAACGATATACATACTGTATATTTTTTTTTATTTATATATTTATTTACTTTAAAAATTATAAACAAATAAACAATTTAAATGATTTCCTCAATACACCAACTAGACAAAATTGTTTTTCAAAAACCACCCTTAAAGTTGATGAACGGAGTATGATTTCTGGTTTAACAGTGGTTTACAGATAGAAAAACAAAATAAATATAAATCTAAAAAAACACACTTACATCATGGAAAACCAATAAATATTTTGCTTTACGCTTAGAATCTAAAAATGCCTTGTGTACCGCAGTTCGTGTGTCGTTTGGGTTTTCCTTTGTTTTTCGTCACTTTTGACATTTTAAAGTTAACACAAGCCTAACACCACAAACCTGACTAAAATAATAATATTACGAAATTAAAACCACAAACCAAACTAAAACAATAATATTACGAAATAGTAAATACCTAGTATTTTAATATTATATGATTGATGAAGAAATGCTTTTAGAAATAAAAATGATTGCAATCAAATCAGATTCTATTACAAATATTTACCAGTATCTATCGGCTTCCCTTATATGCGACTCTATAAGAATGTAGATAGGTATATCGTGCAATATAGTATACATTTATTATGATTCCACTATAAATAAATACAAATCGATATCTGAGTTTTTTATCTTTTAAGAATAATTTAATTATCAAATATTTATTTTTAAATAACAAAAAATAACTTTTAATTTTGAACACTTCAGGCCATTTATAAGCCAGGTCACCGGGAATTTGCCCGGTAGGCCACTCCGCCCTTGCCCAGATGCCTTCATTTTTTATGCAGCGGGTCACTTTTTATTTTCAAAAAAGTATCATGGGTCTCATTCGTACTAAAAACAAGTATTTTATACAAATATTTAGTATTTAATTGTATATTATTATACCATTTAGTTTTGAATTTATATTAGCTTCACAAGGGTTAAAAATTATTTCGTTATTACCTAGTTATAGGATAATTTTAAATCTTAAATAATAAGATGTACCCATAACCCATTGCCATGTCCATACCAAAGAAAGTTACAAAATATTAAAAGTAGTAAGAATCTATACTTACATACAACCTACCTACCTATCTCTAACTATATTATGAACAATTCAAAATCGTATTGAAAAAAAGTAAACTTTTAATCAACAAATCACACTTTGTAAATTGTAAAAACTAGTAAATTGGCTAAAATATATTCATGTCAAGATTAAATTACTTAATAAATAGGTATCTATAGCTGTTATGTTTTCATTATATGTTATGTTTCATTATATTATATTATAAATGAAAACACACACATATACATGTGTAGGTATACCTAGACTTATTATTATTTTTTTTTTATAATTTAATGTAGGCATGTTTTAAAATTGGAGAAAATAACAAGTAAAAAACTTATATCTTGTTATATTTTCATTAGTTTAATTATAACTGTACAACTTATAAAAACAAGTTTATATATTATATATACATAAATTTAAAAAATTACGTAAGTATTGTTACAAGGCTCTTTCTTTTAGATACTTATTAAAAAGATAAAAAAAGAAAACATTCTGTAGACAAGAAAAATAAAATGGCCCGGGGATTCCTAACATCTCTCATTTTCGGTAGTTTTCTGATTTTAAAGACTTTTCTTTATAGCTCCCATTATGATTAAATCAAATCTTGGTGTTTTGATCTTTATGATGGTAGATTTGTACACAAATAATATAATTAAAATGTAGATGTATCTAAGTATAATATTTTAGGTTTATTTTGTTTATTGTTGCTTGTTGGCTAACTAATCATAATTAATGTATAGAATCAATAAATATAAAAATAAAAAATGTTAACGCCGTTCTCTATTCAGGTAAAATCTCTCGTCTTATCTTAAGTAGGTACCTATTTATAGATACCTATATTTTGCTGTAAGTCTCATATTTATTAGAGGTAACTCTGTATATGAACAGGCAGCTGTGAATTTTGTATATTTTGGTGCATATATAATACATATATTACATTTATATAATATACATATAAGTAGTATAAAACAAAGTTACATTCTGCGTCTGTCTGTCTGTATATCCACTAATTCCCCCTAAACTACGTAATGGATTCTGATGCGGTTTTCACCATCAGTTTTGCATTGTCCAGAGAAGGTTTATAACTATTAAAATCTACTTCCTATTGAATACCATCTTCTTAAAATTCGGATTTTAGGTATTTTTAGTCCAAAAATCGTATTATTTTTGTTGATTTATGAGTTACATTGGTAACATGAATGAATCCATTCGTGGAACACTGTATATGAATTGAAAATACACTCAACAATTATAAACTTAACAATTATATTTACTATATTTACTTTATTTTACTATTGATTATACACAAGAGTTCCGAAAGTGCACACTACAATGTGTCTATACAACTGTACACATTAGTTCACTCTGTACTTATATAATATAATGACGAGTTTAACCATTTCATAAAACTTGACTAAGTATATTAATAATACTAATAGATTATGTATTTACTACGAAACAGAAGCTTGAATTTTTTTATAATACAACTATTCTGTTAACTTTGTTATTTTTAAACATGTGAATATTATATTACCTTGAAGTCTTTAGAGTAAAAAAAAAAAATCCCTACTTAACTATATACCTACAATACCATCTATACTTACCTACATGCATTATACCAGACAATTATTTTACCTTTACGTCTACCTTTGTCCTTTCTGTATTGTTACGAGTCTGTTGTATTATTATTCTAGACGGTAATTTTGATCATCTCGAATATCTAACGAATAATTAACTACAACTATAACCTAATTGTCATTCTCTCGAATTACCTATACTCTTCAATTAAAGGAAACACTACACGTTGAGATTTAGATTTGCAGAGTAAACCAACCAACTTGTACGGAATATATAGGTATTTTAAATAATAAATAATTATAGGCAAAATATAAATAGGGTTTATTTTGAAGTAGAAAGAAAGCAGGATTATTTTATAATAGGTACCTATTAAAATCAACGACCAACTAATTGAATTCGAAAAACGATTTCGAGTATTATAGTTTAGTCTATATCTTCGATATATTTTTTAATTATTCAATTATTTCAAAATATTTAAGTATAATATATTAATAATTAGGTAGGTTTATTTAATTTAGAATTATTGAAAATTTATTTTTATTTTTCAGCACAAAAACGGATTAGATATATTATAAACGTCATATTACTTTATTTTATAACTATCTAGTACATATTTATTATGAGCTACGATATTCTGTTTTAGAAATAAGTAATCAAATTTGTATTGCATTTTAAATACTGAGGTTTAAATGTTTAATGTACTTGTATTGCTATTTGTTGTGTTCATAATTATTCTAATAGATTCTGAATATTATAATAATTGTTTCCCTTTAAAACCTTAGAAAATAAAATAGCAATATTCATATTTTATTTTCTATTCTTGCAATTTTAGATTAGCTTTTTTTTAGTTTGGTTTTTACAACGATGTGTTTTTCTTTTGTCTGTTATCAGCTTTTATACGAAAAATCTTATACTGATTTTCAAGTGATGCATCTTTTTTGAAAGAAAAATTTTTAGTGATTTAGTGTTTAAAATTCAAATTTGGATGAAAATCGTAAAATCACTGCATTTCACTCACTGCATATCATATTACATTGTGTATACTTACTCAATAGATAACCCAATATATGTATACCAGTCATACCGGCTGACCTTTTGTAATTTGTTTAACCTCCCTAAAATAATAAAATCTTACATGCGCCTTGGTCTTCATTTTTGACCTGAAAAAGTAACCTTTCAAAAATAGTGAACCTACATTTCCAAAATTTAGATCGGCCACTGGGTACATCCATGGTGCAAAGTATATTGGCTTTTTAATAATGTTAAAATATCAGTAACAATAATTATAAGCTTAAATCTGCGAAACATTATAATAGGTATATATATTAATTAAAAGTTTGAAAGAACGAGAAGAAAATATTATAAAATATAATTTCGCGTACCATTCCGAACTTTTTGAAATACCATAATTATAGCCTTTAAACTATAAAATAATAATACCATTATACAAATAATTTAATCGTATACTATGTTGCTCTCAGTTGAAGGAAACGTAACAAATATTTAACACCAGTTTTCGGTATTTTAATTTTTAGTTTTTTTTACCAATTAACATATTTGTTTTGTTACCACCGTATAGTTGGTAATATGAGTACCACAAGTAGATGTTTATTCAGAGCGTTCGTTTAATCCATTATTATATACCTATTAAGTAATTAAAAAAATTGTTTTTAAATATTCCTCCATCTACCTAACTTAACTTTTGAGAGATAAATATAATATTTCCAACAACTGAGCATCGTAATTATAAGTGTATAATATATTTATGATTTCTTAGGTAATTATAGAAACTCGTGAATATCTATTTCGAGAGAGAAATATTAATTTTTTAATGATTCTTATTATTTATTTATTTTTTAATGAAACGTTAATCTCGAATGTTTTATTATAATGAATACCTACGTTCTACCTTCGTTAGTTTGTGCAGTCTTGTATTTAAAAACTATACGTATAATATTTTTTAGGTATTAGAAGATACCTATATTGAATTTCATTGTACTCATTTATAATATTATAATTAAATAGGTATTTATTTTTTTTTTATTCTCAGATGTTTAAAAATAAATATATTGTTAAATAAAAAATATTTTTTTTTTAGTAAAATGGATACTACGAACGACGGTTTTTAGGTGGGTAAGTACTTAATTGGAAAGATAAAATGTACAGGGTAATTTATAGTTGATATAATATATTATATCAAACGATAAAACGAACAAAAACGATTCTGAGAGGAGTAGTATTATTGGTGTTTTTTCTATTGTCAAATTAACAAAAAAAAGGATTTAGGTGTGAATCGCATACATTTTAAAACATGTTTCAAAAAAGTACCATAATCAGCATCTTTTAATGTATGTCATGAAAAAACCCAAGCATTTTTACCGTTAGTGTTTTTGGGGTGGCGATAAAAAATAATCTATAAAACTAATAGCTTCTTCGTTATACTTAGAATTTAAAAATCAATTAATGTTAAAATTAATAAAAAATTAATAATAAAATTAACATGATAAAATATAACCTTATAACTGAAATAAAAATCAATCGCCAAATGTATAATATATCATTACTTTAAGAACGATGTGGCCGATTTGACTGATTTTTTTTTGTTTTTGTTTTCTTAATTATCAGGATAAGGTTTGTATGAAAGAAAAGTTTTGGAAAATTCACCGGAAAAGTCGTAAATTTGGATGGCATATTATTGTATGGAAATCTCAATAAAATTTGTGACGTTCAGTTCTGCTTTCACATGTTTCCATAGGTAACAACAAATTTATATATTACAGCGCCGGCGCTATATACTTGTATATTGGCAGCCTAGGTAGAACTTTACATCTCTGTAACATGTAATGCTTTGAGGTTTCTATACGAACTGTCGTCCACTAGGATTATATTGTGCGAGTGGAAAAGTCAAATTACCACAATTGACACCGTCACTAGAGCTACTGCCATCATTGCTTTCTGGCCAAGAACCTCGATCGAACCATTTCTTGAAGAATGTACAAAAGTAGAACAGTTCCTTTCAAATGACATCATTCGGGGCGAATATTATTGAAGAATGAGGTTTGCACACAATTTGTAAATACATTATTTTACGACTACAACACACATCACGTACAAAAATTAACATCAACGAGTCAATGAGTCTCGTTTAACCGAGACTCATAAATGATGAATTAGTCTCGAAATTTACAAATTCAAGGACAGCTATTTTTCGATTTACAAAGGTGTTTAATTTTTTTTATCTGTGAATAACTTTTCAACAAACTTTTCTAACTTTTCTCTAAGAAGATTTGCCCAGATTTCTAAGTGTTGCAACTTTTCTGAAAGGAAATCGGAGTGGGGGAAATTGGGGAAATTATTTTTCGGTTTTCCTAAGAGCTTTCCCAGCAAACGTGAAAAACCCTGGGAAAAACGGGAAAATCAGTATATTAAACAAATGTTATTAGAGAAAATATATAAAGTTTATTTAATTAATTTACTATAAAATTGCGTATATACGTAAATTGTTGACAAAGCATCACTATCAACTGATAGTGATGCTCAGAATCGTTTTTTCGTAAGCAATGGTTTATCGTTATCTACAGGTATACATTAAATTTTCTATAACAGTGGATGCACTCTTACCCTTTATCCTAGGAAGTCTTTTTTTATTTAACGGGTTCTTTTCGAAACTTTAGATAAATTTACGTGTGAATTTTTTCAGGATAGTCCTAGTTGTCCTGAGAAGATTAAAGCGTTTTAAATCTTCGATTTGACTAATAGAAGTAATAAACTTCACAGGATTCAAAATAATTTCAAATTAGATCAAATTAAATCAATTAATTAAATTAAAGATCAAATTAAATAACTATGTATCCCACAAATTGTAGTCCCAACATTGTGCACCTACAACAGTGGCACACTTGCCCCATAGTAATCATAAATGATATATTTTTATGTAGTTTTATTTTTACTACATATTATTTTATTCATTAAATTTATTATACCGGGCGATTATTTTATTGTTAAACACTCATTATTTAAAAAAGTATTGACTATTTTTATAATTTTTTTTGTGAAAACTTAAGAAACAAATATTTCTAAAATGTTATACCTATTATCATTTTTTTTTTTTTTTGTCGCCCTTATTTTTGAGGGTGAAACGACTACTTACCTTTGTTTTTCAAATGGCAACTTATATTGAAAATGCCTTAAACAGATGAAGTATTATTTGAAATAAATTTTGGCGATGACATATTTGATTTCCGTCAATCGCCGAGATTTATATTTTTGAGTTTGAGTCGGAGGAGACAGTAGTGATATTAAAACACCGTGTGCCGTGCCACCACACTACTCTCCACTTTCCCATATTAAAAAATTGGAATATCTCGTCAATGGATTTATGGAATTTAAAAATGTTAATACCAACATTTTTTTAACTAATACTCCATCTATTTGAGGCATTTACAATATAGGTTGCCATTTGAAAACCAGAAGTAGATAGTCGTTTTGCCCACAAAAATTGGAATAATAAAAAATTATGTAAATATAAAATTGTGGAACTGCTTGTTTCTTAAATTTTATATAAAACAGATTCTGAAAAAATTGTATACTTTCCGAGATAATAGGTGTAATTAAACAATTATAAAAGAATAACCCGGTATACTAGGATCTACAAAACGATTTTACAGATCTTGATTAAAACTAGAAAGTCTAGTAGCTATTTCCTCTATACAATTAAGTAGGTAAAAATCGAACACAAACCTTAGTTTTTATAGTATAATCATTGAGTACAGGCTCTTCAAGCTCGCGGAATTCGTCTTTGTCGTCCATTGACATCATTTCCTGAGAGTTGTCTAGTTCCCGTTGCAGTACTCTTTGGTCAATGATGTTTCCTTTGGTTTGCAAGGGGAACAATCCGGTCAGAACTGCGAACGCCAAAATTATGCCGCAAGACAAGACTCCAATTTGTGTAGTCATGTTTAAGTTTACCTGACAAACATATTTAATTATATAATATCATTAATCAGAAATACAAAATCAAAATGTAATTACGGATAATTATAATTGTATGGAATAATATTACATAAAAATCAATTATATCGAAGAAAGAACATTCTGACTATATAGTATAGGATAGCTATAGGTTTATTCATTTTTAACCGACACATATTATCGTTATAGGGTTTGAGCATTTTATAACGGTAAATTTAATTACATTCGATTCTTCTTAATCATCCATCAAAACCACGAATCTTGACTCGGACATAATCCCCGGAAACTAACCAAAACGGTTAGTTCGCCAATGGTGCATATGTCTTAAATTCAAAAGATGTGAGTCATTTGAATAACATCAGACATTGTTCAGAAACCAGAGGTCTTTAATTAATATAATTTTTAAAAAATGTCGTCACCAGGTTGTTCTTTTTTCATGCCAGACATATATCCACTAATACTGCGTTATTGTAAAACAAATTTAATTTATAGATTGTGTATTTCTAAAAAAAATAAAAAGTGAATAATGAACCCATTATTATACAGATGTTTAATATTTACATAGGTAGGTAGGTGTACATGTGTATAGTAACATATAAGTACCTAATGATACCCTAGCTACATGTACTAAATCACATATTCAAGTGGTAAAATAGTTAAGTAGGTACTTTTATAAAATTACGTTCAATAACAATTAACGAATACAAATTTGAATAAAGTCATTTTTTTAAAACCGTGTACAATTTTTTATATTTTGTAAATGTAGTGTATTTATTAATAATACCTAATAAATAATTATTGGTCTTAATCTCATTTCAAAAACTCTCAGGGCTGGATAACCCATACCAAATTAAGCGTAATGCCCAATGATATTACTGCGCGTTCATTATAAATTCTTCATCTCCCTCCGATTTATACTTAACGTGTGTAAGTTCCTTACATGCTCACGCATACGTAATTAAAGAGTATATTACATTAATCTCTACAGAATAAAAAAAAAAGGTTAGGGGATTCGACCTTTGTCCATTAATTAAAATATTCCTATATCCGTAGGACGTGCCGGGGAAAACGAATACGAAATATATTAGAGATTTCCCTAAATCTAGATTAAAATATTAACTGCAAATTTTATAAAACATCCTTTTTATTTTTGAACAGTTCTCGTTGTCACATTACGCATATATTACATTTTAAACCTCTGTACGCCGAATGCATAAATTAATAGGATTACCTTACCGATTTCGCATGTATGCCAAACACTCTTTAATACGAATTTTAACTATATTATGTCATTTTTAATAATTATTACATTTTTGCCACACCATGCTCCTTTTATTTCAAATACCCTAACGCTATTGTTTTTTTAATTCTAAATATTATACATAAATAGGAATAATGACGAAGTTCTATCAAAAATGATTTTCTTTTCGAAAATACATTTTTTTGTTCTCGATAGAAATCTACTACTATTATAACAGTTCAATGAGCATTGTAACTTACTATTAATTTAGGCATCAAATCTTTTTAAATATAATTGGAAATTTAAATCTTATAGGTGTTAATCAAATCGAAAAAATCGTATAGCTTTTGTTTTTAGAAAATCTAGAAAAAAAACTGAGAAATTGTTGTTGTTTTACTGAAATACATTTATGACTTTTATTAGAATAAAATAATTTTTTTTTTGACAATGTCTGGTAATTTATTACTCAAAATATATTATGTATTTAATAATTATCCAGAATTTTAAAATTTTACGAAATTAAGTGTCTCGATTTGTGAATATATATTATTTATGTTCAATAGTTAGAACGAAGTGTAAACGGACTTACATTTATTATTATATATCTTCATCTTTTGTATTTTTTGCCAAAATATCACATAGGTAACGTCTATTAAATTTATAATCTAACCAAAAAAAAATTATTGAAAACATTAACACGTATAGTTATTTTTGGAATTAGGTACTATATAATATAACAAATATCAAATTGATTAAAAACGGGTTGATTGAATTGAATAAAAACAGGTTGGCCGTACATTGTTCACAGTTTTTTCGGTGTTTTCCTGTTGTTTTTATAAACTTCCTAAACTTTAAATAGTTATAGGTGACTGCATTGATGACTTTTCTGTGAGAACAAAAAATATCACATCGACTACCGGAAATTAATAAGCTATTGGAATGATCTGAGCAAAAATACACAGGCATTAAAAAAAAAAATTAAATGAAAAATAACATATACCTTTAGGAAAATCGATAGGTAGTTTTTCAGTTAGTTCCAAAAAAAAAAACGTATTATATATATATATCGATACATATAGTTACACGTCAGAACGAATATTTTTTATCACTGATTTGTTTTTATTAACCAAGATGTACTTTATAATTATTCATGATTCGTATAATGTTTTTTTAGGATTTCGTTTGGATTTTAGTGATATTACAAATTGGTTAGGTATACTATTATAATTAAGCTTAAAAAAAAAAGTTCTAAAAACATGTAAATATGCATTCATATATGCTTTAAAAAAACAACTAAATATGCACTAAAATATAGTTTAAAACAAATTTGTTTTACTTTTAGTAAAAGTTAACTTTTTAGTGTGCAATAAATGTATACTAAAATCTTGACACATAACTAATTTATTATTTTTGAATTTGAGTAGAGCGAGAATGTATTGGTTTACAATGATGTTTTAGTTTTTTTTCTGTAAACAACTTTTCTACCAGAAATTTTGTTCCAATTTTCAAGGGTAGCACTTTTTATAAAAGGAAATTTGACTGGGATGGTACTTATAGTAGAGATACCATATTTTGATTTTTCCAGTGGTTTTCATATTAAATGGGAAAAGCCAGAAAAAAAAATTAAGAAAAACGGGAAAATGTACGGAATGTATTATTTTCAAATCATAAATATTAATACCTTTCAAAACATGTATAACCGAACTTTGCTTAGAATCGTTTTTTGTTAGCAATGATTAATCTTTGCGTACGGATATACATTAAATTTCCCCTCTACCTTCCCAACTTCTCATCTATAGTAGTAGTCCACTCATGATACGAAGTATATCCGTTTTATTATTATTATTGATGGTATTTACGTAAAATCTTTGGTTTTTGAGATGAATAATTTGAGAGTTTTTATCTTATTGATCAAACTCAATGTTAACTAAAATTTAAATAAGTATCTTACGATAGTCTCTTTGAGTATGCTATACTATCATCAGTGCTTATGAATTTAAACAATGTAAATTGAAAAAAACCGTGTATAATACTTGGCATACAATACGATAACATATAATTATAGTTAATTTTAATAACACTTAAAAGTTAGGTACATACTCCTAAAATATGGTTTTTGCAAATATTAATTTACATGATGAATAGTATTTATGTTTTACTCTACTATTTTTGTAATCTTTTAAAAATAACATACAAATGCTAGACATCCTTAAAATTAGTTATAATATAGACATCAATAATATTATTATTAATATATTGTAATATAGTATTTATATTATTATAATTTATAAAAGAGGATAATTATAATATATATTGTGATAACTACAGTTTTATTTAAATATTTGAAATACACAATAATTCATTTGCTAATAAAGCATGATTTTTATTATCACATTAACTTATTTCAAATACTTCGCAATAAATGTTTTTTTTTGCACAAATCTCATTAAAAATCTTTTTTGTTTAAATTGCCCTACACAATAATATCATTCTATTAAACTAATAACAACGGTTATTTTATTGTTATAATATAGGCTGGTAGACAATAATATTACGAACCAAATATTATATAGTTATAGTATAGAAATGGGATTGTTCTTTGTCATCTCAGTGTCGGCTCTTGTTCTTACAATATAATATACTCGTATTATATTTAATATCATTTATTTTTCGGTTTTTAAAGCTGGACCTGCTGTAGATTTTAAATTGAAATTTAAACACTAGTGACTAGAACACCTTACTATGACCATTATAATATAATACAGTCCTGTATAAATTTGAACTAATGAATTATTCAATTGAATAATCGTAAATTACAGTTAATGAACTGAGAGATAGGCTGGGAATAAACATTGGACTCAGGGAAACAAGAAAATTTGGTTCTTAATGTTGAAAAGTAAAAATCAATATTATTTTAATTATAATAGAGATGGTTAATCGGTAATTTTAAATATAATTAATTAGTTCTTAATTTCGATATAAAATATTTTACGCTTGTTCAATTGATTGACTCAAAACAATTATCATCGGCCCAGATGAGGAACTCGTCTTCTTAGGCAGTCGGTCCCTGATCACAAGACCAAAAATAGGATAGGTATATTATATTCATATCGTTTACGGAATTAAAAATTAAAATATTTCCTACTCTAAGATATTTCAAAAAATAACATTTTTCAATTTCAAGAGTAATATTTCGGTTGATAAAATTCATCTTGCGTAAATACGTTTTTCGTAATTAGGTATAAAAATACTAAACTTATTTCAAAATACAAAAATTATAAATCTGTTTTATAATTGATCATAATATTATATTATACGATGTTAAAACTTGCATAGTATTTTGTCTTAAAGATTTTGTATTTTTAAGTTTTATGCATTATTCTAAATGATAAATGATATAATATTACGGTACAGAATGTATGTTGAAAATGTTGTTATTATATGTATAATATTATTTTCATAATAGTTAGGTGTAATGTGTACATACCACAAATTGAACTAATATAGTTTGTGATTTATAAGCGATATAAGTGCAGTAGAGTTGTAAACAGCGTATACTTAAATTATTAAGTATATTATTACTTTCCCGTTTCTCTAAAATTTTCAGTGAAAACTTTGTTGAAATTTAATGTTTATAAATCATAAATTTTCGTTTGGTTATGCTGCAGTAGGTATATTATAATAGTATATGCATTTACTTTTTCAACAAATATTTTGCATTATAATACGAGATTTAAGTATTATAATTGATATTGAAAACTAAGTAGAAAAAAAAAAACAGAAATATAAAAATAGCACACACATTAAAATACTTATTTGAAACGGATGTAATATTTATTATTTATCGCTTGTAATAAATATAGAGCCTATAGTTTTCGCGTAAGCCAATATATTACTCTATATGTTACTATAAAATTAAACTACCTAACTAGTTTATTTATTTTAATATTACGAAATTTGATTTTTCTATCATTACCTATATGGTTTAGTGTAGTGTGACAAAGATAACTGTTGCGGCGCGGTGGTGTGACGTCTACCAAAAGTCAATATTAATTTTAATCCCGGGGAGGATTGTTATTAGTTTAGGTTTAGTAGTCGCCAAAAATATACACTTCAAAAATATTGATTAGAGAATTATTTTGTACAGGGTTTTTGAAATTGTATGTTACAGTAATAGATTTTCTCTATATTATGAAATATTTAGTATTTTTTTTTCTAATTATCATTGTGTAATAAACTTTATTAACATCGAAAGTTCTAAATTTCTAAATGTACCTATTTTATTTATAGTGCTAAATAGGTATTCATTTTTTTATTCACTAAAAATATGACATTTAAAGATCGGTTTTTTTAAAATTCAACCTTTATTGAAATTCCATAAATAAATAGAATTTCAGTTAAAATTAATTTCAGTGTTAAAATTTTTAATGCCCGTTAATCCGAAACTCGTTGGCGAGATATATTATCTCTTTAAGTCCGGTCATTTTACAGGTATAGGGATAAGAGAGTATTGGGACAGTCGCCATCACGTGTAGTTGACATTGTATTAATTTTTGATTTTGTTGTTATTTGAATTTCAAAAAGTACCTTTCGAGATTTTCCTGTTCCATGGCTATCATATACTATCTATGCTTTTGTAATAGTTTATATCATCTAGTAAATAAATTAATGTAAATTAATACAATAATAACTATATGGAATATCAAATTACACAATTACACTATTTACGAATAAAATAAAAATGAGTGGCAGAGATACTGGCTATAGGTAGTGACTCAACCCTAGGTCGTTTAATAATAATAATTAAAAAAAAAACCTAAATATTTATTCATATACGTACCTAGTGAAATCTGCTGTCATACATGTTATAATTCGGAACACCCTGTATAATATAATAATAATTCCCTGTAATAATAATGATTGACGTGTATGATGTATTTTTAGCATTTAGGTTACTAATTAAATTATAGCATTTAATTTAACATAAATAAATAGCCGATATAACTACGACTAAAATATTAAATTGTCTTATTATCTACACATCGAACAGCGTTGTTTTAATATTTTTTCGGCTCAATATTATAGTATATTATGTACTAATATGTATTCAAAGTATTCTGCATTGATATTTAAACTTGACTGTTGTTGTCTGGTTGATTGGAAACTATTTTAGAAAATAAATCATGCGAGATACCTATTTAAGAGAAATCAAAACTTAATCGACTGTTCTGGAATATGTTATACATACCAAGAGTAAATAAATACATATATGTAGGCATATTGGCGGATTTATAACTCAAAACATATTTGAAAATATATTTTAGTGGTGAGGGGGATATAACATTTATTCAATATAGGTACCTACTAATGTGATTCACTAAATATAGGAATGACACATGTTCAAATTTTAAAATTGTTCAAGAAGACAAAAATAATTAAAATAACTATTTATCTCTGAAAAAAAAAAAAATCAAAAACAAATTTCATGTTAATAAACTAATTTTATAATGTTTTATATCATATAATACGTTTCTACAGTTATTTTATTAAATATTATTAAACTCTAAGTGCTTAAGAAATTTTCTGTCTGTCCTGAAAAATGTTAAAATTTGAATAGTTACTTTCCCTGTGTTTAGCGATTCATGTACAACTCATATTTTTTTACGTACAGTAATAGTTTAACTTTAGTAATTAAACAGTATAATTTTATATTTGTATTATTATTCAAATTAAATTTAAAATTAAAGCATCCTTTTTTTTTAGATTACGTTTTCTGATTTTTCATATAAATTTTGAAAGCGTATAAAAGAAAATATATATATATATATATATAGATGCTAATCTATTAACATTGTTTGGAAAATGTTATAAAAATGAAATTTGATAGTACCTATAGCGTCTGTATATTATTATATTCTTTTAATTGAACGAACACATTTTCTTAGCTCATTAAAATGTTACTTGTTTTACATTTGGGTCTTCCTTCTAACGAATTAAAGTTTCCGGTTTCTTAAGCGATGAGTTTGAGTATAAACCTGTAATATTTATATAGATTGAAGAATGTTAATGCTTTTGGCAATTGTATTTTACTAGGTAATGTAAATATAAGTTGAAAAACTAATGAGCATTATTCTTGTAACTTACTAACTTCTTGTTCACGAAAAGTGAACGATAAATAAGTGATTTTATTGAGAACTCTGTATAACATTTGAATTATGACAAAAGGAAATACGATAAACTTTGACTATAGGTATCTATAATGAGGATAATATGAATAATATTATATCGAGTTAGAACTAGGAAGGTATCTAATATTAAAATGTACAAATGACACTGATGGATTTATAGTTATTAACCACAAATAAATAATATTATAATTATATTAAATTAAATATTGTTTTAATATTATCAAAATGAATATAGAAATTATTCGTGATATTATCTATTTTAATACCGAAAACCTTTGGTTTAATATTTTCAAGTTGGAATGTATCTGTTATTGAATTACAAAAAAATCAGGTGTTTTGAAAAACATGGGAGTTTTTTGTGTCAACGGCGGTATGTTACATGGTTCAAAAAGCGCTTCCAGATAATTATCATTTTAAAAACTAACAGCTTGTCCCAGTCTACGTTCAGAATTAAAATAAATATTATTTATGTAAATATTCAACTACATCTGTGTATTGTAAACCTTTGAACTTTAACCACGCGTATTAATAACATTTTCAGACTTTTCAGCGGTATCTAAATTCAATTTTCAGATCTTTGAAATTACCAAATGTATAAAACAAAAACAGAAAAAAAAATCCATTTCGAAACTCTATTATTTCTATTTATTTATTTATACTACTAAAAGTATATATAAGACAATATAATAGTATACCTAGTCTATACTATAGTCGGTATATTTTTTTTAAATTACTGAACTACTTTAAAATAAGAAAATAAGTGAGTGAAAATGTCAAGTCCCTAGAGTAATTGTTTTCTGTGTTTCAAGGAAATAGGTAGGTACCTACAATAAAATAAATGGGTTTGTTATCCATTTTGCAATTTTTTTTTTTCGATAGGTAGATTTTCACAATTTTCTTACCGTTATACCGGGCTACACTTAAAAAATTACAACTCTAATAATTTTAGTCTATTAGAGGTACACGCTATAATATACTTACAATCTGTAAAATAATGTTTGAACGAAAAACAGTTAGGTACATTAATACACAGATTGAAATAACAACAAAATACCTGTTTATTAGAGCTTAAATATTATTATTATGGTATTCTTCGATTTACTCAAAATAGTTAAGTAAGTAGGTATATCATATTATATATTTTAATATATTTTTGTTTTGTTTTTTTTTTTTTTTTTACGTTTCATTCAAATTCTTAGTACCTATTACACCCCAATGGTTAATATTATACTTAATCGTATACGATATAATACTACTAATTTATAATAATATACTGTCGTGGTTACACACAGTTTAATAGACACCTAACCTTATGATTTTAATGGAAAACAAAAATTATTTTTAAACTGGAAATTCTAGGGTTAGACAAATCACCTATACATGTACGATCTTGTGGAACCGGAGACACGTCATACGCGCGTTTTCCAAAGGTAAGGATACCTATATAATATTGTACCATGACGATACAATATATATAATATATATGTTCGATAAATGAGTATAGCCTGTGGACACGATAACACGTTTACACGATACAGTACGTCAATTATAGTTTTCGTCGTAGAAAACTATTTTATATATATATACTATATTATATTATTATTTTTTTTTTTTTTTTGAAAACAGAACAGTATCATAATCCCTCGTTACACTCTAACAAGGCGTGTCGTCGTTAAAGCCGAAAAGACGAACAACTGTAAAACTGTATCGCAACGATCGGTATATTAAATAATATTATCATTACCTAAAATCATCTAATTACCTAACAATTTAATATTTTCGAATAATATTTTAATAGTTATTATATCATAAATATACATAATATAATGATTTGAAACGAAACTTCAATATATTACATTTCGTATGTAATAATATTCATTGTTATTAATTTAGTTGATAAAAAGTTTTTTTTAATTTACTATGCCTGATTTGTCATTAGGCGTCTATAGAAAAGTATAATTGGATACGCACATAGTTTACGAATCGTGAATATTTTTATCGTTCATCGTTTATTGAATAAATAATTTTGTTTTTATTAAACATTTTTTTTTTTTTTATTGATTTCTGGGCCTCAATGAGATAACTCATGTGAGAGATAACCCAGGGTTATCTGTATCTTAAACACGTTAATATTTAGTAAATATTTATAAATAATAAGGAAATTAATATAATATAGCATAGTTAGAGACACAAAATAAGATAATATAATAATAAAATATGAAGTTAAAGTAAATTCACGTGTTAGTAGCGTTGTGTTCATACATTAGCAAGTATGAAACCTGATTTTTAAAAAGTGGTAGTTGCACATTAACTAAGTAACTGGGCATTAAGTTGTATTTCAGTCCCAACTAAATCAAAAACATTTCAACAGCTAGTTTTTTTTGGCAAAGTTTGGGAGTTATAGAATAATTCGCATAGTTTGTTCGAATGTTTTATACAGGCAGAAAATATGTCTATGATTTTGTTAAAGGCAAATTTAAAATAGTACGATTAGCCGGGTAGAAGCTAAATAATATATCAGGTTTAAAAAATATGGAATTACTATAAATTCATGAGTACTCAAATAGTTTTTAGATTTGAATCAACTGTGAACTAAAATCACGAATACATTTTTTTTTTTTTTGAAAGTTAATTAACTTCATTTGAATTATAATTCAATGTAATAATATTTAAACGTAGACAAATACGATTTAAAACTCACGATCGTTTAAGATGGGTAAACTATGGATAAGTATTTAGAACAAAAAGATACATTTTAAAATTTCATCAATTTTGTGTTAACAAATATTTTTTTTCTGATGCTTTTTATCACTTAGGTAATTTTCAATAAGTGTATTGGTATATAAGGTAAACTTTTGGTTTTTAATTTTTTCAAGCGATTAAAATATGTTTACAAATTATAGCTATTTTTATTTTTATTAAAAATGTATTAATTATCTCCAATTAAGTACCTCAGTAATTTATTTTTAAAAACCCATTTTTATAATTTTATAAAATAATATAAATAACTTTTATAATATAATCATTTTATAACCTTGTGATAATTTGAAAGAAATTGTTGAATTTTCATCAAATTGTCTACGATTGATACCTCTAAGAAGTCGTAAAAATGAATGTATATAAATATATATATTATATATATTTAGATAAAGCGAAGAGGATTATGGCAAATAATAATAATGTAACGAGTCCTTTTAATATCATACTATCATATCGTATATCAATATACCTAATCTATATACGAGTAGTTTTAAATTTAAAAAAAAAAATTATTTAACTAGCCTATGTACTATATATATAACTCCGTTAATACCTTTTTATATTTTCAATAGAATATAAAAAAAAATATTTTTTAACGGTCGGGGAGTTTTTTTATTAATTTTAATAAAAGGTTTAATATATTGTGTTAAGAGCGTTGGATTTCGGCTTTGAAAATGTACATGGTAGGTAGGTACCTAATAGTTTATTCATAACTCGTTAAGTATAGAAGTTTACCATAATCGCACTAAATTAATTTCAAATATAGCGAAGTTGCAATAATAATAATTAAAAATTGATGAAAAAAAATAATAATTTTATAAAAAATGTGTTAACGGATAGGTATACCAATTATATTTAAATACCGTTTATAAATAATATTAAATAATATTTTTTTTATTTTCTATCATCGAACTATGAATAATATTTCTTTGGATTTTCAAATAATAAAATAATACTTGTATATATTTTTTTTTGTTAAACGTTTTAAAATAACACTAATGTACATAAATCACACGATTAAAAAAAATATACACTTAAAAACTATTGCTATCTATTTTAATATTATAACTACGTGGAAAACGTCTCGTTGCTGGATTAATTTACAATTTATTTAATATGAGCAGTGTACGTACCTTTTACGGACAGTGTCGGCGGCTGAGTTGAGCGCAAAAGTAAAACGAAACAACGGGCGGGTAGCGTTTTATAAGCGCAGAACGGGCGCGGAACGGAAAAGAGGGTGTCGCGCATGTTCTTCGGGCTATAAACACCACTATCTAGGGACCGGGAACGAAGCACAATATTGTATTATTTTTATCTATATGCCGGTTTACGTCGCCGTCGCAGTTTTTCATAATTCGCTCTATACCTATTAGGTATATTATTAATAATAACACGCGAAAGTATATTATACGCCCGCATATTGTGTTAACGTAATCTATAGATATATATAGAAAAATGAATCCCTATATTCCTTGGTCATCGCATCACGTGAGAACGGCTTGGCCGATTTGAACGCAGTTTTTTGTAAAATGTTCCGCATTGTCCGGAGAAGGTTAATAGCTATTGAAATTCACCCTCTATTAAATACCACCCACTAAATTTAGTTTATAAGTAATTTTAGTTCAGAAATTAATTTTTTTTTTTGAATTAGAAGTTTCCGTGGTAACATGGATAACAAAAAAAAGAAATCCATGTAATGGTGTGGGGGTATCTATGAAAAAATATATTTATTCATTTCTTAGTGTACAATGTATTCTATCTGAACATTTATCTAGTTTTGATTTTGTTGAAAGAGTTTTTTGAGAAGTGTTTGTTCATTGCAGTTAGTTCAGCACAATTTGGTTCATCAAAATGCCACCAATTCGACGTACCAACCAGAGATCGCAGAGGTTACGATTTGAGAGGAATGTGTAGTGGTAATAAAATAAATGCTAAATGATAATATATTTTTTTGATTGTATTTGATTGTATTGGTTTCAGATTAAAATAATAGTATATTGGTTACTATTAGTTAATCGGGCATATTTTTTGATTTGTATTATTTGTTTTCAATAATATATTTAGTACAAATTGTAATGATAACTGAGATTTGAACTCGATATCATTGCATTAATATTATAAACGTTGTCTTTATATACAATGTAGACAAAAATGTAAAAGGTTGATCAAAATGTATTTATGGTAATTAATAACGCATAAAGATTGCAAATAAAATCTATAAAAAACTGTCTGTTTGAGTGTATGGTTCTTACTGGCTATGGAACTGGGAAAATGGTCTTATTAATGATATCAACCAATCTACCATTCCAGTTTAAATAGCTCAAATTTCTCGTGAAACTATGTTTTTCAACGACAATAAATAAGGCACAAGATCAAATATTAAATTTTGTTGGTTTAGAATATAAACTTATCCGTCCAATGTTTTGCCTATGGTCAATTGTATGTGGCTCTGTCACGTGTCACATGCAAAAAAAATTTGCAGGCTCCAGAAGGTGAGGCACTTAACGTAGTGTATCCAGAAATATATAATGCTTCAGGAAAATAGTAATTTAAAATAACAGAATAATTTTAGTCCACCGTAGGTAGACTACCCATTTTCCACCTATTTGTTTTCATTCAATACCAACACGGTCAATACCAAAAAGTAATATGGGTAAAATAAATAGTAAAAAATTGGCACGGGTAACGACGGGCGGGAGAGTTAGTAATATATAATATTATTGGCGTTGCCGTAGGTATTTGGAATTTTCCAATTGCGTCGCTTCCCTCCTTTCTAACTGATGAGATTAATATTACTTATGGGATGCAAGTTTCTAGCGGCAAATATTGTCTAGCGCGAGTATTGGCGAGGTCTTTTTCTTGATTTTCAATGGTTGTTTTTGAGAAAAATTGAAAAATGTACAAATATTGGTTTCTGTTTATTTTTGATTCACGTGAATGCACAACAGTTCAATGCTATAGGTTCATCATGAGTTATATTTAATAGTATAAAAAAAAATAGCGTAGGTAATGTTGTAATATTTCTTATAAGAATTAAAAGTTCAAATTTTGATGAATTTATTATTTAAAATTATGTAAATATAATTTTATTGGCCCAGTAAAAATGCTCAAAAATTTAATGTTAAGACCGTTATTAGTTACACTTAGTGATAAAAAACAAATTTAAACTTTAATTTTTATATACCAGTTTTTTTGAATATCTATTTCAGAGACATATGTACCTACATTTTGTTATAAGATTATAGACTTAATGAGATCTTTCTGTTGTCGTACTTCGAAACATACAATTTCATCAGACGAGGTCATCGACGAACTAAGTTTTTTAAAGAAGAAAAAATTATGGATGTTGCGTTATAGTGTATTTGAACTTTCGAAATTCGAATTGTAGGTACCTAACCAGATAAACCCACTTTTTTCGCAAATGCACTTTTTCATTGATTATTTTGTATGAAAAAAATACTTATATTTAGGTGCAACAGTCAGTTAAATTCGATAAATATACGAGGGCTAATCAAAAAGTATCGAGACTGATAATATTACTCGGAAACCGAGCGTTGAAGAGCAAAACGATTTATAAACTTAGCTTCTATGACTTATACTAAGCACATTTATTCGTATAAAATCTCTATAAACTTCTTCGTTTTGATTTGACGATATTTTTCTAAAATTTGTTTTTCACGTTTGGCGATTTCGTAATGAATCCAAAAGAAGCGGAACTCGCTGCCACTCGAGGGCACATTTTCAGTTTTTCAATTGACATTTAATGGCAAAAACCATGAAATGTTGCATCCCTCTGAAACTGGAAAAAAATGTAGACAAATTTTCTAAAATCTCCAAATCTGTCAAGTTACTCTTCTTTTGGGTTTATTACAAAATCGCCAAACTCGAAAAATATATTTTACAAAAATATCAGTGAAATCAAACCGAAGAATTTTATAGAGAAGCAATAAAAACAAATGTACTCAGAAAAAGTCATAGAAGTAAGTGATACCAATCTTACTGCTCTTCGATGCTCCTTTTCCAAATGATACTACCAGTCTTGATACTTTTTGATTAGCCCTCGTATGTATAGTTTTTAATGAAATTAGATTTATCTTGTTTTTGGAGCAACAACCAGATGTCTCCAGAGTTATACAACCAATAGAATATTAAAATATGATGTAAGAAATCTACCAAGTTTTTTGGATTAAAAACAATATTTAAATTGGTTAAAGAAAACATTTTTTTTTAAATCCATACTGAATAATTTTAAAAAGTGGATTTATCTAGTTGTTGCACCAAGCTGTTTAATTGGACTAATTATTACAGTCTTTCGATTAAATTTATTATGTTCAAAGTTTTTACAATATTTTCAGACTTTCAACAGTATATTATGATCTAGGTAATATAATGGTCATCATCAATATTAATATAAAACAAAAACTAATTTTCTATATTTTGTTGACAGTTCACCGACAACTTTTTCGACTGATATAAATGGACGTCTAGATGATAAACCATTCATCAGAAGTATCTGAAATAAATTATGTGATAACTTAAATCTCATTCGTAATTGTATTTTACAGCTATATTTTAATTCACTTATTAAGAAAGCTGGGGTGTATTTTGGAGTTATCGTTGAAACAGACATGGATACAAATATCTTTGCTAGAATTGATACTTGGACGAATAATAATATTGTTATTTCTTTATGGCAATGTCGTACATTATTTTGAAACCGTTTGAGTTAATAAGACTATAAACTACTTATGGCTCATTAGAATTTCCATAACTCGAGTTCTGCAGCTATAATAAAAAAGGTAATGCAAATTAATTTGTTGCATAGAACTTTTGTTCATTCTATACAATATTTATATATAGGTATATACATGGGCGCTCGCAGGAAATTTATCAGGGAGGGGCAGTATCTTAGTAAAGTTTGGAATGACGTTTTACTTATTTTTTTACGTATACCCTTAATAGGAACCTGTCTGAGCCCTTTGATGGTCAAAATAGGAAGAGACACAATAAAATCAAACACCTAAAAATTATATAAATAATCTTCTTACTAAAATTATATTTAAAATTTTGAAGGCAAGAGGGGAGCAGATGTCCTGTCTATCCCATCCTTCTGAGCGTCTATGGGTAAAAAAATATACGGATTTACTTCGCACTATGGGTGAGCCACTGTTGTAAGTAAGAAGTTAGGAAAGCAGAATATAGATGGGAATTTAATGTATATCTCGTATGCAACAATTGAAAAATGAATCTGATCGGAGTTCGGTTTAAGATGTTTTGTAAGATCGTAATATTTACAATTTGAAAACAATACATACATTTTAATACGTACATTTTCCCATTTTTCCCCGGGTTTTCTTATTTATTATGAAAATCAGAAAACGAATTTCCTAAAGTATCGCCTCGGTCAAATTTCCTCTCAGAAAATACACACTACCTTTGAAAATTGGAGCAAAATTTCTGGTAAAAAATTTTTTCACAGAATAAAAATCATTGTAAAACCAATACACTCCTCGTTCCGCTCTAAATCTAAAATTATGTTCATACCAATATATCTTTCTAATTCGAATCTAAAATAGATAATAATAATGTTTTAAAGTCAAATAATATACATCATAGATAGGTACCTACATTATTAATCATTGATCAATTTGTTTAGTTTTATTAACTTAGTTAGATTTATATTTTTCTATTGCCTTCTTAATTTACAATGTTATAATTACCAATATGATACCTAAATAATAATGCCCGAATAATAATAATAAAAAAAAATATAACGAATTTGATTTACTCATTTTCATAAAAAAAGAATATACAAATTATATACTAAGTATGATTAATACGTACATACTCCCGGGCCCCAATATATGTAGTGTATATAATAGTGATTTTAATATATACCTTTGATAGGTATACCCACCGGCTTTTGCGTTCTACACAAACGTAATATATCATGTAGGTATTTATCTATGTATATTTTAAATTTTACCAGATACAAATAATAGTAATGTTAGTACCTTTATGTTGATTCTCAACGTTCTCTATTCATATACCCTATAACCCTACAAAATTAACGAGTATAATTTAATACGATTCTTTGTCCATACAAGTATCGTAAATATGTATTTTTGTTTAACCCGTCTTTAGTCGAACAGAGTTAATAACTATTTACCATTT